TCCTAATTTAGGATAGAGAGCTCTTGCGTTTTGGCAAAAACAATCATCGACTCTTGGCGCCGCATTTCTTACAAATGCGAAATATTGATATCATATCAACTCGACAGACTTATCAACAGGAACTCTTTGTCAAAACTTGACTTGATTATCGACCTACAGAAAACAATCATTTTAACATCATCACGTGATCTTTCAGGCCCCGATTCATGGAGCTAGAAAACCTAAGTCAGATTCTGAAAAAGCTTAAATATAAAGCCGCGTAGCGGCTTTTACAGTCACAAAGCCGCCAAGCGGCTTTGCAAATATCAGCATCACAATCAAAACATTCTAGTTTTTCCTAAGAAGGTATTTTGCTCGTATTAAATCAAGTCCTTTCTGTATAACTATAATCAGAAGAAATCGAAATAGGAGCAAAAATAAACCTGTGGGAAGAAGCAAAAACTCGACTCAACGTCAATTTATTCACATCAAATATTTCCACTTCTGTCACCGTCATTGTATTCCTCTCACAATTTATTTGTCCCAGCCCTTTTTAAGCGATTTTAATTACCCTCTTCAAGCTTTAATTATCCATTTTGCTTACATGTGTTTTTGATGAGATTGAGACCCTTTTTACAGTAAGTAATTAAATACTTTTTGTATTTCTCAAATAAAATTTGTAAATAACAAAGATTTGTTTTGACATATGAAGGAAATATAATTTTTCAGAAAAGAGAAAAAGCCGCAAGATCATCTTTTCGATAATCTTTGTTTTTTGAGCAAAAACTCTGTTGTACAGGGCTCGGCAATCTTTGTAGAAAACCTGAGTCAGGGTCTGAAAGACTGAAATTAAAAGCCGCATAGCGGCTTTCTTTATAAAGCTAGAACTTTTTATAGAGTGTAATGGTAATATTCGCGAAGCCGCCGAGCGGCTTCGTTCTCAAAAAAGCCGCTGCGCGGCTTTTCATTTCAGCTCTTTCGGACCCTGACCCAGGTTTTCTACACAGGTTGCCGAGCGCAGTTTTTGTTAGAATTTCTAAATTGTTGTTTGAATTTGAGTAATTTTAGAACGTGTAAATTTCTACTGTACTCGAAAGTTGCAAAGTCTTTATTTTAGCTCAATATTTGCAAAGTAAAGTTTTACAGTTTACGCAGTGTTTCGTAACTATTTTTTATATTTCGCTGCGGAAATGACGATCAAAAGGCATGCCGCCGTGAGCCATCATAATTGGATTGAGCGCATTTTCGTGGTGGCGTTTTTGAGTTGTGTTCGGATCTGGCGGAGGTGAGGGGGTCTGGTGCCGCGCCCGCAGGAAGGAGCTGCACTTCTAATGCCACTACGAGCACGACGGCGTTGTAAAGACTCTTATCTGCCAATAAACAGCCAGCAATAGTATTGATTTTGCAAACTAGCAAGAAGAATAATCCATTACGCATGCTAAGGCGCATATTGCCGATTTATAAGCTCTCGTATCGAGCTTTACTGTCAAAGCACTTTAGTTTATCCAATAAGATTGTTTAAAATGATGATTGCAGACTAACTAATAGTTTATACAAAGAATTTATGATTATTTATGTCATTTATTGTAAAAAACGTATTTTTCGAAGAAAATCGACTAAAAATTTATAAGATTCGCGACTTTAACACGAGAAGCCGCTTGCGGCTTCGAGATTCAATAGAAGAAAGCCGCGCAAAGCGCGGCTAAAATATTAATATCTCAAAGCCGCAAGCGGCTTCTCGAGTTAAAGTCGCAAATGTTATGAATTTTTAGTCGAATTTTTTTTCGAAAAAACTCTTATTTTGTCAATAAATTAAACAACAAAATTGAAGTTTAGCATTTAACATGTTGATTAAAGTGGCTTCGAATGAACAGCTCTTATTTTATACGTTTTGAAGAGAGACCAGAGAGCTCTTATTTTGGGAATTAATCTTGGTTAGTATTGGTTATTTTAGTTTTGAAATCAGTGCGCGCCCTTATTAGCCGCAATTATATGCCCCTTTCAAGGTGGGTATCGAGTGGGGCGTATAAAAATTGAGTTTTTAATTAACGGTGGCGCTTTTGAAAGGTGTCATTTGGCGGAAAGTGAAAGAAATTCAATATTCATGAATTAGCTCAGTGTCGCGCTCAACACACAAGAAAAATCGAAGGAACAAAAAACTGTAATTCGGCGCGCTTATTTCCGGATTTGGAGGCCCTTTCGTAAATACGCTGTGTATTGTAGTTTTATCAGAAAGGAAGCAGGATCTTGAGAGAGAGGATAATTCTTTGAGAAATCGTTTCCGGCGCTACTTGAGTGAACCGAGCCAGGTGTCTTTCTCAAACTTTTGCTTTCGTATGCAAATTCAGATTGTTCTCAAATCTATTTCAATCATATTTTTTCTCCTCTCTGACATGCGAGAATTGACAGGCGCCTGATGTTCAAGAGTGCTTTTTATTGAAAACTGATTCAGGAGGAAGGCATCATGAATCGGGGTTCTCGTTTTCTGATTAAAATAAAAGTGTTACTGCTACATTGGGACACCCTTAATTTTTTAACTAAAAGAAAGATTAGGTCTTATTTTTCATAAATTTTTATAAAATCTTCACTTAAAATTGACTTATTTTGCAAAAATGGCCGGTTCTGGTGGCGAATTTTCCTAGTAATAGTGAAAAATGATGAGTTTTTATTAGAGTTTTCTGATATCTTGAAAAATAGAAGTAAAAATACCATAGCAAATATCCATTTATACAAAAGCAATCAGAGTGAGATGAAAGAATGCTAAAGAGAAAGAAAGAGGGCAAAGAATGTTAATTCTATCAAAGTCCACTTTTGAAGCGCCTCGCTTTGAGGTTACGAGAATGTTTCCGCGATAAATTTAATTTTACTTTTTTATCTTGAACCGGCGCTCAAGTACTCCAAAATGACACGACACTCTAATTACCCTTTTTTAAAATCCATTTTCGAATCTTTTGTTACAGTTGAAAAATAGAAAAGTAGCCCTTTAGAGCCTTGCTCTAGAACTTTCAGCGTGGATCTAAAGACAGATTTCAGAGAAATTATTCTAGTGCCTGATTTCTAGAACGATTCTTCTGAAAACCATCGTTAGATCCTCGCTGAGAGTTCTAGAGGAAGATAAGAAGCTCTAAAGGGCTTCTTCTCTACTTTAGAATGAAATTTGCTTTTGAGCATTATTCTATCAACTCCTTTTGCCCCATCAGCGAGCCAGCTTGATGTTCTTTCTAGAGCGAGAATGTCTAATTTCCATGTAGCCCTGCATCTGCAAGAAGCTGCTCCTTCTCCGGCTACACGTGATGTTCAGACAGACTTTAGGCGGGCTATTCAAATCGCCTGATTTGTCGTCTTTTTCGTCCAATGAGCTGCTGCTTGGGGCGCTCGGGCTGTCTGGCACTAGACTAACTAGACAGCGCGACTGTTGTTTTCGATTCAAAACACGACACCAGGCCGCTAATTTACCACACCTCTTGAGCGAAAAAAGCGCTAACCACCGACACAAGCTCGTTCTTCCTCAATTTTATTTCGCTCCTTCGAATCTTTTCTTTACTCCCGCTTTTTCAAAGACTAAGAAAAATATGCAAAAGCCAAATAAAAAAAAAATTGTAAAATTCATGAAAACTCATGGCGCGCCGCGGTGGCGATGGTGGCGCCACCAGGTGTTGCATAAATCTAGAATAAGTAAATTTTCGGATTGGAGATTTGATTTTATACTGTGGTTCATAATTATACAGGGCCTTAATTGAAAAATTGATTTGATTGAAATAGAGGGCAATTATCATATCAAAGGGGATCTCCTCCGTCGCCGGATTTCAAATTCATCGAATCTTATAAGTTGATTTTGGTAATTATTTATTTTTGAGATTATGGTCAGCTTGCTCTTAAATTGCAAGATTTCCAAGAAGTGACTGAAAAGTCTTTTGTAGTACGGCTAGAATCTCATAAATTCACGCGTCGTTTGCTTTGTTTTACTGGCAAACAAGTCTCCCCGCCCAGCAGTTTTATGAGAAGCAGACGATCAGACACTCTTCAAAAACACGCATTTCCATGGCAAAAGTTGGTAACATCTGCTCCTTAGGCCTTCATTATCTGAAGGCTTCTGCGACTCATGGATCTCGGATGACTGTGTCCCTCCCTGTTTATTTGCGTGTTAGACTCATTCTTGCTTTTTTCAGGACACTAATATCTTTGTCCCTTTTGCCTCTTCTTATTCCGTTTTTCTGGATACTGGGTGATAAAATTAGTTTCAAAGACATTTCATTTGAACTTTGAGCCTCTTCATTTCAATAAAATTTTAATAAAAAAGCTCGCTACATATTTCTCAATTATTCAAAATATTCTGTGCAGGGTCATTGCTTTTTACACTTCTAGAAGTTTCCTCCTTACTGCTTACAAGTTTCTAGAGAATACGAAAATTGAGAGCGAAAGTAAAAGTCTAAAAAATGAGCTATTTTGTCTGATATTTTTCAGAAAATAATTTGAATTCTAATGAGGCATGATCGCCGTTTATCAAGTTGAAAATGTAATTATAATCAAGGCAGGGTTGAGATAATCGATGCGAAGCATGCTTCTGCAAGACTCTCATCAGACCTGAGAGAGAGGGAGCGGGTGAGCAGCGTGTTAGAGCGTTTATCTCCTTCGCCGGTCGACCTGGCCCCTCGGTAAGAGCTTGTTAGTTTGTCACGCGGCTTGCGAGCGCCCGCGCGTGGCCCCCAGTCGCAGCTTCGACCCTGCTGATTGGCCGCGCGGATGGAAATCGTGGGCGTTATCTCGTCCTCACTGGGCCTCAGTGTTTTTTCGTTCTCCGGGCAGTGGTGGCGCAGTTCGCTGGCTCACCTTACAAGTCGCCAAAAAAAAAAACTGAGAGACTCACAGCGAAATCTTTCTCTCCGTCCCGGCCGCCGTCCTGTCGAGAAAAACGGCCAGAAACGGCGAAAAGAAGAGAAAAATGCCCGTCCTATAGCGAGAGAAATATTTTTCAGCGAAGAAAAACGAAGAAAACGCGACTTTTTTGACGAAAAATCGCCATGTCGAAGTATTATGCAACGATTACTGGTCCCGATGGGAAGGAAATGAAGGTGATGGTCATTCCTGTGCGTGAGATAAGGGATCAGAAAAGTCGTTTTCTAGAAATCGAGGAAAGTTGGCGCGGGCGCAGCGCAGAGGACGCGCGGGCGGTGACTCGCTCCTCGTGCCGCCGCACGGTGGCGCTTTTTGTCAAGCGGCGCGAGGCGAAAAAGAAATGGTTTATGCCCGCCTCATCACTTCTTCACTAATAAAAATGCATAAAAACAACAAATTAGCCATCAATTTACGATTATTCATAAAACCAAAATGTAAATTTCAAAAAAAATTTTCTGATCCCGAAAATACGAAGGGCAAGATGAAGCTCCGAATCCTCCTGAACACGCTGAAGGAAATCGACCTGTCGCCGTTGTCAATCCTTCTAACTCCGCATCTGGTTCCTCAAATCAGGAAGAAGTAGCTCAACCCTCTTCATCCCTGAAAAGCCAGCCCAGCCCGCCGAGAGAATCGCCCGCCCCGCCCGCCGCTGTTGCAAATCCTACGCCACAAAAGGAAATGGTTCATTTTTATTCAGACCTCTTTACAGTCAGTCATAGTCACTGTGATTGTCAGGTGATCTCACGGGATATACCCCCACTCATGTGATTAGCGAGAGATCAATGTGAAATCCGAAAATTACGCCGAGAACAAGTTTTTTCTCCGGGTTTTAAGACGCAATCGATTTGCGAGCGTGATTGATCCCCGCTCAGAGCAGCCCCACGGGACGTCCCCTCTTAGCTCACTAACTATAACAAAATGGGCGGACTGAGTGTTCCACTGTAAAATTCAAAACTCGCCAGCTGTCTCGACTTCTTGATCAAGTACTCTAGTTTCTTATTCAATATAGATGTAGATGCTATTTGACGCGGTAATAGGCTTATCTACAGTAGCTCAAGTGGGAGACTCGTTATTGAACCAGATAAAAGAATGTCAAGCAGCGCAGAAAGCAACAAAGGCTCAATGGAATCCTCGAAAAGCTGGCTCAGAAGAAAGGCGGCAGCGATCAATCTCCATCGTCGAGCTCATCTCCTTCCACGTCTTCACCAGAACCGATAGTGGAGAATGCGATTCCCAAGACAGAACCGGTCAAATCTCCGGCTGCTCAGCCAAAGAAAAATGGCGACCTGCAAATAAATAAGAACTTTGGAATCAAACTTGGGGATAAAGGAAGTGGCCAAATCAAGATCCTTGGCAAAATCACGGAAGTCCCAGTGCAAGGACCTTCAACCTTGAAGTCAGAATCTGACGATGATCAACCCCCAGCGCTCGAAAAAGCCTCGCCACCACGATCGCCCAGCCCGCCACAGTTGGATTACCTTTCAGATCGCTCACGGTCACCCTCGCCGGGGGCAACTAAGCCGGAAAAGCTTCGGCAAAGTGCTCTCAAGAAGACGGCGCCAGTTTCAAGCCAGCCCGAGTCTCAAGGGAAATCCCCTGCGCAGAAGAATGGCAAGCCAGGATTACTGGGAAGAGGAATCCCAATCGGAAACCTTGGAAACGTCGTCGCATCGGTTTCAGTTCCGAACAGACGGCTTTCAAATGGGAATCAACCCAAAACAACTCCAACGCGTCAAGTTTCTGCAACTCCTCCGAAACGCGGACCACGCCCAGCTCCGATCCAAGTCCAAACTACTCCTAAAACTCCAAGTCCAGTCAAAACTCCTCAACCTTCTTCAACCGCTGTTCCTTCTAGTTCACCATTGACGACTCCAACCACGAGCCAGTCAAGCTTCAAGCCCATTAACATGGCCGGACGTACAATCATCGCTCCTAACATGGTCAAATCGCTCGTTTCGCCAAAACTTGCGTCGAATGGAAAACAACCAATTCCATCGCCGACCAACTTCAAGCCCAAATCTCCTGATGTTCCTAACAATCGACCAACGCAGCGAACAGCGTCAAGTGGTAACAATATTCAACGAGCAGCTTCCTCCTCGAAGCCTAATCCGGCCTCGGTGAGACCATCCTCGCGACCGAATATCCGACCACCGCCACCACCACCGGTCGCTGCTACGAGAGGTCCTGCTCCTCCACCACCAACTCTGCCAACTTTTCAGCCTCGAGCAGCTACTCCTGTCAGTTCTTTTGTGGCATCACAGACAGTAAACGTTAACACTCAACAACGTTCTCTGGCAACAATGCCTCATCGAATCATCAGTCGACCGGTTGGGCGTCCTCCTCTGAACTCGTACCCAGTAAGAGCACAAACCAAACCGAGACAACAACAGCATTCTCAGCCAGCCTTGGATCCAAACTTGGTGGATATCGTCAAGGTTCGTCCAGCTAAGAAATCCGGCCATCACAAGTACCCGCCACCGACTCTTGTTGAAGGAGGAATTTCAAAATTCGGCGCGAATATCAAAACGATCAAAATGGCTGACGGCTCCACCTGCGGAATAAAAGTTCAGAGTCAGAGCCTTTACCAAAAGGTCAATATCACGAACTCAAAGCTTCGAGAAATCAAGCGAGGGCTTGCTGATAATCTCAATACAGAACATCTGACACAGTTGGAGAAAAAGAAAAAAGTTTCACAGCAATTTGCGGAAAAAGCAATGAAGCAGGCGAATAATCAATCGAACAATCTCGTCCCAGTAACGGTAGACAGGCGAAAATCATCCCCGCCGCATTCTAGCAAGGGAATCTCAAGTGGAGCACCGACCTTGGCGCCCAAGGCGACAACTCCTATCAAGGAATGTTGTTGAAAATAATGAAAGCGTAAATTAGCATTTCAAACAATCTTGAGCCCACTCTTATTTTTTCTCAAAAATATTTTCTCAACACTGAAAAAGGGAAACCTGCTCTCCCGGTTTCCAACCGTCGGTACGGCGAAATTGAAGACATCCGGCACTACGCCTCAGAAGCACGGCAACCGAAAACACAAGGCCGAGACCAAAACGGAGGTGAATTTTTGTTATTGTATATAAGCAAGTGTTTACATAATCATAAGAAGGTCGAGGATGGCTGCCGCCGCTGCTGCCCTGCGCCCAAATCCGCTCCATCTAAGCCGATTGTGGATCTGCCTCCGAGCGGCCAGAATCTTGTATTGTCGCCGGAAAATCAAAGTAATTTTCACTCAAAATTTCTGGAATCGTTTCTAACCAAAATTCTATTTAGTGCTGGTCCGCAAATATCTCGACAAGCATCCCGGGCAAAAGATGGACTTTGCTCTCTGTCCTGTTCAGAAAAATATGGTGATCGATCCGTCCTTCCCTCTGGTCAAAGTCGGCGATAATCAGTTCCAGCTGATCCCGAAGGAGATCATGGAGAAACAGCAAAAGGCACAGCGTCAAATCATTCCGAAAAACAGAACCCTTGCTCCGCTTCAGCCAAAACCCGACCAAAGCGACTCGAATGGCTCTCAAAATGGTTCAGAAGAAGAAGGATCCGCGGAATCGAATGTTTCTAGTGATGATAAGAGGATTGAGAAGAAGAACTTGTTCGTATGGAAAGAAGCGGAGATCACGAATGAAGAGGGTAAGATATTCTTTTGAAGTTCAAGTTAAGGGACCACGCGCACCTCGCTCGCGCCGCTTTTCAAAAAATCCGTTCACTACCTTATTTTTTGCCAAACTTTATGAATTTTTCAGGACATATGTAGTTTTTTCTCCTCTTTCATCTCCAGTTTGAATTATTTTCATACGATTATTTTTGGACTCAGGAGGCAGAAAACGAGATGCTCAACTTTAAAAGGCATCAACTCCTAAACTACTTGTCACCTGAAGTTATAAATACCCTCACCAAAAAGCTCATTCGATTCTGACCAGGAATACGGTCACGTGGTCTCAAAATAGTATTTGTATTAGATCGTAATCAGGGATTTATCAAGTGTAAGCCCTCGCGCTGCGGGGAATTGTCACGCTCCGGGAGATTTTTTTTGTTTGCATTGGTCCAAGCAATCAAGAGACAATTATTTGGGACCTTTATTTTTTATAAACAATATGTATAGGTAAATAGGATATTATTCTTCGATCTCTTCGTCGATTGAATTTTGTTCTCCTTCGTTTTCAAGAAACTCTTCATAGGAAGGAAAATCATCGTCTGTGGTTTCGGCTTCGACTGAATGATTCTTTCGAGAATTCTCAATATCTCTGTCGACTTGAGAGGCATACAATCCAGGTTTCTGAAATTGCTGTTGCTCTCTTCTTCTTTTTGATTGAGTTTTGGCTTTGATTTTCTGCTTTTCTTCGGCTTTGCTTTTTCGTTCATCTTCATATTTCTGCAAGCGCTTCAGACAAGCTTCAGGGACACGATATTCCAATTCTTCGAGAACCATTCGGAAAGCTTGATCCTGACCATGATTGTAAATCAAAAGTGCGGCGCCTGCTGAGACCTCATATCGCATGTTGATCGGGCTAGCAAATGTTCCTTTGACATGTAGTCTTCTGCGAATGATTTCAGCATGGTAGTACTCTACTGGAGAAGTCGTTCCGGTATTCGAGAGCTCTTTGATGAAGCTTTCTGGGAAGTTCTTGTCCATGAATTCCTGGAGTTTTCGAATGCAGTCTTCTTGTGAAAGATCACCATGTGGTTGAATTATTCCTGGCTTTCGAGGGCAATTTTCGTCACAATATCTGTGATCGCCGCAAGCGTGATGAATCGTTTTCTTCACCTTTTTCATAGCATCTTCATGTGACCATTCGCCAGATTTTCGTTTGTCCATAATTTCTTTGAACATACAGCGCAATCTTTGATGAACTTCGAGCTTCTGATTTTTAGTAAATTTTGATCTCGATGAGCCAGCTTCTAAGTTTCGACCACAGGTTCCCCATAGGTTTTTCAGAACATGAGCAACGTCTTTGCTGTAAATGATTTTTTCTTGCGGAATCATCTCTTCATCTTCTTTCTCCGGATCTTTGAAGACATTCGTGTTCTTTGGGTCTCGAATTTTCGCGTCACCGTCGCAGCAGATGTTGATCATGTGATTTGGTAGCTCCTGGTGAATCGGAAGAAGAGTTTTTTCGTAGATTTCTCTTGTTCCAATGGTTTCCAAAGTCGATGAGCATGTTCCCTTTGGTGCGATTGTTCCGCGACTGTGCTTCTGAAGCTGCTCCTCTGAATATTCCTGGCGTTTTTTGACGACCTCCTGGCCGATGATTTTGTAGTCACCTCTGACTTTTGCTACACAGGAAACGATGCAGCCCTGGGCGCTGTTCTTCTTGTGGCCTGAATAAAATAATGAATTTATTAAATATTTTGTTTGAAAAAATGCTAGTCTCAGTAAAGCCTTTTTGGAAAAACGCTTATTTTTAGACAATATTCTAGTCTCCGTAAAGCCTTTTTGAAAGAAGCCTATTTTCAGAGAGATTTCTAGTCTCAGTAAAGCCTTTTTGAAAAAAAGCCTATTTTCAGACAATTTTCTAGTCTCAGGAAAGCCTTTTTCCTGTGTCTCACCTGTGTCGTTATAAGTGCCATCAAAGCTGACATCGACTTGTTTTGGATACTGGATACGACGCTCGGCCACAAGAGATTTTCGGAAATTCAGCATGGACTCTGATGCAAGGTTGAGGATGATGTTGTCGACGATTTTTTGAAATTTTGAGGATGCTTTGCCACCTTGTACGAAATCGGGCACGCAAGCTTGTCCAGATGTTGTTGTTACTGAGAATCCGCCGAAACAGAAAGCGCGTTGAGCTTGAGGTTTTGTGATGCCTGCCATAGTGAGACCGCCGTGGAAAGCAGCATTGAATTTTTGGTGAAGAAGCCAGGTGCTCTTTGAAGCATTGCATTCATCACAGGTAATCCGGAGGTAGTTGTTGAAGAAATCTGTCTGCGTGATCGCCAGGGTCAAACAATTGCTCTTCTTGCAATCAAAGCAGCGAAAAGAAAATCTCCAAAAATCTCGCAAAATGGGCAAACTTGCCATGATCGTTTCTTGTGGCTCCAAAAGAACATGAGATTTTGATTTTTTAGCGTCGTTAGCAATTATAGAAGCCTTTCTTCTTTTTGAAACATGCGGCATTTCGGTCATTTTCATGATTCAGATTCATTACTTATACGTTTTGTTGCCAAAAGATGGCGGTAGAATCACAAGTTGCTCCAGAAATATGCTCTCCCGGAGAGAGGAATTAGTTTGATTACCCACCACGAAAAAAGAGCGAAACAAGCCCCGCGCGCACCAGAATTCCCGCTGCGCGCTAAGAGTACCTGGATTAGATCGTCGATAATGAGCTCCGGAAATTGAGTTAATAAGACCACGTGACCGTATTTCTGGTCAGAATCGAATGAGCTTTTTGGTGAGGGTATTTATAACTTCAGGTGACAAGTAGTTTAGGAGTTGATGCCTTTTAAAGTTGAGCATCTCGTTTTCTCCCTCCTGAGTCCAAAAATAATCGTATGAAAATAATTCAAATTGGAGATGAAAGAGGAGAAAAAACTACATATGTCCTGAAAAATTCATAAAGTTTGACAAAAAATAAGGTCGTGAACGGATTTTTTGAAAAGCGGCGGGAGCGAGGTGCGCGTGGTCCCTTAAGTGATTGTGTTTTTAGTCCATGGAAACCTGTCAAAGAAAATCTTCCTCAGAACCTTTGCCGAGGACGATCACGAATGTTGCCATCACGCAGGCAAACCACAGCAAGTTCTTGTCCGTCGAGAATCGAATCCAGCCCGAGCGAAGCCCCGAATCACAGTCAAAGGAGAGCAGGTTTGTTCGCTAGTTCGTTATCAGCTGGTCTGCCGCAGGGCGAATTTCGCGAGGCCAAATTGGTTAATTACTGATTCTAGGTCCATTATGTGGAGCATCAGCAAGGCCACCAGCACTCGACTTCCAAATCTGCGAATCAATTTGTTATCCCTCAAGCCAGCGACGATGATAACGAGATCATTCTCGAGCAAGTCCAGGACAAGAGAGGCAACGTTATTTATTACGGCGATGGGCAGGCGTCATCACAGCCACCTATCAACACCGCGCCAGATGGAAATTATGACGGCAGTTTGATAACAACAGGAGGTTACAGAGTGGAGACCCTCGAGGAAATCAAAGCCAAAGTGTCGCAGGAATTCACAACTCAAGGTAACAGTTTTCACATCTTTAAACTGAAAATAATTCATTTATCAATAGACGACGATGAATACAGCGATGATGACCGGTTGGTGATCGACCAGCTCGCAGAGGAGGACACTCCTCAGAGCGAAGCTACTTCTACAAAGTATCGCTTCCCATCCGGCCCGTACATCGAGACCGACTCCGAAGCAACACCGACCAAGCCCAAACACATCCCCGTCGATACCTCAGATGATGAAAGCATGCCCGATCTTGAAGATGCGGCTGAAGAAATGCCTCTCTTAGGTATAAAACTTCATTTGAAAACCGTTCTCTAACTCTGTTCCACTAGAACCGCTTCCAGAACTCGACGACATTGGAGCGCTAGAAACACAGTCCACGATCCAATCCGAGATTCGAAAGCGCAAATCCCTCCCAGCCGGATCTGGGAGCCTCTCACCGGTCAAACGCCAACGACGCGGAATTCGCCGCAGTCAATCCACCACTGAAGCGTATGTTAAAAGCGTGGGCGCATGATTTTTAACCGCGCATGTGGCCACTGCTCTAATGGTGCACGCGCTTTTTATTTTATTATTTTCAAATCTGCCTTTTTGAATTTGGACACTTTCACATTCGCTCCTGTATCACAGATCTAGCCCGGATCGCGCTTTACTGTTAAAAAAGAATGAAATACCCTAAACAAACCTCTTACTTTATCATATTCCGAAAAGACTTTACCTACAATTTACCGCTTTCTCTATCTGCTTCTGTAGGAATCTCGTGTCTATGATTGGATTCTTGTTAAAAAAACAGTACTCGTGTCCGGGGCTAGGTCTGTTCAGGAACATGCTTATACTTTAGACTTGCTCAATCCGCTTTAGATACAATACGCACTAGCTAAATAACACGATATAAGCAAAAGCTAAACCCGAACCGGACCGACCCCCTAAATTGTTGCTCACCAATCATCAGACAAAGAGTTCCATGAGAGTTCATTTTTTACATTCCTGTATCATAGGTTTTTTAACATTTTATCACTTTTACGATTCCGTTAATACATTAACTTTCCAGTCAGTCGATGAGTGTACGCTTTACAATATGAAAGTAACATTGAATAATTTTTGGCCTGGCGCCAGAGTAGGCACTGACATATGAACAATGAAAGCCCTCTCTTTTTTCGTTTCTGATTTGAGAATCGTTGCTTTACGAGAACAAACAGAAATCTGACACGCCATCAGACAAAGCCTTCAAGCCTGAAGTAGCGACATTTCGGGCCTCCTAGATTTATAAATTTAGGTTCAGCTTAATCTTTAGAGCATCAGTTGAAATCATAGAAGAAAACCTAAAATTAACCCTAAAATGAAGATGTGCCATTGGCAACTTCACTATAAATTTGTAAGATATTCTAAAACAATAGCGCTTGAGTGAATTCAAATTGTCTTATCGCCTCAAGACTGACGTACTTTTATACTCGTTTGCATTTTTAAATATTGCTTTCACTAAAAGTGAAAGTGAGAGCTAATAAACTCCTCGAAAATCCTCTTTTTCATCGGTGTTTTTCAGGCGTCAAAATCCAAAATCGAGTGCGTCTAATCGACTTACTTCGTTGATCGAAAAAACGCGTGAGATCTGCGAGAATCCAACGAGTCAGCCAAGCCAAAAGAAACGAAAGGTCTTGACCAAACGATCGCCCAAAAAGCGCCAGAGATCTGAGTCTGCCTCAAGTTCCGAAGACGAAGCTCATCCAGAAGTGTTCCACCCAAGCAGCAGTCACTCTCGCCAGGGCCACAACCCGGTAAATATTTCACCAAAAGACTCATTCACTCATTCCTCACCAAAGACAAAAATGCATGCAAAGGCAAAACATCAGCGCATTCGGTCAGACCCCGAGCTGCCTCGAAACTCGACAACGCCCGTCCTGAGGCCAGAGCCCTGCGCGAATGAGTCAAGGATTGACTCTGACCGAGGTGGATCAAGCTCAGACGGCATTCCCGACCTTTCACAAACCGCCATGCGAAAGAGGGTACATCTAAAAATACTCTCATAAAACTCACATTAATTCAATCATCTCTTATTTATATCTCAACATGACTCTTAGCGTCGAATTCTCGACCAACTGAAGGACACGCCTGAATTCGAGAATGCGCGTCTCTCTGGTGGTGGCCGAGCACGCCGAACAGCAGCTGGTCGACCTGCCCGTTCCGCCGCGCGGACAGCATCAGAGAAGACCAAACAAAATCTCAACGACGAAAAAGGACGACTGAAGCCTATCGTCGTGGAAAAGACAGAAAAAGTCAAACAGGAGAAAAAAGAAGTCAAGTCGGAGTTCGCCGAACCAAAGCCAAAGCCAGGACCAACTCGACGACAACGACGACCGAGCAAAAAGACCAGGAGAAAATCCGATCACTACGTCGACAATCACGGTTGGGAGCCCGTCGGTGTTTGCGAAAATCGATGCATACTGAAACCGGTATTACTAAAAAAACCCTCTTGAAACCATTTCTTATCGGCTTTAGGGCGAGAACACCTACATCGACCGCGTAAGCTTCGACACCGTCCGGAACGTCAACACCGACCGAGTGGTTAATCGACTGGACTCGGTAGCCATCTACGCGGGCGAAGATGAGCCTCCTATGTATGCCATTATCGTCGATTTGTACCGGGAAACTTCTGGGCAGATCATGGCCTGGGTGTATTGGTATTACAAGTAAGCATCATTTATCACAACTGAAAACTGATTCTTTTCCTTCGAAGACGCGAAGACGCTGAAGCTCCTAGCAGTACCTACGTCGCTGGAGAGCAGGAACTTCTTGCCAGCCGCCACCACGACAGCATCTCGATCGCGTCCCTTCTTCGTTCGTTCCACACTCTTACCTACTACGAGTACCGCCGGTGAGTTACTGCTTTGTATTCTAGTACTCATCTCTTTCTAGTTGGCGCGCACAGGGCGCCCACGAAGGTGCTAACAACTACAGTTCCTCTGATGAAAATCACGTGACGGTGAAAAAAGAAGAGGACATTCCCAGTCTAAATGGGGAGAGTGCAAGTTGGGAGCGAAAACCAAGTGACCGAGAACCAAGGACCAATTTCAACTTCATCAAACCTGGCGACGAAGTTTTCTTTGTGTAAGTTCTTGAGAATTGCCACCGACGTGAAATTTATCCCAATTTTAGGAGGAGGTTCTACGATCACTCGACGCGCTCGATCGTCATCACCCCGTCTTTCCTGAAAGACAAGTCCGAAAGTTCAACAGTGACTCGTCCTCGATCCCGCCGATTACGACGACCTGCTAACACTGAAATGCTGCATCCCACATCCTAAATTATCTTAGCAAGACTCTCAACCCTACAAAGTTACACTTATTTTTGCAATTTCTTAATTTAGTTCCCCCCTTTATTTATTTTCCCTTCGCTTTTTCACTCTTGAGTCTGAACCACTCTATTTATAACTGTAAATAGTCACATTCTGCAAAAACTATTATTGCCCTTCATCTGCAATAAATGTTCAAGCCACCAAGTTGGTACCACACAAAAAGAAAGAGATTTTGTTTTTGAGGAATGGGTCACTTTGTATTTTCTTTTACAAATAATAATTGAACGAGAGTGAATGAATGAACTTGAATAAATTGAACATATAAAGTACAGAAAGGAAGGAATTTTATTGCACGGAGAACCACGTGACGTAGGAATTTATATTTACTGCTTGGAAAGTTGTCTTGCGTCTGAGATAAATCTCCAGCCAGAACAGGTGGCAGTGAAGTTGCTGAATGAAGTCTTGGGAAAGAGAAAGAGAGGATGAACTAACCGTTTCAAAAAGAATGAATGCTGATTGTCTCAGGAATAGCAGAAATCGTTGAAAACGGATGGTGGCACTTGAAGTTGGTGAGGCGCGTGCTGCATTAGGGTCAGTTGTAGAATCTCGCAGTTGGCCGTGACTTGAGCATCGCTCAGTTCAGGCATCAGCATTTTTGCACCGAGCATTGATGCAGCTACTTGCAACGCACATCGAGAGCGCATGCTGAAAGGAAAAGTCAAAACTAGATCATTATTTTGCACTTCTTACCTTGGAGAAAGCGAACTAAACGCAACCGAAACGCATCCGTGCATGAGGCAGTAGCGTGCAACTGCTTGATGTCGTATAATCTCCATTGCGTTCTCCGCCCGAAAGTTGATCTTGGCGAGTAAAAAGCCGATGTGGAAGTCGAGGAATGTATGCGAGGTCGGCATCTCGATTCGCCAGTCGAGGATCACCAGAATATGCTTTTCGTATTTTTTGAGTTCTTCTGCGTTGTAAACGAACTAAAGTAGAATGATGATGAGAGGCAAAATCATCGAAATTTACCTCGCAAAGATGCAGAAGATCCTTAATTTCCGGCGGATCGTAGAGGAGTTTCTTAGAAGCAAGCAAAAAGCACGTGATTCCAAGCAATTGGAAGTCGGATCTGGCCACTGGCTCCTTGCTCAGAACTGTATCGACCAATGCGATGCACAGATACATCACTTCTTTGTGCATGCACTGAAAAAAATTTCCAGAACAGACTTTGATCAGCCAGTCGACGAGTTTGTATCGGTCTTGGTCGGTGATTTCCATCTGGATTTGGAGGATATTCGGCCTGAAAACTGTTACAGAAAATTCCATGATGAATGAAGTCTTACCTGTGAGTCTCCTTCTCATGCTGGAGAAGATTCATGTAGTATTCTTTGGCCGAATATTCATTGGACCATGATTTTGCGCACTTTATACTTTCTTGGTTCACTAAAAATCGGATGAGAGGTCTAATGTGTGAATTAACTTACCGATTTCTTGAATAGATCTAATGGAAGGGCCAAAAACTGGAAGATGGTTTTGCGGAAAGACAGGATAAGGGGAATAAAGCGGGAATGCGTAGGAAGCTTGTGTAGGTAACGGTTGAAAGTTGCGGAAATGCTCGCCGGGCGGTAGTAAAGCGGGCTGAATAGGTGCTGCAGCTGGCGCCTGAGCTTGATTGAAAACGGCGCCCGACTCGGTGAAATGCACGTGCGTCGGTAAAGGCGCTGGGGGAGCCTAAACAGTGGCCGTTGCGATTTCAGGGATGAAGATCTTGATAACTAGGCGGTTTACGTACCGAAAATGAGGTATCTTCATCGATAAAGCCCGACTCGTCTAACCGCGAATCTCGTCGATACGAGCTTTTTCTTCCATTGATATCTGAAAAAAGTCTGCTAGTCAACCGGTATTAAAATTCTTTGTTAAATGACTATAGGTTGTCTTTTTTCTCAAACTTACCTTTATCAAATGAAAAATCATCACTAAGAAACTCACTGGCAACCATGAAAAATTCTTTGAGAAAACATGCTTAGCAAATTCTTCTTTCAAAAATATATACTAGAAAATCCCAAAAGAACGCATTTGAAATCAGGTAACCTATTAAAAATTTATGATGTGGTCATATTTTCAAATAAAAATAAATGATTCCAAGATGAAGATCAGTCTTTAGGACGAGAATAATGCTCAAAAACATAAAAACAGTGCCTATCAGAATGGAAAAATCTCTGGTCGATGGAGATTTGAGTGCTTATTTAGGACTTTTCCTCCTTGATTCCACGAAAGTTTCAACACTTCCTTAGAATGGAAGCCAGTTCTTGTGAAATGAAAATATCTAGGAACGCTCAAACTCACTGGATCTTTGACTGAAAGACCTTGTATTCTACAAACCTCTGAGATTGTAGCGATGGCCGGAAATACTCTCATTCTGCTTTGCTGTTTCAGAATCGTCAAAGGCGTTTGTCAAAAGCCCTCGCGACTTGGAAAAACTATTTGGTATGTTGACTGGCTGGGACATAAAAAATAATGACTGGGAGAAATATTTTTTGCCAGCGCGAATTTATCGAAAATTTGAAAAACAAAATGCTCAATCGTGCCCTCTCTAAAACGATGCATACAATCTCAGAGAGGCACGAAAGAGCAGATAACGAGGTCACAGCAGGTTCGACCTCGTGGTCGAAAAATATTTTCAAGCTGATTGAAGGGACTTTTGAGCTTCAAGTGGGCGGGGAAATTTAGATATGTTTTATTTTGTTTACAGTGAAAACTTAATTTATTTGCCTATTGTAAAAATCAAGCCGACTTGAAGTGAAAAGAAGCCGTTTTAATTTCACTTCTAGATGTATCATCAAAATACTTCACTTCAAGATTCATATTTTTCATGAGTTTATGTGCCAGACTGGTTTAGTTATCAAATCTGTGTGAACGAGTCTTTCAAAAAAGATATAATGCTTTTTGCATTTTTATTTTTTTCAGAGTGAATAGAGAATGAATCATCAATGGGGTTGCGCCAGTGGGAAAATCGACTTTTTTTGCACTTGACCTGGAGGGATGAAATTTTGTGGACATATTTCTGAGGTCCTAATCAAGAAAAAAATCAAAAAAAAAATTCGAAAAATTAAGGGTATAGGGGTCATACTATGGTAGGCGCTCCAGAGCACAAGTCTCGAAAGAGACAATACAAAGATATCAGAAGGAGGACCCTGCTTTGTCGGGATTAATCCTTGCTGCCGAGAGAACAAATGGCCACGTTCTTGATAAAGGCAGTCGATATCGTCTGAAAGAGGACCTGCTGGTCCAGATAACAAAAGCTGGAAAGGAGCTCGTGGTGATACCGAAATCGCTGGGTCGGGACATCGTCCGTTACCTACACGTCGTTTCGGCTCACAGTGGAAGAAATGAAATGTTATCAGTATTAGATAGAGAGGACATTCTTATCAAGGGACGAGAGAGACTCGTCCGGGAAACAACACGCGAATGTTTGCTCTGTCACTTGACATCAAATCGATACAGATCCAGCGAAATGAAGATGGTGATGAAACCGAACCTAAGTGGACCGTACCGGAAAGTATTTATTGATCTAGTTACGTTCCAAATTGAAACGCAAAATCGCGAACACGCTGTCAATTGTCTCACGATGGTTGACGATTTCTCATGCCGCCTTACTTATCGCTTTGTTCGAAATAAAACTGCTGCTGTCATATCAAAACGCCTACTTGAACTCACCTGCGAAGTCGGTGGACTTGGCCAGATGGAAGTCTTTAGCGACAATGGACTTGAATTCGTCGCCTCCAAGACTCAAGATCTTCTAGAATACCTTCAAATGCACGCCGGACAGATCTCACCAACAAACGCTAGAGCCAATAAAGTCGAGCGCTGCCATAAATCTATTCGCGATAATCTACGAGCCATCGCCCTTACGGAATCAAACGCTCAGCACAAACTCGATCTTGCTGTTTCAACATATAATCATCAGGTGAAGTCAAGCCTCGACATGATGACTCCCATGGAAGTTCTTGGTATTAAACCTCCAAGATACTTTTCTGCTTATCTCCAACACCGCCAAAACGAACCAAAATGCGATTCTATTCGAGAATTCACTCAAAATATCAATATTCTCTTCAAAAATCTATCTGCATTCAAGCTCAACCGATATCTCTTCAAATCGGAAGACTCAGCACCGCTACTTTCGGAAGGCGATATTGTTGTCTTGAAAGAAAACAGCCTCAGAAAACATGATCCTGGTCTTTCTGGACCATATGTGATCACGAACACACGTTCAAACAATTGCCACGATATCGAAAATCTATTCACCAGCCAGAAGCTGATGCGAAATGGCCGTTTTCTGAGAAAGGTTCATCTCAGCGAGGAAGATAAGAAAAATCTGACGTCAAAGAATTTGTTCATCAGAAAATCCGGACATATTCTCTTCGACGATAACGAAATCGATCTCGCGAAAAGTTCACTTGAGCAAGAACCCGAATTTCTTCTTCAACCCCAGGAAAGTAAAACTAAACCAAAACCCAAATCCGATTCCAAAGTAGAAAGCTCTTACAATCTGCGCAAAAGATGATCATTTTCTTCATCTTTCAACTAGCTCTAGCCAAACGATTTTTTATGATCGACTCCGGAAAGGCAGCATTCCTTGTCAAGTCCAAAATCGATAAAAACCTGCAACTGTCTTTGGACATCCCCGCCTTCAACTGGACCTATATCGATAATCCCTGCTTCAACAATCACTCAACTAAAGCTTATGCTCGCAACGGCACGCACCAGCTCTTCAATGAAATCGAAAATTGGATCAACGAAAATTTCAAAGAACAAGAATCCCATCGTCATCGCCGATTTATCGGTGACCCATTCCGTATCAACTTCTCATGGCCGTCACGCAAATCTCAAACTAAGGCCGCACTTGAAATTCTCAACAAGAAATCAACAACAAACGCGAAAGAAACTGTCGACCTGGTCAACATTGTCAACAAGGACTTGCTGGAGATTCAATCAGAAGTTATCAACGACGAAACGAACTTTGAAAATTTTGTTGCTCAACTTTGCGATTTTGACGCAAAAATCTCTGCCTTGGTTATGAAACTTATCAACTCACTTCTGTTCGATGAATTTAAATCAACAATCACTGGAATTTCCCACGTCGTCATCAAATCTGACTTGCAAAATCTTCTCTCAAGCCTTTGCTCGTTCGATTACGATGAACTTTACACAAATTGCGCAAATATCATCAGTTCCTACCCGCTCCGCATAAAGAACATAAACTCTGAAATCTACGAAGACAAGATGATACTACAAATCAACGCCACAGCTAAAATTCCGTCATTTGAAAAACTAGGAAATGCCACTCACATTCTGGAAGGACCGAAACCAATCAGCATTCAAGAAGACACCTTCATCTACGAAAAACTCATCCTTCCGCACACAATTGCGATTTCAAGCTCAACTTCAACTTCACTCGATCTCTGCGAGGACATTCACGACGCTTATATCTGCTCGTATGGACAAGTCAACAATTTCAAACTCAACAAATGTGCTACTGATTTGGCAAACAACAATTCAACAAAGAACTGCGAAACAACTCTCATCAAAAGCGACAAGGATTGCCTATTCTCTCAGTTTCAACGTTACATCATGATAAGTCATTTTAATCAAATAGGTATTTCTTATTTTGACCGACGACACAAAAAACATTTCACCAACTTTACACATTCTGATGGAAACTTCGTCTACCAGCTGACTAATAAACCAACGACACTTCACTGCACAAACGACATCTTCTACGCTCATTATGAAGAGACGCTAAATCACGTTCAACTTCACACAACAAACACACTCGACCATTTTGACCTCATCAGTCAAGATGATTACCGCAACTCTCAAAATGTCCTCCAACACAAACGCGCAAATATCTCGACAGCGGAATACAATGACATCGCGAACAAACTCACGGAGAATGAAACCTTTGGAAACAAAATCATCTCACACTACAAAACAAACTGGATATCGACTTTAATGACGACCCTTCACACAATTGCTTCGATCATCATACTCCTGATAATTTTCAGAATCACAATCGCCTTTGCTCCACTACTTCGACAATTTTTAAATTTCATCTCATCAACAATAGCCTACGGATTGTCACGCCTTCTTCCCAAACTTCTCTTACTTCGCAAAGCTCAAACCGACGATAAAATCAACATGGACGATGCTTCAAGCCCGCCAACTCCTGAGAACCTCAAGGATCTCCCATTCTCGACTAACGCTTGAGTCGACTTTGCTCTCATCAACAATTCAAAATCCAAAAACAAAACAAAAAAAAATTCTCAAAATTCAACAAAAAATTCAAAAGAAAAATATTCAAAAGAAAGAAAAGACAAAAAAATACTCAAAACAAATGAAAATCAAAAAAATATTAACTAACTCCCTTTCTGTACCATAATGAACAATTCGCACTTTCTTTACTGTTCACTTCCAAACAAACTCTTTACTGCACTAACACGAGTTCACGATTCATTTATTCCATCAAACCCGATAAACACTGAAACAGTTAGGACAAGTCTCAAGCTCCGCTGGGAAGGTGGAGAAGCATTCGTTGCACAAAGCCGAAGCGAGACTCGACACGTTCAACCGGACTTGCTGTGCCGACTCCTGGACTCGATCTGATTCACATACAAACCGACCGTCTATTTACAAGATAAGATAATTTCGACACACTTATTACCTGATCGTAGTCTCACCCGTATTGTCTCATTTGAACCTCTCTCTCGCATCCTCCTCATGATATCTCCCAACTTATCGAGCAAGATTCTCAAATTCTCGAACATTCTCTGAACTAAAAGCAAAAGTTAGACGTTATTTGTAAGCACTTGGGCCGATAACTCACTTATGCTACATTAAATAATAACATAATGAATATGAAAATTTTTAAAATGAAAATACTACATCTATGCAAAATTTAGAATCCCTCCGAATTTCTTATATCCTATAAAATGAATAAACAAAATTTCGATGATTACCTAGACAAGCCCCGTCAGTAGGACTTGATTATGATTAAAAATGATTTTATTTGAAATAAAAATTCAAAAATTAAAAATGACTCTTGATTTAAAAAATCAACGATAGGTATCAGAAATCAGGATATATATAATTTATTTACAGGTGCGTAGAGAACATTCACTAGAAATCAGAGTTCGAGCATTTGCATCATGCTCATCAAATAAGCGCGTACCAAAGTCAGTTAGGGCCTCATGTCGCATCTCAGTAAATTTCAGATTAGTAAGTTCAGTGAAGCCAGCGGGAAGGGATTCGTTATTAGTATACATATTCACATAATATTCGAATGTAAAATAATCTATGAGCTTGCAGCATTTAGGAAAACCCATATACCCTTCCATTAGATAATCATCGACAAATTGACCTCTAGTCTTACAGCTAAGGTCGAGGCCGGAGTCTTTGAGAATCCTGAGAACCTCCCCACGGTCAAGCAAGAGAAGTGGTAACTGATACTGTAAATGTTTGATTTTTTCGTAAAAGATAGGGTCATCAAAAAGTACATTCGCATAGGACCTAATAAAAGTTTTAATTCGCCCTCCGTATTTCGAAAAAGTTCTATCAGAACAGGTCTCCCAGACATAACATATTCGCCTTCGTTTGTTAATAAAACTCTCGGAATTTTGCCGGGCGCCACCGCTTTAGAGAAATTTTCATGAATAATTCAATTCAAATTTATAGTATAAAACGTTCAAAATTTTCAGAAAATAAGGCTTAATAATACATTCTTATTTATTTAGATATAAATTATACTACTATTTCAATATTAATTCCTTCCTAAAACTTCATATTCTTGTCGGTCGGGATCCGCTCGTTCTTGATATCGATTTTCGAGGGACTTGCCTTGAGCAGTTCGAACCAGCTACAATTAAAAAATAGAATCTATAGTTTTAGTATGATCAGAAACTCTAGACAATATGTGTCTTGTGCGTTCGCACCAAGAGCTCTTCTCATGATCATCCGTCCGGCAGGCAGGATGCTAGGCAATCAGGCCGTTTTTAGTATTTAATTATGTTAGTTTTTTTGTTAATACCGTTCTTTGTTTAAATTCCTCGATTTCCATTCGCCTTTAAAAATAATTATTTATTCATTTTACAGTCATTTTTACATAGGGACGATGTCGTGACTTTCTCCCAAGGGCCCCGCTTCACTCGCGACGAGAGTTGATACAGTGCTAGAATTAAATTTAGAAAATAGGCTTCAATCATTAACAAAATTGAATTTAGAAATAACTGACCATATATTTATAAATAAGATAATAATTTTTACCTTTCCGCATAGTTTATTTTGATCCTCTTACGAAGATTCATTTTGTTATCCCTCTTAAATAAATTCTCTTTAAGTAAATACATTAATCTCTAATAAATTATAATTACAGAATAAAAAATTTATTCCAAAACAGTTTAAAACTGCCCTCTCTCTTTCTCTCTCTCTCTCTCTTTCCGCGCGTATTCCTTATCAGCCGGCGCGGCGTTCTCACCAACTACTGCAGACCCCCGATTCTTATTTTCCCACGACCCCCCATTCTCTCCACGCGCGCGCGGGCTTATCACTTTTCACCTCCAAATTCTCTCCTTTCGGCGCGCGCTCTCGTCTCCGCCGTTTTCCTCCTTTTTTGCTCCCTTATCAGTATATTTTCATTTTCATTTTTTTCATTTTCCATTTTCAATTTTCTCGCTCGTTCAAATTTCAAAGTACTGAAATTTCGACACGAAACACTAGTAGCACCTAAGTACACTGTTCCAAATTTATTATTCCTTGAAAATCTTTATTCTTATTATTATATACAGAAGAAAGAAGAAACTGTTCATTTACTTTATTTTACTCTCACTCTTCCTTGATTTCAACTGCAAATAAAATTTTCTGAACAAGGGGGGAGTACTATGGTAGGCGCTCCAGAGCACGAGAGCGCGTCCTCAAAAAGGGACGTCTCTCGGGCCCAGGGCGCAGTCAGCCCGCACTCTCCCCGACAGTCAGACAGCCCGTCCGAGCCAGTTGTAGGTCAAAAAATCGATTTTTTTATTTTTGCCAAATTAAGCCTGATTAAACCTAGACGATCATTTAAAAAGCTCAAAAATGTTTTTTTCGAGCCGAAAAAAGTCAAGGGAAGATAAAAAATCCGCAAAAAAAAAGAAATTTAAATTTTAAAGAATTTCAATAAGAACCATAATTAGGCGAAGAGCTCGAATAATTTGTATTTTCACCCCGTATGGGTGTGGGTGGGGTTGGGGAAATAACTGAGATTGATCACCTCAGAGTTCAACGCCGATCTCAAGCCCCTTAAATTTAATAATCAAGGAACGGGGCTGAGACGGCCCGAAGGGCCGTCAAGCCCCTTAAATTTAATAATCAAGGAACGGGGCTGAGACGGCCCGAAGGGCCGTCAAGCCCCTTAAATTTAATAATCAAGGAACGGGGCTGAGACGGCCCGAAGGGCCGTCAAGCCCTTAAATTTAATAATCAAGGAACGGGGCTGAGACGGCCCGAAGGGCCGTCAAGCCCCTTAAATTTAATAATCAAGGAACGAGGCTGAGACGGCCCGAAGGGCCGTCAAGCCCTTAAATTTAATAATCAAGGAACGGGGCTGAGACGGCCCGAAGGGCCGTCAAGCCCCTTAAATTTAATAATCAAGGAACGGGGCTGAGACGGCCCGAAGGGCCGTCAAGCCCCTTAAATTTAATAATCAAGGAACGGGGCTGAGACGGCCCGAAGGGCCGTCAAGCCCCTTAAATTTAATAATCAAGGAACGGGGCTGAGACGGCCTGGGTCTGACCTGAGTCAGGTTATTGGGTCAACGTGAAATAAAAGTAATTAATTTTAATTATTTATCGAGAATTTTCGAAAAAATCGCTAAATCGGAAATTTTCGTTGCATTGCTATTTTTTCAAGCGCACACGAGCGCATAGATATTGTGCCTGATTATTGTAGCTTAGGGTCTAAACTTACAAAAAAAATATGAATTACGCCTCAGGCACCTTCACCCGGGGGTCAAAATCGCTAAAATGTGCCAAAAAAGCGGATTTTTTTCGAAAAAAATGCGAATTACCAAAAAAAAAATCGAAAATTTTTATTTTTTCATTTTTATCGTAAAGCCCTTTAATTTTTATATATTGTCACGTGGTTTGAGCCTGATCTATAAACAGGCTATTTCTGGCCAATTTTCCACTAGCGCAACCCCATTCATCAATCATATAAGATGATAATAGTCGATGCTTTTCCTGTTCCTTACTCCTCTTTTGTTACTTCTTATGGTACTTATGGAAAGTGCGAAGATTGTGAAAAGTATGATGGTATACAGATATACTGTATTATGCGGCACAATTATCCTAAATCTTTTAAATCTTTTTTTATATACGCATATTTTTTTGTATATGAAAGTGTTCTTTCTCTGGAGTTTCTGATAATGTTCTAGGCCTGTCCATTCAACTGCTAAAATCAATGGGAAACGAATATGTGCTGTATGCAAGAAAAGAAACCACCCGAACTTTGATCTGGAAGCTGAGGCAAAGCGTGAACCGATCCCGAAATTTGTAGACTCCGATGCAGCATTCAAATGTCCTGCAAAGCGCTGCAGTGCCAAGAAACTCTCTTTTTGCGAATTTTATGTCGGATCTTGTTGCTCCACTGCTTTGAATAGAGAAGTCTCAGAAGGTATGTCAATTCATTTATAAGTTATAAATTATAACTGAGTTATCTTTTTTTAAAGTAGAAGAAAACGAAGAGTGCTTGCTCATGCACAAGATTTATCAAAAGTCACGACGCGACGTAGTTTCTTCTTACGACAAATGGCTGGATGCGGATAGAGCGTATTCTAGGGCGGAATTGAATGAAAAAAATGCTCGTAAGGCACTGGAAAAGGCAGAAAAAGAAATCGCGGATGCAGCTGAAAAATTTACAACTGAAAAAACGAAGCACGATGAAGCTATAAAGTGGCAAAGTAAAGTTCAAAAACGCTTATTTCTCACAGTCAAAGCAGTTACTGAGGGAGTGATCAGTGATACGGGTAAGATTTAAAAAGTACTACAGTATCAATTTATAAAATCCAAATAGAGCCTGCGAAAAAGAAATCAAAGCGAGCTGAAGTGAACGAGAAGCTTCAATGCAAGGTCTGCTCGTCCCCCTTTGACGTCGAGCACCCTGAAGCGATCCTTGCTTCTTGCGGGCACAGGGCTTGTACCAACTGCCTCATGAAACTTGAGGAGAAAGAATGCCCAGCAGTTGGTTGTGGGGCCAGATTCTCTGAAGACAAAATTATCAAGGTTCTCGACTGACTCTTTTCTGCCTGAAACCTGACTCTGAATAAAATCCATCTAAGGCATAAATTGTTTCCTCTTTCGATTGGTACTTGTTCAAATTACATAACAATTTTTGATAAACATCTCAAAACGGGTGTTATTAGCGTCATTTTCGCCTTTGAAGAGCATTTTTCAAAAAATAGTTTATTTCCCACGAAACAATTGAGAAGCAAGCATAATCGATAGACGAGAGAACTGCCGCGGATTATTTGAAAATTAGCTAAGATCGATTATTTGCATAGAGATCGTCCTGCTGAGGAAACATTTCTTGAACATTTTGTATTGTCCATGCGGAAGTAAACTTAGCGAAGTGAAGAAAGAGATTAAAAAATGAAGAAATATGCAGCTTATTCGGTCGCTTTTTTGGACATTCTTTGCCACAGGTTTGCAAAGATCAATACTTTGGTTCTTTAGAATTATCGTTCTAGCACGCTTTTATTCTCTTGGCCCATTTTAACGCAAATTTACAAGTCAGAAGGGTTCTTTTCTTGCAAAAATTCGACAGAAGAAATTTCAGAATTTCAACTGTGCTCAGAAAGCTCTCAAGATGCTTCTATCGCTCGAATAATGATCCTAGGAAACAGAGTTCAAAGGTCAAGAGTTCGGTCGATTATGGCAAGTTGCCATTTTTTGAACTTTCAACAGCCGTAGGTATCCTTGGGCCATTTACCTTTCTCCTTGGCTTGGCAAGAGACTATCTGGCATTTGGCTGGTGCAGGGCGATTTGTTTCCTTGTCCTCATTTTCAGTTATTTTATGCTGGCTCTGGCAGAACCGGGCAAAACCGACTGGATGCTATATTTTTGGATTCTTCAATTTGGCAGTGGAACGACTTTGATGCTCAGCTATTTTCATATTGCCAAGCTTTTCCCTCTTCATCAAGCTTTGCTGATAGGATTTTTTAACGTCGGCTCGGATTTGTCTTCTATGATTCCGCAATTATGGATTGAGTTCACGAATTTCTACCCCCAAAAGTTCTCAAGCAGATTCAAAACAGAGTATGTTAGCTTTTTGTATTTCTGAACTCAAGTTTTTGGACACCCTTATATCCGAATTCGCCATTTCCTTGAGAAGCATCAATCTTATTTGGGCTCTTCTATCTTCTATCTCTTTCATACTTGGAATCTTCGTCATCCCATGGCACAACGTCGAAGTCAACACAGAATCCGTCGAAACAATTCTCGACCTCAAGTCAAAACAGAAGCCTTTGCTAAACTCCGAAGAAGAAAGCATTCCTCAACAGTTCAAAAACAACATCAAATTCCTCAAATCGCCAATTTTGCTCTTTTACGGCGCTTCTTTAATTTTTGGAAATTTCGTTGTCACGTGCACCCTTTCACTGACGAATTTCATCGTGGAGAAAAAGATGGACAAACTGAATCTAACGGAAGAATACGATCCAGAGGATATTGTTTCGAAGTTCAACTTGATTCGACCGATTATTGCTGCTGTAGCTGCTCCTTTCATTGGACTAATGGTCGATTTAGTGAGAAAGAAGATTTTAAAAAAGAAGGAAAAACCAGAAAACATCGACCTAAGGTAACTCCTTTTAGTAAATTCTATGCTCATCTTTCTAGGTCAATGATTTGGCCATATTTCTTGCTGACAATTTCTTCCTTGATTTTTTCCATCACGATCAGCATCGACAACGTCTTCTGCCTCGCCCTAGCGCTCACATGCCTCTCTCTCAATTCTACCTGGGTCTATGTCGTTTATACAGTCGGGATGGAGATAAATCTGCCAGGACAAACAATTGGCATTGCGTTTGCTCTCTGTGAAATTGCAGGCAGCATATTCGCCTTCATCGCCGATCCAATTGCTGTTTTCGTTCTCGAAGAGTAAGTCTCCTTGTTGTCTCATTCTCCATCTCTTTTTAGGGATGATCTGGAGCTTTTCTATGTGAGCATATGGTCGACTACCTTCTTGATGTTCTTATTTGGCCTGTTGCTTCCCTCGATTGCCTTCAACAAAACTTCGGACTGCCTCAAGAACCTCGACTCCCCAAGACAACATGAAGTGGCGAAGCAATTTCAAAACGAACAGACAGAAGAAAATATTCTTTTGAAAAAGAATTGTATTTAATAAATCGAATGTATAATCAAATCTACAGAAATAAACTTCTTTCTCCAGCAACTATCTTCTTACGATTTATTTACCAGGAGAAAAATTTATGTTTCCAGAGGCAAAAACCATGTGTTCTACCAGTGCTCTTCTTTGTTCTCAACTCTGATCCGTCTATATCCCCAATTAGCGAGCCGTCGCTTCCAGCAGAGTGGCGCAGCGGAAGCGTGCTGGGCCCATAACCCAGAGGTCGGAGGATCGAAACCTCCCTCTGCTATATACACCGCTGTAATCGTATAGTGGTTAGTACTTCACGTTGTGGCCGTGACAACCCAGGTTCGAATCCTGGTTACAGCAATCTTTTTTCTCTTGAATTTTCATCCCTCTTAGTGAAGTTTTTCACAGAAGAATTATTTTAAAAGCTCTTTCTGATTTCTGCGTTTCAAAATACAAATAATGATGAAAATTTCTAATATTCAATGCTTGAGATGCCTCAAATTTAAAGTGAGTAGAGGGAAGAATTCGCTGAGAACACAAAGCCTAATCCACTCCAGTCTACTGAGTTTATCCCTCGGCTAACATGAAAAATATAATCGCCAGTTTGCATTTTTTTCCCAAGCTCTCAACTTGTCAAACACGTCAATTCTATTTCCTCGAGGTTGGAGTTACCTCTGTCGGATTTGCGCTGAGACATCCAATTGAGGCTCTATTTGATTATGCTCTTTCCGTCCGAGCGATCAGCTCTTCCTAGACACCTGATGGGTCAGGCGATAAGGGCAGGTACCCATAAAAGGATCTTTTCTTTTATTCATTTGGAAAGATTGCGAAGCTTTCTCACGAGCAAATATTAGTACTAGATGAAAGATAAAGGCTCTCTTTAGGGCTTGGCTCGGCAACCTGTGTAGAAAACCTGAGTCAGGTTTTGGAGAGCTTAAATGAAAAGCTGCGCAGCGACTTTTTTATAAACGAAGCCGCGAAGCGGCTTCGCTAATATTACCATTACAATCTATAAAACAATCCTCCCGAAGCCGCATTGCGGCTTCGTTTTAAAAAAAAGCCGCGTTGCGGCTTTTCATTTTAGCTCTTCAGAACCTGACTTAGGTTTTCTAAACAGGTTGCTGAGCCCAGCTTTAGCGCTTTCAAGTTCGGGCAAAAGAGCGAGCTTCAAATTTACGGATGTATTTTCAGGTCTCGGAGGAAATCCTCTAAATCCGATCTAACACCTCTTCCTCCCCCACAGAGCTGTAAAACTCGCCGAGGGTGTAAATCAGACTTGTTGTTTCTTTGGGAATTGAATTGATCTTCACTTGTTCTTCGCCCTGCCAGCATGGCGCTGGGAAAGTTGAAATTTTTTGAATTTTGCTTTCATGCCTTGTTTTATTCTTTTTGTTGCACTCAAATTTGACATTATCAATTATCGACCGGAGGCAAGCAGGGGCAGTTGACAAGGTGCACGAGCTGACTTGCGAACTGTAACAGGGAAACAGTAATTGCAAAACGCAAATGTCAGGAATCATGATATTCATCTTAGTGATTCACACAAGGCCTTAAATCAGGACTTTGTCGTCGAAAGTCGAAACCATCGGGAGCAGGGTTGCAAATTTTGCTTTATTTCTGCTGAGCTGAGCTGAGCGAGCCTTTTTCGGAAGTCATTGAGCTGCGCTGGTGTTTTTCAAGGGTCATTGAGCTGAGCTGATCAGATATTGTCTCAAGGTTTTCGAGCTGAGCTGAGCTGAGCTGGTCGAGCTGAGCTGAGCTTAGCTGTTTTTAACTGTATTTTTACTAGTAGAATAGTGTTATCTGAGCTGGTTTAAGCTAGACTTGTCCAAAAATCATTGACCTGAGCTGAGCTGAGCTGAAATGTGTGATTATTGTCTGAGCTGAGCAGAACAGATCATTTTTCAAAATCACTGAGCTGAGCTGGCTGAGTGTGCTGAACAGTGAACTCAGCTCAGCAAATTTGCAACTCTGATTGGGAGGGTCCCTGATTTCAATAATTATCCGGAATCCGGATAGAGAATATCGAAATCTGAAAATTTCCTGAGAGCGTTCGGGGAAGTTTGTTTGCGTTCTCACGGATCATCCATAATAATTTTCACTCGACCAAGGTCACAAGCTCAGGCCCAAATCAAGTTGTAAAAATGTCACCTGGCTTATTCTTGGATCATTCATAATTCAGTAGAGTCGGATCTTGTGACGTAATTATGATTCTAAGGCAAATATTCTCATAAATTTTACTCTTTGAATCGTTCTTTCTGATCATCCGGGTGATTCAGGGGGAGGTTTTCTTCCTTGATTTCAGTGTAAAAATGACCTAGTCTTATCAGTCAATCAAAGTGCAAAGTGGGGCATCTTTGGCGCAGTAAAATGATCGACCTTAGTGATTACCTACAGCTGCTGGAGATGCCTCCATCGGATGCGGTAGTTTACCTACCACCTGATTGATCTTATCACCTCTTTTTTTAATCTTATATGATTTTATTTATAGAATTTTTTTTATAATTTATAGGTAAATTACTCCGTAAAATTGACAACTTGGCGCCTCTTTCTTGGAAAATTCAAGGTAAAGAAAGACTCATAAATCCCTAGTAGCGTTCCAGCAAAAATTTACTCGCGTGCCAAAAATCACAGGAAGCGTGCGTCCGGCCCTTGAAAATAACGTCCCTCTCGTAAATATCGAGTCATCATCAACTCATCTCCCCATTCACGGCTGCCATATTTGTTTCCCATTGTGTTTCTGTATTTGCGAAAAGAAGCCTTTTGAAAACAATCCCACGATTTTCGAAAATCTATATATAGAGATACCTGGCTTTGGACAAAGGATTACGCTTAGCACCTATTCAAAGTCAAAACTGCCGTAATCCCGGAGCTAAAGCGCGAATAGCTTTACGCACTGGCGGGTCTCTTTGGACACTGTGAATTTAGCGGAAAAAATAAAGAATATTTCAGTTTACGCTCAATTTTGATATTTCATGTTAATTTTTTGTACGTTAAAAATCCAATTTTCTGATGCATAATTTTAAGGATATAGCCGTTCTCAAGGCACTTTCGTAGCGCCAAAAGGGGACGATAAATTTTTTTCATTTCTAAAGGAACCCTACCTAAAATTGCCTAAGAAACCCGATTCTAGTGTTATTTTTAATTTTTTAATGGAAAAATTTCTCTCTAGAGCAATTTTAAATCTTACGATCACTTTTTCTCGAGAATTTTCCATTTAATCGGTCGAGTTTTTTTGATAAATTAAAAATTTAGACCTTTATCTACATTCCTAGGGCCTAAATTTTAATAGATTCCAAATATTTACGAATCTAGGGCCATTTTTATGAGGCTTACTTGAGTGAGCCGAAGCGTCAGACAGCGCTCTGGTTTGCTGCGCTGGGCGCCCTCCTCCATCGCGCGGTGAGGCGCGCATGTGAAAGAGCGCGCTGATTGGCGGAGCGCCCTGAACGCAGCATTTATGAAAAAGAAAAGCCAAAAAGAAGAAGACGCTAGAATGAAAATTTGCTCAAGTTTTGAAATTTTGAGGCCCTAGGAAGATAGATTAGCAGTTATTCATAATAAAACACGGTTTAGTTTTAGCAATTTAATTGAAAAATTTCGAGAAAAAGTGATCGTAAGATTTCAAATCGCTCCAGAGAGAAATTTTCTTTGAAAAAAATTTTAAAAAACATCAGAATCGAATTCTCAACATAATTTTAGGTAGGACCTGTCTTGAAATGAAAACATTTTATCGCTCCATTTCGGCGCTACGAAAGTGCCATGAGAACGGCTATATCCTTAAAAGAGCTAAAATATTAAAAAATAATAAAAATTCGACCAACGATTCTACTCTTTTAGAAATTTAGATAACGTTGAATAAGCTAAAGGTTATTATATTTTCCTCTTATCATCAGAAAACTAAGCAAATCGCCTATCAGTAAATCTCGTTACAGATCGCCACGCGCGGCGCGGGGTAATTTGGCGCTGCGGACCACTCCTCAGCGCCGATATTCTCCTCCGCCGCGGTTCTTCTTCCCTCTTCATATCTACCATATTCATTTTACATTACCAGAGCATCAAAAAACCGAGAAAATGATGTTACGATGTTTATTATTAATCTTTCTGAACAGCCACTTTTCAACGGCAATTCCAGTCGGAGAGAGTTTTCCTAAATCAGAGATCCTGATCGTGATGCGGTCGACGAAGAATAACTTGAACAGCAGAGTTCAGTTAGCGTTGGAAACTTGGAGTAAAAGAGCATTAGCACAGGTAAGATTAAGATTAAAAAATACTTGGGTGGGCCTTGGCTTAATTATAATTGCGCTGGCTAAGCATGAGAGTAAACGCTTATCAATAATATATATTCAAAAACGGCCCGCTTCTTGATTAACTCCACGCATACCAGAGACATCGATCAGTCTCTAAGACATTTCTCTGGGTTAATCGCGCCTTTGTAGGCCGACGGTTCCCTGCTGAGAATCTTCAAGTAAGAACATTCATTTCATTAGACAGGTTTTGTTCCAGTGCACTTTTGAAATTCAAATTTTGAATAAGCACTTAGGAAATGATCAATCAATAGGAACACTTGAAAATTGACAATTTAGGGCAAGAGATCAAATTTTATCAACACTCTAAGGACGAAGTTTCGCATTGACTAATCTATAAGAAAATTTATTTACAATCAGGCAATCTGTAAGTTAAAAGCCTGATAAAAAGCTCGCTTGAGATTTTACGATCCCAGCCCGGGTCCTTTCAACCCTCTTTTGGAATTTCCGTTGACATGTCCCGCTGCTAAACACATTGCATAAATTTACAGCCCCTTTGTCGCGCCGCGCCGGTATTAATCACGGTGATGGCACTTTGTCGCCAAGTTTCCGAAAATTCGGGCCGCGCCAAGCCCTCTGAAGATTTGTTTGCATCTGCGGAAGTACTAATCGCATCCTCTTTGTTTAGACGATCTTACTGACCGACCGAGTTGACGAAAACTTCGCTGGCGGTAATCTACGACGAGTTGAAACAACAAGCTGCGGATCAGGACATTCCAGGTAACTTAGAAATTCCCATCTTTTTCTACAGTAAATACGTCAAGACAACCAAAAACGTCACAAATCTTGTGAGATCGGTCTTTCTTTGTTTTCGCAAAATAAGAATGTATGCGTGCCCAGAGATCGCCCGGAGGCATTTCATTGACATTGCGATTATAAGCAAGCTTTTCAACAAACGCGCCCCGATTTTCCCAAGACCTACTCGATCCCAAGAACTTTCACTTTTTGAGCTGAATGTAAAGAGCCCAGATTAGTAGTTCTTAGCTAAAAAAGAGTGGTGCGCAAGTGCTTCCACGAGATTTCGGATTTCATAAAGTAGATATTTTTGTCTTTTATTTTTGGTTTTAGACGAATTTCAATAAGAATTTTTCGGCCAAAAAAATGGCCCCCCTTTTTATGTGCTCATATGAAAGAGCGTAAAAAGTTATGCTAGAAAAAAATATTTTTTTTTGCCCGAGGGCATAAATTATGACTCATAGGTCAGTTTGAAAAATTTTCAAACTCCCCCCCTAAATAGCCTCCGGGCACTTATTTTTTCGGGATTTTTTGACGTCACTAGAATCCTCAGGACATAAGCTTTTGGTAGACCCCTCAACCGCGGTAAACCGCCCGGTTAACCGCGTGGTTCACCGCGGTTCATTTCCTTAGTCATAGTACACATACCAATATACATATCAATCGACTTCTTTTTTGATGCTGGATTAATTTTTGAGCATGAAAACACATGACCGCATGGTCAACCGCCCGGTTAACCGCGTGGTTCACCGCGGTTCATTTCCTTAGGCATAGTACTCATACCAATATACATATCAATCGACTTCTTTTTTGATGCTGGATTCATTTTTGAGCATGAAAACACATGACCGCATGGTCAACCGCCCGGTTCGGGATTGCTGATGAATATTTTTTTAAAAAATTGCTTTCATAACTGAAAATTTTTCAAAGCTGAATAATTTTCAAACCTGCAAAACTTTGAAAACTGAGTAATCTTATGAACTCAAAATATTTCAAAACTGAAAATGAACCACTTGGCTAACCGCCCGGTTAACAGCGGTTCAAAGCGATTCACGCTCTGAATAATCACAAAATGTGGACATATGTATATCAGAATGCTTTTCTACTCAATAGGAGTCTTTAAAACAGATATTTGAACCGAACCACTAAGGTAACCGCCCGGTTCAAAACGGTTGAGAGTTATTCACGCTCTTAGTATCCACAAAATGCTGAAAATGTTTATCAAAATGCTTCTCTACTCATAAGGTGTCTTTTTTATAGATATTTGAACTAAACCACTTGGCTCACCGACCGGTCCACAGCCGAAGAAAGGGCAAGCCTCGTTTTAGAATCCAATGAGGGGAAGGGGAGCAAGGGAAGGGGCCAAGCCGACCCAAAGGGGAGGTCAGCCTCGTTTGTTGAATCAAGTTAAGGATAAAGCCAAGCCGACCCGAAGGGAAAGCTAGACCCGTTCGTTGAATCAAGTTTGGAAAGGGGCAAGCCGACCCAAAGAGAAAACCATCCGCGTTTTTTGAATCTACTGAAAGGGTGTTTGAGTACGAAAAGTCCTTCGAAGCATCGTTGCTCATCGACGATCTGGATGCGTGTGTTTTATCTTTCTCGAACCTTCTTCGGAGGTTGACGTACGGCCCCTCAACCAATTTAACCCCCATATTGACAATTTTGAATCTGAATCCCTTCGGAGCATTTTTTCGAAAGACGCGCCCATCAATCTTGGGCGAACCAGAACTCCTATTAGAAATGAGGCTCTGATGGAGACTCTCCGAACTCAAACACCCCTTCAGTAGTTTGAGAAGAGGCTAAGCTGACGCGAAAGTAAGGCCAGCCCCGTTTCTTGAATCAACTTAGGGAAGGGGCCGGCCGACTCTGAGGGGAGGCAAGTTCCGTTTTTTAAGCCAGTAAAGAAAGAAGCTAAGCTGACCCGAAGGTGAGACAAGCCCTGTTTTTTGAATCCAGTCAAGGAATGGGCGAAGCCGAAACCCTTAACTGGATTCAAAAAACAAGGCTGGCATCGCCTTCGTGTCGGCTTGGCCCTCTCCAAACTGGATTCAAAAATCGGGACTGGCCTAACTTTCGGGTCGGCTTGGCTCCTTCCCAGACTGGATTCAAAAAACAAGGCTGGCATCGCCTTCGTGTCGGCTTGGCCCTCTCCAAACTGGATTCAAAAAGCGGGACTGGCCTTACTTTCGGGTCGGCTTGGCCCCTTCCCAGACTGGATTCAAGAAACGGGGCTCAGAAAATTGGTCAGTTTTGAAAATTTTCAGTTTTGAATATTATTTAGTTCTGAATATAAACTTTTTTAAAAATTTTTTCACTCTGAACCGCTTTGAAATTTTTTCACTCTGAATTGCTTTGAACCGGGCGGTTACCTTAGTGGTTCGGTTCAAATATCTGTTTTAAAGACTCCTATTGAGTAGAAAAGCATTCTGATATACATATGTCCACATTTTGTGATTATTCAGAGCGTGAATCGCTTTGAACCGCTGTTAACCGGGCGGTTAGCCAAGTGGTTCATTTTCAGTTTTGAAATATTTTGAGTTCATAAGATTACTCAGTTTTCAAAGTTTTGCAGGTTTGAAAATTATTCAGCTTTGAAAAATTTTCAGTTATGAAAGCAATTTTTTAAAAAAATATTCATCAGCAATCCCGAACCGGGCGGTTGACCATGCGGTCATGTGTTTTCATGCTCAAAAATGAATCCAGCATCAAAAAAGAAGTCGATTGATATGTATATTGGTATGAGTACTATGCCTAAGGAAATGAACCGCGGTGAACCACGCGGTTAACCGGGCGGTTGACCATGCGGTCATGTGTTTTCATGCTCAAAAATTAATCCAGCATCAAAAAGAAGTCGATTGATATGTATATTGGTATGTGTACTATGACTAAGGAAATGAACCGCGGTGAACCACGCGGTTAACCGGGCGGTTTACCGCGGTTGAGGGGTCTACCAAAAGCTTATGTCCTGAGGATTCTAGTGACGTCAAAAAATCCCGAAAAAATAAGTGCCCGGAGGCTATTTAGGGGGGGAGTTTGAAAATTTTTCAAACTGACCTATGAGTCATAATTTATGCCCTCGGGCAAAAAAAAATATTTTTTTCTAGCATAACTTTTCACGCTCTTTCATATGAGCACATAAAAAGGGGGGCCATTTTTTTGGCCGAAAAATTCTTATTGAAATTCGTCTTAACTTTGCTCTAAAAATTTTGAACCAAAAAGAACGCAGATTTTAAATTTTTACAGGTGCCATTAATCTATTTGCGTAGACGTTATTTGCGCTGTCTTGGAAAAAGTACGCTCGAGTAGCCTCCCCGGAAATAATTACAGTCTATAGAATCACGTGTCCAACATCTTATCCTTTCAGGCACGATTTGACTTGCAAAGTGCAGCGGGCAATCCAACTCGCGGCGGAAACTGCGTCCAAGTGGTTTTGCCATGTCGATGATGACACATTTGTCAACTTCGAAAAGCTGGAAGAGCTCCTGGCGACGATGGATTCGTCGAAGCTTCATTTCATCGGAAAACAGTCGATCCCAGACGGAATCCAGCTTCACTCAAGAACGGGCAGAATTCATTTTGCTACTGGGGGAGCAGGGTGGTGTCTGTCAAAGCCCCTGGTCAATCAGCTGAGAGATATCGACCTGATGGAAGAAGCCAGGAAGCTAGGAACACCGGATGATGTGACTCTTGGGGCAGTCGTTGGAGACATGGGAGTTTCAATAACAGAAGTGCACCAGTTCCACAGTCATTTGGAAGGACTTCAGTGGTTAACTTCTCCAGAGACTGAGGTAAGAAAAAAAATTATTTTACAAAATTGATTTGTTGCCAAAACATATATCCTCAAGTTCGCGGCAAGTTCAAAAGCTCTCCAGTGCAAGTAAATAAGCTTATGACACTGAATTTTCCCATGATTTCGGGAATCCCGAAAATGATATTTATATTTTGACCTCGCGATTTTAGCGGCGCTTGAGCTTTTGAGCTGAGCCATAAATCCAAAACGCCACCTGTATTTGCCTCGTAGTGATTATTTCTTCAAGCCGTCCTTGAACGACTGTATCTAACGATTTGCTTTTCAGATCACACTGAGCTACCCGCCCGAAGCGCTTGAAAACGGCGATTTCCAACGATCTATCCGATACGCCTCCTCTTCAGATCCTACTGGTTTATTGACCCTCTCGAAGAAGATGATGCTCTTGTAAATTGTAAATTCATCATTTGTACGTTACTGTATGTTTATACTGTATTTCTGAAACATTCTGCCCAGAGTTCACTGCTGAAAAGCACGTTCAAATAAATATTTGTAAATGAGATTTCGTTTTATTGGTGATTTTAATCTTAGGTTTAGTGATTCCTTGTTGTTTTCAAATTTCTAAAGACCAGAAACTCAACCGAACATGGCAGTAGCAGCATAGCGCAAATAGCGAAATCCATCTTCATCGGCATATCTTCCATAGATTTCGCCCATTGTCAGTTGCATCGATGGAATTTCAGATGAATTGATGATGAAATGAAGACTCTGCTGAGGCGATAGAGTCAGCATTCTGCTTCGAACGACGAACATAAACTGCGAGATGCACATATCTTCTGGAACGAGAAACTTTACCTTTTCGAGCAAAGGAAGCTGCTTTTCTCCTTTCAATCTTTCGACGATAACCGGCACTTTTAGCGGATATCTTTTTTTAATCGACCGCGATTCTTGAAGCCTCACTGCATGAGTTTTTCTCTCCTTGAACGGAATATATTTTGCGTCCATCTCTACTTCATTTGTTTTCGATTCTTTATTAACAACGATAGAAAAAAGCGTCATTTTGGCGTATTTTATTATTGCGATCTATCACATTTCAGAAGTTTACGCCTTGAAAGGAAGAAATTTGCGGCTGAAGCATTGAACGTAGACTTTAGGTTACCTAAAGGCATGCAAGGATCAGCTGAGGTCGTCAATAAACTCATTTGAACTGAACTCAAAAAGCATCCTGTTAATCCGTTCTACAGAAAAGATTCATAGCAAGTCAGAACTGTGATTCTCCTGCGTTTCAAAACGCTCTTATATCCCGGAAGAGCGAAGGCTGTCCCAGAGTTAAGTACCCTTAGCAAATTGGATCGCTCTTTATAAATATTATTACATCGTCGCTGCCGCTCATGCGCTGTCCCTGTAGCACTGGCGCATCATCTTTTCAGCCCATAAGTTGGGTGGGTAAACAAGGTGGAATCTTGTTCGTCTTTGAAATTTCTTCAAGTACTCAGCTTATGCCATGAGCTTCATCGCCAAATAATGGCTTCTGAATAGACTAGCAATTTATACATTTTCGTTCAATCCTCAAAATAGCGCTTATTTCCCATTTTTTCAAAGAATAGAAAACTATTCCGAAATTCTCAAATCCTCAAAAGTCTTCTCTATTAGATAGTCACAGTGACTGTCTGATTCTAGTCTAGAATTTTTCTATTAAAAAGACTTCAAGGCAATATTTCACTAAAGAAAAAGATAAGACCTCTCTCACACCTTCTATTTTACCTTGACGTCATTATTGTTATTGCCGGAAATTACTGTAATTAGGGGGTTTTTATTGGGGAAAAGTTGGTATCAGAGTGATCCAGGACCGTTGTAAAATATTGGTGCGTGCTCTTTGGACCGTGTTCCAATCACGATCAGTGCGAAATTGCGCCCCCAGCAGGATCAGGTCCCTACTCCACCAAAGCACCGAAGCTATGACACACACATGTGTTCTGAGCCCGGTAACCAGACTTCTGACTGGTAACCTTCATTTTTTCAATTGAATACAAATAAAAGGTTCAAATTGATGAAATTTTAAAAAGAAAAAGAGCAAAAATTCTAAAAAGAGATGGCAGAAGAAGAATCTGGCCGACTTCCGGCAAGAGAAGAAAAGGTAAAAGAGAGAAACATCATCTTAGAATAATAATTATTAATCCGATTGTTATCTTGTTCTTTCAATTATCATTATCTTTAATAATCCATCTAAGTTTCTTGAAGAAAAATGTAGGTAACTAGGTCAAACTCAAATTTAAAAAGAGCAATAACAAGAAGTTTCTAAAAATTATTTTTTGGCTATTAGCCATCAACTAAAATAATCAAAGATGCTATCGTATCATAATTTTAACTAATCAGAATCTGTTACGAAACTGCGCTTGAACTTTATTTCTACGCTTACGTCCACCATTGGGCAAAGGGAGGAGGCGCGCGCTTAGACTGTGCGCCGCAAATACCGCACCACACTTTACCGCAAAGTGAACTCAGGAGGGCTTAAAATCAGAATTGCATAACACAACTCTCATCTGTTGCGCTTTTTCTCGCGCAGCTCGGATTTAGTAATAAATATTTATTGAACCTTGTCTAGCTTTTTTTCGTAACAGAAAACACCGAAACTTTCTCGCTCTCGATATTCAAGAGGCAAAAAAGTTCACCTTCATTTTTAACGCTTCTTTCTAGGAGGGTTTTCGACCTTCTTTGAGCCCAACAGGAGACGTTTTTGATGACTCCAACAAAAACATAGCTGCAGCGATTGTTGACGGCCTCAATGATGATAAAACAGAGGAAACACCGGCTGAGCCTGAGTCTCAAAACGAAGCTGCAGAAGAATCCGACGAAAAGAAACCTAAAGAAGAACCTGCAGAAGCCCAAATAGAAGAAACAGCAGAAGAAGCTAAAGATGATGCTTCGGAGGATTCATCTGCAACAGACGCTACTGTAGAAATAAAAGTCGCGCAGACGAGTCAGCCCATTCCGGATGTCGTTCCTCAGGGCTTGGGAGAGCGGGAAGTGTCCCACGTCGACATCGACGACAAAGAAAAATTGACGAAAACGACAGATTTGGAGAATGAAATCGAAGAAGCAACAACACCAGCTAAATTTGACGGCGTTGCTGAACCTGCCAGACGAAATTCCGAAGCGTAAGTTTGCTTTTTTTATTCAATGAAGAAAATTTTCGCTTTAGAAAATCTTCCTGGGCGCGGAAAAGGCATAAATTCCGAAGCATGTGGAAACTGTATTCTGGTGCTTTTATCGCTGTTGTCATGCCTATCGCTGTGTTTTCCATTGATATCGCTATCACAATGAATGTCCTGGACCAAGAGGGGTACAGAAAGGCAATTCAGCCTTACTGGGACACGGACAACAGGGGAAACAAACCGATTCCAGAGTTTAACAAATTGACTAATGGAGCGACCTATGAAATTCAAGAATCGTTACTATTCGAGGTAGAGAATTATATTTTTTTCTTGAAATTCTTGAAAAATAATACTCTTCTAGGTACTGCAACTATCAGAACAGCACAAGCACCGAGAAGTCGACGATGAAATTCGCAAAAACTATCCGGAATTCATGAAATTTGTCAACAAAAAAGCAGATCCAAAAAAGAAGCCGCCTCCAACACCAGAGAGTAGGAAACGAAGACAAGCTGACGACGAAGAAAATGAAATCAAGGAGGAAGATGTGGAGGAAAAAGTTGAAGAGACAGGTGAAGAAGTCGACGAAAAAGAAGCTGAAAATGATACTACAGAGAAAGAAGACCCCGAGAAAGAAGCAGAAGATAAAGCTGATGAGGATGAGTCTAATGAAAAAACAAAGCCAAAGAAGCCTGAAAAAACTGAGGAAGAAAAAGCAGCTGAAGCAGCAGCTGAGAAAAAGCGAAAAGAAGAGGAGGAGAAAAAGCGGATTGAGGAAAATCGCAAGCTGGAAGAAGAGCGAAAGAATTATCTCCAGCTGCGACGCAATCTCACTGTAAACAACATTATCGAGTATAAGTGGGGCAACGAAACGACGTACAACGGCAAGCAACTCCACTGTGATACGCTCAGGTTGGTTGTTTTTATCGGCAAAATTATTAAACTCCAATAAGAGATGATTTTTAAAACCTTTTTCTATCCTATCTTATCTCCCCCACTTCAACCCCTTTTAACGGGCTCAATTCAGTATGTTCTACCATCAACACGAACTTACTGCGAAATCCCAAAACAAAGGCTGGTTCGAGTACGTTTACGGCAACAACCACAAGCTCCAGCAAGTTCTCTTCATTCTCTTCACAATTTTCGGCTTCATTCTTTGTATTTTGTCCATTGCTCTTCGTTCCGACATGTGGTTTAAAAACGAGTGGTCGAGTTTTATTCTCGCCACGTTTTTGCCGTACATCGTGTCGACTTGCTTGGTAGCGATTATTTACATGCGCGAAAGTGGCAAAAGTGGATTACGGTGAGTCCCAATTTTGAGGAAAAATAACTCACTGAGTTTTTAGTTGTTTCATTTGCCGCCTGGCGTTTGACGATCCAGAGCGTGGCTGCATCGACATAGATCCAACTAGTTTCAGCGGTCAATTCCCGACGCCGGATACAAAGTGGCTAGGAATGGTGGTTGCTTGTTACGTTCTCAAGCTTTTTGACTGCGTCGCTATTGGAATTACGACGCTTACTTTTGGTAAGAGGGTTTTTAAATGACATCGATAATGAATATGAACTTTCAGTTTGTTCGAAAAAAGACGCCTGGTGGAAGTGGCTGATGAAGTTCATCGGCTGGGTCGTTGTTTTCCCTTGGATGATTGCTACTCCTCTTCTTGGGGTTCTTAGATATCAGGTCATCAGCGAAGTTGTCAGCATCGATTCAATAGGTAAAATGCTGGCTCAAATTTGAAAATAACGAATTAAAGGAATGTACGAAAATCTGCTAACGGGCCTGTTCTTCACCGGCGTCGGTCTTTGGGGAATCCTCATCATCGCCGGACCCATCTTCTGTAAATATAAAATGTGTGATATAGATGAAAACCTCCTCGAAAAAGACGATTTCTAAACCCTCTTTTCAACACGCTAGCTGTTTATCTCTTAATAATATTTCCAAATGCATTTGTCAGTTCCACAAAACCTTGCGTTTCTCGTTACTAATTATTTGTAAAATGCTAATTCTTCTTTCAGTGCTGAATAAAAATAAATTATGCATCTTCAAAGGAATTCGTCTTTTTATTATTTTTCTTGGTATTGCACAATTTGGTGATTTTACTTTGAAGGGAAAATCTCATCAGTAAGAAGTAATGCTTTATTTTATTTTTTCGGGAAACTTTTTGAAGAAATAACCGTTGAATACGGAAGCAGACTACGTAGTTGAATGAAGCTGGACATAATTTCGGAAGAAAAGGAAGGAAAAGAAACAATAGAGAAATGAGAAAAAAGAGAAGGTGTGAACTTCGAATCTGGAGATGCAGTTTTAATTGAAATATTGATGATTTTTAACGTCTTTTCTTATCATACACATGGGCTGGTTTACTATTCGCCATTCAAGCTTTTCTTGACGTAGGTGGCGATGGTCTGGACAGTGATAGTCTCTCCGTAGTGCTTGACGAAGTTGAAGTTGGACAGACTATCCAGTGTTGGCCGCTGATCAGGCTCTTTCTGAACATAACTGTGAGCCGTTGTCATCAAAAGAAAGGTCTTACTCTCAAACAAGCGTCAATAAACTCGCAGCAATCAGGTCCAAAGAACTCAGAGCTCAACTTAGGCGCATCGTTCTCCACTCTATCCGCCAATATATCGATGAAATCAACATGCACTGCTCGCTGAGGCGCCTAAATTGAATAAGAATTGGAAAGCGAAGATATTCTTTTTACGGGAGTTCCTTCAGGCAAGCGCATCAGCTCTTCAATTTCATCTGGCTTTAATCTTGGAAAAGGATGCGTGCCGTATCCAAGCTCCATTAACGAAAGTCCCAGGGACCAGATATCAGATGATACACTGAAAAATTCTTCAACTGAATGGATGAAAAGGAGCTTACCCGTATTGGTGATCCGCAATGATTCTTTCGGGGGACATATAACTCCTCGTTCCGACGAATGATTGAACGATACTATTAACCAGCTGTCCCGAAACGCCAAAGTCGCAGAGTTTGATATCTCCCTGTGTGCTGCAAAGAATGTTCGATGGTTTGATGTCTCGGTGGATTATATCGTGTTCTTTCTGAAAAAATGGTTATCAAAATGGCTGTTTCTTATCAAAACACTCTGCGCGGCAACCTGACGCAGGTTCCTACGCAGGTTGTCGATCTGAGTTTTGAAAAGAACAGTGAGTAACCTTGATGTATGTCATGCCTTCAACAACAGCAGCAGCAACAGCGCCGATAATCGATTCGTGAAGCTTTCCAAACCTTGTGATCACCTAAAAACGCAGCTAGAATCCTCCTTTCGGGCGAAATCTGACCTTATCCAAGCTTCCGCCGTCCATGTACTCCATGCAGATTCGAATCTGCGACCTTTGGTACTGATAGCTTCCGTAAAAAGCGACCACTCGTTTGTGATTACAGTCTTTGAGGATATTCAACTCGAGCAGGATCTTTTTGAACATTTCCTCATTCGTGTCTTTTCACGCGGTTCAAATTGAGTTCATGCTCGAGCGTGAGGTCTACTGGTTGTCTAGTGAGAGTTATGTAAAATCCACGAGGGGAGATATTAATTATTTTTAAGATTCTAATTTTCACCGCCGCCTAAATGGATCAACTTTCGGGCCATTATCGTTCCCGTTTCTTTGTGGACAACTCGCTCTACCGATCCGCCATTTCCTGCTCCCAGTTCTCGATCTAGCTACAAAATAATAATTATTGCAGTAATTTAAGAAATCCGTGAAGAAATAATTGCTGAATTACCTCGAACATGGAGTCGTTGAATTCTCCATATTTGCCGAGTTTGCTCTGCACCGTCAGTTGAGATCTGAGTCTTTCTTCTTGCTGTTCCCGCTCTTCTTGTTTTTTTTTCTCGTGATCATCTGTATCCAAGTTTTTCTGAATAGAGTCGATGATGATACTCGGTGGGCGACGGATCGGACCCGGCAATGTCAGGTTTATCGGCTTTTTTCGAGACATTCTGAAATGAAACAAAAAGTTGGATCTTGAATGAAAATCGGAAAGCCGCTCGCGGCTGGGTTTGGCAACTTGTGTAGAAAGCCTGAGTCAGGTTCTGAGAAGTCGCGTAGCGGCTTTTCATTTAGACTCTTCAGAACCTGACTCAGGTTTTCTACAGTAAAATCTAAAAAGCCGCGCAAAAGGCGGTAATTTTCGAAGCCATAAGCGGTTTTAGATATTTATAAATTTTAATTAATAGTTATCTTAAATTCATAAATTATTAATTTAAATTAATTGTAAAATAGGTAGATGTGTCGATTTCAATGCAGATTTCTTTTCTCTGAATGTTTCAATTTTCGCCTCTGCTCCGCGCCGATGAGTCATTTTTCTCGAGTGACTAATTTTTCGTGTTAGAGCGCGCTCTCTTTCAATTCAACTCGCACTGAAGCACCTCGAAAACAGCTCACTTTTCACGTTTTTTAAAACCGCAAAACACAACTTTCTGGACGAAGAAACCTGAATCGGATTTCAATTTATAAAAGTTTGGAGATTTTATTGACTGTTACAGAGAAATCGAAAATGTTCTAATTGCACAGGGAGCGTTTTTTATTTATTTACGGTCAGATTCTTTTATATTGGAAATTATGAGAATCTCACTAGAGAATCTGATTCTTATTTTAATAAAATAGAAAATCAATCAAAATTATTTTTTTTTTATAAATTTTTTCTCTGAATAAAAGATAATTTCAAAAAAATTTTTGCGGGTCCGGAAATCATAAAAAATCTGAAAGTGCAGTTTTCTTTAGCTCGTCGAGACGAGTCGAATGATGGGTCAAACTTTTGATGACTCCAATGATTAACCGGTTAGCCGGCAATTTCCCGGAAAATACATTTCCGGTCGCCGTTTTTGTTCTAGAAATGCTAGAATGACAAAAAAAGCGGGAAACTGGTCCTTGAAGTTAGTTCTTCTGTGGGTGAAAAAATGAGAATCATATCTCTAACCATAAGATGCTTATCACCAAAATTCTATTTTCTTATGAAAATGGGACCGAAAATTAGGAAGGTGCAGCAACAACGAAATACATACAAAATTTAGAATTTTTATCGTTAAAAAAAGTTTCGCTATAAATTTGACCAATATCTTTTTGCCCACAGTAGAACTGACCATAAGGATCAGTTTCCGGGTTCATTCATCATCCTAGCATTTCTAGAACAAAAACGGCGACCGGAAACGTATTTTCCGGTAACCAGCCGGTCAACCGGTCAATCCTTGGAGTTATCAAGAGTTTGACCCACCATTTACTTTTAAAGTGGGGGATCCCCATTTTGACGGGTAAGTTTCTCTTGGGTGTCCCCATTTTAACTTATTTTTATTCCTCAAGAGGGTCCCCATTTTAATGGATTTCTGACATAACGATTCTTCGAAATCCGTTAAAATGGGCACCTTTCTGAGGATTGAAAAATCAGTTAAAATAGAAACACTCAAAAGAAATTCGCCCGTTAAAATGGGGACTACCTCATATTAGTAATAAGTTATTTCTAAATAAAAAAGGCCAAATTTATAAGTATAAATTTTGAAATGATTATCAAAACGCGAAAAAGAACATCTGCATTGCTGCACTGCAAAGATGATTGCACAGTACGGCCGCGCAAGCGCTCAACAAATCCCCCCGACGACTATATTGTATGCTACAACAGGAACTGGTCTTATCATCTTTCTTTTTTCTAATCACCAATTTCGAATTTTGTATTTGGCAAAAGTACTAAAACGTTCAAATGTGTGAACGAGGCGATAATCTATCCGTCCTTAGCTAGACTGGACTTGTCGAATTGAGGGTTGAATTGGATGAATTTCGAAATTTTCAAGAATCCCTCATTTTGTATAAATACTGGCTTTGGCTGCATGTCAAATGTCTGTTTTGAGGCCACATATTTTGAGAAACAGGACTCCCAAAACCTGTTCCCCTTCTACAAAGAATGTCGAATCAATACAGGAAAGAAGTAGTATTATCTAACATTATTCGCGAATGATGATGAACCAGGAACAGCCTAACGAACTGAACTCGGAATTCCTTATTTGCTTTCTTTCAACTCCTGCATCTGTTTTTAACTTTGAAACCGACAGAAATTCACGCTCATCAATCCCAAAAAATGACGGCCTTCCATCAGCCATCTACTTTGAACCAGCTGGAGCTCCCGTTCGAACAGGAGCTCGGCCAGTTCGATTCGAGCTATTCCACCCAATGCACGCCTAATCCTCTCGATGGTAAGAGAGAACGATTTGATACCATAATTGGCTTGTTTTGATGCGAGTGTCTGGATCAATTAACCTTGTCTTTCAGATATCTTCCCAAGCCCTCGATCGACGTACACTCCGGACTCACCATCATCCGATATCGACGCAATCGTTCAAGACCTACTCAGCTCGGCTCCCAGCTCTCCAGCCAACTCTGGTATGTGCTGTGCACGGCAACCTTTGTCTTCAACTTTGTTTTCCTAGTTTTTCATTGGACGCCATCGAAACATCTTTCAACGCTGCTTCCCCAGAACCGCCAGTTCTTCAGAAGCCAGGTCCTGTAGATCCATCACCAGCTCCAGTGACTCTTTCGCTCGATTCAATTGCTCCTGGCACTATCATCTCCGATGGCGGAAGTAATAGCTTCGAGCTCGTTGTTGAAAACGGCGTTCGAAAGCTCGTCCCTGTGATGCTCTCCTGTAAGTTAACTTTTGTGTGGGATTAGAATGGAATTAGAATCTTTGATTTAGCGATGCCTGCTATTGTCAAAACTGAGATGGCTTCTCCACCCGCATCGCCAGGTTTGTTGGAAAGATAGGGTTAGCAAGAAAAATATTCCCTGAAATTTAGGACCTCCATCATGGAGGCCCCATGCATGGATTTCCTCTTGAATAATTGCTTAAAATCGTGAAGCCGCTTGCTAGATAAATTTAGTCGCAAGCGGCTTCTCGATTCTAAGCGATTTTTCTAAGGAAAATCATTGAATTTAAGAGGGTTTCTCAATAGTACAAACTTCTAACGAATACTTCTTTAGATTCGATTTCTTCTGTCGATTTGAACAAGAAACTCGCCCAAAATCGAAAGGCATCGAAGCGATACCGGGACAAGAAAAAGGCTGACGAGAAGAAGTTGCTCGAAGACGTCGATCGACTCGAGAAGGTTTGTTATTCTGCCTCCCCTTTCGCTCAAAATTCTTTCAGGAAAAACATCGTCAAGAACTCATGCTCGAGCGAAAGAAAGCAAAGAAGGAACTCCTTCTCTCTCTCATTTCCCAGAAATTTTCCCGTGTAGTGTACCACTAATTGTTTTTCCCTCCTTCCGACGCTCCCTTCCGTGACTAGAATTTCCTAGAACTTCATTATTTTTTTAAGCTCACGCCCCACGAGAAAACTTTTTCTTCATTCAATATGCCAGATTAAATTTCTCTAGAAAACTACCAAAATCAAGCTATACCAGCATATTGAATAACCACCAAATCTCATCAATAATCATTTTTGTGCTACAATTTTTCCTCGGGTGAGCATATTTTGTGAGGTTTACTGTTGCTTATGGGTTGAAGCGGGTTCATATTCGCTGAAAATCGCCATAAAACCCCATCTGATATCATATAAATTTATGGATATGCCCACCCCAGGAGTTTTACAATAGAACTGGTCGCAAATTTCACACAAACTTCGTCTTTAATCCTTGTTGTCTCCGACTTTAGCAGCTACAACTTTGTTGTGCCGCCTTAATGTATTCCTACAGTTACTTTTCTCCCGATATTGTATCAGAAACGTATATTTTTCGTGGTGTTCTCCTACAAAATAAAAGTCCGAAATCCCAATCAATATGCCGCTATTCTGATTGTTTTACTAGGCGCTAGAATTGGTAATAATTGATCGCGAAGGCAATTAATTTCCGCGCGTAATTGAGTGACAATCCAATAAATCTCCTTGCGGGTTGGCCTATCATGCCCCTGGGCGCGATATAGACCCTGAGATTTATTTCCAATACTTAGCAACTTGCAAAGAGCAGCGTTTATTTTTGTTTCAGAGTAATTTATTAATGCACAATGCTAAGACACGAGAAAATCGGATTTGCGGGGGGAGACGGACGGCAGGTGACTCAGACTCGATTTATCCATCAATCCAGAAACACGAGCCAATCGGCGACACTTGCCCAAGGCCAGTCGCGCTCTAACCCCAGGGCACCGCACTTCTGCCCTCCGCCTGTCTGATCAGTGAATTAATTCTCAGAGAAAATCATACTGTACTCCTTGGAACAACAGGAACGAATTGGAAGAATTTCTCCGAATTCGAAGAAGAATAAGATCCTTTTTTTTAATTCTATAAAAAAATTATGTCTGCAGTAGAATTAAAAGACCGAGTTTCAAAAGTACAAGTTGAATATTTTGTTCAGGAGAAGTTGAAGATTCTCTTCGTTGAAATTTCTTTGCGACGCCCTAAAGATCATTTGACAGAAAATTATTGATCTTGACAAAGATTTAATTCTAGCTGCATGCACGACAATCTAAACAGCTAGTTGGCTAAAAAGAGAATGCACCTTCAGCTAAAGCTCTAATTGAGCCAGCTCAGCTTGTTTCAACTCGTAGCCAGAAATATATCGGCATTTTTCTTGACTAATGAAATTTGTGTTTTCCGCGGATGTTTTCATTTTTACTTCTGCTGATATTCTCCACGGGAAAGATACAAAACTTTGCGTATTCGAAATAGAATTCTGATAAACACAGAACTCTTGATAAATATTGTGTCAATCAAAAGTTTCCGGTGAAGGGTTAATTTTTAAACGCGGCGCAAATATTGTGACATATAATTGGAACGTTTGGCACTGTCTGTCGGTCAAATTGTCAGAGAGAGAATCTTTATCGAAACCACTGTAACTTCTTTTTGTGAATCCGTTAAAACGTAAAGGAGGTTCTTATTGGCTGAAAGCCTTTTTCGGGCATATTTATTTGCCGTAGCCCTTTTAACACTACGACTCGTTGAAGGATTTTTTAATAATTGTAATTGGCTAGATTTGTTTTTTACCAATTTTGATTGGCTGAAGGGCTGTTTTCGTATTTTGATAAGTTGAAAAACCTTTTTCGAATGACCGAAAATGGCCTGAATTTATTGCCACCGGTCTCATTAAATCGAAACTTTAATGGTTTTTTTAAATAGCAGCGTCGAGTTTTTAATTGACCTGTTTATCGAAAATAAGAGAAACCAAGGAGCGCCCAATTTCGAACTTTAGAAGAAAATAACAATGAAAGAGCGGGGTTTTTTGTCGCTTGAATTTTTAATACCAACGATTCCCGGAATCCAGGACTGATCGAATTCGATTGTTAGTCTGTATATAATCGCGTTTGTTTGCTAGTTAAAAATTCAGTCTTCCGCGAATCGGCCCTTTGAGACGCTGTCGCCCCGGGGGAGTACTTGTCAGTAGGAAAAAAAGGGAAGAAACGAATTTGCATGGGCGAGCAAGCGTTTCTGCGATTCAGCAATCGTTCCAATTAGCGATATCGCCCATGATTTGATTAAATTTCTGCTCAAGCCGAATCCTTTCTGAAACAACAGTTTCTTTATCCAACAAAAATGGGGGTTCATTTATTGAAATCAAGAAAGAAAACGAGTTTTTATCAATTTTTGTTTATATATTTTTGAAATAGAGAATCTTTTTAAAATTGGTTTATATTTTTCATTTTGATTTTTTGTATAAAATCTTAACTTTTTTGGTGTTTTTATTTTTGAAGCAATTATATAATGATGGGTACGTTCTTTTGCGATGCACTCGAGTGATTAAATTGAATCAGTTAATGACTTTCAAAGTGAGGGAAGCTTTTTGGCAGCCCCAAGCTTCGGGCGATCTGAAAATACCGCCGCGAAGAGAGAGAGAAAATAATAAAGAGCTGCGTTTTTTCTTTCTATTTTTGAAATTTACTGTTTTATTTTTCGATGAAAGCCCCCTCACCTTTAATTGAATCTGCTGGGATTTTCACAAGTTTGTGAAGTTACCATTTTCGCAAATGGTAACTTTTGGATAAGTAAATTTTACGAGCTCAAGAGCCGAGTTATTTGACTTTTACTGCGGTCCGAATGATATACCAATTTTGACTGTCTGAAAGCGAGAGAAATAATTTTTACCCAGTTTGTTTTCGGGTTTTTGAACGCAAATGAAATGAGCCGAAAGTTCATTTTTGAGTGTTTGAATAAAACAATCGCTGCGGTTTGACAGGGGATAAGATGTTTCGCGAATAAATAAGGGATGAAAAAGGGTGAAAGGTACAAATGTTTCCCTTTGCCCAGCTGTTTTATTCGATGTTTTTGAAGATGAAAATATCCCACTGCGCGGGAGAAATCGCACTCGCATGTGTTATTTCCGGGCACTTCAAAAATTATCGGTTTTTTCGGATTTTTTTTTCGATTTTTTCCCAGAGAAAGAAAATTTTCAAGAGAAACTTACTTTTCTACATTTTCTGTAAGGATGTTCGAAAGACCTATTTCTAGTGGTTAAATTAGACCAAAATAACAATTTTAAAGCGAAATTTCGTGCTTATTAGCTTTGAGGAAAGATATCCAAAGCTTTAGTGACCTATTTACCAATCAAAGACCTGTATTTTTCACGTTAGCCAATCAAAAGCGAGCGAAGTCCTCGAGAAATCAACCTTTCGCCGATAGAAAGCTCATTTTTGAGATTTATGATTTTTGAAAATTTAATCAGTAACGATGATTTTTCTAGAGACAGTCATCGGTGCGTGTTTTGAACTTGATTCGTGAGCTTTCGTTCGTCGGGCGGATCGCAAAAGATTCTTTTTACTTGGATGGTTTTTGCTTGGCCCTCGCTGCTGCTACTACTGCTACTCCAATCGGCAAGCGCACAAGGGGGCCCTTCGGAACTTTATGGTCTAAAATTGGACAACTGGCAAGTTTCTGAAACGAACCTACTTGCGTACCAGGCTGTTGAGGATCAGGTAACAGAAAATATCAATGTAATGAAAAATTCATCCTATTTTTAGATTGCCGGGTCGCTCCCGGTAGCGATCAACGCTGACTCGCGAGTTGTTCTCTTCGGAGAAAATCTAATCGGGCGAAAGTTCGTGCTCACCGAGTACACGGGCAATGAAGGACCGAAATGCAACGATCACGGACACACGAAGAGCGTCGCCGTCAACGCATACACAGAAGAACTCGACGTCGGAGTTATCAACATCAACAACACGGCCTTTGAGGATATTGCAGCTGGAAAGTACTACTTTTGCTTCGCTGATCCAAACGATAATGATGTCTATTTAGTAAGTACCTCTCTTTCAATTTTCGGAAAACGAATTTCTTTTTAACATCTCTTCTAGCACGCTGGAAACAACAGCATCCAAAGCATTCATTTCGTGGAAGTGGACTCGCAAACCTCCATCCTCCCCGTCCCCCTGCAGACCATCTGTATCGGTCTCCTCCTCTGCCTTTCCGGAACGTTCTCCGGCTTGAATCTCGGTCTCATGGCGCTGGACCCGCAGCAGCTCAAGATTCTCACCACTTCGGGATCGCCGGATGAGATCAAGTACGCCAAATCGGTGCTGCCCGTCAGAATTCACGGAAACTTTTTACTCTGCACGTTGCTCCTCGGAAACGTCCTTGGTAAGAAACTAAGATTGCGAAAAGAATTCTATTCTGACCGACAGGAAAGAAAAAAGATCAGAGAATTTCCAAAACGCAAAGATTGGACTTTTTCCAGCAGCCGAAAAATCCCTGAGCAAACTCGGAACCGCTACTCCTATCAATTTCCTGAAGCGATAAGCTTCTGCAAATTTAGTCTTTTGCTGCGTTCTGACGGTATCTATTCAGTAAACAACACGCTGACGATTTTGCTCGATGATCTGACCTCTGGAACGGTGGCGATTGTTGGCGCCACCGCTGGAATCGTCGTTTTTGGTGAAATTATCCCTCAGGAATGTGTTCTTTCTTCCTCTTTTTGAGTTCTTTGCGATAATTTAAATCAAGTCAATAGAGTCGTCCTTCGAGTATATTAAAAATGAAGCTGTGCGTAGCGCGGCTAATTTCCTTTTTCTCGAAGCCGCAAGTGACTTCTCGGTTTCAAAAGTCATCAGAAAGAACACGAAAAGGCTATCTGCTCTCGACACGGGCTCGCTGTGGGATACCATACTCTTCCTCTTACCTACATTTTTATGGCCATTACTGGAATCATCTCTTATCCGCTTGGCAAGATCCTCGACGTCGTTCTCGGCGAAGAAATGGGCGTCAACTACAAGAAGCAAGCCTTCCTCGAACTCATCAAGCAAGGACAAAACGATCTTGAAGGTAGTTTCCTTCTATAGAAAGAAGCTTTAAAACTCCAATTCAGAGGACGAAAAGATTATGATCGAAGGAGCGCTAAAACTGAGCGAAAAGACCGTCCGCGACGTCATGACGCCTATCAACCACGTGTTCACCGTCTGTGAAGACGAGATCATCGACTACGACTTCATGGGACGCGTTTCCGACGCTGGATACTCTCGAATTCCAGTCACAAAGCGCGGCGGAAAGAACTCGGAAATTACTGGTACGTTTTTTCTTTTCTATATTTGCGATATTTTAATCCTCAAATCTTTCTTGTTGTTTTAGGTCCGGAAATCACAGGTTTTCATAGGTGATTCTGTCGACAAGTAAAATAATATACAAATTTTATTGGAATGTTACGGGCCAAGTTTTGTTATTAAATCGGTGAAAATAGACTCATTTTTGGAACTTTTTTTTGTTATAAATTTTTTCAACTTTTTTCTTTGCCAATTTTGTCCAAAAGATACTTATTTTATTCGACAATTTAATTGATCTTTCGCTACTTATTCATATATTCGAAGAAAACTAACGATTTCTTTTGTATTCTTCTTTTCATAATCCGAAAACTCAAACCCGTTTTCGATAAAAACCACCATCGGCCAGCACTAATATAACCGGTACAAAGCAAAGTTTCCAACAAAACTGTTTGTTCGGAATTTGGTGTTTTTCTAGCTTCATTTTTTACAAATTTCTGACGCGTGTTTAGGTCTGCTCTTCCTCAGAGATTTGGTCATGCTCGATCCGGATGACAATACTGTCGTTTCTACTGTCACGAATTTTTACAAGCATCAGCTGATGAGCATCGATCAGGATATGAAGCTCGATGATATGCTCGAAGAATTCAAGGTAAGAAACAGAAAATCAAAAGTTCTGAAGTCCTAAAACAACATCAGAAAAACCACCATCATCTCTCTTTGGTCACAATGCCTATCCAAACTGGAACAGAAACCGACAGCAAGGCCGAACGCGAAACTTGCGGTATCATCACCCTCGAAGACATCATCGAAGAGATCATTTGCGACGAGATCGTTGACGAAACCGACCAGTACCGCGACAATCGCTCCCGAATCCGTAACCACAAACGAGAGAAGACCGAGAATCCCAAGAATTTCTTCCGAAACCACTCTGAAGCTTGCGATCCTTCGTCGAACCCGCAGAATCCTGACAATCTCGAAGAAATTACGCGCGCCCAGATCGCAGCTGTTCTTCGCTTCATGGTCGCCGAAGTCAAGCCTTTCTCCCAAGATGTCATTTCTGAAAACAAACTCAAACTCCTCCTATTTCAACAACATTCCGTCGTTTATGGTAAGATCGTTCTTCGGTTTTAAGAAATAACTTATTTTTTCAGTAAAACGAAGCTCCGAAACAAAACCGCTGCTTGTCCGTGGTCAACCAGTGACCCAGTTCATCGTCATTATCGAAGGAAAGGCCGAAGTGCAACTCGGCGAGGACGAAATGCCGATCGAAGTCGGCCCCTTCCGATGCTTCGGCGTCTCCGCGCTCCTGGACGTCAAACCAACCAATCTTGCCGAAAATGTTCAAATCCAAGGGTGAGCCAAAAACTTTCTTTCTTTTCATTTATTTGATGATTCGGAAAATTTGGAGAAATAATTCGATTTCAACCCTTTTATATTGATTATAAAGCAGGTTATTAATTGTACTTTCAAGAACTTCCCTTGTGGGAAAGGATGTATTAAAAGAAGTAAACCTGAGAAAAAGTGTCACGCTTAAAAATGCTGTGACAGTAACAGAACGGTAATCGGGTGCTAGCTTAGTTTGAATTCTTCTTTTCTTTCTTCATTTCTCTTTTCTTTTTACAGCAGTCCAAGATGCGGCTCCTAATCTTAGAGCATTTGATATTCATTGCTCTGAGATGACTGTAGTTCGTCTTGGAGGCATGCTTCTTACTAGCTTATTGTAAATAGAAGTTTCTCTTTTTTAATTTTACTTCTTCCAGAAAACTAATGTGGTGCAAAGTAGGTATGGGAACGACCTCTTGCTCGTCTCTATATCAACTTTTTATAAACAGTCGTTTCTCAACGTTTTAAAGATATATTTCAGCTCCCAATCCATTCCAAGTGGACTTGCTGGTGAAAGAGAATCAGTCGGTAAGTGTATCCGCGAACTTTTGAAGTGCTGAAATTGAGAATTTCAGATCGATCTGGTACTCCATCTCAGACTGGCGTCATTTCTGACGCTACTGTTCGAATAATCTCCGACGAATTCATCTACGCCCGTGTGACTCGAGCAGAGTACCGCCAAATGCGGAACCAGTTTGAAATCACCAAAGTCCAACAGGTACTCTTCCTTGCTATCTTCTCTCGCTACCTCATCTTTAGCTTTCTGCTTCAATGGAACAACTGCAATCAGCTGGCTTTAGTCCCGAAAATACCTCAGTAACAAACGTCAACGAAACCAGCATGAGTGATTCCAACGTCAAAGGTAAACAATATTAGTTTCACAGTAGAAGTAGAGCCTACTTAAAAGTCTAGTTTTACAATAATTGCAGATTATTTATCGAGATAACTTCTGATCGAGATACAGCCCTGGTAAACATATGCGTTTTTGTAAAAAAAAGTGTTGTATAAAGTCATTCAATCAAACAGTCCTGACTTTATTTCAAACTTCAAAACTGACAGTAACGCTTACTCCTTTCAGAGCCTCTCCTTGGACAAAAGTAGACCCGCCGACTTATCTAACTCAACCGACCACGTGCTCCTTAATCTCTCCTGCATCCAAGTTCATCCTCCCGACTACTCTACTTTTACTATCTCTCCTAGCTTTAGTTTTTATTTATCTAGCTCAGAAATGCTTCAGCTCTCTATCAAACACAAGTTCCTCGCTGGGTATTGTATAAGAGCGAAGCTTTCGCCCTTCTTTGATTTTGTAGAATTCTACTGTAAGAATTATATTTATTTTCCCTTTTCTAAAAATGATATCAACTGTATTAACAAACGACCAGCGTGTAGTAGAGATCGAAAGTGTCTTTTACTGCCCTTTCGAGTAGCTTCTTAGTTTGCTCGGAACTAGAATCAATAAACGAACATCTGAAAACAGAAACAATCATTTCATGTCACATGTAAAAATGTAACATGCCCGTCTCATCGTTTGTTTCTTCCACCATAAAAGAGAAAAAGAAGAAGAAAAATGCTGCTGACTCGAGGAAGAATTCACCTTGTTCTTCTAGTGACTTGGTAAAGAATCACGTATTTCTGTATATAAAGTGTAATCACGAAATTCTTATGAATTATTATATATGAAGAAACATCGTCTTACTTCTTGTTTCCCTTTTCAGACAAAGGTGCTAGCTCGTCATGTGCTCGAATTTCGAGGGAAAAATTAACACGCTCAATGATGATGGAACCGAGTGGCTTCCAAAAGCGTTCCAACAAGCGCAAGTCCACATGAAGCTTCTTCTCTCGCTCGGTCCCTCCAAGATCAAGTTCAGCCCTCTTGACGAGAAGATCTACGAGTCTTTCCGAAACGCCTTTCCTGATTTCGATGTAAGCAACGTCGATGAGGATCTTCAGGAGGAATTGAGATCGGGCGAAAATAAGGAACAGGCTGTCTAAATCAAAACTAAAAATACGCGAGACCTCCATTTCAAAATAGAAATCCTGATAAGGATAAGTGGATAAACTGGATGGACCAGTTCAAAAACGACATTAAAGCTTTTGACAGCAAAAGTTTGCTTCGAAAGAACCCAGAGGGAGACTACTCATCCCAGAATACGGTAGGCAGCTCGGTGCAATCCAGTGGCATGAAAATGTTTTCAGACATTCTGTCTTCGAGCTCAATTTTTGGCCATCGAAATCGCTCGAAACAAAGAAGGCCTCAATCAGAAAATCGCTGATGCTTACAAACGAGCTACCTCTGGCAGATCTGGTGGCTGCTGCAGCCGCTGCTAAAATTATTTTTGAATTTCATGTTCTTTGTCTCAGTTCAACAAAGTTTTTAAAATATCTTTTAATTGACACTGATACAATAAACTAGATATTTGGGAAAATTAGACGCAGTTTATTAAAATGGTCGCAAATGGAGAGTCGCCAGAAAACGTTTCCAGAGAGGGAAACTCAAAAGTATCGAATTGAAGGGTCGTCAGACGGAAGTAGCTTGTTGAGACAAATTCATTAAAGATTCCATAAATTTGGAGGGAAACCACATCTGAAGCGGATTAGTATGCGATCTGCCCAACCATCCATCCGCTGGAGACCCAGCTTCATGAAATTCCACCCGAGCCTGTTCCGGAGTTGCTTTCTTTTGATTGAAAAAATAGTTCAAATATTGAACCCTCTGACAAAATCTACTGTTAGAAAATGGACGCAGTTTATTTAAATCAGCAAGAAAAGAGTCAAAGAATATAACTGTCATTTCCATGGAGCGTACTTCTTTGCTTGTCCATTTCAAGAATCTTCGGAACAACAGGTTGATGCAAATTCGTGAAGTCGGTCGCTCTTGGCAAAGTCGGCACTACAAAACTCTCGGAGAACTTGGAACTGTCGAATGCGGCCCTGTCGTTTTTATCCAATTTGAATTGACTCAGAACTGGCTTTCGGACGGTCTTTCATGGATTTCATATTTTCTAGGGTTGATAGAAGCTAATGAGTACTGATTCAATATCTTCGAAACCCTTGACAAGGCGCTAGAATGAGCTGGAGTAACCGTTGACTTCTTTAAATGAAGGTTGCTATCGATGGCCACTGGAATCGTGGAAACACTTCCTCCTTCATTGCAGTCTTGGTCTCCGTTATTGACGCGCAAAGTAACTATCTTCCGCTTTCCTTTAACTTCTAAGCCGAGTAAATCCGGCTTGAAGGATGGTTTCCCTTCCTTGACCAAATTGAGCGACGCCTCTTTCACCATTTTGTTCACTTCTTCCTGAATCTGCAGAATCGCTTTCTGAAAGTTTTTAAAACAAGTTTTCAACAAAGAAGTGTTTTGATTACATTGAACTCGGTTTTCATTGATTTGCGGCGACCCTCCAAGAGTGTTATTTTTTCCAGCTTTTCGAAGATTTCCGGCGCTTGGGGCAGTTTCTTGAGACGGTCGACCCAATCCACCGCGAATTCAAGACAAGCAGGATCCAGGGCGGTTTCGGCCATTGAGCAAATGCTTATGTTGTCCCCGTCGTGATTTATGTCGTCGACTGGTCCATGATGAAATGAAGATTTTGAGATTTGACGATCGTGAATTTGATGCGCGCTGCTTCTGTTTCGACTATTTTTTCCTAAATTCGCGCAGTTTCCCAAATCGACGCTCGGAAAATTGATGTTGATTTCTGACTTGTTCCTCAAAATGACTGACTGAACTTCTGCTGGATTGGGATCAACCAATGGATCTAATGGCACCGATTTACGCTGATGCTTCTGTTGCATTTGTTCTCTTTTGCTGCTATTTTCTTCGCGTATTAGTTCTTCTTCGGATTTCTGGGGCAATCGCATTCGAGTCAGAGTCGTTTTATCTTTTTCTCGCTGCTCTTGAATGTATTTTACTTCCACCTTGTTTCGTCGCATCGTTCTGTCGACCATTTCTAGCGCTCGTGTTCTCACGTGATCAGCTGCTTCGCAAAATTCTTTTGCGGTTTTTCGCAGCTCCGCGAGAGTCAGCTTCTTTAGTTCCTCCCCGTCGATTGGGCTGAGTTCCACATTTGAATTCGGCAATTCGCAGGTCTCGTTGAGTTTATTGACGAATTCGGCGAAAAAGTTGAAAGCTCTCATTTCTTGCTTGACTCGTTTCACTTGTTCCAATTTCGCAGCTACTGCTCCTATCGGCCGGGATTTGGGCTCAAGTCGTCGGATCGTATCTGAGGCGCTGTTTTGGATGTCAGTTTGTGAAGACATGTTCTGAAGCGAAATGCTATTTGAAGAGAGGTTTTTCTGACTCGGCGAGGCCAGTGCTTGAGCTACTTCGTGGAGCGTTATGTCTACGTCTTCTTTCATATCGCAAAAGTCGTTTATTTCTGATGAAGTGGACTCCACTGTGGAGGCGGTCAAGTTGGGAAGAACACGAAGATCTGACGATGATTTTCCCAGCGAGATGACTTTAGACGGGATGACAGAAATGTCTTCTCTTGAAATTTGCTTGACTAAAGAGCTCTCTATCGCGCCTTTAGAGGTCTTCCCAACGAGTGGATACGGACATGTGATCAGCGAGGGTCCTTTTTCGAGGCTTGTAGGTTTCGCTGGAACGAGTAAGGGAAGCTTTTCGACTTTTGGAGATGTTTCTCGCTCTTCTTCTTTTGTTTCGTCGATTTTTTGATTCTCTTTCTTGAGTTCTGCGATGTAGCTTTCCAAGTTCAAAATCTTGTCTTCTTGCGCTTCCAAAACCAGGTCTCGCGTTTTCAGAATTTCCTTGACTTCTTTTTTGTGGTCTGATTTTACTTTCGCTTCTCGCTTGTCAAAGTCTTTTATTTTTTCGGAAAGCTCTTCTATTCGCTGGTCGAGAAGAAAGATCTTCGCCTGGCGAGTCATTGATTCTGTTAACAGATCGTCGTAGTCTTCCTTTGACTTGGCGATTGTGTTCGTTAATGTCTTCATTTTCTTGCGAATTTTGTTGAGTTTTGTCTTTTTATGGGTTTTAGAATTTTCTTCCTGGGGAAAGAAAGTGCAAATTCCTGGATTAAAAATCACAAAGCCCGTTGCCTGTAGATTTCGATTCTGTGTCTGCTTGACATCTGACTTACTGTTCGAAATGACATTTAGAATATCTGGCGCAAGGCCGTCAAGCCTATCAATGAGCTGTTGAGTTGAGTTGAGCGCATTTTGCAGCCGCTTGAGACCGTTTGCGCTGTCGTACTCGGAGGCAAGATCCATGTCTTCTGATCCAAACTCTTCAGCGGATTGCTCGAGAGCTTGGAGAATTCCTCGAAGGACATGTGTGCGCTTTCGGTCAACGGTTTTGCGCCCCACCACCAGGACTTGCACATCTTCTTGGAAACCACGGCGGAACTCGTCGTTCTGAATAAAAATTAATTCCAGGTCGTTTTTGCCTTAAATACCTTGATGTACTCTTCTACTGCTTCAATATCCGAGGCCCAGTGAAATTTGCAGACTTGCTCAATTTCCGCCTCTTCGCAGAGTTCCATATCTTGCTCGTAGTTCATCAGCGTCGACGAGATCCGCGTCTTGATACTTTGGAGCTGCTCATCCAGCCGCTCTTTGGAACGGCCAAGATAATCAGCATCGAGGATTTGAAAGCCCCGAGCGTCCAAATACTCGTCATTGTGGTTTTGAGGCTCCTTCATTTCTTCCCGGTGATGGGAAACTCGTGGCTCCTGTTTTTAATTTGTTAGTAAAAGCTCGATTGTGGACAAAATATTCGTGATATTCGATTATAATACCTTTGACAATTTTGGCTTGAGAGCCTGCTGCCTATTCATGCTCGTTTTAAACTGACTTCGAAAGTTTTATTTTTTATTTTTGTCAATTTGTTCTAGAGATTCTTCCTGATGTTATCCGAAAAACAACAATCTAATGCATGCGAAAAAGAAGTTTATTTAATGAAATCAGAGTATTTTTAGATGTTAGACGGCAAAAGATAGCCAAAATATCAGAAAAATAAAGAAGTAAGCTAGAAGATTGTATTCTGCAAGTCAGTGATTTTTTAGACGCAGAAATCGGAAGAAACTTCGAAGAGAACGGGGTTCACAGATTCGTCAGTGTATCCAATTACTTCTTGATTAGCCACTTCATCTCCTTCCAAATCTAGTCGTTCAATGGCATTTGGAGCATCTCTGCCAGAAACGACGAAAATTGAATTGCCGGTCATTATTGCTGATGGATACCAGACAGCCTAAGAATAGTTGCTCTTTTTTAAAAGTATTTTTGAAACTTGCATTTTGCAGATTTCCAATTTGATTCCAGGCGTTGTTTTGAAGAAGCCAAATTGCGGACGAAACAAACCAAGCACCATTATCGTATTGTTTTCCTCCAACAAGCAAAAGACTTCCACTTGGCAGCCCCACCAAATCATGACGACTGGCACTCAGACTAAACAGATAGAAAAGAATGAAATTTTCGAATGATTTTTAAAATACCTCGGAAAATCGGTTAGAAACGTCCAGCCAGATGGACCAAGAGTTTCAACCTTATTGGTAGGGTTACCCCAATAGTTCCAATAGCCGACTGTTGTTGGTTGACCCATGTAAAATGCGAGCTGCCCTCCAGGATGTCCAGGAGCCGCGGTTGATTCTCGAGAGACGGTCGTGATTGTGTTGAATTCTTCGCAGTTTCTGTATACGCCATCGTCAGGAAAGCAAATCAATGCAGAATCGCCATCGTCGATCGGAAGTGCAGCCGACATAGCGGCAACCCTGTTGATTAATCGTAGCGACAGTTCGTTCCATTCGCAACCTTGCAATCTCGCAATCTTATTTGTAAAGTCAAATGATTCGAAAGTCAATTAGTTGAAGGACTTTTTGCTTATCTTGTTGTCCACCAAAGATGTAGAACTCGCCCTGGATAAGCGCGTTTGGAGACCATTGGAGGTAGTCATCAGAAGGAGCCGTTATTGCTGCTGCCTTCTTAGTCGATCCGTCGAACGAAATGGAGAATGCGGTGCTCAAGCTTTCGCCCATTACCAAAATGTGCTGAATTAGTTTTACTTCCGTTTTAGATTAAAACGGTTATTATAACGTGGTGTTTAAGAATTTGAGTCAACTAACCGGGCCAACTGATGTTGTCGTGGTTGTAGTTGTAGTCGTTGTTGTAGTCGTCGTTGTAGTTGTTGTTGTGGTCGTGGTTGTGGTTGTGGTTGTAGTTGTCGTTGTAGTTGTAGTTGTAGTTGTAGTTGTAGTATTGGTTATCTGTGAAGGACCAGCGGGCGGCTTGATCTCTCGCTGACCAGACATACAAATTGCATAGTGTCTTTCGTTGCAATCAGAATTTAGGAAAATTCGATCGTGGCTCCACGACGCACAGACTTCAGGCTGACGACGATCAAACCAGTAGGTTTTATCAGGATCGTAGAATGACTCGATCTTAGAAAAAGAAATCAAAAGGAGACCGCTAGAATAAACAATTACAAGTTGGAATTCTTCTTCAAAATATGGGTCGGCGAGCCATCCATTTTCAAGATAACAGTAAGCTGCTGCTTGAGTGAAATCCAAGTCATCTTCAGACGAAAAAATAGTGAGTGGCCGATCACTCAGCTCGGTTAGGAGTGCAAGTTTTTGTAATTTATGCTACTTTGGGTTCATAATTGTTAATAATGACTGCAAGAAATCAGCCACGTGCGATTCATAAATATGAAACCCATGTCAAAGGTCTTCTTGATTTTTTCAAAATCTCCTCATGCTTGCTCGTTTCAACGCAGACATATGACTTTGAATGCGCTCTTGAAACCCCATCTAATCTTTAAAGATGATCTTTCGTCACCTTTCATTTAGGAAAACAGGGGAATTAAAGAACTCTCCCTGAATCCAGTTTTCAATCATCGCCCCAAGAAGCTCGATATTTTCACCCGGAGTTTTCATCTCGTCAAATGCGTGAATCTCGACATATTCAAAAGTAGATCCGCAATCGCCCTCATTTTTGTACAATTGCACGACATTTTTGCTGAGACTATACTTGTTCGCAATCCTTTTTCTCCACTTTGGGGCGATCCGGTATCGAGGATGAACGAGATCCGATACAAAATCGTCAAGATCGCCCCAGAAGTCGAGAAATTGCTGATGCGGAGCGGCGGTCTGCACAAAACCGACCAGAAAACTTACTAAAAGAGCCTCTCTCATTTTGTAGATCTGATTTTATTCCGAAAAACTCCGCTGTTTTATGCTCTTCAAAAGTGCGAACATACAAAAAAGTAAAAAACTATGGTTAATAATTATTATTATTGCCCATAAATATAATTTTCACGATGATAGATAATTTTATTTCAAAGAACTTTCATGTGGGAGAATTTGACCTAGCTCGGCATTACCAAAATGGCACCGGGAGACTATAAATACGCTTAATTAACGCAGAGTTGCAAATCTGGGCGTATTGTTCTGACTCCGTCGGCAAATTGCCCGTGTGAAAAATGTACCATTAGCTAAAGTGCTTATTATTATGCTAAAAAAATTTGAAAAGTCCCTTTCGACCGTGCCTTATTTATTGTAATAGGGCTGATCGAGGAGGAGAATCAAATTTTAGACAGAACGCAGAAATCATGGAAGAATCTGTATTCACGCAAATGATCAATTATTCTACGAAATTAACCGATTTGGGTCGACGATTTGCTGTTATTTTATAATTCATCGAGGAAGTTCCATGAAGTCAAATTTGAACAGGTTCATCGAGTTTTACTAAGAAACCTTTGTTCCAGTTTGGTTGCTGCCATATGACGCTTAATCTTTAGTGAACTCTTTCCAAAGCCTACTTTTACGTACGTGGAGAGGAATAAGATTAAGGATAGTAGCTTTGGTTCAAGGCCATTGGAGTTTTCTGAGAATCTCTTGCTAAGATTATTGTCAGAAAGAAGACAAATAATCATGATAATGATTTGAGTCTAAAAGTGAGTTCAAAGTCATTCCTTTGCGTTTAATATTTTTGAATGCAACCTCGTTTATTGCGACTAATTCGCAAGCACAGTGAAAAACAGTTGGTTTTACTTCTGTAAGATAAAGATAGTCTTAAACTTTGAGTCAAGATACTATCTATTGGACGATATATACTCCTCAGCCTTATTTTAACGTCTAGGTTCCTAGACATTGACGTTTTAGAGGCTCTAGTAACGATGAGGGACCTTTCCCCGGAACTTTTTCCATCGAGGCGTCTTTTTTGTACGTCATGAAAAATTTACAGTGCGCCTCACCCCACCAGTTCCAAGATTTGAGCGTTGCGCCCTCGGATTAATTTTTTAATGATTTCAAAGTATAAAAACGAACTCGAGGAGATTCCAATAAAAACAATTTGCTTTACTCAGCAAAATAAAAAAAAAACAGAAATGAAACTTTCAAAAAGTCTCGTGTTTCTTTTTTCCGGCTCTTTCGGCGACCTTTACTACCAAAACCGACTTGGAAACTCGTTAACATCCCATAATCGGGAACGCAGCGACATTTCCATCCGGGATGAGCCAGAGCAGCTGACGCCCGAGGAAGAGCTTTTGGAAAAGATCTTCAACTACAACAATCAATACCGATCTCAGTTCGAAAACTTCGAAAGAACAAGGGCCTGGAAACCAACGATGAAGATGGGCAACCGCGATTTGAGACGAACAATGAAGACGAACTTCAGAAAATACCTTAGAAACTAAGATTCTTTCTGCAAGAAACACCCTTTGAAAGCCATTTCATGCTCTCAACAAAATAAAAATTTGAAAAAAATAAGCCGTTTATCTTTCTTATATTCAAATGAAAAACATTCTGTAAGACATCCAACCTGATTGAAAATCTGCGCGATCTCTGCAAACAAGGAAGAGAAATTTTAAGTTAGTACATTGGTTAGGGTTAGGGTTAGAGTAAGGTTTCAATAGCCATACTTCTTTATAGGGTTAGGGTTACGGTTACAGTTAGTACCTTGTTGGTAGCTTAAAACTAACCCTAACCCTGAATCCTACTCTCGATGGTAAAACGTATTGAAGAAGCCCATGTCTTCCAGTAGAAAGTGTCCTCCAGAAAGAGAACGCCTCTAGCAGAAGCAATTTGAAAGAAGGAACATCCAGAATAAGAGAAAAAAAAAACGATGAATTCTGAAAAAACTCGGCAACGAGGTCAAGTTGACGTCGCTCATAAAATCAATATTTGACGCCAACTCCCTCATTTGTTACTTATTTCGTAGCTTTTTTTCTGTTTTGAAAGAGATGGAAGTCGTAAACGCCTAATTATTTTTGCTTATTTTCAGTCGATTTCGAAAATGGGTTTTTACGATTTTGTGGCGGCGGCGGGAAAGTCCTCCATTGCGATTTATGCGAAACAGGTTGAGCGGTTGTTTTTCAGTTCTAAAAAAAATTTTCTGCAGGCGGTACATTCGTGCTCTCGTAATCTAAACAGTTCTACGTTTTTGGAGAGCTCTGAGTCCGTTTACACAAAATCAACCTTCTCGTTAGGTCGGTGGACCAGTTGGGGCTTGGATCGTCAACAATCCGAAAACGGCCACTGCTACTGGAGTCACTGTAATTGGAGGCTACCTGTTTTACTATTTTACTCACCAGAAGTATCCTGCGCCTTGGTTAGACAGGAAAAAAGGTCGAAATTTGTGTCAAAAGATTGCGATGGCCGGGAATCGAACCCGGATCTAATGCTTGGAAGGCATCAATGCTGACCATTACACCACCAACGCTTGCTCTTGATTTTCACTTCAAGCGTTATTCATCCATACTGTATGGACTATACTTGACTGTGGAAGAACCACCGCTCTCGTTGTATAGAATATTTCGGAAAAACCATAAATATCTAGTTTGAAATATAAATTTGAATTTTTTTTTCGAAACAGTGACTCGAGAAATAGAAAAATTGACTTACACCCATGGGCCATGGCAAAATCAGGGGTCTAAATTCGCAGTGCGAATTCGCTTTATTGCGAAGCGATGCGAAGCGAAGCGAATTCGCTTTCGCTTCAATTATTGACCTAAAACAGACGAAAACTCAAATCTGGACTCAGCAAGAAGCAACTACTAGAAGATGAGTTGACAGCGGAAAAAGTGGAGAAGGAAGAGTGGGATGTAATTATTATTGGTTCCGGTGGTTGCGGCCTTACGACAGGAGCGGGCTGCGAGAAACCGAAATGTGGTCAAAGACAAAAGACTTTTAATTTAGCAGCTCACCTAAAGGAAACCTTTTGGCGAGGAGTGGATTGAAGGTGCTCATTTTGGAAAAGCACTATGTTGCAGGTAAAGACAAATTTAACTCCCTTTCCCAATTTTTCGTCAGTATTAATTTCCTCAAAGCTGTCATGAGTTTTCCAGAGATTTAGATGCTCCAAGATCTTCTTTTTCCCAGACGCATTTGGCTTTTTTGGCATGGCATTTTTGTTTATAGGAAGGAAGAGTCGCCGCACGGGTTAATTTCCGTCTCATATTTCGTTCCTAACCTTTCAACTCAGGCATTGCTTGAAGCAAAGCTTCACGGAATCGTTTAGGCGGATGCACCCACACCTGGGAGAAGGATGGCCGCGAGTTTGATACGGGCGTACATTATCTTGGAAACTCGGCTAAAGACCTCTCCGCCACGACAGGAGCAATGTTTGACTTCATGAGCGATGGAAATCTGAAGTGGAGCGAGCTGGATGATAATTTCGATACTGTAGTGCTCAATGGCGAAGATGGGGAGCAGGACCGATTCAAATTTATCAGGAAAAAGGGACACCATAAATTTATTTTTCGATTTTTTCTATAAATAATTAAAGTAAGCGTTTTACACTGAGATAACTTTAAGATGACTACGATCGGACATGTTACGAAGCTCTTATAATTTCCGTAATTTTAATTATGATGACGCTAGAAAGTTAATATCCCCTTCAAAAAGAGAATCAAAAACGATTCATGACAACACAAAAGCATCTCTTCTCGAAAAATTTCCTGAAGAAGCTGAAAACATCGAAAAATTCTTCTCCGATTTGAAAGCTTTCAAGAAATCAGGCCTTTACCTTGGTCTCTACAAAATCCTCCCACTTTGGTTTTTGAAGCCTCTTATTGCCTTGGGCCTGCACAACCGTCTTTTCGACAACAAAGCTTTTACTACTACAGTGAAGGACTACCTGGACAGGTGAGTAGACAGCTTCCCATTGTGTATAAAAATATTGTAATTGAAGCATCACTTCGAATAAAAAGCTCCAGTGCATCCTCAACTACTGCTTCGGCGACTACGGGTAAGCCTCGCTGCTCTTGAAACTCACTTGGACGTTTATTAACACAGAAATTCAACCAAAAACAGACAGAAATATTTTAAAACTCACTTTACTACCAGTTAACCCGGCTTCAATTTTAAATCTTAAAAATCTAAAAAAAACTTCTCAAATTTTGATTGACCAAAAATGATTTTCAAGCAATCTTATTGGCTCTTTTAAAAAGTCATCTAAAAAGTTCAGTTTCTTCCTTTTTTGCCCTAATTTTCTTCCAGTACGCAGCCACGTAAGGCGCCGCTGTTTATCGGACTTGCTCTTATCGATCATTTCCGCAAGGGCGGCGTGTTCCCAATTGGCGGCTCATCAAAGCTGACTATGGACCTGGCTGAGCCGATTGCTGCGCGCGGCGGAAAGATTCTCGTCCGCGCTAATGTTCTCCAAATCAACGAAGAGCGCGGAAATGTTACCGGAGTTACAGTCCTTCCAACAGGCGCCAAGAGCGGTGGAAAACCGTTCTTCATCCCAGGTCTGGAGGATAAACACTTTAATAACACTCCCCTTAAATCCTTTGCTTTGGAAACTGACCAGCGCACGTTTCTACCTATGAGGACACATGTTACATGTAAGCCCGCATACTTTTTATCATTCGAAAAATGCAAAAAGCATGTGAGAAATTATGCGAAAGAGGGGCCAAAGCAATTTATCTGATAAAACTTAAGTTCAACAAAACTGTATTGGCTCTGAATTTTTTCGGATCATTTTCAAAATACAGTCATTTTTGACGTCAAAATCATGTGGCTGATTTTAAAAGAGTGGAATTCAGAATTCTTTGACGCAAAAGAGTTTTTAATCCAAAAACGAATCATGAGTTTAAGGGTTAGTTTTAGCTTATTTCTATTTTTGGCGATTTTGAAATAGGAAAAGGTTATCCTCCTAAAAAGCCAAAAAAGTCGTCTCGACCGCTTCCGTTTGGGCAGGGCTTTATGATGATGCACATCTTTATTTTTCAATTTTTAATCCTAGCTGGAAATAGAGGAAAATGAAGCTTGAAAATTGAAAAATAACTGGTGGCTTGGGTGCGCGCAAAAAACGTGCGCTGTAATTAAATAATTGTACTTTTTCAAAAATCAAATCAGCAAGCCATATGCTCAGTTCACCAACATGATGATCGCAAACGAGAAGCTGAGGCTCCAAATTGATCACCTGACGCCGGGACTAGGTGCCATGTACATTTTCTTTGGCATGGACAAAGCTGTAGGTACGCTCAAAATAAAAATCACGTTTCTTCAGCACCTGGTTTGGAAAATGATATTACAATTAATTGCACTCAATTACATACCCTAAATTGTTAATTTTGAGAGATTTCTGTTTTTGATGAGAAAGCTATCTATATTTGAGTCAGCCTGGAAATAAGCTGCCAAATAAGGGGTCCCTAATTTAATCGACAAATATTTCTCGGGGTCCTCCATTTTAACGGGTTTGAAATTTCTCAAGAAGAGCAGTAAACCCGTTAAAATGGAGGCGTCCGAGAAATATTTGCCCGTTAAATTAGGGACCCCGATTTTGGCATGAATGGACAATGAGTGAGTTATTCCAGGATAACATCGCGTCTTGTCACTTTCCGCGAATCTCATCAAAAGGGTTGTTTTCTCCTTGTCTTCCGTTTTTCTCCAGTTGCCAAGTGGCTTCACTTTATCGCCAAAACGTGAAACGCGGCAGCTGGAAAGGAGCAAGTCTACATTTTCCGATAATTATGCAACAGATCATTCTAATTCTGAATCTGACGCCCCAAAACCGTTTGTCGTCAAAATCGCTTCTTTTCTTATCACTTGTCTCCAGATTTTTCCAGTTCTTATCGCTCCCAGCACCAAATACTACCCAAATGTTCTGAACAAATTTCGCCAGTTTTACTTTTATCAATCTTGTTTGATGAGTTGGAAACACAAAAAAATCCAAAGATTGACAGAGTAAAATTTCGATTTCGAGTCATCCCCCTTCTGACGTAATTTTTTACTGAAGTACGGTTATTAGGTGATCTTCCGAAGCGAAACTGGTGGTGCTACAATACCAAGGAATATGATTTCGACAAGACAGGACTGGGATTATGATTATTTTTATTAAGAAAATTTTTTATTAAATAATAAATTGCAATTGCAGAATATATTTTTTTTGAGGAGTAAAAGTCGAGAGACCATAAGACTCGTGAAAAACATATTTTTAAATATTTATTTTGATATCTTTATGTTGACATAACTCAAATAGGTTAGAAAAATGGTTTAGGGCCAAAATAGGTGAATTTCTACAAATTAAAGACTATCATCAATATTTGATGACTGAAAAACCGGAAAATTCTAGGCCCCTATCATGCGTGGAAGATGATTGAAAATGTTTATGCAAGTCAAGATCGCTAGTTAGTGCTTATTTAATCGAATCTAATCCCCTCAAGTCGATGAATTCATGTCTTTAGAAACCGCCGACTTCCTAGCCAGGGTTCAAACACCAAGATTCTTGAATCAAAGTTATTAAATTTCAACCTTTCAATTTTGAACCCTGGTGAAAGAGGGAAAATCCCCGCTGCTCTTCATTTCATTTCCGAGTATGAAGGACCCCACGTATAAGCAACGCAACCCCTCGAAAGGAAAGCGTTTAGAACCCAGGATTTTTCTTTCCTACAGTTATTCTTTAAAAAACGCTGAAAAAGGGCCAACGGGAGTAATAATCACCCTCGCCAACTGGCGCTGGTTCGAAGAGCTCCAGCCAGAGCACGAAAAACGATGGGGCGAGACGGAAAAGAAGAAACGAATGAAACGACCGGAAGAATACAGCGCGATCAAAGAGCGACTCGGTCGAAAGATCGTTGAAGAAGCGGCCGAGTTTTTGAAACCTGAGGGGATTGATTTCTTCGATCACGTGGACTACATTAATGTTGGGACGCCCTTAACGCACAAGCACTATTTGAACTGTCCGGAAGGGTCGATTTATTCGGCTGATCATGATTTAACAAGGAAGGTTATAAAGTTCAATCCTATATATTTTTTAAGTTAAAAGGAATATCATCAAAGCCTTTCCATATTAAAAAGAAAAAAATTATTTCAAGTGAATATTCATTTCGAACAACTAACGTTTAATTTTACCAATAATCTCAATCTGAAATAATCCGATTTGTTTTGATCAGGCCTTTATTTATGGTTTTTTTGAATCGCGGGAAAATGAAAAATAACTCAACAAAAGATACCTTCCGGAGAATCTGATCAAATCGCGTCCGGAGACTCCAATCCGAGGGCTTACTCAAGGCGGTCAAGATATTCTATCCTGTGGCGTGGGGACAGTGGTGACTACCGGTTTACTCGCGGCAGGACACGTTACTGGCAGAAAATTACTCCTCGAAGCAGAAGGATTACGCCAGGCCAAGAAAATTACTGTTGATGCTCTTCCGCAAATTTGAATAAAAAGAAATCAAACCCACTAAAAAATCGCTTTATTAAAACTCCGACCAGAAAGTTTCCGAACGAACAAGAGTAGATCTTCCTGCCGAGGCTCTTCCCACAGGGCGGATCGTACATCGCCGCAGGATATTTCTCCGGCGAGTTGGTTTTCCAGATGTCAGTCTGTAAAAACCTTCGAGGCAATTTGTCAATACAGTCTCTTTTAATGACCTTACTGTAAACCCAAGCAGTAGAGCACCAGCAAACGACTTGAAAGTACATTATTCTTAGTCGACAATCGGACTTTTCAAAATCTGCCGCGAAGGGGTTGATTTTCAGCGCTAGAAATTCATCTTTCTCTTTCAACAAAAGCTGACGCTGATACCTAGGCCTATTAAAATTGATAAAGAAATAATAAACATTGCCAAGTGAAGTTTATTTCCGCCTGTTTCATATTTTTGAATATCTTCCGGTCGACTTAACATTTCGAGATAATTATTAATTGCCCTTGAAAGATACTACCTGTTGAAATGACTTAATTTATTGGAAAGAATGCTTCTTCTGGGAACACTTCTGAAGCCATCTAAAGTGGCTACTGATATTCTGCTCTGATCCATATCAAAAATGGAACTTATTCAACAACTCCGCTTGCGCTTTTTCCTTCGTAACTCGATTAAAAACGATTTTGTCTAACATGAAGAACAAAGAAATGACAATTTCGTTCATCAAAATAGCTTGTTTATTTGATTTGTGAAAAATATTTTTCTACAAGAAGGACATTTCAATTCTTTCATCTTTGAGAGACACTCAAAGCAATATTGATGACCACAAGGAAGTGCAGATCTTCGGTGTTTTTCTTCGTTGTAATCATGGTAGCAAATTTGACACATATTGTCCGGATTCCAGTCATCAGTCTTAGATTCTGCAGAACGCTCTGAAGATTTTTTTTTATATTTGGTAAGCGTTAAGAAAACGCCACCTAACTGAATATTCATTATAGATCGGTCGAATGATTTTTCAAACAGGTAAACAAGGCGCTGCTCAAGAAAACATTTCGATTCAAACCACTTTTTTAAATTTTTCGAAGCGGCATTTCTTTTACCATTCGGAGCAGAATTAAATCTCTTTTCAGCCATTCTATATGCACAAAGAGCCTGATCGTAGATCATTTGTACATATTTGAAAACATCGTAGCAATCTTAATTTCGTTAAGAATACCTGTCCAAATGAAAGCTTACCTGAGTCCGGAGTCCATTTTGCTGCTTCTTTGCAGCATTTTCCAAGCCAAAAATTTTTGAATGAATTGACCGCCTTGCATTTTTGAATAGGACATTTGAATTTTGCATCAGTATTTTTAAAACGTAGTTTTGGCATTGGGTCTTTTATGTGCATAGAGCACGATTCGCAATAAACTTGATTTTTGAAAGCTACGCTTCTCTCTTGACCGCTTAAAAATTGTCAAAAAGATATAAAGGGTTGATTTTATACCACTTGCAAATACAACATTTTCCATGTTTACCCTTACTATGGAAGAATTTTTCGCCGATTTTCAAAAGATGGCGAGGCATTTCTCTTCGGTGAATTAAAAATGAAAGAATAAAGACGATGAAGGATGGGATGATTCAGACAGAAAATTGACGGATTGCCGCTTTTTATACTTAAACACGCGTGAGAAGACAAAATATTTGACAATTTCAAGGGCGTCTCAGAAGAAATTACCCAACCATTGACAATCCAACGTGATCTTCTTGAGTAGTCAGCTCTTTCTTCTTGGCGTTAGTTTTGGCAAGCGGTGAGTAGCTTCGTCCGGTAAGCGTGCGGGTGTGATGTAATCGAGCCTAAGAAGTCTGCTTATGCGGAATAATCGCCAGCCATCCGATCGAGGAGGACTTTTAGAAGCTTTCGTAACGCTAATTGAACCATATTCCGGACAAATAGAATTCCACGCGGCCATATTTTCGTCGTCACTTCAGAATTTCGCCTTGTAAAAGACGGCGAATCTCCAAAAGAAGAACTGATTGATTTGCAAGATCTTCCTTTTGAGGAGCATCCGGAAAACTTTTTAATAATTTTACGTCATCGCGAAAAAGGGAAGAAGAGCCAAGTGGTTCTAGCGACGGCGATCATACAAGTGCGCTAACCAAGCGAGGGAGAAACTGATACGGGAAAGGTGCGAGCAGGGATTAGAAAGATACTGCACAACCGAGTTGGACGAGGAACGTCCCTGATTCAGTTTCATTGACTCAAGCCAACTTTTTTTTTTCTAATGGATGAGCTTTGGGAAAGAAAGAGGGTAGAAATGAACTCTGCTTATTCTTAGAAGCACTCATTTTTCTATGGATATTAACTTTGGGATACCCATATTCATTGAGAAAAGAAACTTCGAGATTTGAAATATGATGAGTAAGGGTATCCCAAGGTCAGTTCGACGAGAAAAATTTGAGTATGTTTTCCGGTTCAATTTTGATCCGAAAAATGTTCTTGCTTTCGGATTTTCGTTCAGAAATGAGGAAAAAGGATTGATTTGCATTTTCTTAATTGAGTTAATATTTGATGACTCATTCCTTCAAAATCACCGCCGATTCTTCTCGAAATCAAAAGCTCCCTCTGTCGCCATCTAGATCTAGCGCAAACGCGCGCGCGTGCATGCACAAGCCGCGGCGCTCGCGAGCTATCCTGAGCCTTCACGAGTCCTCGCTGTCTCTCGCGCGCATCCTCTCCACCGCCGGATTCTCTTTGATGATGCGAGTATACCCAAGCTAAATTCAAATCCAAAATACACAAAATTTCAATTTTTCATTTCTAAGCAATCGAGAAAGATTCCAAGAGATTTAATTATTAAAAGAAGACAACTGTGCAAAACTTATTTGTAAGTAAAAATGCCAGAGAAAAAAGGGGGCTTTTTGTTTGTTATTTTTGAAAATCTTGAAGATCAGATTTGCGGCTATATCTCGCATAATTATTTTTCCCAGAAATATATTTTATATTTGGCTTTTTACAGCAATTTTTCATCAATAATCCCATTATTTTTACTTGAATAAAAATAACGATAAATTTTTTTGCGCCATTTTTTAGTGAAAATTGGAATAAAATTAAAAAATATATGTTTTAATAAAAAATTTAAATATTTTTTGATAATTTGAAAAAAAAATCTTTTTGATTGAATAAAAATATCATTAAAATTATATTTTTAATCAATAATCTTAAACTAAGGGTAAATACGGAATTATATAATGAAAAATGAAAAAAGTTCGACAATCGACTTCCGGCTTTGTTTAGAAATTCTCAGCGATATACGTTTAAAACAGTTTCCTGACAGCTAATTCCGTCAGAAGGGTATCAACTCGGCTTGATCCATCCACACCTAGAAAAAGGAATTATCAAAAAAATGGTCAATATTACGATCCCCCTAACCAACCGGTAATGCAGAGACACACGAAACTATTGTGATCTAAAATAGATCAATAAAAAGCTCCTTTCGCTAAAAAACGAAAAATATTTTGGAAACGCGAACGAAAAATACGAAAATACGCCGAAATGTAGTTTTTTTCTGAACTGATTTGAATCCAAAATACGAAAAAAACGTCGATTTATAATTGATTTTTCTTCAATAATTGAGCCACGGTATCCTATCTAAAACCATCGAAATTTTGGGCGGGTCCGTCAAAAAATTTTCACGCTAAAATCGGATCAAACGTGCTGGATGTCTCTTTCTGAGCTTCTAGCGCTGGTGACTTTCGAATTCAAAATCCCATTTGAAATTTCGCATCACAACAATCTGACATATCGTGAGAGAGAGAATTACGCAAAAGCGTAAAAATCCAATGTGAAATGCGCGCTCAAGAGAGCAAAAAAATTTCAAGCGCAGCCCAAAAGTCGCCGCTGATTTGGCGGATCAGTTCTAAAAGCGGTCGACACGGAAAATTGACAAACCAGAGTTTTTCGAGTTTTTTCTTTCGTGCACTCTATGTACTCGGAAAATAAGATAATTAGAATGGTTGAACTCATTTTCTTCGTACAACTAGCGAATATAGATGTAGAAATTTTGGCGCAGTTTTGACTAGGATTATGAATTGAAGCCGCGAGCAGTTATTTTATGATTGTACTACTGTAACAATCGAATATTATTGAAGATAAGAGCTAGAAATGATACAAAAACCTTCCTCACGGGAAAATACTCCTGGGAGGGCCCTTTCAACGAGTTTGTTGTTCGTCCAGAGAGTCCTCAAGTTAACGGTTTTTAGTTATAATATTTTTGAAAGGTAACAGTTAAAGTAATCCGTTGAAATCGAGGTCTTTCAGAAGTATTTTGCTGGGAAACCCCTTTAAAAATTATTTTCTTTGTGGAACTAAAATGGTTAATTTTTCCGGACATCTTCGTCCTTTTCAGTAATGAAATCTGATAATTTTTAAGCAGCAATTAGACAGCGTTTGAGGTTAACTCTTAAGCTCGTCAAAAATCGTTCGAAATATTCGCTGCGAAAATAAACCGTCTGCGCAAAGACATAAACAGTATGATCGCGCGCGTAAATCTGATACAAATATATTTTCGGTGCTCGTGTACCAAAAGACGGACTCTTGCATTTTCCACTTTAGCCTTCTCTTTTTGTTCGTTTCGCCGTTAGGGGTGAAAATATTCCGAAAACTGCTCAAATGCTCTTGAATGCAAATTTCGCGATAATACTAACTTTCACGTCAAAAGAAGTACTGTAGATAAATACTGTTTTCTGGAAAGCTTTTGGATGAGACAGCTTTGGTCCAAAATATTTGAAAGATGATTCTCTCTCGATACGATATTAAAGAAGAAGACATCCTTTTCTAGCAGATTTTCTTGGAATTTTTTCTTTATATTTTGTAATGTTGAATCCCTTATTTTTTCTCAAACGATAATTTCGACCGAGATCCATAAACATCACCTTTGTTTAATTATTTGTCAAGTTGACCAAAGAAGACTTATTGACAATAAGTTATTGTCCAGAAAACTCGACAAGCCGCTTGCGGCTTCGAGGAAGAATATCATAGCCGCTTTTGCGCGGCTTTCTCATTCATCTAACTCAAATTCGCAAGAGGCATCTCGATATTTGTTGATTAGTGTTGAATTGCCAATGCATTAATTTTGAATTCAACTTGCAAATACAATTTTGTAATTTCTTTAATAAATATCCAAAAATGACCGTCTTCTTGGCTCGAATAAAATGTCCGCACTGGAGCGTAATGCGGTGAGAACTAAGGTGATGATGCAACTACATGACCGCACGTGGTCACACTGTGCATCCGGTTCTAAATGGCAAAGTGGTCTTGGCTAAATTTAATTTCGTTAATTTTTGGTTTATTTAGAAATGCAAATATTCGTCTTTTTCGCAATAAATTTACCAGCAGCATACTGTTTTATTTTGAGTTTAACATTTCGATTATGAAATAAACGAGATCTTTATTTGTCGAAAAAAAGGGAAGACACTTTCAAAAGCAAGCCCGTTTTGTTTTCTTATTGAATTTATTGTCTTAGCCGCGAGTTTCAAGTTCTATCGAGTTTTAAGCCCAGTGAGTGGCGGATTAGCGATTGCGCCGCCTTTAGTAGAACTTTGAGTAATTTCTCATTTACAGTTTTGTCAATAAAGCAAACAGAAAAGCAAGATTTTTAGAAGATTAAAAAAAGAACACTTTTTTCAAAAGGGTAGATAGCAGCGTAAAAAAGGGGATCTTATCAGTTCTCAAAAATACTCTCTCTTCTAAAAATTGATCCACTTAAAATTCGGCGAGCACGGGTTGATAACCTTAACTCCAGGAAAAGGAGAAAAAAAGGAACATAACTTTAAACCGGATCAGGATTTTTGATCTTGTCGGACAACGAGTTTCTAATTTGCTGAGTCGAGCTTCCAACTAATCTTTTCTTTTTTGGAGTTGACTGAATGACAATTATTATGAATGTAGATTTCTTCGGCCAAGATCGGATATGGTTAGGGTTGCGACGACAATGTATTTTCTGATGTCGATGATAAGATTTCTCATCAAGGGTTAGGGTTAGGGTTAGGCTTTAAGTTGATAGTGTCTGGAAGACATTACTATTGCTTGTAAAGGATTGTTAACCCACTATCGCATATTAGGCTTAAAATTGCTCATTTTTAACAAAAATTGATTTTCGAGGTTCTGATTGGCCAAAATCCCCTTATTATTTTGATGGCTGAGAATCGGCAATCTTGGGTCGATCTTCAGAAAGTCGATTGATAATTTTGGATCTGGATTTTCGACATAACCCTAACCCTAACCCTGACCCCAAAAATCATCGTTCTAGGAATATTATTTTAAAAGGCTCAATTAAAAACAACTTTATCTCATTTTCGCTATTCAACTGCTATCGCTTATCAGGAAATGTTATTTTTATTTTCGTTCAAAACAACGAAAGATAGATTTTTGAAGCGATTAAATCGTGACAAGGAGCCACGATCAGGGCCCGCTTTGTGTCCAAATGTTTTGCAGCGCCAGAAATATTTAATTTTCAAAAAAGGGATGAATTTGCATTTCGATGCATTTTTCGGCGCGGATTTTTTCTTCCGGGGATTTAAGGAGAATATTTTGTTTAGAAAGGCAGAAATTAATAGACGGCAGACTTATGGTGTATTTGCTCGATAGAGGGCGCAATTTTCGAAAATTCTTTCTCCTGATTGGTTGTTCAGACAATTATCTTTTCTGTAAAAAAGAGGGATTATAAGACCAAAATTTTAAGGTGCGATATTTTTGAGAAGATCTCTTAGATTGATTTTTTTTATCGATAGAGGGCGCAATAATGAAATTTACTGTTTTCTGATTGGTTCGTCAAAAAATGTTCTTTTTTGTTGAAAAAAAAATTATTAGACCGTACCAAGTTCTTGATGCTCTGAAAAAACGCTCTGCTCTTGATTCTTCTTCGATTTTTTCTTCGGAAAAAGGGATGATCTTGACCGGATCTAAGGAAGAAGACGTAGCTTTGGATTTCTGAACGCGTTTGATCCGTTTAATTCGCGCGAGAAGAGCGTGGATTTTCAACCGCCTTAATTTAGAGCTCAGTAACGTTTTCGAAAAGGATCAATGTCCGTGGCTCGTTCTTTTTTTGAACACTAAACGAGATCACGAGGCTTACTAACGATTGAGCTCTAAAAATGGCAAAATGGACAAAAATGGCTTGTTGAGACAATGCTTGATACTGTTGCCTCTGTAGCTTAGCCCGCTTATACAGTCGTTTTGGACTTTAGGAGCGTTATTGCCGGTATAAATAAGGGCTAATTGAATCAATCGATAATTTTAACAGTTCTTATTGATATCTAATTGTCCAAAACATCTGATGTCTACATCGTCCAATCAGAACAGCAGGATGAAAGATTTGTCCAAGTTCTATTAGACCAGCCTAGAAATGACCGAGTTATTTCCTCTTTCTCATGAATTTCAACAGTTCTTTTACTTTATTTTATAAATAATAGTCGATTAATCTTTCGGTTGACACTCCCGTTGTCGATTCCATTTCCAATGTAAGAAAATTAATAGTTTAATAACCTCCTGTTTGAAAGATTGGTCGTCGTAGGAACAAAGCTATTTCCCCAAAAACACCATCTGCTCTCCATTTTTCGCCAATTCAGCTAAATCACCAATCGGCATTTATATCCTTTCGCAATCGCTTTTTTTAAAATATCAAGAACACTGCTATGCCAACTCTCGTAAAACTTGAACCAGCGCATCAGAAAAATAAATTAGAAAAATGAGGATGAGCTAAATTTGAACCTCGTATTTTGGGATCAAATAGAATAAGCGTTTTTGGAAAAATATATAAATATGTTAGAGGGCGCAAATCTCTGATCTTCAAGACTTTTTCAGCTTGTTGGTGGATGATCAAAAAATTATAAATGAATCACGGTTGATTATCGCAGTTAGAAACTAGCTCATAATTATAGGAAGAGTTATAGTATTATTGAGCTAAGCTAGCTACAGTTGGTATGGTCAATTTTGCAGCGGTCAAATTAGCAGATTTTGCTTAAAATCGAAAAAAATTAAAAAATCGTTATTTTCCCGGAAAAGATAGGACAAGGAACAAATCGAGCGAGTAAAAGAGTACGTGATACCAAAGGAATGATTTTGATGGATAGCTTATCCAGGATAGGGTCTTGATTGGCCGGTAGGCCAAATAAAGCAATCTTATTGGCTCCAAAAAATGGTTGTAGGCTGTCAATAGGAGATTTATCTCCTAGTTCGTACTTTTGCGAAATAGGAGTTTTTTCTCCCATTGACCGCGGTCAAGAATCTTTGAACTGGGAGATATTTTTCCTGCGACAGGGGTCGTCGTGTGCCTCTTACCTGGGGGCTTCGGCCCCTAGGTCCTAAGATGCCGGGGTCTAGTCTATTGTTAGTTTGGGTTCCCTACCAAAAAATATCCTATTTCGAAAAAGCACGAACTAGGAGCTTAACCCCTGCCCGCATATCGACCTACGCGTAGGTAAATTGGCTTTATATCCTTTCGAGAGTTTTATCACGACTGAAAGACCCTCAAAAGGCCCGACCTACGCGTAGGTTGATATGCGGGCAGGGGTAACAAATTTTTCATGCGGGCAGGGGTTAATCTCCTATTGACCGCATATTACCCAAAAAATCGCTTCCTTTGGTGTACGTTACTATATTATTCACTCATTTCGTGTCTCGTCTTATCTTTATTGTTCCTTTTCTTTGTTAGTGCCCAATTCGATGATTTAAAAATTCTGATCTCAAAATTCGGAAATTTTTTGAGAAAATGGTCAATTTAGCATATTTTGTTGAAATCTGCCAAAAAAACTACCTGCTAATTTGACCATACCCACTGTAAGTTGACTTAATTTCTAGGTTAGCTAGATCAGCTCAAAACATTTCCAGGGCACCAACCAAGAAAAGAAAGTGGATTTCTGGAAGACCAATAAGATTGGTGTATTTGGCCTACCGGCCAATGAAAACTCAGATCTACAAAATCACTTCCTTTTCTTGGTTTTGCCCATTTTTAGGCGATAATCGGGAATTTCGATACGTTGAAAATATATTTCTAACATTTTTTATTTTAGATCTATTTCCTGCCATGCTTTCCTGCAACATCAGCATTAAAAACCTGCGTTTCAGATTGTAAATATCGAAAATCATAAATCGGATCTCTATCTTTCTAATAATCAACTCTTTTGTAAAAGTAAAACATAAAATTTGGGACGTGCATATTTGTAAACCGTAGAATCATACGAGTAGTTTTCTTTTTATATTAATTTTTGAACAATCGAAGTCTTCTTAATAAATTTCTGTATCGAGAAGGAGAAACAGGACGAGCTTTTTGGCCGATTTTTCTTGTAATAATTTTGATAACTAATTTTTGTAGAGAAAAAAGTACAAGAAAAAGGGGCAAATAAGACTCGATAAGAAACGAGTAAGAGGAAAGAAAACACAAGATGCGCCTCTTACCTTGGCTGCTTGGTATAGCAGGACACGTGTTAAAATTCTAGATTCATATACTAAGATGCTGTATCCGAGATACAGAAAAATAGGATACCGATGTTATCAAATTTATTCTCTGATTAAAAAAGAGGCGCTTCTTCCACTCCTGGAAGAAAAAAGAAGATACCTGCTTCTGATTGGCTCGAATCGAGGAAATTATTTTAAGCCAATCAAAAACGGGATTTTATCATTTTCTTCATGGTTAAAAAAAAGTCCTCTAACTTGATCAAGTAGCGCTAAAATTTGATATGCTCGGTATACATCACTTTCTGTAAGAGCTTAAAAACCGGGCCCGTAAAGGTTTAACCCGTGAAAGCCCCCGTGTTAGGTGTGGTGCGCTATACAGTCGACACAGATTCAGCTGACATCACATGGTCCGAAGGTGGCAATGCCAAAATCCTCCTCGCCAGATTGGACGCTAGAGAGCTAACTATCTCCGAAACGGTAAGAGCTTTGAATGTCTAAATTGATTTTTCGAATATTTTTGGTCATTTTTTGGTAATTTTGAATTTTTTGCATAAGCAAAGAATTTTGTTTGTTATTACTCTGCGGCCGAGGGTTGAGCATTTTGTTGGACATACGTGGAATTTACAGATGCTCAATTTCAATTTGAAAATTTGTGTTTAAAGTCACACGCGTGAAAATACGGCTCGAACTCGAGCCTATCGCACAAGGGCAACTCACGGGCCGCGACCTAAGAGGGTTTTTGTTAGAACCAGTTTATTTGATGAAAATACAACACGAGGAGAACACGGTATTTTTGGTTACTTACTGCAGGTCTTCTAATGCATTTTGTTACAGTAGGATTACGTAAAAGCAGCTTAGCAATTGTAAGAGTTGCAATTTTGAGAAATCATCGTCGAAACTTGGCACCAGCCAAATGCGTATTTCCACCCAACAACGACGATGTTCATTGAGGGTGAAGCCAAAGCAACGGGGACTGAAATTGAGTTTTTATTTTTCCTTAAAAATCTCAATCTCTCACCGAGGGCAATAAAATAGTATTTCTTTCGGCCATCGTTCCGGTAGATCCAAAAGATGATGAAACCTGGGGCTAAATAAGTATGAGCGTTAGGAAAACAAATTTTCCTAACTAACCGATCAAATAACCAAGGACAACGTGAACAACGCTCGCGCCAACTGGATAATTCAGCGTCATTTTATTCCAACAGATTCCAAGTCTCTCGTAGCAATTTCTTAGCTTGTTACGTTTTGCATAGAATACAGAAGGAGTAATGAAGTCAAGGTGAATGTACTGAAATCCTGACGTTGTCTTAATAAGTGTGTAGAAATTTTTTTTACACAATTGTTTAAACCTCAATTGATCGAAAATCATGGAAAAAAGCTTTTCCGCAGCTTGTTCCTCGCATCATGCCCATTAAACGATCATACGCACTAACTTTGATAGAATTATAAAAATGAATTTTGGTTATCTTAAAAGTATGCCCCACCTGCGAATGGACCAGCTTGAGTTTCTTCTTTAAAAACAGTAGCATTGAAATGAACGCCTTAATTTAAAAAACTATAACGTTCAACTCGAAATAATAACCTCTTATAAGTGGCTCGGCAAAAACTGATCCAAAAACCAAAATAAAAATATTCATGTTCATTCTGTCTTGACACGAATGTGACTAGTTTCATTCGAGTCTACGGAATCGAAACTGTGTTTGTGTGTTAGATTATGAGTAGGCTCTATCAAAATATAACACTTGAATTCGACGTCAATGATATTGATACGAAATAAGTTAAATTTCAAGCATACTAATAGAAAAGTATTTTTAAAGGAACACTCCAAAAGATGAACGCTCGTCACATGAGTAGTTATCTATTTGAGTGTTCCAAAAGATAGCCATGTAAAATATAGACCAACTGTTCCCAACCTTCCATCACGTGACTCTCAGTGTTCTCGTAAAACAAATCGGCGATAAGCACCCGCTGCGCAAAGAGTCGACCACAAGATATCATTTTGAGTATTCTCAGCCCCGTTTCCGTAATCATTATCAGCCGCCCTGCTGCATATGAAGAAGATTATTGCGTCGTCTTTTCCAAAAATATTTTCTAAATAGAAACTCATCTTATTCAAAACATAGGCACTAAGTCGGCCGGATAAGCCGGGCGCGCGTGAAACGCGCATTTTAGACGCAAATGCTTTTTCAGTCGGAGTTGAGTTCCTAATTTTCCTTCTAGGGTCGTCGCGGATCCCATACCTTCCGCGACTTATCACCAGGCGCTCTGTACCGACTAGACATCGTCCCTGAAGATGGCGAGCGCCAAGTCATCAAATTCAACACGAAACCAATTCCAGTACCAAAAGTTTCCACATCGAAATTTTACAGACAAGCGCCCGACAGCGAATCGACCCAAGTTTTTGGAGCAGTTTTGTATTGGACGCCACCAGCTGGTGCTCTCGATGGATATGCCGTTTCTGTCCAGGTAAGAAAATCTTAGCTCAGTAGTGATTAGCTGAGCAGTCCAGCTCAGCCAGGGTTTTAAAAATAACACCTCTAATGAACGAACTTATCTTTTTCGCTTGGTTAGTAGAAATTTTACTCAACCGGTTATTAACCTTAACCCGGATCAGTAGATCAGCCAGATATACGTACGGCCCATCTAATTGTGGTCAGTCCTTTGCCAATCATTCAATCAAAGCCGCTTTTGATCTCAAAAAGAGGATCAGAATTAAATTTTTGCTCTTTGAACTTCTCTTGTTGCACTTCGTATTAAGGGTGTTTCCCTCGAAAAAGGGCGAATTTCTGGCTAATCTACAGTCTAATCCCTATTGTTATCGGCCATTTTTCTTCATTTAGGATTGAAAGTATAGCTTTAATATTATTTAAAAATAAGAAAGACACCCCCTTAATTTTTTTCAGCCAAATCACGGCGAAATAAAAGCGCCCGTGTACCAGAAAAACGGCGAATCCCGAACCGACAACACCCAGCCACGAAGAGTGGTCACCGGCCTCGAACCCGGCTTGGAATACAACTTCACGATTGAATCGACCGCTGGAAATGAAAAATCCGCGCCGACGATTTTCAACACGCGAATCCGTGAGTAACATTTTTTTTTTCTAAAAACGGAAAGTACGTGAAATACACGTGTTAACTTGCTGCTGCGATTACCGCCACGTTAGGGGACGGGGGTCGGAGAAAGTTAGAAATTTTTATCGAAAGAGGGGTAATTTAGAAATTAAAACTGTGAGAAAAACATGTTTGAGTTTCATCTAAAATTTAATTAACCCTAAATGGGAAGACATCATTAATTCGATTTTCGAGTAATTCCTTCTCCAGAAGTGACTTTATTCACCTCTTGAATTTGTTTTATGAGCATTATTGAACTAATTATTGAACCTTATTTTCTCCCCGGTCCATTAGCTGCTCCTTGAAATCAAGATTACCTTTCACAGTCGGATTTTTGGTAAATAAACGCCGCGGATGAACTAACCCATGTCATTGGCAACCTTTCTTCGCCAACCACAATGCCCGTGTCTTGAGATTTTCCACAACTAACAGTTTAATCGCGCCTGCCCGCTCAATAAATAGCATCTAGATAACGTGTTACTTTGTAGCTCCTGAGACTCCGGGTCCAATCGAAGTGAAATCTGTCGACTCCCGAAGCGCCGTTTTGGACTGGCAACGCGAGCACCGCGGTTTTCTGGATGGTTTTTACCTCGAAACAGTGCCTCCAGAGGGCGAAATGATTCGGCCAAAGCGAAATACAGACAAACAGCGAGAAGTAGCGGGCCTCAAGCCGGGCAAAAAGTACACTGTCAAGGTGCACTCGACTGCTTATGGTCTTTTGAGCTTCCGGCCTTCGGAGCGCTCGATAATCACCCTCCCGGAAGCGCCACTAGGAGACTTGGTCGTCATCTCCCGTGATCCCGTCAATGTCACTCTATCCTGGACGCCGCCAGATGGCGAGGCACAAATGTATCAGATTCTCTACTACCCGACCGACTCTGACGCGCGAAAGCTCAAGGAACTCTCGATCAACTCCACCATAACGCTCACCAATCTCGACCCAGGAACCGAGTACAACTTCGAAATCGAGACAATCTCCAACGGCCTTCACTCTGACAGTAAAAGCTTCGACCCCATCGCGACTCCACCACTTGGAATCGAAGACCTAACTGTCATCGACAAGGATTTCACCAGCGTCTCCATCGGCTGGAATCACCCAAAACCCGACAATGTCAAATACGTAGTCGACTACTCTCCCAACTCTCGGAACTCATGGCCAGTCGGTCCATTTATCACCACGGACACCCTTGCAGCTGTTGACGGTCTTGAACCCGGACGAACTTACGTCTTCAACGTTTACGCCGTCGCCAACAATGTCGAATCCGAGCCAAAGAAGATCAAGGTTACCTTGCCTGTTCCAGACAAGCCCTCAAAAGTAGAAATCTCTGAAGTCGCCGATACATCGTTCGAAATCACCTGGGAGTCCCCCTATGCCGATGCCACATTCACCGTTGATGTCCTCAGCGTCGCAGGCGGTCACGTGGATGGCTTCCCAATCAGCACTAGCGAGAAAGGCTACTCTGTTGAGGGATTGGATCAAGGAGAAGTCTACAAGGTCACTGTTTCTACAGTCCTAGATGGCTTCACTACTGACAAGAGCGCGATGCAAGTCGAAACTTTCAAAAACTCAGAAGATACCATCCTCTTTTCAAGCAACAGTGATGTAGAAATGGAAGTCATTGACGCCACTATGAATCAATTCGCTAGCTACATCCTTAACGCAATCGACGACGAATCCATTTCCCTCGGAATCAACGTCTCTCCCGAGCCGCATTTCATCAACAACGATAAATTCGCCGTACTCTCTGTTTCGATCCACGCGAAGCCGAGCGTTCTTAGTCCGGAAATGCTGAATCAGTTGTTCAAGGACTGGAACGACGACCAATCCGAGGACAGTAAATACTTCTCCGACGTTATTGACACGAATTTGAACGAATGCAAGATGAGAAATGCCTGTAGTGCAAATTCAAAATGCGTGGACAAGGAAATACTGTACACTTGCCAGTGCAATGAGGGATATCTTGACCAGACTGATGAAGTGGTCAATTCTGATAAGATTTATACGCTGGAGGGACAAGTTTGCCTGGCGGATTTGGAGGATAATTGTGTCAAGTAAGTTTAAAAATTTTTTTATTATTCACGACGAAATTATTTACCGAAATATAATTTGTAATTTATATTTATCGCTCTTCTCAATTTAAAAAAATACTCATTGAGTGAAAGAAAAATTATCATTATGGTCTTTGAGAATCGACTGCAGTGAGAAATTTCATTTTCTATAATTTCTCTTTTAGTGTCGTATTTTCTCGAAATAGAAAGAATGCGAACATGAGGATCAAGAATGTTCTCACTTGTTGTTTTCACGCGAACGGTGATCACGTGATCCACTCTGTAGATCAATCGCGTGGTCAAGAGGATTATCCGTTTTTGTTCACCTTTCTGTGACTGACCTTTTTGCAGACGAGAAAGTACATTCAGTCATAAGATCACGTGAAAAAATAAGATTCAAGAAATCTAATTTTCTCTGACTCAAAAACAATTTTTCATTAAAGAAAATTTTAGTCACGTTTTTGAAAAAAATATTTTCAAAAAGTTGTTTCATAATTAGACGTCTCATGAAAATAGAAAGGTGTTGATTATGATTAATTTATCTCCTCTAGCACCGATTGGAAATTCCAACGCCAAGGATATGTCGTCGTGCGGCGCAATATGCCCGAGCTGGCCGAATTCTCCATGTGTTTCAAAATGACACTCAACAGTCCAAAACTTCAAGGCACAATCGTCAGCTACAGACACGAAGGATCAAAGTTGCTCATGTACCAGCAGAAGAATCGGCTGTTTGTGAATGTGAACGGAAATGAGATGTACGAGCTCGCAAGTTATTTTCAAGAAGATGTGGTTTACTCGATTTGTTTGGCTGCTAATGGTAAGATGTTTTTTTCTTGTTTTTGAGATTAGACGGCAGAAATTGTTCTCAGGCATGATTATACTCAAGTACATCATGGGCTGCGTGTGCTAAAATACCCTTAAATACCTATTTGCAACCCTTATCATCTACACAATTTTCTGAGTTAGTTTAAAAATTCACATTTTGACGAATATAAAAAAATATAATAAAACTCGTTTTGTATCTTTTTTATGGTTCTCGATTTTAAAATTTCTTTTTCAGATGATTTGATCAAACTCATCGTCAATGGCGAAACAATGCAGTCACTGAAGCCTGAAAACTCCGTCAAGCTCCTTGGCGGCGGAAAAGTTCAAATCAGCCACGATTCAGAATGCAACCGCAAGTGCGAGCGCATTCGTGGCGACTTGGATGCTAGAATTGAGGTAAAACAACACTCTCCCGTTTCAATTCCAAAATCGTGTTTCAGGATTTCACAATCTGGAGCGAGGCTAAATCGACTGAGGAGTTGAAGAACTTCGCCGCTGGCGAGTGCTTGACGAATGGAATCATGACTTTGGAAAAAGAAGCGACCAGTCTTCTCGGACCAATGCCCGATCGGCCGAAACAGGAATCAGTTGATGATCTCTTCCACAACTTCGTGATCGCCACGATCTCCCCAAGTGGATCTCCTGGCTTCGCTGACCTGGCGACTAGAAGATGGACAACTCCTGCTTCTCCTTATCCAACTCCTGCTAATGATCCCACCAATAATCGATTTATCATTGAAACTGGTATTTATCAATCAAAATCAAATACGAGTTCTTTTTTATCTAAATCACCTCTTCCGAAAACGAATTTTCCAACCAGCCTCAACATTGAAGGAGTCTCTTTTTCTTAAATCGATCTCGTCCAATCAGAGGGCTTGATGATGAAATTCGTTATCGAAAGAAACCAGTGTAGATTTTACGAAAAAAAATTAACTTTCAAAAACTATTTTTTCAATTAGTAGCACCACCTGTGTACCGAGCTGATGGCGGAGAAGACCATGAAGAAATAGCTCGACCAACCTACGCTCCTCTGCCCGACCAGGAGGTCTCCATCAACAATCTTTTCAATACAAACGTCAACGAAATCATCGGCAAACCCGAAGTCATCGACAGCATCAAAACTCACTGCAATCCTGACAACATGACTATTGTCGCAGAAAAAGCGATGATTGATGATTATGAGAAGAAATACGGACCTTTGGCCTTGTCTGATCCTAGTTGTGGTCGAAGAACTCAAGGTTCTTTTCTTAGTACTTTTCAAGTAGACACCCTTAATTCGAACTTCCCGTTTGGCTTGATAAAGATTTACAGAGGCTTCAAGATATAAAAAGAGTCAAAAATAAGGGATAGAGAGCCTTAATTTGATCTTTTTTGGGACTTGTGAACTTCTAAAGGAGCGATTCTTATCACTCCACTATTCGTCCCTTATCGATCGTCCGATACGTGTGGACAGCGGAAATCACGTTTTGCATTTTGGCAAGATATCTAACGCTCAATTCTAGGGAAGAACTACGTTTGGGAAATATCGCCCGATCTCCTCGGCTGCGGAAGCACGCTCGAGCTCACTGATACGCATGTGACCTTTGTCAACTCGCTCTCGACGGCCAGTTCAGGAAATGGGATACAATTATTGAAGAGCTTTATCCACGAATAATGCAATTGAAAAAGCTCCGTAGCAGTTTGGCATATTTTCAGCAGGAAAGCCAAAGTATAATTGCGCGAAACAACGTGATTTTTTGTGCCAAAAAGGTGTCACGTGCTCTCGAAGGTTTGATAAGAACCATCGAATTTCATCCCATTCCGCAGCAGAAGAGACTATCACGGCAAAAGGAGGGATCATCTTCGGCAACCAGCTGAGCGCCCGTCAGACGACAAAAGTCTCCATGGAAGTGTCTTGTCAATTCCCGCTGGATTACACCGTCACTGCTGAGTACCCGTTCTTGCCACAGATCTCGATGAACATTATCAAATTCAACGTGACGGATTATGGAGAGTTCTCTGCGCTGATGCAGCTCTTTGACACTGATGCTTTCGAAAGACCGTTCGAAGGAAGCCCGGAAATTGAAGAGGGAGAATTGCTGAACGTTGGAGTTTCGTTGCTTGATGTTACTGTAAGTTGCCCAAATTAATACAAGTTTTTTCGAGAACTCATTATCGAAACCATAACTATTCGAAAATGATTGTTTTCAATGATTTTTTAACTTGACTAGTCGATGATTAACTCACTAAAAAACCGAATTCAAACCTTCTGAGAAGCCCCATAGAGGTAATAGATAGAATTAGATTAACTTTCTTAACCTTTTCTGATATGATCCCAGTCGGGGAGCTACGACTCGCCGGGATTTTCACGACTTGCCGGGACCTTGCATAATAAGTCCCGGCGAGTCGTAGCTGTTCTAGAAACTCTGATATAAATACGCTCAATCTTTCTAAAATAAGGGTTAGGGTAAAAGTTCTACCAAATTTAGCTTTGCAAAACTGATGAAAGTTTACTTTAAATATTCTTTCTTTATAACATGCGACATATTTTATTGTTAAATTTGGTTTTTAACTGGGTGCTTAGTGGTTTGACAGTGAGATTGCCAACCCAGGGTGGAAGCACCGTGTAAGTTTGTATTTAAGTGATTTTTCTATTTTAATATTAGGGTTAGGGGTCAAAAAGATTTAATTGCCAATGATATTTGTTCCGATAATATTCTATTGAAAACTGATTGAAAAAAATCAATAATCGGCAAATTTTTCATTTTTTTACTTCCGTATAGCTCTGTCATCTAGAGTTTCTAGAACATCAGCTACGACTCGCCGGGATTCTGCACATTTAATCCCGGCAAGTCGTAGCTCGGCCAGAAATCCCGGCAAGTCGTAGCTCTCCCATCCCAGTCCTAGGACTGCTAGAGCCAAGTGAGAAATTAGTTTCACAGTAGCCGTGATTTTTTCGTATTTACGCCTCTTGAGCTGCTTGAGACGTGCTTTCCACGTTTCCCGATAACGAAGGATAACGATCTTGATTCATCCCTCGTCGAAAAGCTTGAAATTGAGGTTTACGCTAATAGCGCTACATTCTAGCGTTCCTTTCAAAATTGTGTTTCCTTTTCGGCCGACTTGTTCAATCGCGCCCGTTGTTGCGGTCAGACTCTGTCATGGTCAGATTCTAGCGATGACGGGTCCTAGGATTTTCGTCTTATGCATAATTCCGTCCAATTTCGAGGTCAAGATTAAGGCCCACCCGAGCGCTTTTTTAAATTCCAAGTCCGAGCTCAGAATTGAAGAAAGGCTGATCCGGTAATTTCCGGGCGGCTGATCCAGCTTCCCGAGGAAACGACAATCTATTAGCGTCACTGAGCTCTACCCTTTTTTTTCGCTGAGTTTTAAATTTATTTTTCGAAGGAGAAAGTTTCGAAATGAAATAAAAGGATGAAGGAAGTCCGGATTAGTGATTTTTCTTTGATTTTTTCATCATTTGAAATTGATACATTTGATTTTACTTCTTCCGAACTTTGAATTTTTTACTGATGTCAGCGATAATTTGCAAGGGTTCACTAAAAACTTGGCTGCCAGAGGTTTTTAACCTTCTGACGCACGCGATGACAAATTAAATCAAGCCCGGCCAGATGCCGGGAAGTTTTAGAAGTTGATATGACTCGCTCTAGCGTGTTTTTGATCATTTATAATTTGATCATCTGGAGTCAAGATCGTTGTCAAATGCATATTTATAATGATACCTCTCTTTTTTACACACCTTTTCAGGATCCCAACGTTCGCGTGACCCTCCAAGAATGCTGGGCAACTCCAGAATCCTCCCCCGCCCACGAGCTCCGCCACGATCTCATCGCTGATGCCTGTGGTGTCCCCGGCGTCCTGGACAACACATTGGACATCGTCTCCAATGGCGACTCAAGAATGGCGAAATGGCACGGATCCGTCTTCAAATTTGTCGGCTACGAAAATGTCTGGCTCCATTGCAACATCAAAGTCTGCTTTGCGGACAAAGCAAAGGGCTCGAAAATGAATAGAAATGAGATCGATTCATCTTATTGGGATTAAAAAGTTATATAATCAGGGATTCAGGTGCACAGCTGCGAGAATTTAAGGGGATAGACCGTTAGAGATTTAAAAGTTATCGGTTTTCACTTTGGAACATATTTTCTATATTTTGAAATTTTACTACAATTATTGTTTCAAGATATCAATGCATATTTCGTGCCATTCTTGTTCAAATAGGTTAAGATGGAAAATGGCTGATAAAGCTTTAGAAAAATGAATTTTTGGCGAGCCCTTCGTAGCCGATTGCGTGCCGAGTTGTACCGGAAGAAGTCGGCGTAGCGCGGACGAGGACGACCTGTTCCGCGTGTCAGTCGCTCATCCTATCAAATTTGTCGATTTCGAGGTCGAAGTCGACAACATGGTAGATTCCAGCGCAGATAAAGGTAACGACATCTAAACATCAACTCCCTGGGAAAAACTTAAATCTGTCTCTAAAGCCGCATAAAACAAAACTCGCATTTTTGTAGCCATAATGAACCGTTCTAAAGAAACGAATGAGAATAGCATCTGTTTCGTGAGGTGGACAAAGCACACCCTTAAGGATATAGCCTTGAATATTGAACTTTCGTAGCGCCGAATCCCTGTTACGAATTCATTCATTTTTCAAAGAAACCCTACCTAAAATCCAGCGTAGATTTCGAAAAAACCCTTATTTTTAGTACTTTCTATGGTGTTTGTACCTAAAAATCGACTTCAAAATAAAACAGACCGTCGTTCTCTGAAAATTTCCATTTAAAAGGTAAATCTGGGTTGATGATATGAATGATTGAAGCCTTATCTCCGATCTAGCGGTGGATTTTTTAAAAATATTGAATATTACGGCTTCTAGGAACTGGTTTATGATTGTACTTCGAAATGGAGAGTGGCGCGCGCTGCCAATCAGAGCGAGGGGAGAATCTCAGTAAGAGCTGTCGACAAAATTTCTCGTGTAAAATAGGATGAGCGATGGCTGAGTGAGATTTTCCCCTCGCTCTCATTGGCTGCGCGCGCCACTCTCCTTTTCGAAGTACAATCATAAACCAGTTCCTAGAAGCCGTAATATTCAATATTTTTGCAAAATCCACCGCTAGATTGGAGATAAGGCTTTAATCTTTCATATCATCAACCTAGATTTACCTTTTTAATGGAAATTTTCAGAGAACGACGGTCTGTTTTATTTTAAAGTCGATTTTTAGGTACAAACACCATAGAAAGTACTAAAAATAAGGGTTTTTTCGAAATCTACGCTGGATTTTAGGTAGGGTTTCTTTGAAAAATGAATGAATTCGTAACAGGGATTCGGCGCTACGAAAGTTCAATATTCAAGGCTATATCCGTAATCACAAACAGCGAAGAGAACAAACATAACATTTTCAGATCGCAGATGATCTAGTTTAGTAGTTTAGTGGAGTTATTTCTACAACAGCTTTTTTGAAAGACCAGAACTTGGAGAGCCCGATTTTCTCATTGATTTAACACGCTGACACCCTTATTTTTCAGGCGAAGGAATCATTACCGGTCTCGTCATCGGAGTTACCATCATCACTCTCCTACTCTTCAACGCCATTGGTCTGATCGTCCTGAGAAGAAGGAGGACGAAATTCATCGATATGCAGTAAACCGACGAAGAAGCGTAGAATTTTATTACGCGATAAATTATATATATATTCGCCCGATCAGCTTCCTAGCCAAGGAAGAACATGGCGAGACGCTATTCCTGTATAAATATTTTCTTTCTTTTTTCAAACTCACTTGCTGTACAAAACTTTTCAACCTATTCCGCCATGCATGACAATAATCAAGATAATTTAAGAACCGTTTGGTCAGGCAGATTAACCCTAAACCGCTGTACATGTGGCGATAAGTTAAGCTAGAGATGACCAAAACGGGTTAAATACGTAAAGTAATGAGTAAAACGGGTTAAACTCATTATGAATAGACTTATCGTGGCCGTTTTGAGCCGAAATACGCTGAAAAATCTCTAACCCATCGGCAACAAAGGTCCATTTTTGTGACTTTGGCCAGTTTTACTCAAATAGTTGCTCATTTTTCATGAGAAAACTTACTTCCCACGCTAAAAATATGCCCCTCTCTTGAACCTTTCGAGCTTTTCTTTCAAGATCTAATAAGAAAACAACCCTTACCCATTCACCAATAAGAAACCCCACAATAGTCACAATAGAAATAAAAATAATTTGAAAAGAATAAATTTCAAAAATTTTGGATTGTCCAAAAATGCGCGCGAGCAATCAAGTTTTTTGACAAATTCCGATTGTCTCTTGCGCTCTCTTTCTGTAAATATGAAATACTATCACCTTATACATACAATTAAATACACACAAATATAATTGGCGGTATAGTATCATTTTAAAACTGTAATAAAGTTATACAAAAGCCACTTTAAAAAACCTCGACTTTCGCTTTTTATGCATGAAAACGAAGAAATGTGAATATTTTTGCATATTTATTGTGAGCGCACTTATGGTATCTGATAAAGATTCTCGAAAGAAATCATCACAATATGATGATTTTCCGATTAATTCATAATTATTCATCCGTTTTGTTTTGTTCACATCATTTTAAAAAAGATAAAAATTAATTTCATTTCGATTTTGCTTCGATTTTGGTTCTGTTACTTGCACAGGATTTTTAAACCTTTTTGACATGCTTTATGTCTTTATGACGCCCTGAAACTTCAATAAAGATAACTATCAGCTAGGAATATTAAAGCTGAGAAAAGATCTTTATCGTCCAATAATTTCGGTAACAAGTGATCAGATTTTATTTCCCGGGAAAATTCAAATGAACAGCTCACACATTTCTTGAAGTGAACAGCGGTAGCGAAAAATTTATTTCAAGGAAAAGTACTCTGGCCACATGTGGATCGGTTGTTGAAAGAAAAGGTGCTAAATAAATGGAGATTTTGCTTCTTGGATCTCGGAGGCGCCCAAAATCAGCTGAGAATTCTCGATGGTTATTCTTCTTCTTGTCCGTGGGTGATCACGTAGCAGAGGGACTTGTAGTCGACCATGCCATCAGCGTCTTTTGAGGATTTTCAAGTAACGAATTTGAATTTTTGGTTGAAGAAAGAAAGCCTCGTTCCTGGAGTTGTGAAAGAATATACACTTTCAAGTTCTTTGGCGGAGAAGCGTTCCCCGGTATGCGTCAAGACCTCGTCAAGTTTTTGCTAAAAAGAGAAAGAAGAAAGAGCGATGAACCTGTGAAGTTCGCGAGATTATGGAAATGCCTCCACCTGTGCCGGTCTTGGCAGCGGTAGTTGAACACGAGGCATTCCTACCTTTGAGATAACCCCCTTGCCGTCCGGATCAAAGAGCTTGAAAGCTGAGACTATCACGTCCTCCGGGTCAGTTCCGTGAAGTTTATCCGCCAGCATGTTCTGAAAAGAGGGATTACTGTCATGTTCCGAATGATTCGAGGAGATACAGATGCTGCTCAATTTAAGACCATGCTTAGGACGACTGAAATCCTCTTGTTTGTTTTTGGGGAGTTATATGCATTTGATATTGTTTACACTTTGTTAATCCGCTGTTTATTTTCGGTAACTTACCAAAAAAGCGGTAAAGTTGATACTCTGGGCGTTGGCTTCTTCCATCATCGCTTCCAGCTTTTTCATATCCATGTCACGTATGCCGAGCTGGGGACCGGGGTTGACGCCCTTACTCTTCCCCTTAGAGACAACTTTTTATCGATGCAGTTTAAAATAATTCTACAGAGCGAAAAATCTCTGCAAAATTTCTAACTCTAGTTTTCTTCTGCCATAAAAAAACGCTAGCTTTTTTATTGAAGAATATCTCGTGTCTCTAGAATTATGAAAATTCAACCCCTAACGAAGCATAAGTGGACCTGAGATCCTCTTTGTCGATAAACCCATCTCGATTTGCGTCGATCATCCCGAACGCTTCCTGAAAGAAAAGCACACGATTGGTTCCGGTTTCGAAATATATCTTTAATCACCTTGAATTCTTGAATCTGCGGCTGCTCGAACATCGAAAAAACGTTCGAAGAGGACTTGGCCTTCTTCTTTTGGCCTTTTGCTTGCTTGCCTTTTCCCATTTTTTCCTGAAAAAGAAGGATGAGTCAACTTTTTTCGAACTTTGGAAAAGATCCCAAAGTTTAACTTTTCCCCAATTTTAGCCTCTAAATCAAGCCTCTTCACAAGATTTCCGACTGGCCTTTCCGCTACTTGTATAGAATTCGCCCCCTTTTTCTCGGACAGTGACTATTTTCCTCACGTTTTATTTGTTACCTTGGGTTAAATTTCTCTCGAACCGCCGCACTACAGTAGAAGATTCTTTCGTACTGAAGAGATGAAAGTTAGGAGATGCTTTATGCCGCGCGAGGGAGGTTTATCGGGGCCTGGGTACTTCAGCAATCAGTGGCAAAAATAGCAAATGAAGAGGATCAAGACATGGAGCAGGGAGGCTTTATCGGGTGAGTCAAGATTTTTTCTTGCAGACGTAAGAACAGTGCTTGCTATTAAATGAAATAATTAGACAAAAATTTTACGAATATATTTATTTTATTTATTTATAATTATCAATCCGCTCATCATATATGATGATACTGAGTTAAGAGTTCTTCATTTCAAAGTTAATAAGATAAAGTGAGAAGCTGTGATAAACAGAATTGAAAAGATTGCAGAAAATACATTTTGAAGGGGAAATTATAAAATTCTCTTAATTCTTCGCAAACTCAAATATGGATGAAAATGCTGTTGATTTGCCATTTTAAAAGTTTCATTTATGGTATTTTGCTTTTTCGAATCGTCTGTTCTTATAGTCCAAATCTGAACTCCTGCTGAGCTTTATCGATACTTCCGTCGATATTTCCCTTTTCAATCCAATTTTCTGCTCCCTTGGATGTTGCGAGAAAAATCATTATTCCTTCTGACTCGTAGCTTGCACCAAAATAAAGCTGACGTGAAATTTATGAAATTTGAAATTCGTCGTGAAAGTACTCAAAACAAGCCTAGCTTGGTTAAAATTTCCGTAAACATACGTTCTGCACGTTGTTTCACACGTCCGAGTATTGCTGTTATCCAACTTTGCATGAAATTAAAACGACTTGGAAGAAAAAGGCCGTAATTTTTTCACTATAAAAGGCCTTAGCCTCAGATTGAAGCAGGAACGTGAGAAAAATGCAAACTAAAGAACTGGGTCACCCGCGAAAAAAATACAAAGCTCTACCTCGCGAAAAAATGTGTCCCACAACATTACAGCTGGCGAGTTGAAAAATTGATAAAATGCCGCGTCCGCCGCAAAAATCCACGCCAACACAGCTAAATGCCCGGACTAATGCGCAAGAAATCGTAACGAGACCGTAATTTATTTTTTGTTGGCGAAGTCGGACGATGCTAATAGAACGCAAAAATCTTGTCAAGGATCGTTTTTCGTGATGAGACAACAAAGACGCCTTATTCGAAAGTTACCTTATGATTTCTACTGAATTACAGTCAAAAGTAGATACAGGTCAAAGATCACAAAATCGTTTATTTGCTTTTTATGTTTACTCTCAGACTGAGACTTGAAACGTTTTTTGCTCTTATTGAAAATTAATGAGAAATATGATTTTGGCATATTCTCTTTTTTGCTTCGCTTTTTCAAATGATATTGATAAGGAAGAAGCCAACTCGTTTCTACGAGTAAGAAGAGCCAATTCTGGGTTTGAGGAGTTCGGAAAAAGAGGAAACTTTGAAAGAGAATGCATCGAGGAAACTTGCGATTCGTACGAGTTTCATGAAGTTTATGATGATCATTCTATCTCTGATGAGCTTTTGGTTGAGCAAACTCTAGTAAAAATTATTTGACAGTCTTTAAGGGCAAGTATCTTCTCTGCAAAGAGTCAGAAAAACTGAATCTGGAAGTCAATGCGACATCGGCCCCTAATTTCGTCAGGAACTGTTTTGAAAATGAAAAATGGCCAACAATATGCAACAATACAGATATTGAAAGACAATTGTCAGAAAAAGACGAAGAAATCAAAGACCGGATCGGGGAGATTTCTTCACTGAAAGCTACAATTAATTGTTTATCTCGGGAGAAAAACATGCTTGAAAAAACCCTTGAAAAATATAAGGTAAAAGGTTTTTATATTTTTTTTATTCTGATTCATAGACGATACGGTTCTTGAAAGTTGACAAATTAATGGACTGGGAAACAGCAGATACTTATTGCAAGGGAAAAGGCGGAAGGCTTGCGTTCTTTAACACTGAGTTTGAGTACAATCAATACATCCGATTGAAGCCATTTCGGAGTGAATTCATTGGTATGAGACGGTATGGAAATTCTGGGCCAACAATTGGATGGAAAAATGTTGATGGATCAAGCCCTTATTTCAACTGGAAACGTAGACAGCCAGACAACGCTGGAAACGTCGAGAGCTGTGGGATGGTCCTTCATCAAGAATATGTCCATTTGCAGATGAACGATATTCCCTGTGGAAGGCGTTACCATTTTACATGCAGACTAAATTAAAAAAACTGATTTTTATATTCGTTATCGTATAAATTATACGGTATAATTAATTGATACGTTTGATTCCTTTAAAAATTCTGCTTCTTTTCACCGGCTTTAGAATTTATGTCAAATAAAGTTTAGTCACTTTTTAAAGCGAATACGGTAATGAGTGTTATCTGCAGTAGAAGAAAAAATTTCCATTTCTCGCAAAAACATTTTCGTTTATCTTAAAAAGAGCATCAAAAAACCAGCGCCACTTGAGTTATCAACATTGCCTCGGTCGCCCGGTCGGTTTTCCGACTTCCCACTCAACTCTGCTCCTTTTTTCAGGGCAATTTTAAAATTTGGTAGAACATGCACAAACATCAGCGGGACACGGTCAAAAAACGCGAGACAAACTACAGTACGGAAAACTCGCTTGCTCGTTGAATTCAGCTAGAATGGGGGAGAAACGGGTTCTTTGGAATAGCGCTCTTCAAGTTCATATTTTATTGAATCAATTTCCTTCATTTTTATCATAAAAACTGATAATTTCGGCGCTGGTAAATAATGTATATACTCAGGGCCCGTCAATTAGGAACAATCGACCTCTTCAAAATCGGATTTGTTCGCCGCCCTCAGGCAGATTCCATCCGATTCTCAAAATCGTCCTCGCCAATTCTCATCATCCCCAATTATTTCTACCTTTTTCAGGTGGCCAAAAAGAGCTCAATTTCTAAAATTTTCGCGAAGCCAAATCTGTAAGTTGAAATCAAAAGAGAAATAAAATTAGATTTTTTTTCTTTTCTTAAACCTTGGAAACTTTCGTGTTTTGTACTTGATTTTTAAGCGTCCGATATTTTTAAGAAAAGAAAAGGACGTGTAAGGCGTCCCTTAGAAATACGCGAAGAATACGAAATATTCGCACGACCGTGCATTTCCGTGGTAAATACAAATAGTCCAAATAGTTGACGCATTGAACATTCTTCAAATGATCAAAGATTTTTGAACGTTCAAGAGTTAACTTAGACAAGAAACCATAATCAGACAACAATCTCATCATTTTAGAATTTTTTTTCCTTTTCGTTAATGAGCTTTAATAATTAGTAAATTCATCTTCTGAAGGATTTGCCCATCGTATCAAATGAAAAATGTCAGAGCCCAATTTCTGCAGAACTTGAATTTGGTTGTTTTTCTGCACGTTAGCTAGTTGCGTTCCGAGAGTTGCGTTTTTCGTAGCGCGAAGAAGTTAACTCGATCAGTTTCGAAAATGTGTTTAGAATATGTTTTCCCGTCATGCTCGGGCGGTGGGACCCGATCCTTCTGCGGCCAACACGACCTCGACGACTCTTCTCACCTCCATGACTTCTACATCTTCGCCTCCATCGCCTGCTGAAGAACCTCCTCCAGGAAAAGAGCATCTTTGACCCAATAGTGGAGTTTTCAATGATAAGAGAAGGATTTCATGCAATCGAAAAAATTCAACCATGAAGTAGATAAGTATGTAAGGATAAGGACCATCTAGGTTAGCAATCTCGATACAGCTGGTGATAAGAGACATAACTTCGGTATAAAAAGAGCCTGTGTTCGTTTTTTTACCAGAATTAAGTAACAAGATTTTTAAATGAAACAAATAATCAAACGATAGAAAGATATTTAATTTTTTGAAAATCTGAAGAAAATGCTCATTGAAATGAATCATTATCATCTTTTAGTCCAACTGGAATGCCGACAGAATTTAAATTATGAATAAAGTCAAACTTGGCATAACTTTCTTACCACTTTCTTTTAAAAGCTCTGAAAAGGTCTTCCTCATCTTGTTGCGGACGTCGGTAGATCGATTTTCAAAGTTGGAGAATCATCAGCAAAAGTGGCTTCCCGCATAGGAACCGGCTCAATAAGCTACTATTAGATTAACAAAAGTCAGATAATGTTTCTGGTTTCAGACCGTTTGCCAACACCTGTCGAGCCAATTTGAAGATGACGATTTGTTCATTTTCGCTTCTGAAAATGGAGTTTCAATGCCCAAATGGGTCTTTAGCGGTCTGGCGGCGGTCACCTCGCTGGTCATCTTTAGGTCAGTTCAATCCACATTTGTCCAGTCAATAAATCTCGCCAGCGACAAATCGACAAATCCGATTATTATTTTCTTACTCCCGCATATTTCCAAATCGAATAATCAAAACACGCTCATCCGATTAATCAAATTTGCATTTGCATTTTTCTTTTCAGACGATTTTTATTAACTAGGGTTAAAAATAATCTTGAAAATGATCAACCCCTAATTATGTCGACCTCTTAGCCTTAGGGTCCAAAATCCGTTAAAATAAGGACCTTTTTAAACAATAAAAAGTCCGTTAAAACGAGTTTTCTTCAAGAAATTCGCTCGATAAAATGGGTGCCCCTTATTTTCTTAATAATCATCAAGAAAAATTCAGTTTTCTGCTTTGTATCTGCAAGAAATGCTGCTGCAAGAAAGAAAAGGAAAAAGAAAAGAAGGGTCTCAAAAATGGCAAGGGACCAGAGAAGGGCTCAGCCACTCTTCAGAAGATTCAGCCGGATATGAACGAATTAAATGTAAGCCTAACAACGTGTGTTCTTAATTCTGTTTGAGAACTTATGCGCCAACGAGCGAGCTAATTAGATATTCGTTCTCTTTTTCTAAGTTCATTTTGTTTTTGATTTGGGGTGTTTTAGAAACTTGGGAAGAAAGAAAAGAAACTTGGCAAGCTTCAGTACTCGCTCGACTATGACTTCCAGAATAATACTGTAAGAATCAAAATTTTATCGACGATTATAATAGGAACCCACAAAAAATTTCGACAAATTTTGCGAGGAAATTTTCTACCAATCAGAAGTTTTGATTAGGCTAACTGGCCAATCAGCAGCCGAGAAGCCGCCCACGCAAAATTTGTCGAAATTTTTGTCGGCTCCTGAAGCCACCCCGTTAATGGGACTCCCAATTTTAGTACCACACCCCCTAGTCAAACCCTAACCCTAACCCCCCATAGTCACACCCTTAATCAAAACCTTGTCTTTCTAGCTCTCAGTGAAGGTTCTTCAAGCTTCAGAACTTCCAGCCATGGACTTAGGGCCGTTCCGTGATGCATTAATAGTAATTCAATAAGACAAGATTCTGACTGTAATAAGTGGCGATAAAGTGACGTGGCTCGATCAGAGGCGTAAAAATTGAAATAATCCTGCTCCCCCTGGTTGGACGGTAATGAGCTTTTAATTTGCATAAAGAGGGAGAGCAGATTAGCATTTTGTTCAAATTAGTGATAAAAGCTTTTGTCTCTTACCAGTTAGCTTCCGCCAGGGAAGCGATTTGCGGATGTTAACTTCCATCTTAAAAATCGAAATCGAAATTACTTGTGGCTCATTTTAAATAATTTTGCATCACGGGACTAAGGCGGAACTTCCGACCCTTATGTGAAAGTTATTCTTCTGGAACGGGGATTTTCAAGACATAAGGGACCTAGGATCGAGTCTTGATTTTAATACGTTTTTGAAAACCTTAATTCTTGAAAATAAAAAATCTTTATATATTTTAAAAGAATCAATTTTTCTGAAGATTATAATTCACTATCTACAATTACTACAGCACTGAGGCACGTACAGGAGGATTCAAACGGTTGATTCATTTCCTCGAATTAAGGTGTTCCGTTATTTCAGTTGTTAAAAGCCAAGGAAACAGGTTTTCCTGAATGCTTCCGTGACGCAACAAAGCGCGAAATCCCCCGCTAAAGCCCGACAGAAAGAAAAAATTCGAAACGAAGGTTCAAAAGAAGACCCTAAATCCAGGAACGTGATACCCTCTTCGCTCCCTTTTTTAAGGAGGTCGCTAATTACAGGAGTTTATCAATGATTGAGTGTTTAATGAAACATTTACGTTCACTGTTCCATACGCCGAGATCGGTGGAAAAACGCTTGTCCTCGCTGCATACGATTTCGACAGGTTTTCAGTAAGCCCTTTTTTTGTTCGAGAAGAGTGAAGCTTATGCCGCGCAGAAGTGTCTTTTTGCTTAACACTTTGTTCAAGAAACACGATGTCATTGGAGAGGTTCGAGTGCCGATGAACTCTGTTGACTTGGGTCAGGTGGTCGAGGAGTGGAAGGAGCTTCAAGCTGGAGGAAATGATGGTGAGTTAAGGTTACCCTGGGGTTAGGGTTAGGAAAAAGGGCTGGAAAAATGGGGGTGGCGTCAGGAACCGACAAATTTTGCGTGGGCGGCTGCCCGACTGCTGATTGGGCGGATAGCCGAATCCGGGCTTCTTATTCGTCGAAAATTTCCACGCAAAATTTGTCGAATTTTCTGTCGGTTCCAGAAATCTCCCCGAAAAATGTCGGGTAGGTTAGGGTTAGTATTAGGAGGTTTCTTCGGGATTCTTACTGGCTGATTGAAAAAAAATGACTCTGATTGGCTACGAGGTCTGCTAAGTCCTCAAGAGCTTTTGGAATTTAGGCTTTATGGTTATCAGGGCCCCTAAATTGTCCTTTTATGGGTATTCTTATTAAAAATCTTGCCTTCAATATTATTTTAGGCTGTTTAACTAACCCTGTTATACAGATGTTGCTTTGAACTAGATTCTAGAGCACACAGATTATAAATTGTAAGCAAGATGATTTTCATCGTTCTTTCGTTATGGATTCAAATTTATTCTAAATGCGATGAGAGTGGAACACGAAAAGGGAAACATTCAAACAAAGTTGTTGTTTGTTTTGAAAATTGAAACTGATAATTGATAATTGAAACGTTTCCGAACGTGTTTCTCGCCAGATAAGTCGAATTAATTGAAAGAATTCGTTTAGGATCTTCATTACGAAATTTTAAATACGCCATTATTTTTTCTGTTTGTTTGAGATTAAGGGCGTATTCTTCGATAGAAACAGCAGTTGCGCGTGTACAAAATAATTAGATTTCGTGGCGTTTTTTCACGGATAAAATGTCAAATCGCCTTAATCTCATCCAACTGGGTCTAAAACAAGAATCGTAACACGCTATGAAATAAGGGATTTATGTGGCTTCAGAGAAAGCAGAGCCTGCTCTCACGTGACATTATTCAGATAACGATAAACCCGGCGACATCTGCTTCAGCCTCCGCTACGTCCCTACTGCCGGAAAATTGACTATTGTTATTTTGGAAGCCAAGAGTGAGGGTTGTTAATCATTAAATGTATAGTTTTGCCAAAAAATTATTTGAGTGCTTCCAAGTCTGTAAAATCAACATGACCTTTTTTAGTTTTTCGAAGATTTCGGTAGATAGAATTTAGATAAGCACATCATATGAATCATGTGATATGATAAAAATCTTGCAGCTGTTTTTTACAGCTTGCCAACTAACAGCTGGCCTCAAATTTTTCGATTTAAAGAACTCGGAGAAACCTGAGAGCTGAGAAAATATATTTTTCTTATTTTATAAGATGGAGCAAGATTTTGTGAGACTGTGTATCCTAGGTATTCAATGAAGATTAATAAAATTATATTATAAACAAAATGCCTAGTGAAAAATTATATATTCATTTTTTGTTGGGTCCTGTAAACATCCTCATAATCGCACATCAAATTTTCATACAATTTAATCATACATACCAATTAGGTCTTCACGAAATTGAGCAAGTTTCAAAACTCAGAACAACAAATTTTCGCCGTTAGAACTCATTTTAATTTCGCCAACGGGCGCGAATTCAGGTTTTCGGACCCTCAATTTGAGAATTTGAAGAAAATGGACGTCGGCGGCTTGTCGGACCCTTACGTCAAGATCACCGTCTACTCTTCTGACAACAAACGACTGAAAAAGAAGAAGACAACCGTCAAGGTCGGCTTTCGGAAGTGATTATTTATTGAAGCTCCTCTCTATTTTCGACTATTGAAAGTTAAAGTGAATTTTGCTTGAATTTGGGAGAGAGGAGCAACGTGGGCTCCTCTTGAATACAAAAATACGATGTATTCCGTGACTATCACGTGAACTCGGGTCGCAGCTGACTTCAAATGAAAAAAAACTCTTGAGTAAAGCAATAACCTTGGTTGAAAATGGAACCGGGTGGAATAAGAACTTATGGATTCTCTTCCGATTTGAGGGGTTAAGGGGATGAGGGAGGATATCGTGAGCTCGATATTCTAGTTATCTTTGCTTCGATTTAGGGAAGTGACACCCATATTTTACAATTTTGCTTTTTACAGAAAAGAAAAAAAAGGAAAAAGCTCTTAACTTCATTTTGAAGTAAGGGTATCACCGTATAAACCCTGAAAAGCGATACCTTCAATAAGGGTGTCGCAGTCAAATTTGAAATTTATTATGACCTTTAGATACCCCTAATCATCTTATTTTTCGAAAGCCTTTTTCTCAGAAAAACACGCTGAACCCTTACTTCAACGAAAGCTTCTCCTTCGAGATTCCTTTTGAACAAATTCAGGAGCGTGGTCTAATTTCACCACTCTTTGTAAAAATTTTGCGACGAGCTGGTCGAAATTCGAGGAAGCGGAAATGCGAGCGGGCCCACAAGACGTGCCTTTAAAACCATAATGTTAGAAGACGCACTTCGTAAATTTTCATGCGTTACGTTTTTAGTGTTCATGGGAACGTACTACTAGAAAGTTTTTGAGACGAAAAATCGTTGATTTTTTTTCCGATTTAGAGGAACTTCTAAAAATGAATAAGAAAATTGTCAATTTTTAGTTTGGCTCGGCAACCTGTGTGTAAACCTGAGTCAGGGTCATCAGAGGTCGTTCAGAACCCTGAGTCAGGTTTCTGCACAGGTTCTTGCGCTCATAAAATACGAAAATCTTGACCACGTGACCTCAGAAAGTCTCAGTTACCATAACAGTAAACGACTACGACCGAATGGGCAAAAACGAAGCGATCGGTAAGCTGACTCTTGGATGCCACGCTTCCGGTTCAGGCACCGGTTGAATTTGCCATTCTTTGTATAATAATTCATTTCTTCTCGGTAAGCAAATATCGTGAGCGCGCTGAGCAGGATCAACCCTATTCACGAAAAATAAGGGTAGATAGAAATTCAACGGCGAAAAGAATTGAGACATTGGAGCGACATGCTTGCTTCGCCGAGGAGGCCGATTGCTCAGTGGCATACGCTTATGCAAGGAGAAGACTGAAGCTGATTTTTGTCTTGCAATAAAATTATTAAAATAACAATGAAATGAATGTTTTATCAGTTTATTGAGTGCAGTGAGATCTCATATTTCTCGTGAAAGGATAGAAGAAAAACAATCAATTTCTAGCTACCAGTAGAGGCATAATCACAAAAAAGGTCGTCATAGCTTGGCAGTATGTCAATGCCTGCGCTTCTATTGCTTGATAATGATGTTCCTCTGTTTCGAGTTTCAGCATTTTCTGAAGTGTTGTTTACCTTGCGATGTTTCTTTGCGATGAAAGCACAGCAAAAAATTATGCTCCCGAATGCAACGAAAAGTATAATAGCGATTATGAATTCCGAATTCATTTTTCAGAATAAATTTTCGTGTGGAAGGCTTCAATGATGAGGCGAATGGGTGTGCAAATGTCATTTGTATTTATTTTTATTCAGCAAAAGCTTGTCGAGTAGAGCGATGAACTCTTAATCATCATCTAAAGAAAATATTTTACAGTTTGAAAAAGTGAAGTAAGGGACACATTTCTTCACTTTTCAGGTCAAATAACAGGAAACAGCTTAAGTGTTAGAAAAGACGGTTTGTCAGTTTTCAGTTCGAAAAAAGCTCGTCGTAACTTGGTGGCAGGTCAATATCGACTTTTGTATTTCGGTTTTCATCGTCTTCATAATTCGGATTGACTTGAATTGCGGTTTCTCTATTTGGAGTTTCCCTGTTTTCTGACGTGTTCCCTCTTTCTGGGCAGATTTTTCTTTTCCTGAAGATGCAGAAAAAAGTTCCAATGATGATACCCGCGAAAAATAAGCCGACAATAATATATTGAGAGATTCCTAAAGCTGCCATTTTCAGAATAACTATTATGCGGAAGGATTTATTCATGACAAAAATTGATGTGCAAATGCCAAGAAAATTTTTTACTTCTGAAATAGAACTGTAGTTCATCACGATCATTTCGCCTGATGTTAACATCATTTTACTTTTGGCATTTTGATTCAACCCTTGTTTTGTTTCTTTTATTTCAAAAACAGTACTACCAGGTAGGGTGGGTCACTTTTCAAACAATTTTTCTGTACGCTCTATTTTTTGGGCTTATCTGATAGAGCTCGTTGCGCTGATCATTTTGAGCCCTCAAGTTGCTCAGTACACTTCCGGGAAAGTACTTTTTTGGGCTCTAGAAAATCTGAAAAATCGAAAAATTCGGTTTTTCATAAATACTCTGTACACTCGACTTTTTGGGCTCATTTGATAGAGCTCGTTGCGCTGATAATTTTAAGCACTCTTGTACCTCGGTACTGTTCCGGGAAAGTACTTTTTTGGGCTCTAGAAAACTTCAAAAATCGAAAAATCCGGTTTTTTTCGTTTCATTCTGAATTCCCAAAAACTTAAGTGAGAAAATAAATAATATATTACTAAAATGAACAGATGAAATGATGAAAAAGCAAATGTAAAGGAAATAAAAAGTTAAAAGCAAAAAATAATAAATACCAGGTCCTAGCTGGGATAAAGCTCTTCGTAACTTGGCGGCAAATCAACATCAATTTTTTCATGATGATTTTCATAGTCTTCGTAATTTGAAGAAACCTCTATCGATATTTCTCCATTCTCTGCTGTTTCTGTACTCGAATCAGCAATTTGGCTTTCTGTCTCTGATGAACCGACTTGTGTTTTCTTGAAAATGCAAAAATAAGTCCCGATGATAAAAAGTGCGAAAAAAGTGACGGCGATTATTATTGAAATTTCAGCAGTTGATGCCATTTTTATCTGAATAATTTGGATGCACAGAGATTTTTACAATTAGTCAAAGTGTTGTTCAAATACAGTGATGGAAAGTCTGTTTGCATTCTCATTACTTCTTCCAGAACAAAGAAGACTTTGTCATATTCTTTCCTAGCGAAAAATTACTCCGTCAATCGAATTTCTTGTGGTTCATTTTGTAAAGAGTTCTTCGTAAGATGGCGGCAAATCGACCTCTATTCTGACATCAATGTTGTTTTCTTCTGATTCAGTTTGATGTTGCTCGGAAACAGTTAATTCCCCGTCTCTGTTTTCCAGTCCTTGGTCAATATCTCTAGGTGCGATTTCCGCCCGACTCTTCTGTCGATATGAGTTAAACCAGCGTTTACAAAGAATCAGAGCAATTAAGAATAAGTACAGCGCAAAAAAGACCAGAAAAATTTGCACCCCTGATAACCCCATTTTCAGTTCTCTCAGTTAAAATCGTCAATTTTTATATGGAAGTTCTGGTTTTTCAAACGAAAATAAACAATGTTTATTTTGTTTGTTTTGTTCATAAAAATCATTTTCAAACTGCATGATCGCAGGAGGAGCTACTTTTTTCAATTGAAAGATGATGGTTGTGGAAAGAAATCTTCGAAATCAGCTGTTTGATTTTCTGAAAAATCGATGCAACGTTACCGGTTAGATGAGGTTCACCGCAAACACCTTGGGTTGTATTTGCTCTCGCTAAACGCGTTTTTCGCGCTCTTTTCAACTTCAAACATTATCCAACTTATTAAATATCCAACTTATTCATTTTCGCTGAACGCAATTATAACACCTTATCTTCTTGTTTTCTTCGTCTTGCCAGACAAAAACAAAAACATGTGTTTCAATCAATTTTTCAACGAAGAAACATCTAAAAAGTCCGAGCAAACAACAACACGTTTCTAAATAATAGCAAAACAGCTTTATCGTAATAATCTTTTGTCTCTCTTTTGATTTTGAGCAATTGGTCAATCCGGGATAAGTATAATTCCGGATCTGATAAGCAGCCGGAAAGTGACCTCAGCAGGAGACCTTCTATCGCTGTCTTATCAGCTGAGTTCTTATCGACGCGAGATTTGGACTACGCCTCGGATTGGCCATAACACAGCAGAAATTTGATTATCGATAATATTTATTCCTTCTTAGGCAAATCATAAAAAGGATTTATTCTACTTATTTCAATGCCAGAAATTATTATTTTCTTCTGATAACAATAAAGTTATTCAAGAATTAAATGCTCATAAATAACAGTGAGAACTCTCAATTTAATTGAAAATACACAGAAAATAAGACTTATCGATGTTTTGTTTATAAAAATCCGATATCTCCAGCATCTACTGTATAGCAGAAATCATCACATGGATCGGAGCACTGAGAGGGCAACGATACAAATAGGGTTGGTTTGGGACATGGTCCAGCATGATAATTGATAATTGCAGTCGATAAAATTGAGTTGCCATCCCATTTCATTGATTCAACTGCGTTAAGCTCGCTTGAAATTTCGTCAAATATAAAGTAAGTAGAAAATTGATTTAAAACCTCATATATCCGTTTGCGATTATTATATTCGCATCATTATATATCATGGACGCCAACTTATAATCCTAAAAAACCAATCGGATGCAAATTAAGCCTTAATTACTAACCGAATGAAGTATCCCGACAATTGACCAAATTCCTTCTCGTCCAAAATAAACGTTTCTATTGTAAATATAACCTACATTCACTTCTTCGCCTAAGAGACCACCAGCAAGGATGATTCCATTTCTAACTGAAACACAGCTATGCTGTTCGATTTTTTTCGGAAAAGGGGCAACCTCGCTCCAATCACTAAAATTTTTCTTTCTCAAATACGGAGAGATATTTATTGAAGCTAAATAATTGATACTTGCCCATCGAACAGTATTTCTGTTTGTGGTCCTGAAACGCCAGCGATAATAGTTGCTTTATCGTCATAAGCCGCCATGCAGGCTCCGTTATGATAAAAAATTGTACTTGATATTTGACTTGTACTTTCACCGTTAAAAACTTCACAATTCATAACTCTATAGCCGTCTGAACAAAGAATAATTTCGTTTGAAAATGGCATCTCAACAAGGGAATCCCCTTCCGCGTAGAAATCATTGACAAGACGCGAACTTATTCTTTCGATGGAGCATTCATTCAATTTTCCAATCTGTGATTATAATTTTATGTAAAGCAAAAATATGAGTTACTTACCGCGCGAGCGTCCCATCCTCCGCCAAAGAAAAACATTTGACCATTTAGAAGTGAGTGTCCTGAATTGAAGAAAATAAAAAGATGAGGCTCATATTTTGATATTTCTGATTGAAAGTATCTGTCGCCCTAGAATCATTCATGAAAATGTCGAAGAAAAAACGATGTACCGCTAAAGTGCCAGAAGGAGTTATAGCATAACTGAAGCTTGGGTCACCTTGACACATTATAGTGATTTCTTTCTCGCAAGCGTACCCATCGGTGCAAGGACATCCCTCTGCACATCTCTCCATACAGGGACATTTATCGGTCGAAACAGAATATTTCCAAGAACAATCATCGTGGCATGATTTTTCAATACTGCAATTTTTAACGCATGAGTCGAAAATGGAACTTGCTTCCGAAATACATTGTTCGTAACTTATTCTGTTTGTCTCTAATTCCATACAGCTTTTGCAAATGTCATTCGGACAATTTTCACATCCATCAGGGCATTTGATAAAACAAGGGCACGAGTCAGTACAGTCTGGAAAAAATAAGCTTTCTGATATAAAAATCAATCGAACAAACCTACAAACTCCCGAAGACATGAGTGCTCACAATTTGTAGAATCACAAGCTTCATGGCAGCTTTTGAACTCATCCTGACAATTTTTATCGCATTTCTCTGCAAGTTCTTTATCTTCATCCCTTCAAAAAATATTAACAGACGTAAGTAAAGAAAATTATAAACGAGCAATCGGGGTTTATTTGCGCCCAGGCACCAATGATGAGAAAAAATAGTAATTTTTTCATTTTCTCTCTTTAAAAGCTTTTTTGAGCTCGTTTCCTACAAACATTCGCAAATGTCAAACGCATACCGAATATTTGAAATTTGTTCTTGTCAAGTAACGTTACTCAAGTTAGAACTTGTCAGATCCGTGCGATTGTACATGAGCCGGATAGTAAATCATCCGAATCTGGGAAGAAGCGGAAGAGCTTCCACGTGAGGCAAGGAAACACTTTTGTTTGATTACATAATAGCTCGATAGCTTGGTTGCAAATCGGAACTCAGCATTCTTGAGTTCTTAAAAAATTAACCTCAGCTTTTCATTTCTTCTCAGAAAAATCCGATCCACGACCAAAAAACTGATCAAAGGCGGCACTTGATTATCTCATTCATGTTTTTCCAGCTGAATAAATTTGGCTCCAAAAAGATCCATTATGAAAAGAAAAACTTTTTACGTCACATGTTTTGGTCGTAAAAATCCCTCGCCGCGGCGCGTATCTTCCGTATTATTTTTACAATTTTCGCGTTGAGTGATTTCAAAACTAATTTGAAATGAGTTTTCTAAAGACTTTTCTCGTCAGGGGTGCAATTCTCGTAGTTTTTGGCTATGTTTGCAGGTGTACTTTTGAGAACGTCCTGATGATCCGGAGCTTTTTTCGAGAAGAGCTTTTACTGAGAAAGGACTTGTTCCAAGAAGCGATCAAAATGGAGAGGAAAATGGAAATGCTGGATCCAGGTACTCTTTTTCTTCGGCAAATAGAGAATTTTCTGTGAGGGTCACCATTGTGATTTCAAGCTGGCCTTCTGACACTCTTAAAAATAAATACCGACAAATATCTTACAAAGTCATGTTTCTAGCCGCAAAGTATAAGAAACTTTCAAAAAGCCATGTCTGAGGAACTTATTTCTATTTTGATTAATTTGTCTAAATTTTCTCGTATACAGAAATTATTATCTTTTGGCATTTTTCCGCTTGTAAATTCTAGTAGCCGTAATATTCTTGTCTAACATCTTCATTCGATGAATTAGCTTCCCGTCCATAATTTTAAGACTCTGCTCGACGGGCCCTTCGGAACCACCTGAAGCGTTTATTCAGAGGGGAATTTCATGCGCTTCTTACCTTTTGTTTGAAGAATGATTTCCATCTCGTTCTGGGTAACCTCGGGAACAGACTTAACTGACTCGTCCGTTGGGTTCTTGTGCTTGTATTCTTCATCTAAACGCAGCGGAATCTTGATCGGAAATGGCGAAATTGACAAATAAATTTTCGCGAGATATGAGTTTTCAGCAAGTTTGATGTATTCAACATCCGGTTTCATCTTTTTCGCGAAAATTGTATACATCATCCCGCCTTTTTCGTTGTCAATGTATTCAGCGACATTGTCGGAATCGATCAGCTCCCAGCGGCCGATTATTGCTTCACGGATCTGAAAATAGCGAGTAGTTTTTTTTTCATAAAATTTTTCGTTACTTACCGTTTCCGAAGCAACGCTAGTTAAAGCGATGGTCTGAATGAAAAATTTTGAAAATTTCATTTTTATTCAATTTTTCTTTTTCACATCGGTAAGAGGCAGTTTATATGCTTTAGCTGTGGCGATAGCGACTGTTTGACAGTCAGGAGGGTTCATCGGCTAGACGGCTACTTATGGACCTGTTTTTCTTCAAATAAACCTGACACAGTATTTGACCTCAAACAAAGTAAACTCATAGTCGAGAGTTCATGAACAGCGTAAGCTTGTATAAGACCTGCATAATAAGCGAACTCGTATGTTCTAAAGAAACCATCATCTCGGCGATTTTTCTAGCACACTGTAACCTGCCTCGCTATCTTGAACTTTGAGATACAGTCACGGAAGTTCAAATCATGAAATTCACCCTCCAAACTTTTAAAATGAGTTCACTGAACTCAAACAAACGCAGCTTGAACTCGAGTTCGCCGAAGACCAAAAAGTGCCCCTCTTCAAAAAATACTTCAGCTGAAGAAAAATTTTCGCTAATCAAAATTTAAGGTCTGGATGGCGTCGACGAAAACATCGTTCCGTTGTTCTCCTGCCCCGAAATAGACTGCAGATCTGGCTTTCCCTACTACATTGAATCCGGACGTGGCTCCATCATTGGTTACGGATTAAAAATTATCTTCTTATTGATAGAACATCTTTGAATTATGTTTAAAACAATGGCGCCTACTGGGAAATCACTAATTAGGGGGAGCAAGGACAATTTAATATAGCAACGTGAAGCTTGTTTTCGAGTATTTGGCAAATAGGAACGCAAAATAGTTGGCTTTCTTTGATTTCACTGCATTTTGTTCATTGTTGTAACCGAAACAAGTCCCCGGATGTGTCTCAACGGCCGGCTCATTGCAGCGACAAAGGTTTGAGCAAGAATGACACGTTTTTCAATAAGTACCGTAGTATTAGTAAGAGTTAGCTCAATCAGAGCTTCTTAATTTTAATTGCCAATTATAAGACGCGTAGATTTTTTTCAATAATTGATTCTTTCAAAAGTAGGTTATGAAAATACCTTCTTTTTTGCCGCGTTTTTCGATGGAATTCTTGATAAAGAACTTAAGAGCTTTTTCAGCTTGGAAACGTGCATCGTGGACTGAACGTATTAATCTTTGACAAAGAAACGGGCAGCTCGAGGGTCAATACCTTCGATTTTTACAGCGACCCCGACGCGAGCTCTAAGCTTGCCAGCTTATTGAGGCCAGTCAAAGGAGTTGGTTAGGATCAAGCCTCAATTACTGTTTTTAATAAACTTCAGGTCCTATTTCAAAAATTTTCGATTAGAAATCGACAATTTAGGAAAGATATCGATGGTTAATCAACAATTTAGGGAAAACTCTAACCCTAACCCTAACCTCAAAAAAGCCGAAGTAGTAGTAATGGCCGTCTTCGACGATGGCAGCGCTAGAATGAGCCAAGATCTTCGAAGACAAATCCAAAACATGGGCAGCAAAAACATCACCTCCTTGGCGTTTCGAGACAGCTGGGCCTTCGTTGGTGCAAAACCTGGAATGGGCAAAATTGCGAATGAAAGAATCAACCCCGCCGCTGGTTCCAGCGATAAGTACTTTGGCTGGCCAAAAGAAGTCGCCATTTCTGGCTGCATTCCGAAGTTTTGAAGAACAAGCTCACCCGCATCTTTTGTCCTTGTCGCGAACGCTAGAATGCCAAATAAGAATCAGATCTCAAGAAGAATCTGATGAATTGTTAAGAACTTGATGTTTTTTCTTGCTCTTTCCGAATAAATATAAATATTCAACACAATCTCCGATTCATTTATTTTCATTTCTAGCGCCGTAAACGGTTCTTTGTGGCGGCTAGACTGGTGCTTGGTTACTTGGAATTTTTGTACGAATATATTTTTTAGAAACAGTGCTGCTTGGAAAAAGGAGCTTGTGAAGAGCCAAATTTGTCATTTTCGCGTATTTGTCAGTGCGACATGAATTCTAAATGAATTTAGATGTGGCTGATAAATTGGCGGCGTTTCAAGGGTAGATTTAAGCAGATTATCTTGTCTGTTCCTCAAGCAGGTGGTTAAAGTCTATGCAAATAAAATGGGAACAAAAATGCCACGAGTAACTCGAATTTTGTCGAATTTTTTTTTTGAAATCTTATTGGCTTACGGGCCAAATGCGGGGATCTGATTAGTCTAAACTTTGATCGAACTTTTGGTCAGAATTTATTCCACAGTTTTCAACAGACAATCAGAGTTCATGCTCGTAAAAGATTAAAGTACAGATTGTCAGATTGAGAATTATTTCTCGCTCATTTGATGTCGAGTTTAATCTATTCTGGACGATTTTGAGAGGACATAAATTATGTGACATGATTAAGTGCTCGGACATATCGCCTATTCTGTAGTTGTTGGAAGTTGAAAGTGGGATACCGCGAGAAGAAGGAAGGCTGGCCATTTAATTTTAATCGTCCAGCCCGCGGCCAAGTAACTTGTGGCCTCAAGCGCGAACATATTTTCAATCTGTCGCGAACAAGACATTTAGCAAGAAAAATTAACGACAGACAAATAAGAGCCTTTTTGTTATTTTTTTTCTCTCTCTGAGACCAGAGATCGCAGAGAAAAGACGGAGAATCGAAAGAAATAGACAGAGAAAAAAGATGGAATCAACGGAAAAAGTCATGCGAGAATTAACAAGGTAACTCTTCTTGAGCAATAATTCTCGAGCCTAAGAGCCTTTTATGATCGTCAAGACAAAATATGTAGACAAAATGCGCGAGTCCTCCCCATCTAAACTTTGATAAAGGCCAGGGATATGTCTATTTGAAATAGACTATTTCTTACTAAGAATAATCCTTCTTTAGCACAGGTCTGGACGAGGACTTATTAAACCTTCTGTTTTTTTCGTACCTTGTTGTCTATCCTCAAGTTGAGGTTAAACTTTTGGACAGCAGCATCTTTCATTTAAAATTACTAAAATTGACCTACATTCTTCGATCGCCGTTCTATTGATAAAAAACCTGTTGAACTCGATCTTGTTTTAGCATTTATTGAGCCATCAGTCCAATATCTGTCCTCAAAAAGGCAGTTCTGTCTCGTCTAAAAGTCATTTTTCGCAGAGAAGATATAAAAATGGAGAGGATAAAATTCGAGTACCTTATTTCGTCTGAAAATCTTACTAACAGAGTGATTTTAGAATGCTGGAAGAAGAAGATATAAATCACTCAGAGCCAAATGAAATTTTTCTGCTGCTTTGGGTAAGAAATTATGATAAAGAAAGCGAGAGTTGCTCTTAGTCTTTAATCAATTTTGAATAAGTTGTTGCTCGTTTATTCATTTATTATTTGCGATGAAAAATTGAAAAATTAATACAGTAGATCAAGTTGTAAGGCTAAATGAGTTCAGTTGTTCTCTCGATTATTGAAAAGCCAATATCAATTTAGGATTACATGATTGATAATTATAAAAATTAACTGTATATTCATCGAAAAATAGTGATGCGATTCCAAATCATCATATTTTTTTCTCTTATGAAGCGTCGAGAAAAACTTCACTTATTCTAATTAATTTTATACTTCGATATTTTCATCCGCAAGATAATTGGTCTTCTCAGTTTAATATAGTATCATATTATATAAGGCTTATATTCTAGTGCTTGATTTTGTTATTTGGTTCATTTTTCTGCCTGCTGCGAATAATATGCTGCTGGACGCACGATCCAGACCCGCGTCAAAAAGTACTGTCCTTCATTTAAAATTCAACCTCGTTTATTTTTTAAGCTGACAACTACAGTTTGACTTCGACTGACGTGGAAGGTTGGTTCAGGAAAAAGATACAGATTCCCAGGAGAAATCAGAATTGCGGCGGCGGACTTTTCGCTCGAGGTGCCGGACGTAGTCTTCGATTCCACTGTACATTAATTTTTATACTTTAAATACAAAAGAATAAGCATTCAGTGAGTTGTATCAATTATTTCCTGAAAACCAAGAGAAGTTCGAAAAACATAGGCAAGGCGATAAGAAGACCCAATCCAGCTTCATAGATATAGCTTATTCGGGTTCAAAAAACAGATATAAAGGAAAATTTGCGGGAAAAAATGAACTAACGCCCTTAATTCAGAGCTCAAAACGCTGCTTTTTTGATCCGCTTTATCAAATATAAACATGTCCAATAAACAGTAAGCCTTATTTTGATTATAAAGACTGGTTTCATCAGAAAGTACTTACTCTTTTTCATTCTTTATAACCATTCCTAAGCATATATAAACAACATATTTACGAAATGAAAGACTTTCGAAAATTATCGTCATTGATGTTTCTCTCGATATCATAGTGTTTTTTTTTAATTATTTTTTATCAAAGAACTTTTTTTCTTTTGAAGATAAATTTATTGAAAGAACCCTAAACCGATCTAACTATTGATCTCCATTGATACTTCTTAAAATTGTAAGGCTCAATAAAGAGTGTTCAAAACTGTAGCTTATCCACTGGAACACAGGCATCGTGAGTGGTTGAAATTCAGATTTTCTGGAAACGGTTCCGTTGTTAATTGGCGATGGTGTTAGACGAGTCACCCGCCGAGTGATAAGCCACGTGCTCGGCCCGTTATCATAAATAGTAGAAGCAGTGTTCTAGCGCAATTTTCTGCACGTAAACCTTTGTGAACTTGGGAAAACAATTTATTTTATGCTCCAGCAAATGCTGACTCATCTCATAAAACGTGCTAAGACTCGTGAGTCAAGAGGATGAGGATATTCCAGTGTAAATATTAACCCAAAGATTTCGTTGAATCAGTATAAGAGGAAATCTTTTCTGAACACCACAATTAAGAGGCCATGGGATGTGTCAGTGTAAACACTCTCTGACGATTGCTGTGCAAAATCGTGAGTCAAGATTGCAAAGTTTAGCGCGCAGAGAGAACAAATCGACGAAACTTTACTGAATGTCTTCTCAAAAAAAGGACCGATTTGATGAAGACATCACGTTGCAGCTTCCGAATGAAATTTACGTTCTTATTCCCGAAAATAAGAGGGATAAATTGGGCAAGAAAAAGCGAAATGTAAATTTTATCATTTTATCGAGAAAATTTCTTTCTGAGCTTTAATAAAAAATTGTAGAAAATTTGCAAGGAAACGAAATGCAAAATGTCTTCTGGAGAAAAAATCAGGAATGAAATAAGATTCAAACTTTCCGGACCTTCTTCCGCAAAAGTCGAACTTGCAAAAAATATGATTGCTGCTCATATTTTAGGTGACAAAAACTCGCAGGGAAAATCAACAAGAGCATCACTTGGAGAAAAAGCTAAAAAAGACAAAGAAAAAAAGGTTATTTAGATGGAAAGAATTCATGAATGATTATTAAGATTCAAAAACAATAGCCGTTCCCGCAATAACTGCATTCCAGCAAAAATACAACGTCGTGGTAAAGCTAAACGGGGGCCAAATGACTATAGAAGGTTTTCCTCAAAATGTCGTATCCGCGGAGAAACACATTGAGTCAATAATACGAACGAAAAAGCCTTTCGTCATTTCGAAGATAGTGTTGCCAACCGCGTTGATTGGCTTAATAATTGGAACAGATGGAAAAGTTAATATATCCTTTTTGCCAAATAAGAATTTTTTATCAAGACACTTAAACGAATCCAGTCCGAGACACGCTGTCATATAGAAGTCTTGTCCAAGGAACATGGCAAGCCTGATGAGAATGACACAACAACTGTCAAAATTGTTGGTGATAATCAGATTGATATTCTCAAAGCTAGAACTGCAATTTCAGAAGTTATTAATTCTACAAAAAAGGTAAACTTCAATCTTCCCTCTTATTTTTAAAGCAAAGATGTAGACTTTGAAAACGCCGATGGACGTCAAGACTGAGAAATTTCTAACAGAACAATTTCAAAAATTAGAAATTGAAAATAATGATGAAGACTTCCCAAAAAATGACGAAGATTCCCCTGTAGTCCATGAATCCCCCAAGACAAAGGTGGAGAAAAATGTTCTCTTCAAAAATGATGAAGAGTCCCCTATAGTCAATGAAGCCCCGGAGACAGATGCCGAAAGAAAGGTTTTCATCAAAATTTACGAATTATGAATGTACTCACTACTGTATGCTTATTACAGATCTCTAGGCTTACCGGACTTAATTTCGGCACATTTTTCTAGCTTAATTTGGGGGTCATGTCACATATATTTAGAAAGCCCATGTCCTGAGCTTTCATTTGGGCACAGAATAAAGGGGTCTGAGTCATGCCCCCAAGGCAATTTATGGGACCGGAAGTCTCAATATAGGCACTAGAAGTCTTCAATCAATTTTTTCGATACGTTTAGGAACTCCTGAGCCTTTAGGAACGGCTGGAATAGGAAGCTCAGACTGTGAGCTTTCTGTAGAGCCCATAAAATCTAGCTGCCCTTCGGTCTAGCGGCCTCTAGTGGTCAAAGAAGGTGAGAATATGGGTATTTTTCGACAGGAACCCGAAAGGAAATTTAAAAAAAACCTTCCGGTTCTACCGCGGTTCAATTACTAAAGACTCATATATTGTTTATAGTTGTTTTATAAATATAACAAGTAAGTTAAGAAGTCGGAAATTCGACTCGAAACCTGAAGATTCTCGACTTAAGCACTTATGAAGTCAACTTCTAGGGCCACAAGAGGGCGCTAGAGACGAGGGCAGCTAGATTTTATGGGCTTTACAGAAAGCTTAGAGTCTGAGCTTTCTATCCCAACCGCTCCTCAAGGCTCTTGAGCTCCTAAACACATCGAAAAAATCGATTGAAGAGTTCAAGTGCCTATTTTGGAACTTCCGGTCACATAATTTGCCTTGGGGGCATGACCTTGACCCTTTGATATTGTGCCCAAATGAAAGCTCAGCTTCTGGGCTTTCTAAAGCTGTATCATAAGACCCCCCAACTAAGCTAGAAAAATCGGCCAAAAATCAGTCCGGTAAGCCTACAGATCTCTTTTCTAGATCGAATCAATCATAGAAGTTCCTCTTGACGTTTACTATGAGCGAAAGAACCCGAAGCTATTCGACGATTTGGAGAAGCTCAACAATGTTGAAATTTTCACTAAAAAAGATGAAGAATCGCGAATTGTTATGTTCAAAACAATTGGTTTACAGCTGGAAGTAGGATAATAGTAAGCTTAAAAGAGCTCATTTAAGATTTTTCTAAGGTAAACTGGGTTGAAACTGTTTTGAAATCTTACTTTTCTGGAAACTCCGTTGATCTGAGCGAAGATATAGAAAAAAGGACTGAAGAATAAAAAATTCTGCTCGAACTTCTATTCAAATTTTATTAAAAATAACATAGATGTCATGTAAACAAGAGTTGTATTGAGCTGGATGATGCGTGGCGCGTGAATTATGTGCATGACGAGCGAGGGAGTCCTGCCAGGTGCCGCTCAGCTCCCATGAAAATTGACAAGCGGAAATGAACACACAAACCTAATCAATTCCATCAAGCTCACGTGAGCCTGGAACCAGCAACAAGGACACGTCACAGGCAGCCCAACTGACAACTTTCTTTCAGCCAGTGACTTCCGTTAGAGGTTGAACTAGCGGCTAGGAAGTATTTTGAAGGCAATAATATCAACTTATTTTCGTATCAATAAGATTTTCATGAGTTGAACTAGTCGAGGTCAAGAATTGAGCAATTGAAAAGTCGAGTGTGAGATAATCTCGCCATCGCTTCCCCGTCGAGTTCACAATTTTCCTTCTCAGCTGGAATCAAGTTTTATCCTCCTGAATTAGTCGCTACAAATCTTGAGCACGAGCGGTGCTCCAGCTGAGTTCACGAAATTCCAAGCCACCTGAACTTTCGGATTCGCAACTTTTCCAATCGATTTTCACATCAACAAGCTTTTCTGGCTTCTTGATTTTCCAGAGGCAAGAGACTGAGTATAGGCTGAATCGATTCTTCTCTGAGTTTAATTGTTTTTCATCTAAAAGCATGTCTTCAAAGAGCCCTAAGAAATCAAAGACTAGTGATCAATATAAAGGTCTTTTGATAAAAGCCGTAAAACAAGTATTAAAACTTAGATCTAACAAATGCAGAGCTGGCATCAAATTAAAAACAGCATCATCATTGATACTCTTTGAAGCCTCTTTTAGTATCAAAAAGAGTGTTCGAGTCTATTTTTTATTATTGAAGTCGCTTCTAAAGTCGGTATTTTTGTTTCAAGAGGTGCTAGGTCGGACAAATGAGCCCTCATTGAGGGAAAATTCAAAGTTCTTATCTCACCAAGCAGATCCCGCCGCGGATCAAGCGGATTTCTCAATCCTCTTCCGGCTGATACTGTCACTTTCTTATGATCTAGTAGGGCGCACAGCGCTTTTAAATGCTCCGACGGCAACTGTCCAGAAAAGTTGCTTTCTTTCTTTCAGATTTTTGAAGACCATAATTCTGTTTTGAATATTTTCTTTCTATAAATTTAGCATGATATGATGTTGTCGAAATAAAATAAGATTACAACTCATGTGTACTTCCGTGAAAAATTTATTATGATTAAAGCTCGCAAATTTGATATCTCCGAAATCTACTTTAGACATTTTGATTGGCTAAATTTTTTTTAGGTATTTTATTTATGAGCTGGTATTAAGATTGTCCTCGGAATTTCTTTTGTGTGTGTTCTATTATTTGATGGTGCGGCTTGTGAGTGGGGTTTGGAGGCGGAGGTGGTGTTCAGGCCCGCGTTCTGTGATAAAGAGTGTGCTCTTTGATCGTGGTCGGTGTTATTCAAAAAACGCGCCTGGCCGATATAATTCCGACTTCAAAGTTGGGCGCGCTTTGAAGTCGGCAGTACTTACTTTTATCTCGCTAAGGTGACTCTCTCACTTCAAAAGACGCAGGCGAACCCTCTGCACAACCCAAAGCCAAATTAGCATCAGCATATTACCATTACTAAAGCATACGTTTGGTTTCTCATTATTACGTTCCATGACCTGGCACCAGGCATTTTCCAAGATTTCCTTTGTGACTTTATTTTCCGCAAAACAGAGATCACAAGATAAAAGAAGCGTTTTAAACTTCTTTGAAGTATTTTATTTTACTGTGTAAAGCGATAATCAGAGTGGCGTAAATATTTTTAGCTCCTTTGAAGTTGAGATGAGCAGTTGTTAATTGCTTGGAAAACGGAGTTTCGTAATTCTTGAGTTTAATTGTTTCAGAGTGAAATTGCTTTTTGGTCAATTTCTTGGTCAATGTCGCCGAAAATGAGTTTTTGGCTAAATGAGTTGACCAAAAGCGAAGTCATTTTTGTACCAAATATTCGCCCTGCATTATTTTTGCTCGTTGAAAACTAGTTTTCAAAAGTTTTGAATTGGGCCAGATAAATATGATAAAGATCCCTTATCATCAAATTTTTATGACCGAGTTCTTCCCAACCCCATTTTTTTTTGTTTTACGAAGTAAATAACCAAGCGGCCTCCGTTTTCCTCCTGACAGGTGCATCTTTTGGCGGCGCTATCCTTCTGAAGTTGTGAAAGTGTCTTATGCAGCGTGGACCGGTAGATCAGAGGCGGGCCGGTCCGGTCCCTCCTTAGAAGTGACGATAAGTGGCACTGATCATCGCCGAGGAGAGAAAAAAAGAGGACGAAGGTCCCCTCCGGCGGCCTCGGGGGCGCTCGGACCACCAAAAGCCCATTCTCACTGAAATCAGTCTGTCACACTCGCCAACCATTTAACCCCCTACAGAGACCATAAAAAAGGTGGACAGTACAAAAACTCCCAAGAAGAAAATCAAATTGAACATTTTTGAAAAAATAAAAAAAAGAAGCTGGATTAGGCGGAAGATCAAGAATAAAGCCCCCGAGAGAGGATAAAAGAAAAATAGAAAAAAAAGAGGAAGATAGACCAGGGAAAAGAGATTTCACGAAGCCGACGGAAAATCCTCGACGTGAGCGAAAGAATTACTGTGAGACAGAAATAAGAAGATTGGAGATTTTCTCAAGACAGAAGTTTTAAATGGTAAGTTTTTCAATTTCACAGCTAGAAAAAATCGGAAACATGGAAGCTTTTTAATAATTTTCTTCAATATATCCCTTTGATTGTTTAAAAAAGCCGCAAGCGGCTTTGCTGAGGACTTCTTCTCATGATGTAAACCTATTCTTGAAGATATTAATTTTTAAAGAGCGGCAGTTGGAAGCATTAAAAAACCCCTTTGAAGTTGTTATTTTCGTTCATTTTCCATTCTTTTGATATCTACAATCGATTTTTTCCTTTGAGAAGTGCCAGAAAGTGTCTTCTTGTTCTATGGGGACATATGGGGATTTGCATGGTTTTGCTTTATAAGTTATCGGAGGCAGAAGGGAAAGATGATGGCAAGGATCTGAGTCGGCGTTTTAGGTCTTTTAGGGTCCCGTTTAGCGCTGATCAAAGAGCTTTCGAGCTTTGATCCTAACATGCGCCTTGTGACTCTGCTTTGATCTTTCCGACGAGTCTCGCAAGGACGCCGACAGGTTGAGAAAAGATACAACCGAAGCGTTATTTCTGATAAAAACTCATTTTCCAGAGAAAAATTGCCGGTACGGAGCTGGTAAGAGCAAGGAAAGATATTCCTTTATGGAAACAAAAAAGATCAAGGACGTCAATTCTTTGATCGTCGAATTTATATCAGAAACATTGTTGGGACTCCCATTCATGTTGTTTTCAGTTTCTGAAATCTTCAAAGCCCATGTAAATTTTATCATAAACTTTGTTTGACATCATTGAAGGATAAAAAAGTTGTCAAAAAATAGACATCTGGAAATATTTCAAAGTGGAAAAAGATGAAAATCGGCCTTCTGATTGGTTCTTCCGAAAAAGCGCCACCTAGAAGGTTATTAACCTATCAGAACGCTCGAAAATAATTTTCTAATTTTTGCGCTTTCTGATTGGCTTCGACGAATCCTCTCATTTTAAAAGCCGAATTCTAGAGCAGAGATTTTTCTCACAAACCCTAACCCTGGCTGATATTTCCGTCGAAATAGAAGCATATGTTTGTTCTTCGCCCCGTAAAATTAATTTTCTTAAGTCAAACAGGATAAAAAGAGGTTTCAAAAGCGGCGGGGGATCAAAAACGCGGATCAAACCGAATCCGGTCCGAATCACTAATTGGCGCAAGCTGGCCGCGCGTTTGTTCTCACCGGATGGGAAAACACCAAACTCCACTCCAAGTAAAAATAAATCCGCTTCTTTGAGGGAATTTGCAGTTCCACTCGAGTTCAAATTCAAGCGCGCCCAGGCGGCCCAAGTCTAAGGACATAAACCGGGACAAGTACCAACCCTCACTTTCGGATCAAAGTACAAAATTTCTAAAAAACAAAGGTGTCTAGGTAAAAGTTGAAGTTTTCATTTATGTATTGGTGTGTAGAAAAGACAGATCATGTGAATGCATAATATTTGAACAAAAAAATCGATGTCAATCTGGATTATTCAAGAGCTCTTCTGTAAGACCTTCCGTAGTATCTTCTGTTCTTTTGTGATCTTTGATTTCTTCTTGCTTCTTTCGATTTGCGGCGACGATTTCAAAGTACCAAACGTTAGCGATAAGAAGAAAATCCAAGTTTCCAAGAAGTATCTCTTAATTATTTTTTCAAAAAACGGGTTCTTATTCGCAAATTACCTTCACTCAAAGGCTCCCCATATATCCACTTACAAATGCGTGGTACGAACCAAAGCACAAGAAGATTGAATAGATATCTAAAGAATGCCGGCCATTCCGAACCCCGATTCTCACGATAGTATTTGAACAGTTCCAAAAATACCATGATTGAAGAACTGACGCTATTTTCTTACAATTTTTTGATGAACAAGCGATTCTAGAGAGAATTTTTTTCTTTTGAATTTTTCCAACGACACCAGCAGCAATAAAAATTCATGCCCAAAAATAATAATAATCACAGACACCTGTTTTTCGCTGCTAATTTCAACCTTTCAAGTCATTCCAACACCTAATTATCCATTTTTAGATGAGCTGATTCTGAAAAAACACCCTCAGTCAAAAATGAGCCTGACCAGCTTTATTTCAACACGAGACGAAGTGGACGGATTCCGAGATTATCTCCAGCAATACTCGCCCGAAGGACTGCTCGACTTTCGAATCTGGCTGACAGCGAATGGATACTTGAAGGAATTTGTTCGGTATCGAGCACTGCATGACAACGATCTTGAAAATTTCGTCAAGTGGAACGCAAAATGTGCTAAAGCCATGATTGACCGGTTTTTTCAAGATTCTCAGCCAGGTAAAGTCTCATTTTAAAGACCTTTAATTTGGCCCGAAACGCGCTCTGATTGGTCGGAAATTTAAACAGCGCCACCAAGAAAATAACAAGCCAATAAGAAACCCGTTTTTTAAGATTTGCACCATGCCTACGATTTCTGCAAGAAGTTCTCAACCGTCGCGACAGCAGAAATGATCAAAACGGAAATGGAATCGATTCGAAACATGGTTCAATCTCGACTCGAGCGCAAGTACTTGACACGCTTCACCGGCCGAACGAACCGACTCCTCTTCCTCGCGGAAAACCACAACAATACAGAGTACCAATCCACCACCACTGAGTGTAATACTTGCAGCGAAGATACGAAAAGTTGCAATACCGATTGGTCGGCTGTTGATCCAAAAAAGGACAAGAAGAGATACAGGCGCAGACAAAAGGTAAATTTCAGTCAAAGAATCGATCAAATATTGCTTATAATAATTAATATTCGCGGTCTAAGATAGTCGATAAATGGTCTTAAAACTTTAAGGTAGGAGGCCATTTGTAAGGAGCTCAATCTTTAAAGTCAAAGTCCTTTGGACGTGATCCCAATCCTGAAATCCTTTTTTGATCCCTTCAAAAAACTACAGTTTCAAAGCGTTTGAACCTTCAGCCTCAAAAAAAGTAGCGTGCCTTGTACACCGCCCTCAAAGGAGCTCTTTCGGCCTTGAAGTCAACTCCTGTATTACGCGCGGGCCGATTGAGGCGTTTGATCATGTCCGATTTTTTAAAAAGTAAACCTACTCGAACTGCTTTGATGAGGTGTTTATTGGACGGAAGCGTAATTTAGCGCCACCAGATGGGTAATCCGAGTGTTTAGAATATCAAACGCAGCCACTTGGGGAGAAATCGATCCGAGGGCCCGAAGAATTCCGATTTTATTCCGCCCAGCTTGCCTAAAATGCCGAACGAAGCGGATTTGGCAACGAAGAATCCAAAAGGTTTTGCGAAACTCGTCATCGAAAAGCTCGAAAAGGTAAGTCAGAGAACTCAATTGACAGTAAAAATTATTAGAGAAATTTTCAAAACTACCTTTTCATAAAAAAATGAACAAAATTTTGTTGATAAAAATTATAAAATAAAATTTTCAGGTTTTGGAAATGCGGGAAAACGACTCAATCCTTGACGATCACTTGGAACGTGTCATGAAAACGCCGACCACGAGGTCATCGCTTTTGGCGCTTCCGTCTCGGACACTCAAAAACTTGAAACAAAGGACAAAAATGACGTTCTCCTCCTTTAGAAGCTCCGATTCTTCAGAGAAAAAGGTAAAACCAAACGCTCTCTTCAACTCACTTTGAACTCAATTTTCAGATCGTTCAAAAGCGCGAAATTCCCGCTTTGGCGAAATCGGCGTCCGGTCCAGCGATTCTTGGAAATTCATTTCACCCGAGTCCAGAATCTGAAACATCAGTGACGGCGATTCAAACCCTTTTGAGTTCCGATTCCGGTTTATCCTCCACGCGGATCGAGTCAGAATCGGAAATGGCGGAAAGCGAAATGCTCGAAATCGACGGGCTCAAGCAACGACTCATCGAAGAAACTGACGGTAGTTTGTCCACAAATCTACTTTACGAATACGACGAGGAGAAATACATCGTCAAGTGCCCAGGTCGATCTCCTACCTTGGCTTCTTTCCGCGGGCGAATCCATCTTCGAGGAATTTACCGATTTTTCTTCAAAAACGAAGAAGCAATTTGGGTCGAAATCACCGACCCGACAGAGCCAGTCCCTGTTTTAGGCGATACTGTTCATGCTAAAGTTATTCAAACCTAACCTTACTCAACTCATTGAAAAAACCTAAGTTTGTGTAATATTTTTATTAAATTATTGAAAACCTACTCAACAACTGCTATACAAATAAAACCAATATTGATACTTTCTGATGTGAGTTTTTGCGAGTTTTGCATTTTTGTGTGGATAACTGGCCTTTCTGCGATAATCTGCGGTAAATTGGCGGACACCTCGGATGAGGTAAATTACCAACTGGAGAAGGTGATTTAGAGCTGTTGGCTGCGCACAAAAAATGGTCTATCTTTTGAGGACCTGTCGAAGCAAAACACGTTACGTAGCGTGGCGTTTCCCCTTTAAAAATAACAGATGGAAATTGCAGACAGTACGTGTTTTTGAGAAAATTTTATTGTCATAAAATTGCCGTCTACTATGATTGTTGCCATCTAGTAGGATTATTGACAATGATTTATTGACAATAAATTATTGTCGAATAAATTTGATTCGATCGGAGTAAGCCCGGATTTGAGTCTGAATTTAGGAAAACATTATTTGATATGTAAATACCTAAATATTAACGCCAAAATGACGGAAGAGAATTTCTTCTCGTCTTGCGGACTCTTGATCTTGGCGGTCAAATCTTGCGATTAAGTCATTATACCGCTCACTGTCGGTTCTAGCTCTCTGAATATTATGCGCTTCTATTCTTGCAAGTCTTTCCTCCAACGACGAAAGTCGGGTGTCAATGGTTTTTCTTAGATTTTCGATGGTCTCATCTAAAAAGATTTTCTTATTCTAAAATTAAAAGTTCATGAAAATTAATGAATTGATACTCCGTTAACATACGGAAATCTTCGCTTGTAATAAGATTATCAGTGAGAATATCATCAACAGCGCTTTCAGTGTTCTTCTGTCGCTTTTGACTTTGTTCCATCTTAATATTGATCTCAGAATGTAGCTCTTTTTTCACTTGCGCGAGTTCACCACGAAAATTATACCGCTCGACTTCAAATTCTTCTCGTTGTGAACGCATTGCTTCTTCATGTTGTTGATTTTGTTCGTGAATCTGTTTATTCAACGATTCAATGTCCTTTTTGTTCCGATGAATTTCCTATGGTAGTTTTATTCACTGTTTCACTGAGAGAATTCAGCTCCATCAGAAATACTTGCTATTGGCTTTTATCAAAAAAGTACTATTTGAGTTGTGACTTCTCTTTGAAAACTTATTAATCAGCAATTTTGAAGCGAATCTTCAAATATTTTAGAAATTAACCTCTATCAGTTGGCTCATTGTAGGCATTTTGTAAGAAAAATTCTGCAATTTTTTAGTGAAAATGTCAAAAAATGATTTGCTTATATATCAAGATACGCCATAAAATGTTCAACATTATGTCCCTGTAAATATCATTTTGGTTTTATCAGTACAATGAAATTGACTTTATTATGTTATTCACAGGAACCTGCTTGAAATTCTGCTTCAAAAATTGTTAAAAACTGAAAATCATGGGTTAGAGGCCATTCCTAAGTTGTGCAAACATTGCGTGAGTTTCAGTACTGCAAAAAGTGCTGAATAGTAAGACACTTGAAAAACCAAGGACATATGAAATGTCTCAAAAGGAGATCGACTTCGACGAAGTCTCATTTAGACATCTTGGCCGATCTTCTTGATCGAGTTGAAGGCGCCAGGTTTATTTCTTTTCAAAAAGATTTCGCGCGGCTGTATAAATAAATATGACAAGTACAGATATAAATTGTTTACACATGAAAGATTCATAAGCCAGCACTTTTATCGAACTGCAATTTTCAACGTAATATTTCTTTTTGTAACGTAAAATTTTGTAATCAAAGATTGAATTAGCTCACAATGGAAAAAAATAAACTAAAAAAGTTGGTGCTAGAACGTGATTTTTCTTAATAAATGGAAGCCCGTGGCGGTGGTGAGATTTTTTTAAATGAGGTAAAGGAGGTAGAAGTTGGTTGAAGTGGTTGGTTTTGTGGAAAACTGGACACGTGAAAGATTTTTTTTTTGTTTTTCGAAATTGAGTTTGAATTTCAGAAGTTTGAATTTCGTGAAGAAGAGAGAGATTGGTTTTTTAAAAGCAAATGAGCCAGGCTTTGCCGGACTTTTTGACAGGTGAACCGGTAAATACATGCGTTCGGGTAGTTCCGATTGAGCGGACCGCGACCGCATCAGCTGCCGTAATGTGCCCAATCTTCTCCAGATTTGTTGACCAGATCTAAAAATACGTTTTTTCAAAATTTAGCGCTTTTCGGGCAGTTTTCAAAATAAAAGGCGATAGATTTTCTCGCTTAGAAATTCTAACGGAAAATTCTACCGAGAAATGAACCACTGTACTCACGGCTAAGGAGCCATCCCTTGCTACAGAAACAAAGGCATTTCTTCCGGGAATGATTTTCATCGAAAGAATCCAGTCAGCATGAGCCATTGAAAAAGTCTTGACCAATTCGCCTTTGGAAGACCAGAGCTTTATGGAATTATCTCGCGAGCCGGTAGCGATGAAATCTTCGAATTCAACGATGGCAGTGACCTGGAAAAAGTACTGTAAAAGACTATGAAGGGTTGAACGGCTTACAGTGTCAAGATGAGGCGAAAGTGTTATTTTTGGTGCGATTGAATCAGCTGGCAGCTCAAAGGAATGACGGAAAAGACGCGTGGAGTTGTCGCGGCCGCCGACAGCTACGGAGACTTCTAAATCGGAAACTGTTCGGACTGAGAGGGCGGTTATCTCTGAAGGTGACGCGCATCGAAGTCCCGTGTCCAAATGGTTGACGTAACACTTCACCTTAAAAAACGATGTCAAAAATTATGATAAAAGTTTCATGGACAATATCGTCGTATCAGCAATCCTAATATCTAGTAGACAACTTGGGGGGAAGATGAATGAACTAATTGATTGATCCATAGGCTATTGACCATAGACCCTCCTTTTGACCAGATTTAATGACTTTTATTGATATTCCAAATTTCATAATCACGCTCTCCAAAGAAACTGTATTGAGCTTTGGGAATGGCTTGTTTTGGCTGATCAAACGAGGCCAAGAAGGTTAGTTAATATTGGATAACGACGGAGTGTGTTATTTTCAAATCACGTTTTTAGTTCTTTTAGAATCTGTTTGTGCCCTCCTCTACTTTTTTGGATCATACAAGTTTTGCGTAAACTGTTTTTGAGTACACATTATTGCTGGCTAATTAAACGTAGAGGTCCAACCAAACTGAGAAACACTGCTCCGGATGTTTTAGAAGACGATCCCGCAATTTTTCTCTCAAATAAAAAAGGTGGGGTTGCCTAGGTTGGCCATAGACAGCCGTTTTTAAAAATAAACTGGTGGATAAGCTTACAGTAACGATTAGATAAGCGCGCTATAAGAATATTTGAGCGGAAACAATTCATGCAATCAAGAAACTTACAGTCTTGTCGACAGCGATCCAGAGCCGTCCACAGTCATCAGTTTCCACGAACTGAATCGGTTTGTTCTCCGTGATGACTTTTAGCGGCTTTTCATTTCCTGTCTCCGTGTCCCAAGCGGATACTTTTCCCCCATCAACTGTATACAAAATGCGTTGCTTCGAATCAAAAGCGAGCAATTCCACTGGACTGGGCATGCTGTACTGAAGCACTTCTTTGTCGTCCACCAGGTCCCACATTTTGATCAACTTGTCGCGGCCAGAAGTGAAGAGGAACTCTTCAGAGGCGACGATCGAAATGATCGCTTTCTGATGACCAACAAGAGCTTGAGTGCACTTCAATCCTACAGTGTTGTCTTCGTCCTCGGGCGAATGAGAGGGGAGGAATTTTCCAGTGGCTGCCCGGTCGACAGTAACCTAGATAAGAAGAGTACTCCAGCTTCCTTATTTTTTAACAACATACCTTGCTACTAGAATTCCTTGAGAAAAAGCCGCCAACTCTCGAGCTCAATTTCGACGAAGAAGAAGTGTCCTTAGAACCTGGGCTCGGCAAACTGAGCTGTGTAAAAACCTGTTACAGGTCCTGTTTCCTGTTTTTGGGGAACCTGTCTGAGTACCTGTGTAAAATCGGGTAATAATTTGGGCCTGACCTGTGTACCTGTGTAAAATTGGGGGAAAATTTTTTCTTTAGCTGTCCCTGTTCCTGTTTCTGTCTTAAACAGGCCTGTGTTTCCCGCTCAGGTCCTGACCATAGACAGGCTCCTGTGTAACCAGGTCAGGAACTGCATAAGTCAGCGAAAATATTTAAAGAAATCGATAACGAAAGGCGTAAAGAAGAGTTCGTCAATCAAAATAACCGATAAATTCGCGTCTTTTTGTTTCTTTGTAATATTTCTTCTCAGAAATATCCTGTTTTTTGTCCTGTCACAGGGCCTGTTTCCTGTTTTCTGACCTGCTCAGACCTGTTCAGGCAGACCCTGACCTGTGTAACCTGTTTGATAAGCTGTGTAAAAAAACCTGTCTGAGTACCTGTCTAAAATCAGGATATTTTTGCTTCCTGACCTGTGTGCCTGTGTAAAATATGGGACAGAAATTTTTTTTCCTGTTCCTGTGTCTGTTCCTGACACAGTTTACCGAGCCCAGCTTAGAACTCCCCGTTTCAGTACTACTTATTGTTGATGTCGGAGAAGGCGATCTATCCGTCGATTCATCGCCATTCTCCCCACTTGGTCCTGGAAGACCAAGGGCTGAAGAGAGGCCGAACATGTTCGCAGTTCGCTTCTTTTTCGAAGCTGTTCTTGGGGTCGGCAATGGGTCGGACCGGGAGGTTTTTTTGTCCATCAGATGAGAAATCAGTTGCTTTTGCATTGCGAAATATGATTCTAAAAAGTTCTGTCAGTAATAATTGCGGGAATTTAAAATGATCAACCATTAATTAACCTCTATAAATACGGCATTATTAATTGATAATACCCTCTATGTTTCATGTAAATAAGTTACCTTTGGAATCAAGCTCGTTTTGAACCTTCTGATAATTGGCCGTCATTTGCCGTTTCTCCTGGTTCACATTCGCGTGCGCATTCACAAAGAAAGGAACCATCTGGTTGAGTAAGTAAATTAATTGACTTCGCGAAGCATTTTCGACATCCACTTGTAATGGCTTAGTTGTTGGGTCATGTTTTAGAAGCCCTTGGAGAAAAAAGTGTACACAAAACAACCCATTCAATTTTCAATTCAACAGATCCCGGATTTCACCATTTATCTTTCACTATGTTGATACGGTAGACAGTATTGTTCGACTTCCGAGGTCACAAGACCTCAAAATAACGGGCTCCCAAGTAGCCAACTCCAATGTCAATCATTACGTAACCAAGTGTAATCCAGGGTGTCTAATTTGGACGGACAAAATTGGATTGGATAGTTGGATTGGCCAATTTTGGAAAATAGCCGGAAATTGGTTGGATCTGGCCCCGGTTTTTGTTGGATATTTCGGATTATTGGGCATTATTGGATAGTTGGGATAAATTGGAAATCGGGGCTAAAATGGGCAAATTGGCGACCAAAATAAATTGGAATACTGGAAAATTGTAGGGCAACCAGCCGAATCAGCCGTTTTGATCAAATTTTCTACCAAAAATACTCCTAAATTTAACCAAATAATGACTAAAATGAGTCGAATAATTGTACTTTTTGGTCCAAAGAGCAATTATTAAAGTCTTTCTTTTAGTTTGTTAGAGAAGAAATGAGAAAATAAACCGGATTTTTACCGGATTCGGATTTTTATTGGAATCGAAAAATAATTGGAAAATTGGCTAAATTGGGGAATTCCATAATTGGCAAATTATTGGATTATCGGGCTAAATTGGAATTGGATTGGATTTTGGCCGGATCAGACTCGAAAAAATTATTGGCCGGAAAATGGTCGGCCAGATCCGGAAATTTTGTCCAATTTAGACACCCTGGTGTAATCTACCGGTACAGACAATATCTGGGCCCAACAACCTGTGTAGAAACCCTGAGTGAGGATCTAAAAGATTACCAACTCAATCAAAAATTCTTGAGAAGATCTTTTAGACCCTGACTCAGGTTTTCTGCTCAGGTTGCTGAGGCCAGGCCAATACATTCCTTTGAAATGAGACCAAATAAAATATACTTTCTGTATTTTCAATCGAAAGCCATTCCTATAGGTTCATCATCAGCAAGCTCAACAAGTTGACTCTGGGCCTCTTGAATCCTTTCGGAAATATATTCCACATGTTCGTCGTTTTGAAAGGACTTCAAAACAGGCATTCAGAAAAAGAGGATCATCCGCTTCTTACCTTGTCATCTTCGAGAGACTTTCGTTCCGCCAAAAGCTTTTCTAGCTCATTTTCGACATCTTTCTGGGTTTCTCTGGCGGCGATGGCCGATCGGATTTTTTGCTGAGTAACCGACCACATCTTTAATTTCAGATTAATACTTGAAATTCCAATTTGACTAAGAGTCAATTCGAAGTTACGGTAAATCTTTGGAACGATAAAATCCGAGTTTGAAAATTATGCAAATTCCGTCGATAAGAATCAAATAAAATCTTTGAACCGCGTATTTATGTCAAAACTGAAAATAAAATCTTACTTTACTGTAGTTGGCTCTGGAACGTGTTTGTGGTCTGATGTTGCCGGGCTGTTGTCTCAATCCGTTCCGGGGGGGATTTCGATGGCAGACCGTTTTTACTCGCCGCGTTTTTCACATTTTTTAACTGAGAAGAGGAAACCCAAATTTCCTACCGGCAAAAAAAATTTTTTCCTCAATTTTTTTCCCGAAATTATAAGTTAAAGATCAGGCATTATTCTTGAGGAGCTCAATTTTTTTCGGTAAAAGTGAGAGCTTGAGTTTTCCTTTCCTGTAATTTCAGCTCATTCACAGCTTTTTCCGATCTTTGCAATTTTTCCTCAGTCGATTTTTGCTTCAAATTAGCAGCTGCTGCGTTTGTTTCCGTCAATCTCATCGACTTCTTCAATTTATTCAGCTCTTTTTGTGTCTTCATCTCTTTTTCTTTGAAAATTTTTGCATCGTCGCGCATTTTCTTGATCAAATCTACTTTTTGGCGTTTCATTTCTTGCAGCTTCATTTTTGCGTCTGCCAGTTCTCTTGATTTTGCTTCTTCTCGTCTTGACAGCTTCTCGTTTTCAATCTTCTGCTGCTGGAGTTGTTTCAGATCATTTCTGAGCAGCGATAGTTTTTGCTCCATTTCGCGGATTTTTTCTTTCGACCGAGGATCTTTGTCGCTCTTGTCTTTTTGCTTGGCCAGAGCTAGATCACGTTCTTTTTCAGCTTCCTGGATCTTTGTTTCGAGGATTGAGAGCTGGTTTTCGTACTTTTTTCGTTGATGTTCTAAGTTGGCCATCGTTGCTTCGAGTTGGAGGACGAGTTGTTCTTTCAGGTCGATTTCGTTGCTAAAAATAAATATTTAGAAATTTCTGTGCGAGGAAAAAAAACAATTTTAGAAGTCCCTAGATTTATTCAATTCTGGAAAAAGAAATCTTGATAGTTGGTTTGATCCAACCAGCGTAAAAGAAGCGCTCTAGATTTACTTGATAGCGAATCGCGGGAAATTTCTTCGTTTCAGATCGATATAGGCTCCGCACATTTTAGATTTTGAGATGGAAAAGTTTTGGATCGAGGGAGAATATGTAGCCGAGAAAAACAATTCTAGTGAATGCTCTGATTGTAACCGGTAGGATTTTTGTAAAGAATCAAACTCTCGGATTTTTGTTTTCGAATTAAAAAAATGACCTGCATTTAGTTACTTCATGAAAATGTATTCCAAAAAGAATTGGAATGACAGATGCACTAGATGTGCCCAGACGATAATTGATTGCGATCCGGGTTACGTACAGTATAAGGGCGGTGCCATGAAACTCATCACTTCAACATTCATTTGCCCCGCAAAGAAATGCTCAGCGAGAAATCTCTCCTTCGAAGACTTTATAACTGGAAATTGTTGTCCGAAAGGATTCATCAAATCAGCTGAGGATCATTTTAACATCACTGATGAGTACCAACTACTTGAAAAGGCCAATCAACTATTCAAAGATTCAACTGACAAGCAACACTCATCCCTTGCTGAAATTTTTAACGCAAAAAAAGTCGAAAAAGAAGCTCAAGAAAAATTGATTGCTGCTAGAAAAGAAGTCATGATAAATGAAAGGAAATACGAGTCTTTGGCCGATCAAAGCAAGATCTACAAGAGATTCGCAGAAGTTGCAATGTCCATGATCTCTACCGCAGTGGCGCGAAAAGGTTTTCATGTATTAGCAAACTGAAGTTCATGCAATGAAAAACTTTACTACAGTATATTGACGATGAATCTTAAGAGAATTCTGATGATACAAAAGCGTGCAAGATTTGCTTTGAAAATTACGACAGTGGAACAAAAATAGAATCTACTCTTCACTGTGGCCATCGATCCTGCCTAAAATGTCTCAATGATCTCTCTCTGAAAACATGTCCGATTTGCCGAAAAGAATTCACAAAAGACCAAATTATCAAGCTTTACTGAAGTAATCAACAAGGTAACATATATTTTTTCTATCTACATTTTAATCGTTCACTAGCACCAACGATCGGGAAAATCCAAAAATCTTTAGCTGACTATTGAAATTAAAACTTTGAATAATTTGAAAATAGATTTTAGTTTTGAAAGCATCAAGAAACCAATCATGTTGCAACCTTTCACAGTTAAAAAATAACTTTAAACTTACGTGATATCAGTGAGCTCATTGTGTTGTTCCGCCGCATTCAAATCATATTCAATGATTCCTTCGTCATCAGAAGGCGAGTGATCATCAAAATCATCGTCAAATTCTTCCTCTTCCCCGTGCGATTCCGATTCCCTCTGCGAATATTCTGCGCTCGTCTGAACTCCAGCTTTTCGCAGCTCAATGTCGTACTTTGCTCGTTCTATGAGTTCCTTTGGATTCTAGAGGGGGATCAAAAAGAGGCGATTTATTTTAGAAAAGATAAATTCGGATCCCGTATTCTGCGTATTGAGCGTGGCAGTTTCCCTTGCGCTGCCGATCCTCGGCCGTGCATTTCGAATCTCAGCTTGTGTAAGGCGATTTTTCAGATCTTCAATTTGGGCAAGATAATCCGCAACGACTTTTCGGCCTTCTTTGTCTTTTGAATCGACGTTTTCCATTTGCAGCGCTTTTTTCTCGATTTCAAAAATGAATAAAAAAAACTTGAAAAATTCATTTTTACGATGGTCGGATTATGAGATATAAAACCCCCCTTTTGACCTTTTTCTTCCATGTTTTTTTTCTTTCAAAATCGTTGCCTATTAATCTCTCTTTCTGACGATCAACAGTGTCCTGCAGCTCTTTTATCTTTTCCTTGAGTTTCTTGATTTCTTCCTGAAGCAAATAATTCTCCTGAAACATATCGTTGTAGCCAGCAATGTCGACAGATGAGGAATTGTCTCCAGCCCCTAGAAAAGTATAAAAGATTGGCTAATTGGGTGAATAAGCCTTTGTCAATGACTTCTGAGAAGATTCACTGATCTTTTGAGGATTCGTTTTATTGGCTATTATTCTCCTCTTTTGTGAGCCCTGCAAATTGTTATCGATATTGCCAAGAGAAAGAAAGAGATAAGATTTGGGGACCAAAGATTGGGCTCGGTAATCTTCAGTGAGCCAAGATCCAAGAAAAATCATTGTTGATACCCTTATTCTCATAAATTTTCTTACCATTTACAGCTTTGGCGCCATTAGTCTTGTAAAGCGCCAATTCAGAAAGTGCTTGAGAAAGTTGAGTCCGAAGTAAAGCGAGTTGTTTTGATGAAGAATCTTGGTTTTTAGTAACTTTGTTTTGAATGTTCCTCGCTCGGTTGGCGTATTTTAGCGTGTTGAGTGTTTCCATAAAGTCCGAGTCTGATGGGGAGACGCAGGCGATCATGATAGTACGAGAATTGCCTCCCAGTGAGTCTTGAAGAAGACGGGTGATTTTCGAGTCGCGGTAGGGCACGTGCTTTCGTTTTTGCGACGCATCTCCAAGGGCAGAAATGACATTGCCCAAGGCGAGCAAGCCCTGATTGATAGAGATTCCTTCCTTTGCTCTGTCTCCTGTAGCACCAGTTCGTTTCAGCCGCTCGGAGCCAGCCAAGTCGACAAAATGAAACTTTGCAGAGACGGTTTCTAGATCCAAATTTTTATTTTCTTTTTCATCTGAATTGCAGGGAGCAGCGCGGGTTTGTTTGATGTTGAGTGTAAAGACGGCGTGCGAGCGAGATGATTGAGTGTTCATCTTTGTCGAAGCTGTTGTTCTGTTCAATGCGCCTTGTTGAAGCAATTTCATTGTGTCTTGATAGCTCTTTGTATCGACAGCTTTTAACCCGTCCGCGACGATGGAGCCGTCTTTTTCGTGAATGCGGACTTTTTCGTTGCCTTCTGGATTGAACAAGTCGTGCACCTCTTCGTTGTAGATTTCCATGAATTGGACGGAGATGAAGAAATCGGGCTTGATGCTATCTTCTTGAATGGCTTTCGCCTGGCGAGAATGGACTCCGTCGAAGATTTGGCGAAGAGCGCGGGGGATCATTCCTTCTTGCTCGCTTTAGGGGGTTAAGAAACAAGCATGGTTGGGTGTTATTTTTAGAAACCTAAAGCTAAAGCTTTTTTTCTGAAAAATTGACGTGAGAAAGAAATGCAATTGACAAACAAACTCGATCAGTTGGAAAGCACGAGCTAGAGGGTACGAAGGATCTTGTATGAAATTAAATTAATAAGAAACTCAGCTGTGCTTAAACCGTTCCTTGGCGTGTTTAGCTCAAAACCGGTGCCCATGGTGTGTGTTTTTCCAGCTCCTGTTTGGCCATACGCAATTACCGTCGCGTTGAAGCCATCGAAGCATCCTTCTACAAGCTTCTGCACAGAGCCAGCTGAAATATTGTTAAAAATTTTATTTTCCTAAGGATCGTCAAACTTACAGTAAACCTGCTGCTGCGAGTTGTCAAGATCAAAGACATAATCGTAGGTGAATTGCTTGTCCTTGCCGAGCGTTATCTGCGGCTCTCCAGTGGTGACGAAGGTGCATATCTATTTCAAGTGTTACCAACACAGTATCAAAGCAAAATTATTCAAAAGCGTTCGGACAAAAATTACAACCCACGACAGGTTGTCCGCGGTGTTTTTTCTTTGAAAAATGAGTACAGTAAGTGACTGGGGCAGAATTTGGAACATTTATATTTCAATGACAAAACTCATCAAAATTAAATGATTAAGAAAATAGTTTTCTTCCTTGATTTCAAAGGACTAAAATTTTGATAAAATTATTTTATTGGCTATAATTCGACAAAAAAGGCAAAAAATCTAATTTCCTAGTTATTTTTGGCCTTTACTAACGCCCAAATCTCAAATTCCGATTTATAGAGTGACACCCTTAAAATTTAGGAGAAACTTACCCTTGAGCCTTCAATTTGCTCTCTGGCCAGCTGCGGCCGGATTCGGATAGCAACCTTCACCGATGAATCATCTCCACCAGGAGCCATACTAAAAGTCCGACATCGACACTCTCTGAAAAAATATACGTTTTAGTCTTCTCTCAATTTCTAGCAAAAAAACAATTAGATTGGTGAATAGTCTGTAAATTGGTTTCCAGAGGCTAAATTGTCTCTTTTTCAAAAATCACGTGAGAAGTGCGCTTTTGGAAAATGAGGATATCCATTTCAAAAAAGAATGATGAAATTGTCAAATTGTTGAATTGTCGAAAACACGAAGAAAAATCGAAGGCGGGTTTGCCATCTGCTCGACTTTGGATTTTCCGGATTAGGCTATTATTCGATAAATCTTTGCCCGACACAGGGGGTACACCACTTGCTTTTGTTATTTTTGACAAAAATGAGCCTCTCAGATTTTAAGAAAAAAGCGGATGAAAATGGAATTAAAATTGACCATCTTTCTTTCTCTCTTTTCAAAGTTGCGGCCAAGTTTATTTGATTAAAAGCTGAAATTAGCGGCTGGAGAGTTGTAAAATATAAATAGTTGGTGGCCTTGAAAAATGCTTCTTTTTTATCTTTTCTTCAAAAATTCTAAAAATTTTAGAGCGCGTGATATCTTTAAAAATTTATATTTTCACCTCACTGTATCTCACTATATCAGCTCGGCAGGTGATGGATTTATCGCCTCACGAAAGTAATTCTAAATTTATTTTTCTTTTTCGTGTTCAATATTTTCTCTTGAAGGAAAAAGATTCTCTTTTATTTTTGAAATTTGAAAATTTTCAATTTTCGATTTGTTTTGATTCTCGCGGTGGGTTTTTGGCGGAGGAGGAGGAGACGTTTATCTCTGCTGATAACGCCTCTTCGGAGCTCGGCGGGCCATTCAAGGGTCATTTAAAAGTTGAGAAGCTGATAAGAACTCTAGAAGCGATTTTCCGACTTTGAGATTAAAACAATTATATTCAGCAATGATGAAATCATAAACGATAGTTTTTATGATTAATAAAACAACCAATTTTTATCTTCAAAAGAGTAATAAAAAGGACTCTCTTGATCGAAAAAGGATGTTTCAATATCATAAAATTCGCATATCGAATTCTCCGAATTCTTGAATCTAAAAATAAACATGACACTTCATATTTGTATAGAAATTCCGGAAGTTGAGTCTCATTTTGGGTCAAATATCTCTGGTAACAAGCTTCGATGAACGTCAGAAAAAATTGAAAGGGATGCAAGGCGGAAGTGTTTTAAAAATTCATGAAAGATAAAAAATTTCTGAATAAATAAAATTTACAAAAAGCCGCTCTTTGTCGGTTTCACTAAAGAGAATACGAAAAAATAATAGAGTGGATGAGTGGCGAAGATGAATAATTTATCGCAAGTTTCGGCTGTCTTTCTGAAAGACTCGTGCTCACGCGTAAGGACATCTGTTAAATGCCGAGATCTGTGGAGCCGATGCCATCACGCACTGCTCCGCTTACGGTGTTACAGTAAGTCACGCGCACAGTTGTGTCTCGGCAATTATTTTTTCCGATAAATTTGAACTCGATCTTCGATTCTTCTGCCTCAATTCCAAATGCCAATTATAATAATAATTGAATTATTGTCAATTGTTGTTCCTTTCTTACTGTAGTTATAAACAATAGAATAGCCGTCTTATAAAATAACTTTCATAAAAAGCCGCGTAACAGCTTTTCTAACAACAAAGCCGCAAAGCGGCTTCGCAAAAATCTAAAAATAGATTGAAGCGATAATCTTGCCGAAGCCGCTATGCGGCTTCGTTTTTTGATAAGCCGCTTTGCGACTTTAAATAATTGCTTTTTAGAAGGGTCTTCTACCTTTTCTGACGAATAAGGTACGATCAGAACTGTTCCGCGTTGAAATAAAAATGCTTGATACAAAATTTTCTCGATTCAAAAAGCGAACGGCGTCGGAATCGGTAAGTAGCCCCCTGAATTGGCATGTGAGATGGATTAACCATTGTCTTCCCCTTCTTTCCGTTGATTTTTCAAAAACTACTACCGGCAGTGTTCTATTGAAAAATACGCTCTGTGATCTTCTGTTCAAGTTTCGATTTAAAAAAGAGTCGTTGGAATCATTTTCGTTCTATCTGACTGTAATTCGCTCTCGCTAATGGAGCTGTTCTTAGTTCGATTCCCAAGGGATCATTTACGGGGTGATAAAAAGGATCGTTTTAGGCAATTACAGTCATTTTCGATCATTTCTTTCTGATTATTAATTATTCAAAAAAAAATAATTTTTAAAACGCAAATAATAATAATTTTAATAGATGACAATAGAAATTGACAATCACTATTCAAGTTCCTTGGCAGAATTATAAGATAAAAACTCCTATATGCAGCGCTAGAATTTTCCTCCTTGTTGTCTTCAATTCTCTATTCTTCCGGATCTTCTTTCTTTTTATCTCTTTTTTTCATCAGTTTTCCAATTAAAAAACTCCTTTTTTCAAGAAGAAAGGCTCAATTCTATTCAATTCTTTTTCATCCTTTTTTCAAAAAAATCGGATTTAGCCAAGTTCAGTATTTTCGCGCTGATTAGCCGCGGCCAAGTTGAACTCTCCCAGCGCCAGCAGCTCATGAGTCATCTGTTTCTCAAAAAGCGGGGGCGGTGCCAGCGCGAACGCTATTGGCGCAGAGGAAACAGGACAAATTCACTTTTTCTAATTTCATGTTTCTATCAGATTTTCCAGTATTTCGTAGAGATTTATCAGAAGATTCTTTTGTCCTGCATTATATTTGAAAGATCACTCGTATTTCTACAGCTCTATATAGTAAAAATAGGGAAAAAATCAATTTTTCCTATGCAAACGGACTATTTATAATGAGCTCTAATTTCTCGATCAATTTTCGGTCTTAGTCTATTCTAAGTTCCATCTGTTCTAGTTTTATCTAATCTCCCCCTTTTTCAGACCGTAATCAGACCAAATGTCCTCCAACTTGTCCGTTCTTGCTCCCACTGAGGCCGACATCCGTCGAATGATCGCCGCCCGAGTCCACCTCGGCGACGTCAACCACGACCACCGAATGGGCCAGTACGTCCACGGCCGAAACCAGGCCCAGAACCACATCTTCAACCTTGGCAAGACCTGGGAGAAGCTCATGCTCGCCGCTCGAGCCATCGCCGCCGTCGAGAACCCAGCTGATGTTGCTGTCATCTCTGGCAAGCCCCAGGGTACGAATCTTTTAGCCTGTCAACAACATTAACCCTTCTTTTGTTCAGGTCAGCGAGCCATCCTCAAGTTCGCCGCCAAGACCGGTGCCACCCCATCGCCGGCCGATACACCCCTGGTGCTTTCACTAACCAGAACCAGAGCTCCTTCCGAGAGCCCCGACTCCTCATCGTCACCGATCCCCGAGTCGATCATCAGCCAATCACTGAATCTTCTTACGTCAACATCCCAGTCATCGCTCTCTGCGACTCTGACTCTCCAGTCAAGGTAAGAAAAAACATCTTAGAAAGCCATCGTTACAGTCGTTTCTCTTCTTATTTCACCGCTAGAAAACTCGCCTCTAGTATTGATGAACCTCAATTTAATATTCATATTCTGAACCATTCATCTGCGTTCAAAATCATTTATATGCCGTTTTGTTTTGAAAAATGACTGTAAATAACATTTTTTGTGGAAAACCAGCTTCTTCTTGAAACCTAATTATTCTGTTTAGTTCGTCGACATCGCCATCCCCTGCAACAACAAGGGTGCTCACTCCATCGGTTTGATCTGGTGGACTCTCGCCCGAGAGGTCCTCCGACTCCGAGGCACCCTCAACCGATCCACCGAGTGGGAGCGAGAGATCATGCCCGATCTTTTCTTCTACCGAGCTCCCGAGGAAATCGAGAAGCAGGAACTCAAGGAGCGAGAGGCTGCTGAAGAGGTTGGCGGCGAGACCCAGGACTACGTTCCCGATGCTCCCGTCATCCCACTCGACGGTGACTGGCCAGAGGAGCCCGCTGCTGTCGCCACTGGCGGTGACACCAAGGTCGCTGACTGGGAAGCTCCAGCTGAGAAGACCGAAGCCGCCGGCGACTGGGGCGAGCAGGACGCCACCTGGGAATAAATCACCATCCCTCCCTTCTCCCTGCAAAATGGACAACAAACAATGGGCACCTTCTACTACCGGTCGATTATACTTCACGAACACTACTGCGGTGGGGAACGATTCTCCTCCGAACGCGTTATTATTTCGCCCGTTTAGGGACTGCTGTTTGACTGTTTGTTGAAATAAAATCTTGACCCAGTAGATACATCAAAAATTGTGTTGAACTTTTGTGATATTGAGTTGAGAATTTGAGATTGACATGAAAATCGCCGGTTGTTTGTTGAGTTTGTTCGGTCTCGCCCTAGCAGAGCAGGCTTACTGGGATGATAATCCTGGATTTTTGAAGAGGTTCGTCTGTTCTTTTGTCCTTGTAGAGGGACCGCATAATACCGGTAAGACCACCCCGGAAAGAAGGGCAGGACTTTCTACATTCCTGTTCTGTTCGGAATGGTCTTAAAATAAGCTTTCTCTGTAGCTTCAGAAATCACCCCTAATTTCTTTCCTAAGATCGCATTCCCTCATCCCTCCCCACTCTGGAAACCTACCTCTTTGGGAGCTAAAAGGCGATACAATGGCTACTTCTGAATACATCCGACTCACTCCTGATCAGCAGTCGAAAACTGGCGGTCTCTGGAGCCGAGTGGTAAGTTTTACAGCCTAAGAAAAGGCGTTAAAATCATTTCAATTAAGCCAATTACGTTTCCCTGGTGGGAGCTGCAGCTTGCATACAAAATTCACGGTCAAGGCAAGTCGATTGCCGCTGATGGGCTTGGAATGTTCATCATCAAAGAGAGAGGCCAATTCGGTTCAGCACTCGGCGGGCCGAGCACTTTTACTGGCTTCGCGGCGCTGATGGATTCTTACAAAAACGGAGGACAAACTGGAAACTTCCCACAGGTTAGAAAACCATGGAAAAAAAGGAGGGATAGAAGTTTTTCTTTTAGATTTCTGGTTTTGTGAACGACGGAAGCTGGAGCTTCAATCACGACAACGACGGTGCTGATCAAAATATTGGAAAGTGTCTTTCCGGCCACAGAAATAAGAAAGACAACAGTTTACTGCGAGTCAGGTGCGTGTGACTGAAATTTATTGGGATTCTGAAGCAAGGGCTTATAGAAAGAAGGAGGGACTATAGTCTATAGAATTCCGTTTCTTGGCTTTCTACCAGGTCTTTTTCTGCGTAGTCTGAGAAACTAAAGTTGTTTTCGATGAAAGGCCTTTTGGATATCTTACGTATATAATTCTATAAATAAATAATTCTAATAAATAATAATAATTCTATATTCTATAATTCAAACGCATGACTGACGTGCGAGGATACTTTTAGTTACAGTAGATTACCGTCTGCGAGAACAAGTACTAGTCTAGCCCCCGACTAGTAAGACTTTGGCTGAAATTCACTCTTCCTTCGAATCCCTAATGACGTTTTGGAGAGTTTTCAAAGAAACCGAATGGCTTTAGTTATCCGATATCTCGATATTGAGATTTAAAAACCGATTTTCAGATACATCGACGACAAATTAACCGTCAAAGTCGATCCAGACGGAAGCGGCGACTTCAAGAAAACCTGCTTCGAACTTGACGGGGTAAAACTTCCGACCGGCCTCTACGTTGGCTTCACAAGTGCTACTGGAGATTTGACAGACAATCACGACGTTGTTTCGTTTAAAATTTGGCAGCTGGATTCAAAGACTGATGCTGGACAGAGACACGATATGAAACCTGAAGTGCTCAATCTTGCGCCGAAAGAAGCTGTCAAAGGTCAGATTTGAGTTTATTTTAGCAGTAGATTTGAAAGCAAACGGCTTCCTATGGGACTAAAAATAACTCCTGCAGATGTTTCATTTTCGAAATCATAAAAATGTAAATTTTTCCATTCGGAATTCGAATTTTAGATCAATTTCATTCTCATAATGACGAAAATCTTATTTGAGCTGATTTTATATCACAAAATCGAACCACCATTGACCTTATTCAACCCCCTTGACCTAAATCTCCGAACAATCTTCAGAATAAACCAGCCCGGCTATTTATTTACCCCCTTTTCAGACAAATCATCCTCCGGTGGAGGCTGGGGCTTCATCACATTCCTCCTGATCCTGGTTATCGGTGGCGGAGTTGGCTTCTACTACTACCAAGAACGAGAAAAAGCATCTGCCAAGCGCTTTTATTAATTTTAGACTTTTGATAAAAACAATTGATTGAACACCAAAACCTTCATTTTCCTATCTTGTGAAACTGCTTCTTTCAACAACCTGTAACTAAAGCCAAACTGTATCCCATTCATGTTCCTTATTTAGAATTCTATTTTTTATCATTCTCAGAAATGCTCAAAACAAGCTAAAGCGAAAAGTTACACTTACGAATATCTACCAACATCCCCAGAGGTCGACCCTTACGCCCTTAAAACATCGTTCAATCATAATGATATCCTCACAATTGCTACTCGAGTCAATAATCTTTTAGATGATTCCTTACAAATGAGATATCCTAAAAATTTTCAAGAAGAACTGGTCGATTTTTCTAGGCTAGCCAAATCTATGGCGGGCAAATTCTATCGTTAGGGTTTTGGAAAAATCAGAGATCGTGAATGCTCTCAAAAGCCAATCAAACCGACCGTTTTCTTTAATTTGGCCACCATTGACCTACTGGGTTCAGAAATTCCTCCCCTCATTGTGCAATACCTGCCTTTTAGTACCAAAAAAAGTTCACAAACCAAAAAATTATCGATTCAAAAATTAAATATGCTCTCAAGTGTCTTTTAATTCTCTATCGATTCTAGTTAAAATTTTTATACCGACTGTGTTTATTAACAATAGCAATAGTATGTGACAGTAACATTAGCGCGTAATTCTTACTGTAGTGTGGTGAGACCTTCAACAACCAAATAAATTCGAAAAAATGCCAATTTTCTCTTGTAAAAAAGTTTTATTTTTGAGGATGACGGATGAGTCGCGACGCTCGTTCCTCAGACAGTTGCAGGAGCATCCTGATCGTATGATATTATCGGAGTTGATCCTCAAGCGAATGCCGATGGACGCGCTTGCATGGCTCGCTCCGAATGTTTTGGAGGGCGTCAACGAACAAGGCGACTGTCGTTTCGATGATCTGGCGGGCTTTGATTTCTGTCAGACGTTTCTCAATCAGCACTACAAACGCGATTCAATTCTCGAGCTCGTCGGGAAAGAATTTGAAGCAGAGAAAAAGTCAAAGCCGGATCGGCTCTCTGATGTGATGAAGATTGTACAGAAGCGCCATGATTTGAAGTACAACAAGAAAAAGCTTGAGCCGAAGGCGACGATTGAGTTCGATTCTACTGATCCTGTCGTAAGATTTGCTGGATCATATGTAAGAGAACGCTTCTTGCCGTTTTGATTTAGTCGATTCTTTTAGCTATTTACCGGCAAAAAATGCAAGCCGAAAGGACTTGACTTGCAAGCAGCTCGAAGCAATCTTCTCCTTTTCAATATTAACCGAGAAAATGACGATCGTTTGCCGAAATTTCAACTTGTCGACTATTCGCCACTGGATCGGCGCCATCATCCTGACCGGCATGCGTTCCGTCCTGTTCATCAATCCGCGTTTAATCCTGCCGCTGGTGGTATTTTCCTCGACTCAGTTGTTCTTGGACAATCATTCATGGACAGAGTCTTTAGGGTCCACAGCGTTACGACAGGTGTAAAATGTTTTCAAGATTAGTAATTTAATAAACTAATTGTTTAGATGTCCTCGAAGACAAAAAGGTTATGTTGGAGGATGAAACTTTCGAGGATATGGAATTTAACTACTCTCGTCAACGTTGTTGGCGAGATTATGTAACGAATCCTGAAGAAAGTCTTCATCCGATGATTCAGCGTCCTCAATACGACCCCGACCTCGCAAACTCCCCAGAAGAAGCAGAAGTAATAGAAAAGAGAGCAATGGAAAATAAAAATAATCCATTTGAGAAAGCGGTCATTGACTTCTATCGTTTCTCTGGTGACAAGCAAGAGGTTGCCTGGAGTTTCGATTTCAGCCTCCTGAAAGATAAATACGATGATATTTATGCAAGATTTATCGATGAAGGTCAATGGTTCATTGTTGCATCTTCGGAGGATGAAAGTTTGCCGACGAAAGTGTACCACTGTGACTTACAAAAGAAAGAAGTCAATCAATTTTCCTTCCCCGAAAATGAAGATTCAATGAACTACAACTTCTCAATGAGATTTTTCGGAATCTACAAAGGCCTCATCTACTATTCAAGAGTCGTAGAAGTCTCTGATGAGGAGTGGGGGTCGCACGACAGATTTCTTTTTGGATACTTGAAGAAAGAAAGCAGAAAGCGCCATTTTGATGCTGATGAATGTGATGACGCTCTAAATGAAAGGATTGATATTTTATGGCTGATAACTTATCGGTTTTTGCCTAAAATAGGGTTTCTCTTAAATTTAGACTCAGAATATTTCTTTTATCCTCAAAAAGGTGAATCTCTGCTTTCTGGAATATCGAAGTGATACGCAGCTCCATGTTGAAGTAAAAATAGGTGCCAACGGCTTCGTTCACTTTGCTTTGGTTCCGCCGAAAGTCTACACCTTTTCCATCGAAGACATCAAAAAGAAGATTCCAAAAGCTGAAAAACGATCCAGGAAGATTGATCAGAATGACACCGAAGAAATTACCCTGCCATGCATCAACCTCCGTAAGATGTTTTTCCTTATCTCTCTCTCTCAAGAAGTTTCAGAGGACTTTTGCATTCCAAAATACCGAGATCTGAGTGAGAATCTTCTTCCTTGGCAATCCGATGTTGGATACGTCGAAGGCAAAAAGTTCCATCTTCTTGTGTAAAGCTCCCAGTTTACTACTGGTGCCCAAAGAAAGTCCATCTTCTTCAAAAGTTTGGAATCTCAAACCGACCATTTTTCTGCCTCTTTTATTGAAACCAAATGAAGTTTTTTTCTCATATTCTCCGACATAAAAATGACATTTTCTGCTCTACCCTGCCGTTCCTGACTTTTTCATTGGTCATTATATACGAATTGTCGTTGAGATAAATAAGTGGAGATCTTTCGTAAATAATGTTTAATTTTTGAGGATGACGGATGAGTCGCGACGCTCGTTCCTCAGACAGTTGCAGGAGCATCCTGATCGTATGATATTATCGGAGTTGATCCTCAAGCGAATGCCGATGGATGCGCTTGCATGGCTCGCTCCAAATGTTTTGGAGGACGTCAACGAAGAAGGCGACTGTCGTTTCGATGATCTGGCGGGCTTTGATTTCTGTCAGACGTTTCTCAATCGTCACTACAAACGCGATTCAATTCTCGAGCTCGTCGGGAAAGAATTTGAAGCAGAGAAAAAGTCAAAGCCGGATCGGCTCTCTGATGTGATGAAGATTGTACAGAAGCGCCATGACTTGAAGTACAACAAGAAAAAGCTCGAGCCAAAGGCGACGATTGAGTTCAAACGTTCGAAATTAGACGTCAGATTCTCATCATCATATGTAAGAAAGATTCAATCTTTTGTGATGATGTGTCGCTTTTAGCTTTTTACTGGCCAATATTTCAAGCCACAAGGATTGGACTTACGAGCAGCTCGAGGCAATCTTCTCCTGTTCAAAATCAATCGAAATAATGAAGAATGCTTGCCGAAGTTGGACCTTGTTGACTATCGCCCAGGAGATGAGCATCACTTTCCCAGGAGGAGACCATTCACGCCGCTTTATCGCTCCGCTTTCAATCCTTGCACTGATGGTGTTTTCCTCGATGACGTTGTTCTTGGAAAACCACACCAAGAAAGATTGTTTAGGGTGTCTAGCGTTACGACCGGTAAATATTCAGTCATCTATTAAACTGATTCTTACTCCATTGAATTCTTTAGATGTTCTGAAAGATAGACGCGTCATGTCGGATAACATGGGAGGTCTAGATGGTAGATTCAAACGTATGGAATTTAACTTCTCTCGGCAGCGGGCTTGGAGAGATTATGTCTCAAATCCGGAAGAGAGTCTACATCCGATGATCCGGTGTAATCGAACGGGTCCAGTGCGAGCTAACTCCCCGGAAGCAATAGAAATGGAAAGACAAGCAGAAGAAGAAGAGAAAAATCCGTTCCAAAAAACGGTCATTGATTTCTATCGGTTCTCCGGCGACAACGAAGAGGTTGCTTGGAGCTTCGATTTCACCCTACCAAAAGATAAACAATACTACGAGTTTAATATGGAAGCAAGATTTATTGATCAATGTCATTGGTTGATTACTGCAAGATCGTCGCTGAAGAGATCGCTCGTTGAAGAGGACGACGATGATGAAGATGAAGAAAACGACGAAGATTCACCGGATTTTTCTCAACCGCCTAATTTAGTCTATCACTGTGATTTGAAATCAAAAGAAGCCACCCTTTATTCGTTCCCTGAGGACGAAGATTTATTCAACGAAGATTTATTCAACAGAAATTTCGGAGTCTTCAAGGGTGAGGTCTACTACACAAGGGACATAGACGGCGCTAAATATTCCCGTGCGTTTGGAACCTTGAAGAAAAAAGCAGAAAAAGACGCCTCGATACAGAAGAATCTGATGATCCCCTAAATGAAAGGTTAACGAAATTCTTGTAAAGCTTTAATAAGTAAATAGAAATTATATGTTTCTTAAAGATAGATTTCATTCTTCCGAAGCAGTCCAAACATTTCCTTAACCTTTTGAAAAGAATGATCTGTGCTTCTTTGAATATCCGAAGCTCAAAGATCTCAAGGTACGGTTTAAACTTGGCAGCAATGGGTTCGTCCATCTTGTCTTGCTTTCGGACGACGATTCTCGTTTTTATGAGTTTTTATGTAAGTTTACACCCGAGCTCATCCGTCATGTCGGTGAGCCGTATGAAGGAACTGTCGAGATCTATACTTTCACCATCGACAACATCAAAGAAAAGATTTTATCATCTGAAAAACGATCGAAAATCAACAAAGATGGCACTCAAGAAAAAACATTGCCAGTAGTATGCCTAGGTATCGAGCATTTCATCACTCTTTATTAATAAAATATAAAATTTAGAGGACTTCCGCATTCCAAAATACCAAGATTCGCGCGAAAATCTACTTCCTTGGCAATCCGATATTGGATACGTCGAAGGCAAGAAGTTTCATCTTCTTGTCTGAACAATTTCACAGTTTACAATTGCAAGTTACTGCCTAAGAGCGTCCACCTCTACTTCAGAATCTACCTTGAGTGTTTTCCTGCTATTTTTATTGAAACTAGATGCACTATTTTACTCACATTCTCCGACATAAAAATGACATATTCTGCTCTACCCTGCCGTTCCTGACTTTTTTACTGGTCATTTTATTCAAATTGTCGTTGAGATAAGTAAGTGGAGATTATTGGAAATTTTCAGAGATAAAATGTCGAGCTGTAAGTTTATCGCAATGACGAGCGGCAAATGTCCGGGAATTTGGAGCTTTTCGGAGTTTCAAATGCAGATTATGATGGAAGAGGATGAGGGAGACATGTAAGTTTCGCCTTTTTTGAGGAACCTTGGTTTTCTTTGGGAGTGAGAGCCTCACCTTAAAATTAAGGGGACAGTGGAAGTACTTCAAAACACGAGAGGAAGCTCGGGATCATCTTTATAAGCACAAAATCCCAGGTAAAATTCCTACCGAAGAGTCTCTCTTCAAAATCTCATTTTAGCGCTGTACGAAGATGGCGAAGCAATCGAAGCATATCCACTCAATCGTTTCGCAGACCCAGTCAAAGGATTGCCGGTATGAAACGGCAATCGATAGCTCAAACTCATGAACCTGATTTAGACTGACACATTCTACGAAGGACGCGACAATCGAACTTGGATTTTGGATGACGAAGGCTCTCACGTGGTTTACTGCTCGATCATCAAGAAGGACGAAGAATATGGACTCGGGTTGCACTGGGGAAACGACCTTGAAATAGCGCTACCGATTCATTCTATTCACGCAAACAGATCTATGGACGCACTTATTGCAGAGGTCATCGGGGTTGAGGTAAAACTACAGCTGAATTATTTTGCAAATACCGATGAAAAAATTTAGGGCGCTTTGCGAGATTCCCTACGTCTTGGCAAAAATCGCGTCACTGTTCGATGCGATTCCGAGCACGCAGTAACCAAATTGAACAAAGAACTCCAGCTGGGTGTCCAGTTCACAGGAGAATTGGGCAACTACAGAAACGGGAACTTTGGACGAAAAGTGGCGCCGGAATGGTATGAAGTTTTGAAGCTAGCGAACGCGCTGATGAGCTTGAAGATCGAACGCGTCGACAATACCGACAAGAATTATCACCGAGCGCGCAAGCTGGCTCACGAAGGAAGGCAGATGATGAAGGTCTCGCTCGACAGAGTCCACAAGACTCAAACCAGACCAAAACGAAACAACAAAAACAAGAACTAGACCTGTTCTCTTTCTAGCTCACATTTTTACATTCACGGCAAAGAACCTATTTTATCTAACTTTTTTATTTCACTCTTGCTTATTCCAAAAACTGCTGAAAACAGTATCACCTCACCGCCTAGGCCTATCTTCACTGAAATTTTTATCGTAAATAAATAATTATCTAATAGATAAAATTAACAGAAAAGAAGACAGCTTTTTTGTTTTGTTTTCAATATATTTTGGTATCTTTGGAGCAATTACTGTAGGAGGCAGGTTTTACTGTACAGTGGCCGAATTTCGAGATCATAATACGCGTAAAAGGAAAAATAATGAGCAAGGATATTTTCATATTTCAGTTTTACAAAGAACTTAATTTGAAGAATTACAAGTACAGTCGGAGTCCAAAATAAGGGACTTTTTTTGCTCCAAAATTTTCGAAAAAAGTCCCTTAAATTGGGTCATCAAAGCAAAAAATATGTCGCTGCCAAATTTTTTCTAAGTATATTTTATGCGGCAAAATAAGCTAAAGTCATTGTTTTTGTGGTTTTCATGGCATTTTTGAAAGAGGAAACCATATACTGAAAGGCAAATCACTTCAGTTTGCGGCAAAACTGGTTAAAATCAAGGTTAATGATACCATTTATCGGCTCTCAACTAACCGAAAAGGCAAACTTATCTCAGAAAGTCCCTTAAATTGGATTTTTTTCTGCCGCTGATTTTCGGCATTTTGAGCCAAAAAGTCCCTTATCTTGGTGTCCCTTATTTTGGACTCCGACTGTAGTGGAAGAATTTCGATAGGATACTTTTTGGCAGGGTAGTAGATGAAATTAACCGATGATGACCATTGTCGTTGGCTTGGTGGCACGGAAGTCGACGGTGAAATGATTGTCGATGATTTCAGAGAGCACTTTCTTGAATTTTCCGGGCGTCTTGTGAGTTGTGCGGCGGGAGAAATCGTATTTTAAGAAGGCATACGACTCATCGACTTCGCAAAGGGGATCAAACAGCTTCCATGCCTAGAAAAATGTTTGAAATTGGGGTTCTAGAGCTTTTAGCTTACCTTTCGTCGAGTACAGACGGTATGAACGAGGTCTTTGATGAACGGAAACTCCTGTCGAAGCATTGCCTTTGTTGGTCCTTCTGCCATGGGTTCTATAAATTTCATCAATCTTTCGAAAGTTAGGTTTTTCATTTACCAGGAAGATGTTCGTCTAATCCAGTGATCTGATGATTTGGTAGTCCCTCGCTCAGAAGATGTTGGTAGTGGTCTTCGTGGAAGACAAGGATGACATTTCTTGCGACCTTGGTCAATGATGATTTTTAAATTCGAAGGAAAAGATGAGAATTTACCTCGCCGAATTGAGGCTCATTGACTGCCGCCGTAATATCGCGAAGGAGAAGAGCACGGGACTGTGTGAATTCCTTGGGATCGAAATCGACGATATCATTAACATTGATGCTTTTCTCGGGCTCGGGAGAGAAAAATTGATTGATGAATGCCTAAACGAGCCCTTTCCTGTAAGGATCGGCGACAGACGACTGGAGAATGATCCTCATTTTGACCAGCTGATTTGTTTGCTCGCCTTTCTCATCATTTCGGTAGAAGAAGATTTCGAAGAAAGGATTCCAGTAGATTTGGCCGTAGTGCTCGCGATAGAATTGCCCTTTTTTGCTTATCAATTTGATTTATGGAAAAAACAGCAAAAACTTCTATGAAAAATCATCGGAAACAAAATTACTCATCAAAATTTGTTTGATAAGCATTCCTTTGTGGACAGGACCGAAGAAGAACTGATGCCCGTTTGGAGTCACGTAGCTCGGCATTGTCATATCTCTGGTAACTTCATCCATCTTTCTTCCTTGATATTTCTTCTCTAAAAACGCAAATTTACGAATGAAACATTCTACCGAAAGAGTTGTTTTCAAACCTCCCGCGCCGCAACAGCGCCACTAGCTGACTGATAATCAGTGGAAACTCGGTGGTTCAGAAATAGAATGCGATAATCTCTTCCTTACCTTCTCAAAATGGTCAAGTTGGCGATCATCGAAATGAGAAACTTCCCACCGAAGCAGATTCTTTTATACCGACTTCGATAAATCCAGATTGAAATATTTTGGTGTTGAGTTTTTCAACCTCGTCACGAGATAACCTCATCAATCTCATCAGCTCGCATCTGAAATTTCAAGCAATTTTAAATGTTGTTCATATCTGCCCTTCGAGGAAGTTCCTTTTCTCGTAGATAAAAGAATATATGATCCTGTTTTTAATTCTTTATGGGATGCGCTAATTTGAAGCGTACTTAACTCGACATTTTTGGTGCGCCCGGCAAAATATAAAAACCGATTTCAATTTGAACTCAATTCAAACACACTTTTCAGAAACATGCAACTTTCGAAAATTTTCTTTTTCGCGGCTCAGATTATCTTCGGAACCGGTAACTTATGCGGCATAAGTTATGCCTCTTTAGGATTGACCGACCAAATTTTCAGAAGGAGCAGCTAACTTTGGGCAGTCAATGAATCCCATTGAACTTTGGCTGAGTTCAAGGTAACAGATAAATTCAGGGCAATGATAACGGGTACCATTCCGTAGGACGAAAAGAATGGTTGGCAATTTTCCTCAAATTACTGATTATCTCGCTGGTAAGCCAGCTAATATTTCCAAGAAAATTTTGAACAGTTTTAGCACGCAATCATAATAACAACTCCATGAAAAGTTTCTACCAACGCTTCAGCATGGGATGTCTACCAGATGATGATGACTGCCAGTATTAATGTCAGCAATAACAATCTTTTGAAAAGTCTTCATTTTTCTTTGTATCACAATGTTTAACTTTATTGTCAATTATAGACTCAATAGAAATAAACTCAATGCGATGATGAATTTGCTCTACTACTAGAAAGGTAGTAGGGGGAAATCTAAGGTTTATTTTTCGAGAACATAATTTTTTCGGTGGAAAATGCTTAATAGTTCTGCATGTAGCCTAGTTTTTATGGTTTCTGTCGAAAAAAAGTAGACACTTCGAAATATGAAAATTCTCCGGATTGACGCATACCGGGGGATACCGCACTAGATGGTTGAAACAAGTGCCGTAAACATTCTTTTTCTTGTAGTAAAACCTGCCTTGGGCATTTGGAAGGTTTCTAGGTCAACCTCTGAATTGAGGTCAAAAAGAAATTCTCTAACTTTTCGTTAACAAAAATTTGGGTGTAGGAAGGCTACGTTCGAAATTTTGAACGCCATTCGCCGTTCGAAAAAATTATAAAAATGCTTATTAAAATGAGCTCGTATGCGCTCCGCACCTGATTTGTTTGAAAACTCTCTCATAAATTATAATGATGACCACTTGTTTTACTTACACGATCCGAATGATTTCAGCTCATATTTCAGTGAAGATTTTTAAGAAATTTCGAACGCCGTTCGAAAAATGGGCCAAAAACCGAATTCGAACGTAGCCGCCCGCCACCCAAAAACGAACAGCCACCTAAATCAGTAGCAGAATTCTTTGTTTGAATCGCTACAAAAATCCATGTCCTTAATTATTTTCTCACGAGCGTAAATATAAATTATTTTACTTTTATTTTTGCGGATAGATTCTTTTCGTTAGGATCTGTTCAGATCATATTCAGGAAAATAATTGTTGCCTCTAGTTTAGCCGCTAGACAGCTTTAAAAATCTCGGAAAACCAAATTTGTGATGTGTTTTCTACCTGCAGCGAATAATGTCAAGAAGTGTCTATTTTTTAGCAACCGTACCGTAATTTAGATCGGAAGCTGTCTATTTGTCGGCAGGACGCTTGTCTTGCTTGTCCCACCACTGTGTGGCGCTCGAAAATAATTCTCCATATAATCGTAAGCGATCACGAAAAAAACCATATTCAGAGAGAATCTGATAATCCTAGCTGAAAACGGGAAATATCAGAATGAAGGTAAAGACTAAACCGTATAGTGAAAGATGAAAAACCGTCAATAATTCTCACTAAATTGTGAAAAGCTGACAGATTATTAAATTGTTATAGGGTTTGGCCGCTTTCGTTGCTGCTGCAAGTGCTTATAGCTCCTATGACTACTACGACTACTCTAGTTCCTCCAGCATGGACGGCACATACAATGACTGTGGCGGAGACATTACACCTGACCAGACGATCATCGCCCCCACAAAAAACGGCATCTACTACAACAACCTGTTCTGCCCCTGGTACATCGAGCTTGATGCCTCGGTCACGTCGTTTGAACTCGTCGCAAGAACCTTTGATGTCGAGTATAACAGTGACTCCTGTGCTGGCTGCAGCTGCGACAGGCTGCACGTCAAGTTCACAAACGCTGACGGAAATGACGATGAAGTGAATTTCTGCGGCCCAAACGATCTTCCTTCTCGGCGACGACGAAACGCGGTAGGCCGCGGTTATGCTAATCCAGTCGTCACTGGATTGGACAGATTCACCGTCTACGGGAACACTGCTGACTTGACTTTCTACACGAACAACGCCACCGGATACGGAGGATTTCAAATCGATGTGAATATTTTAACAACAGGAAAAGGTTAAGATCATTTTCATCACCCATTCGCATATATTTTGAGGCAAAATTCTTAACCCAAGCAGAATCCGACGCCCTGTCCCCAGCTGACGCTTGGGCCGAGATTGAAGCAAAGGCTGCCGATATTTCCAGTTTAGTCCACGACTTCTACGCTGATCTTCATCACCTCGGCTCTGAATCAAAGCTTGCGAATAGGAAGGCTCGCCAATTCGATCATTTTTTCAAAAAGATGAAAAATCTCGAGGTAAGGGTCATACAGCCTAAATTCGCTAATATCTTATGTATTTTTCATTAAAATTCATAATTTTCACAACCCTTTTTCTTAGAAAAAATCTTCCGCTGATGCCTGCGACTATCCCGTTGGCTCGAACGATCACTCTGCTTTCCTCTCACCCATCGATTCCGACGACGCTTGTCAAGAATTGCAAGGACTTTTTGACTCTCTCTTGTCTTACGCTGATTCCTTCGTCTGCCTAAAAGACGAAAAGGAAAAAGTTGGAAGAGTGCTCAACCCTATCTATCGACAGAGAAACGCGATTACTTCTAAGAGACTCAAGCAGATGAACTGTGATAATTAGTTAGAAACTGACTTCTGATTTACTTTATCTGATTTCTGTTCAATGATAATTTTCGACAATATATTATCCGCAAAAGTCAACTGAATATTTGTAATTTTTCTTTCTATTTTTGAGATTTTCTGGAAAATTCGATGACTATTTTTAAATATCCGGCTGATTAGTTTCTCACGATTTTCTGACGTGTCGGAATTCTCAGCAGGCCGGACTTCCTCAAGCACATGGGAGCGGGTGTTTTGAGTGAACTTTAGGCATTGAGCAACTTCCCAAGTGCGAATTAGGCTCAGACTTTCAGAATTAGGAAGCAAGCAATTGAAATTAATCTAGCGCGAGTATAAATATAGCTGCTCTCAGCAGAGCAATCAATCAGTCAGTCGACGGGTTAAAAGTTTTTACTTTTTCTCAGCAAAAAGCCTCAACATGTGGCTCGCCTCTTTAGGGCAGCTACTGTTGCATCATCATGTGACTGCACAAATAAATCAGGTATTTTTCCGCTAAATTGTGATATTTTTGAGTTCTTTTCGATCGAAAGTAATTTCTTCAAAGGGATAATTTTCCAATAGAATGATTTCTAATGCTGCTTATTCTAGCGTTGCAACGTCCTCATTCCGCCTGAAAATGGTCAGACCTCGTGTCAGATCAATTCAAAAGGAAAAGAGGTCTGTACTATCTCTTGTAACTCCGGCTACCATCTTGAGGGCTCAGAAGGGGAACACTCCTGCGAGCTAGGAAAGTGGTACCCAGCAGTTGAGGAACCAAAATGCATCGACAGCAACGCTCAAGACGTCGGACATCACGTCCAATACTCGGATCAAACTGACATGGACATTTCTGCTTGCCAGCTCTGGGGCGGCGATATTTTCAAAACCTTCGACGGGGCAATGTATAGATTTCCAGGCAAATGCAACTACAAACTCTTCGGCGACTGTGCTACCTCCGCTTTTTCGGTCAACATGGATCTTTCCAAAAACGAGATCGCGACCGTCTTCGGTGGTCAACAAGTCATCTTGCGAGCGGAAAACGGTACAGTGAATCTCTACTCTGGATCACTTCAGCTAGAGCGGACCTCTATCCCTTCTGTCATCAGCGGCCTCATCGTTGAACGAATGGGAGACTGGACCGTATTGAAATCACCTGATTTCATCCTCAGATGGGACGGAGCTGACAACATTTTGGTCATTCCATCAAAAACGCTCGAGACTCGATCATGCGGTCTTTGCGGTAACTTCGACGGAATGAGCGACAATGACTTCACAACTATCGAGCATGGCGATTCAACCAGCCCGATCGTCTTTGGAAACAGCTGGAAAATGCCCTCCATCGAAGGTTCTTGCAAAGACGCTTCTTTCGAAAAATTCTGCGAGCATCAAACTCTCGAGGATATTGAGTACTATCGATCTGAGTGCAAAAAGCTCGCATCAAACAGCTTTTCAAAATGTCATGAAAAAATCAACGTCGAGCCATGGATCGAAATGTGCGTTGAATCTCTCTGTGCTGGTGGTGATTTTTGTGAAAGCGCCGCGGCGTACTTTAGGGAATGCTCCGCCCAGGGTGTTGCTTTGGACTGGCGATCAGAAAACATGTGCCCAAAATCCTGCCCAGTCGGTCAAGTCTACCGGGAATGCGCTTCCGGCTGCCCAGAAACTTGTAAAGCCGGAGCGATCGAGTGTAATGATGACTGCGTTAGCGGATGTGTTTGCTCCGAAGGTTTGGTTCTCCATGATGGAGAATGTATCAAAAAGACCTCCTGCCCTTGTTTTAGTCGAGGAATCGAGTACAACTCTGGGGACAGCATCAAAGACGTTTGCAACACTTGCACTTGTGGAGAGGGCAAATGGACTTGCACCGATGACAGCTGCGATGGAATTTGCAAATCAACCGGTGTCAATCATTTTGAAACATTCGACGGAAGTTTTTATGACTTCGTCGGCGAGTGCGCTTACTCCCTTGTGGAGCCAATCCAAGCGAGCGAGGAAAACATCTGGGCAGTCTATCTCAGATATCATGACTGCGAGCAACATGTCAAAAAACTTTGTAAAAAATCCATCGAAGTCCGGGTTGGCGAAAGCCACTTCACCTTCGAAGGCGATTTCAAAACTCTCCACGACGGTCACCTCATCGAGCATTTCCCAATTCAAGCAAATGGAGTACAAGTGACAATGGCCTCTACTTACATCCAGCGAATCGATCTCACCGAAGTCGGAATAAGTGTCTTCTGGAATGGAAAAGATCGAGTCTACGTTCATGCTCAGGCAAGTTTGAGAAATTCAATTCATGGTCTGTGTGGAACCTTCAACGACAGAAGTGACGACGATCTCAAATTGCCGGACGGAACTGTTCAAACCTGGGCGGTCGAATTCGGAAATGCTTGGAAAGCGCTTTCAATCTGCCAAGATGAGTTTGATGATTCCAATGACCTTCATCCCTGTGATACTTACCTTCAACTCCGATCAAGTGCAACTGGAAGTTGTGAAGCGCTTATGTCTCCAGCATTTTCAGCATGTCACAATGTCGTTGCCGTCGAGTCCTACTACTATCGATGTACTTATGATTACTGCGCATGCGCAGGAGTTCAAATGTCCATGGCTGGCGTCTGTAGCGCCGTTGAAGATTACGCTCGATCTTGTGCAGAGGCTGGTGTTACTGTCAACTGGCAACAGGCAGTGGATGAACAATGCCAACCAAGCTGCCCAGGAGACATGCGATATCAGCAATGTGGACATAACAGCGCCACCTGCGAGTCACTCTCTTCCACCTCCCTTTTGCTTACCGATGATTCTTGCGCGGAGGGCTGCTATTGCCCGGAGGGACTCTTCTTGGACCGCGATCATCTTTCTTGCGTCACCGCTAGTGATTGCACCTGTGCTCATGGAGGAAAACTCTATCAAGCAGGAGCAACTCGCGTTGAAGGATGCCAAGACTGTACTTGCTCAAATGGCGCCTGGACCTGCGAAGCTGACGAAGCTCGCTGCGTAGACAAAACTTGCCCAGCTGGAATGGAATGGACAGAGTGCGTAACTGGCTGCGAAGGAACCTGTGCCAATCTTCATATTCTGGACAAGCACGCTTGCGAGTCTGTCGAGTGCAGTCCTGGATGCCAGTGTCAAAAGACTTTGTCCGCCTTGGCGATGAATGCGTGGCGCCTAGTGAGTGTCCTTGTTTCCGAGGAGGAAAGAGCTACAGTGAGAACGAAGTGATCGAGACTAGCTGCGAAAAATGTACTTGTGGTAGTTCTGGACATTTTGAATGCGAAGCCAAGCCTTGCTGGAAACAGTGCTCGGTCTTTGGTGATCCTCATTTTACGACTTTTGACGGAAAATCATACAAGTTCCAGGGAAGCTGTAAATATGTCTTTTCCAGAAGCCAAACGAACTCGACAGATTTGTCAATCAACATTGAGAATGTTCCTTGCGGATCATCTGGTGTCACCTGCACAAGAAATCTCGATGTAAACTGGCATGGAGAGACAATCTCTATCGACCGAGAAACTTATTTGGACACCTTGAAGCTCCCTGAAAATTGCACTGCATGGACTTCCGGAGCTGTTCATTTCCTTCAATGCTCTGATGTCTTCGTTCTCAAGTGGGATTATCAGACTACAGTCAGCTTGTTGATGAATCCTCGATTGTCCGGAGCAGTCGAAGGTCTTTGCGGAAACATGAACGGCAACCAAAACGATGACTTCAAAACGCCAGGAAATGGTCTGATTGAAACGAGCGCGAGTATTTTTGGAGACTCTTGGAAAATCTTTGGATACTGCCCAGAAGCGACGGAAGTGCCAGATACCTGCGCTCAGCATCCAAATCGACAAAATTGGGCGAAAAAGAGCTGTTCTGTCATCAAATCTTCTGTTTTCAGCAGCTGCCACAACATCGTTCCTACAAAAATGTTCTACGATGCGTGCGTTTACGACGGCTGTGGATGTGATAGCGGCGGGGATTGCGAGTGTACTTGCACGGCTATAGCAGCTTACGCAAGTGAGTGCGCTAGAAATGGCGTTGTAGTCGACTGGCGAAAGCCGAGTCTTTGTCCGATGCAATGCGGGGACTGCCCTCTTGAATACTCTGCTTGTAATGATCCTTGTCCAAAGACTTGCCAAAACAGGCACAACTTCGACGAAATCTCCCAAAACTGCCAGGCAGGCTCCTGTGCAGAGGGATGCGCTTGCCAAGATGGCAAGATATGGGACCAACATGCTGGTGATTGCGTCTTTGAAGAAGATTGTACCTGCGGAATGTTCGACGGCGTCGTTTTCATGGAAGGAGATCTAGTTCCATCTGCTGGAAATGAGTGTGAAAACTGTTTTTGCACTGAAGGAAAACTCGAATGCATCGGATCAGGTTGTTCAACATCGTCTCCGGTGACGACTACGACTCATGCATCAACAACATTCACGACTTCTACTAATGCTGTTTGTTGCACAAAAGACGATAATGAATACGCGCCAGGCGATGTCATTAAAACTGCCGACTGCAAAGTCTATAAATGTAGCGAAGACTGCGAAATTATTCTTGACAGCTCGGCATGTCCAGATGTCACTACCACGAAATCGACAACGACGATCGTTACGAAGTCTCCAATGTGCGTTACGGACAGCAATGAGTGGACAGAATGGATGAACTACAACATTCCAACTTTGGCTAACGATGGTGACTTTGAAAATAATCATTTTCTTCGACGACGATTCGAGTACTGCGGCGAGGAGATGATCTCCGCAGTGGAATGTCGACCAGCCGGTGCGTCTACGTATTCTGGCCAGATGGTCACTTGCAATGTTGACACTGGTCTTACGTGTTTCAATGATAATCAGGAAATTGGAATTTGTTTGGACTATGAAGTTAGGTTTTTCTGCAGATGTGGTGTTGAGACAACAACGGAATCTCCAACTGTAGCGCCTACAACTGTCCCAACAACAGAGACAAAAACGATTGTTATTGCTACAACAACATCTGTTTCAACAAAACCAACAACAACTGCCATGCCAACAAAATCTACGGAAACGCCTATCCCAACAAAATCTACCACTACTACGATGCCAACAAAATCTACACCTCGATTGACGAAACAGACGACTTCAACCCCAACTCAAAGCTCAGCGACAAAAACTCTAACGAGCACAACTGTTCCTGTTTGCGACCCTCTCACTCCAAAATCATGCGAAATGGGCTGGTCTCAATGGCTTAAAATCGATGAAGTTCCTTTGAATTGCAAATATGAAATTTGCGAGGCTCCAACATCTGTTGAATGCCGAGTTTGGAACAAACAGGTCAACAAGATAGCTCCTTGCAGCTTGGATGTTCAGACCTGTGAAGGATGTGAAGATATGTATGCACGATTCTACTGCCCTTGCGAGACCACTGAGGCGCCCAAGCCAACTGCATCACCTACAACAGCGCTTCCAACAACCAAAACTATGATCACTTCAACTTCTATTCCAGACGTTTGCGAAATCGATATGGAAAAGAAACTTTCAAAGCAAGTTTTCTCATCATCGAGTATCGCACTTACAGATTCCCGAATTGGTTACTCTGGCTGGATGGCCGGAAAAGCAGCATCCGGTGAATTCGTCACGCTGATCTTTCAAGAACCACAGGTCATTACCGGACTCAAGCTTCAGCGAATCATGGGAAATCTTTACCCAACGAGCATTCGTATCTACGTCAAAGGATCTGAGTCGAAATCACAGGCAGATGTCACGATTCCAGAAGGTGAAGGGCTTGTTTTCCTTGATCAGCCTCTCATTGCTTCTGAGGTGTCATTTTTGATCATGAAATGGGTTGGTGATATGCCGTCTTTGAAAATGTCTGTTTTGACCAGGTGTGAATCTTTGACAACGCCATCGACTCAAACTACAACTACAGTCTGCACAAAAGGATGCGCGCTCACTTGTGGCGATCTTTGCCAAAAGACATTAGTTGAATACACAAACATGGGTCTCTGCAAGTCCGCAGAAACATGTCTTCGGCCAACAAAATGCGTTGAAAATACTTTGACATGTGATGAGTCGCAGAGATTCGACGGCCAGCGATGCGTCAATTCTAAAGAATGTGCATGTCTAGCTGGTGACGGAACTGTGATCAAACCGGGCCAGGTTCTTGAAGGAAAGGAATGCGATCAAGTTTGTGTGGACAATAAGATCGAGTTAAGTTGTGATTCGATTGTGACCGCAACAACTCCAGCTGTGACTACTTCTCATACTCGAACAACTGAGGGTAAAACCCTCGCGTCTACTGTTTCTGTGACAGAAGGGCCAGTAACGACAACAACATCGATTCGAGATCAGACCGAAACAGTGACCACTACAACTGTTTTGCCAACAACGAAGACAATCGAAGAAAAAACGACGGATCTTATCACGGGAAAAGTTTACACGACAAGAACAACCGTCCCAACTGAATCTTCAAGCGAAACAGTACCAGTTCCCATTTCCACAGACAAATTCACAAAGATACCAATCACTGATGGAACAACCGTCATTACTGATGAAACCACCACGACTACTGTTACTGTGAAGCCGTCAGGACCTACGCAGCCACCAATTATTCTCATTGAAACAACTCGTCGAGATGGAACAACCACCACTGAGAAATTCACTCTTACGACCAAAACGCATGAAGATACCACTATCCGAACTGTCACTTTGATTGAAGATTGTATTTCTGACTGCGATATTGTCACACAAACGACCAAGGGAACTACAAAGACAACGGAGATGCGAACAAGCGAAGGTTTGAAGACAGAAACAACCACTACCGATGTGACAGAAGATGGAACCGTTAAAACGACGACAACAACGACAATTCCAAATGAGGATGACACAACAACAATCACCACTACTACCACAAAGACAATTGACGAACACACAACTGAAAAACTTACTTCTACAACAACGACAACCACAGAGGGGACATTCACCACGGGACATATTGAAACAACAACAGTTATTCCTCCTAAATCATCGCTTACAACACTGAAGCCAACAACCGCCTCACCATCCATCACGACATCGACTACAAGAACAACAGAGGGCACTCCTGTTTCTTCAACTGTGTCCGTCACTGACGGCCCAACCACGATGACAAAAACGATCAGTGATCAAACAGAAACGGTCACTACGACTACTGTCTCTCCAGATACGACTAAGACCGAAGAGAAAACAACTAATCTCATCACTGGCTCAGTCTCAACGAAAACAACAACTTGGCCGACTGAATCATCAACTGAAAAGGTGACAGTTCCAATTTCAACTGATAAGTTTACGACTGTACCTGTTACTGGCAAAACAGTTATTGTGAATGAAACTACGACAATTACTGTCACTACGAAAACCACAGGTGCAACCGAGAAACCGATAATTCATGTTGAAACTGAAACGACGGAGGGCACGAAGACAACAGAAGAGTACACTTTAACCACTGAAGTTTCTGAAGATACAACCGTTCAAACTTTGACAACTTCCACCGGCGGATTTGTCTCTCAGACGACTCAAACTGGCGCTTCTATTTCAACAGAAATTCAAACAAGCGAAGGAATCATGACTGAGACTACCACAACCGATGTGACTGAGAATTATATTACAGAAACGACAACAACTAAACTTACAAATGGAGACGATACAACAATTGTGACTAAAACCACAACAACTATTGATGGAAAAACAACAGAAAAATTCACAACAAAGACAACAACAACATCTGAGGGCACAACGACAACAAAACATGTCGAAACAACAACAAAAATTCCATCAACAACATCTTCAACACCTTTCAAGCCAACAAAATCTTCACCTTCTGTAACAACATCTACAACTCGAGCAACCGACGGAACTTCTCTTTCATCAACTGTCTCTGTGACTGAAAGTCCGACTACGATCACAAAGACCACTGAAGGTCAAACTGAAACTATCAAGACAACAACTTCACCATCAACAACAAGCTATCCAACTGACAGTGGTCCAACTACAGGTGCCTGTGTCGATAGAATTGTCAATAAAATATTCACCGTTGGCTGCGATAGATGCTACTGTAGTGATGCTGGTGGATTAATCTGTAAGAATATCTCTGATTGTGAGACAACAACCACGAAAGCAACCACATTACCAACCAGCACTTCTTCGAGCAGTACAGAGTCGACATCGACAACCGAGTACATGTCGACTAAGCCCTTTTCAACTGGTTCTTCAACGGACGCAACAAAGTCTTTCACAACCAAAACAACAACGCTAGAAAAAACCACCATCACGACAATTCAAATTCCTGAATCTTGTCTTGTCTGGGACGAGTGGCAGAATAACAACTTCGTCAGTACCGGAGACGATAGGGAAACTATCAAGCAGTATTTAGAAAATTCGAATATCTGCGCTGAAGTTATGGAGATCCAGTGCCGTGTTGCCGATTTCCTGACCCCAAGTGATCAAACTTCTGATGAAACCACCTGTGATATCGAAAACGGACTAAAATGTACCCCAAGCATGTCCGATGATGACTTTTTCGGATTTGGTGCTTGTTTGGACTATGAAATCCGACTCTACTGCATTGACGCTAGAAAAGAAGAATGCTTGAAACCAGACCCATTTATTGTTACCGAAACCACTGTTATCTCAAGTACCACCAGTTTTGATAACACTTCAACGAAGTCTCCTGAAACAACCACGAAGCCTCTGGTAGTTTCAACAAAAACTTATGAGACAACACCAGATGGAACAATGGTCACGACTTTTACTGAGCAGCCGATGACTGTATCTGAAACTTTCACAGCAACAGGAGAGCTCATTTCGAAAACAACAACGAGAATTATTGATGATACAATGTCAACGGTCAGGACAGAAACACCAACGACAATTTCTATCAAAACAATGTCCTCAGACGGGTTTACTTCGAGATCAACGGAAGAAATAACATCAAAGTCAACTGGTACCCTCACGACTGTTACAACTGAATCAACAACAGAAGATTCCACGCAAACAATTAAGGTTCCCATTACGGAAGACATAACTACCGATGTTCCAAGAACGAGCAAGACAACAGTGTCCACTCCGTCGAGCACATCCTCTATTGTTACAGAGCCGATCGATACAACAACAACGAAGGTTACCATCTTTTCTGATAACACTGAAGCGACGCTGATCTACTCAACTGAAATTGATACAACTACTGGTGCAACTATCGGAACACTTACAACAGAACATGGCGACATTATTACTGAAACAACTGAATACTTTGATACTGAGACATCTTCTGTCACCGAGACAACCAGAACTATTAATCCAGTGACGAAGAAAGAAGGTACTGTTAGTACAACTACCGTTCCCTCGGAATCAACAACTACGGAGGCACCAACAGAAACATCTGATCTAACAACCGTTCCAACATCCACTTCGTCAACTGTTTCAACCACCACAAGCGGCGATTTGACTACCGAAGAGATAACCACAACAAAGGTTACCGAAATTCCGGGTCATACAACAACCACTGAGAGTTTTACTGATGGCACAGTCAAAACAACAAGAGTTTTTACTGATGGCACTCAGGAAACGACAACAAGTACTCCATCTGTGACAACATCAAAGGTTCAGACTACTGACGGCCATACTATTTCTTCAACTGTTACCGTTACAGAAACTCCAACCAGTACAACAACACTTGTTTACTGTCAAGACAGTACTGAGTGTCAAAAAAATACTGGAACTACCTCTACAATCAGTAAGACAACCCTCACAGACTGTCTTGACAGTCGTGAGTGTCGAATGAAAACTGCCACTACAACTACTGTCAGTCCGACAACTACAACGATCGAGACGACGTCTACGAACCTCACCACTGGTGAAATATCAACAACTTCAACAATTGCTCCTACTGAATCAATAACTGAAACAGTATCAGTTCCCATCTCCACGGATAAGACTGTAACAGTTCCAATTTCTGGAAAAACTGTCATCACTGATTCGACAGGCACCACCGCAATCTCAACTAATCCTACTGCAAAAGTACCCACTGTTCATGTTGAGACGACCACCAGCACAGGATCAACGACGTCAAAAACCTTCACTTTGACGACAAAAGTCTCCGAAGACACAACAACGAAGACTCTAGCAACGGTCACTGGAGAGATCGTAACAGAAACAACTCGTTCTGGAACCACTGAAACGACGAAGACTCGTACAAGCGAGGGTTTTGTAACTGAAACAACAACCACCGACGTAACTGACGATTTCACGAAGAAAACCGCAACCACAACATTGCCAAATCGTGATGACACAGTAGTGACGAGCGTCGTAACAACAACAAGTACCAGACCAATCGATGACAAAACAACACGAGAGGTGAAAACTCAAACAACCATTACCCCAGATGGATCAACAACATCTGAATACGTAACAACCACAACAACCATTCCCTCTCGAACCTCTACCTCGACAACTAAGGGTAATATTACGACAATGAAATCGACAACTGAGAGTGAAGAGATAACCGAAACGACAACTTTCAATGAGACCACCTCTGAAAAAACAACAACAACGATCCAAACTACCAAGGCAACAGATGGAACGATTTCTTCGACAACAACAAAGAAAACAACCAGTTCTCCAACCAGATCATCAACTGAAATTATTACTGAGACCGTGACACCAGGTGGTCATGTTGAAACATCGACGGCCTCCTCTACTACAACGTCCTCACCTGATGGAACAATAACAGAAATTTTGACAACAAAGATTCCAAACGATGATGACCACACTGAATCAACAACAACCACAACAACGACTCGTAAAACAACTTCTGGCAAGGAAACTGCTACAGTTATTTATTCCGACGGTACGACTGTCGTGACTGAGAGAACAACTTCAGTTCCCGCTCCAACTGACTATTCAGAAACTACGACTGCACCAGCTTCAATGACGACAACAATTCCAAACCATGATGACACTGAGGCGTCGACAACAAAAACTACCACCAAGATTCCATCTACAAAAATAACCCAAATTTCCGATGGTACGACAAAGCATCCAGTTTTTACGTCTTCTACAGTGGAACCAAGCCTTCCCTCAAGCACCCAACATTCTTCAACAGAAGGACCATATTCAACTACAAAATCAATGCCTATTGTTTCCACGTCCTCAACTGTTACAGAATCTGGATCAACCATTTCAACAGAAACCACTGTGACCGATGGTACATCCACAACAACAAAACTAATGACAGAAACTTCAGAAGAAATCACCACAACATCAATTACAGAATCAACAATTTCAACTGAAAAGGTCACAACTGATCTTATCACAGGAAAAACAGTAAAGACGACAACTACTGCACCAATTTCGTCAACTAAGTCAATCTCGATTCCTTTCACATCATCAACGGTTCCCGATGCCACAGTTCCAACTGAAGGAATCACGGTTATTTATGACGAAGATACAACAACCATTATAACTGGTACACCAAGCTCTACTGAAGATATTCATATTACAGTGACTACTCAAAAAACAACGAAAGGATCAACCGAGGAGCCATTGACAGAAGAATATGTTTTCACCACGTTGTCTACAGATCAGTCTACAACAGAGCTTTTAACGACTAAAACTGGCGCTCTTATAACTAAGACGGAGAGGACGGAATCTACAGTCACATCGACTACTACATCTGAAGAAGGAACTAAGGTTACCGAAACAACAACGAAGAAAACTCCAACGGAAGAGATCAAAACTACAACAACAACATACCCGTCCGGTCAGACCGAAACAACGACGACTTCAACGGCCGTTACTGATGAAACCACGACAACTACAATGATTACTAAAACGATTGGGGATTCAACAACTTCGACATCATATGTTACGAAGTCAACACCTCCTACAACCTTACCAACTGAGGTTACTAGAAGTGGAACATCTTCAACCGTTACTATGAAGATGTCTTCAACAGACTTGACTCCAGAAATGACATCAATCATTGCGTCAACTATTTCAGAGCATTTCACGAAGACAACACCAGTTCCAACATCGAAATCTTCTGAAAGCTCTTCTACAAATTATCCAGAAGAAACAACATTGACATCCAAAAACACACAGTCAACTGCAAGTCCAATTACTCACAAAGAAACTTCGACGATCCTTGTCACCGGATCATACACCGAAACAACAACCTCCGGCGGTAAGACCACATCCACCTCATCATCAACCCTTTCATCTGATGGAACCACGGTTTCAACTACCACAGTCACTGAGGAGACGGAGTCTACGACAGAGACATCAACAACTGATGGAATCATTACTTCTACAACAGAAACAGTCAATACCATCACTGGCGAGACAACCGTCACATCTACAATGCGACCTGAATCGACGGTCGAAACAATTACTATTCCCTACGAGAAAACAACTTTGTCTGTTCCAACTGAAGGTACTGTAAGCATCACGACCGATGACTACACCAAAACAACATTAGTTACAACCAAACCTATTGATAAGTCTACAATTTCAATTGTTATCACGACTGATTCAACAGAAGGTACAACAACTACCAAGTTGACTGAAACAACAACGGTTACCGAAACAGGAGTGACCAAAGAGATTACCACACCTGAGGGAACTATTGTATCTTCATCAACATTCACTTCAACAGCTGGATCAACAAATGAGACCACCATTGTAACAACAACTCGAGGACCAGAGAAAACGGAGTCCATCACATCTAAAATCCCTAATGGCACTACGAAGATAACCACTACTGTATCTCCCACTGGTGAAGTTACAAAAACTGAGACTATCACAAAGTCAACGAGCCCGACTTCATCAGAGACAACAACAACAACGACGACGCCAGACAAAAAGACGGAGACAAGTACAACGAAGACAACCGCTATTCCAACACGAACATCCGTTGTAACCACTTCGCCTGATGGTACCGTAACATCCACTGTTACCGATCATACAATCGCTCCAATCACAAAGGTTGAACTAACAACAGCTCCGATAATGAAGACAACTTCGAAGATCGTTCAGACAACAACGATGGTTCCATCAACAAAGCCGACAATCACAACAACCACTGATGAGGAGCTCACAACTTTGATCCAATCCACGATTGCTACTCACATGTCGACTAAATCTACTCAATCAACTCGATCTCCAGCGACCTCTACCACTACAACAAGCCCAGGAGGATATTGTATCACGGATGAAGGCGATATTATTCCCGAAGGAGAGCAAACAATCGACAACACTGAGTGCGTCACAAAATCTTGCGATAAATTTGGAAAATTTGTCGAAATGAAAGTTCCTGCGAAGGAGTGTTTGATTTCGGCGACAGGATCCGTTAGCACTTTTGATGAATTTGTTTACGATTCAAAATCTTGCACTGGAGTGTCTGTCAATACTTGTGATTCTGACGACCTAAGCATTAAATTGGTTCCATCAGAGTCAATACTTTTCAAGCTCGAAAACTTGTGGATCCTTCTTGAGGATAATTACAACTCCCTCTTAGTCGATGGAGTCGAATTCGAAATGACTGCGCTTGATGCTCTCAACGAAGTTTTATTCCAAAAAGCTGGAGTTCGCCTACTCGACCTTGATGAAGAATTTGTCATTCTTTCCCCGCTAGTTCGAATTTCAATCTCTTCTGCCGTCGTTAAGATCCGAGCAGAGCCCGATATGTTCGGAAAACTTTGCGGTGGATGTGGCAATGCTGATTGCAACTCAACTAATGACCAGATCGATGAGCCAACTTCAAATGAGGCTGACGGCAAAAACTGCGCTGGTCCAATTTGCGAGCAGCCTATGGAAGATCTCGATCAAATTTGCGAATACATTTCCGACGAGAAATTCAGCACATGTGTAACCGATTCAACTGCCCAAATTGACTTCTGCAAAAAGTCCGCTTGTGAGTGTCTCTCATCCGGCGATTCTGTCGAGTCCTGCCGATGCAAAATTATTGCCGCTGCGATGAATACTTGTCAGCTTCAAACTGACTCTTGCATCAGTTGGAGATCACAGTACGGCTGCACGATGCCTGAGTGCGCTGGAAATAAGATCTGGAGAGATTGTGGATCGACCTGTGTTCGTACTTGCGCTCATATCCTCGACGAGCAGGATTCATGCGAAGATGAAGTTTTCCAACCAGGATGTTATTGCCCACCGGGAACAGTATTCAAGGGCGGTCAGTGCGTCGACGAACGAGAATGCATGTGCACGTGTAAGGGATGGGGCGATCCTCACTATCAGACATTCGACAAGACCTACTACGCGTTCCAAGGAAATTGCTCTTACGTTCTCGCTCAGGATGAAAACAAGGATTTCACCGTCATCGGCCACAACGAGTACTGCCTTGAATCTCCAACCAACACCTGTACGAAGGCTGTGACTCTACGATACAAGGGCCACGAAGTTACTTTAGTCCATGGACTTTCATTCATCATCGATGAAGTGACAAAAACAGTACTCGAAGAAGACACGATTCTTGGAGGCAACATCGCTATCAAACTTGTCAGAGGAAGATTCATCCTTATTGAAGTCGAGCGAATCAGCTTGAAAATCATGTACGACGAAATGACTCGAGGCTTTGCTATTTCCATTCCAATTCTTGTCTACCACGACAAGGTAGGCGGTCTTTGCGGCAATTGCAACCTCGATGGAAGTGATGACTTCATCGATATTACCGGCGAGGAGCACTTCGTACCAATCACATTTGCTGAAACATGGAAACTTGAAGAAATTACCTGCGATGATGAGGTCTACACAACTCGTCCGCCAACTATGAGCACTCCTCATAACCCAGGCAACTGCACAGCCGAATGCGAAATTCTCATGGACGATGTTTTCAGCAGCTGTCGAAAGGTCGTCGATGTCTCTCCCTTTTTGTCTTCGTGCGTCTACGATGCATGCAACAATCTTCCAAATGCATCTTGCTACGCCATTGGTGCGTACGCAGATGAGTGTAGAAAATCGGGAATTTGCGTCAACTGGCGAGAAGAAAAAACAGAATGTCCGTTTACTTGCGAGGACCATTTGGAATACAATCACTGCGCAAATACTTGCGACAAAAACGAATGCGATTCCGATATTTCTACAAATTGTGAGATCGTCGAGGAATGCACTTGTCCAGAAGGCTTCGTTCTCGAAAACTCCAAATGCATCAAGCCGGAAGACTGTCTCGTCTGTCTAGGAGAATACAAGGAGGGCGAAAAATGGCGAAATGCGACTGATCCATGCACCGAACACATTTGCATCGATGGTATTGTCGAAGATCACAAAGAAACCTGTCATACAGAAGTACGCTGCGTCGCTGACGGAATGGTCGCAGTGGAAATTCCAGTTGATGGCGAGTGTTGCTCCGATACCGAATGCCAATGCGATCGATCAACTTGTCCAGAGAAGCCAACTTGTGCCGAGGATGAATATTTGGTCGTCATTCCAGGAATGACTTGCTGCGACTCGTACACTTGTCAGCCAAGATCTTGTTCCGTCGCTACTACTGTCGATTTCCTTCAAGTTGAAGAATGCGTTTCACTCGAGAAGGAAAATCTGACTACTTGTGCTGGCTACTGCGCTTCAACAACGGAGTTGATGGAGACTTTCAATGGCACTGAAAAGATGAAATCATGCACTTGCTGCTCTGCAGTGGAATCAACAAAGAAGCAGGTCGACTTGATGTGCCCAGGCGGCGTTCGAGTCCGATATGAACACGAAGAAATCACTCTCTGCTCTTGCAACGCCTCTCAGTGTTCCAATGAGAACTAAATATCTTTCTGTATCTTTATCTTGTATGACTGTCAGCGACAATTCGTCTGGCAGATACAAAAACACGGGAAAAACAATTTCTTTATTATTTGGTGAAATAAAATATATTTATTCAAAAAAATTTGACTTTTTTTGGAGAAAAACAGTGCTTCTATTTCATTGAAGTGTGAAGCTCTTAAACTAACGCGCGAGTAAATTCTATGCAGGCGTAGATAAAGGTCGGAAAATTACGCAAACTGGCGCAGTTCCTAGAGTGTATTTGTCTTTTACTTTTGATACAATAAAACTCGAACTGCTCCATTCCAAATCAGAAGAGCTTGAAAAGAGATAATAAGATCTTCTTATGGGCAAGGTAGTCAAATGGGTCGGCATTGCCTTTGGCACAGCCGTCGCTTTAGGAATCGGAGTAACCATTGGTTGGTTTAGTAAACCTGATGGTAAGTTCTACTTTTAAATTGGTAAATAGCTCTTTGAAGCTATTGAGGACCCAGTTAGTGACCTTCCTGATCCTGAAAATGACGGTTTCGATTTCAAATTAATCGACGAGTTCACCAATGCCGTTGATAAAAAGTTCCTTGAGCAAGAGACAGAACATCTAAGCACAAAAATTCGATGGGCAACGAGCCAGGGCGATTATGAAATGGCTGATTATATCATCAATAAATGGAAAGATCAACTCGATGATGCTTGGTCCCTCGACTATCAGATTGTCCATTCTTACCCCGAAGAAGAAAATTGCTATGCTAGGCTTGTTGGTGGAGCTAAAGAATTTACCCTTCGTAAAAAAGAAGATGCAGAAGAACTGCAAAACGATGACCAGGTCCTTATGTTTTACAATGCCTGGGCTCCTTCTACTGAAGCCCCAATTTCCACATCCAAGCTTGTCTACGGACACTACTGTAATGAAGACAATGTAAACTGGCTGTTGGACCAAGACAGCGATATTTTTGACGGAGCAGTGGTCATTTGCAAATATGGTGGCGGCGCCGGGCGGCCAGATAAGGGCAAGAATGTAAAACCACATGGAGCCGCTGCGGTTTTGATCTTCTCCGATCCTTATGACGCCTCCGACCCGTCAGACAAAGACTTTCCCGAAGGACCTGGAATTCCAGAAGATACTGTTCAACGAGGCTCGGCAAAATACAAACGAGGCGATCCTACTTCTCCCGGATATCCATCAATCGACGGAGCTTACTTTGATGACTTGGAAGATCTACTGAATTACACTAGAACTCAAGTAGAAAGTCCACACATCTGGGCACCCCTTCCTTCCCAGCCCATCGCCTGGGGCGACGCGAAATATCTTCTCTCTCAACTTGAAGGAGGCCCTGTAAATTCAGAATGGATTAGCGAAACTGCGCTTGATACTCTTGAGAATTTCGGAGGATCTTTGAAAGACAACCAGATGTTTGAACTTCAAATCGCTGTCAAATACGAGCGCAAGAAATCCCAAGATGTCATCGGCATCATCGAAGGATCAGAATACCCAGATGAATATGTCCTGATTGGGAATCACCGAGACACCTGGGTCAAAGGAGCAATCGATGCTGGAGCTGGAATGACAACGATTTTTGAAATTTCGCGGCTCTTCAAAGAACTGGAAATTCGACCAAAAAGGACGGTGGTCTTCTGCTCTTGGGGAAGTGAAGAACATGGACTGATGGGAAGCATCGAATTTACCGAGGAATTCCTGGCTGTTCTCAAAGAAAGAGCGATTCTTTACGTCAATGCCGGTAAACCATATTTTTGGCTTTTCTCACGCATTTTTAGATGTGAGTTTCAAAGGAAATGAATATTTCTACTCATCCGCATCTCAACAAATGCACGAGCTGGTTTTCGAGCTGACCGACTACATAAAAGACCACAACGACGAAAGCATGACTGTTACCGAAAGATGGGCAGAGAAAACTGAAGCTACAGGAAGACCTACTATCGGAAATCCAGGTTTCATAATAATGATATTCTTGATTCTGATTTTATAGGTCTTGGTTCCGACTACGCTCCATTTCATCAATTCGCAGGCGTACCGATTGTTGATGTCGGTTTTAATCAGAAAACAAGAAAAGTTTCTCAATATTCAACCTATCATACCGGTGAAATATCTTCGCAAACAATCTCTTTTACAAAATTAAAGGATACGACAACCTCGAATATCTTCATATGATCGACCCTGGATTTTCCGCGGCGAAGAAAGTCACTGAAATCGCTGGTGCTATTTTGATCAGAGCAGCATGCTCTGACTACTTCCCCGTTGATCCCTCTCCAATGGCTGATTACGTCGATAGTTTGGATGAAAAACTTCCGGAAGTGGGCAGCGAGGTTTCGACCGAGCAACAAAATTTGATCAAACGAGCAAGCGCGTCTTTCAAAAATCAGGAATTTGGTCTTACTCGATGTTTTATTTTGATTTCAAAAAATTAAAGAACCATGACAAGCTTCGAGCAGCGAAGCAAATCTATGATGACAGTGATAGCATGGACAAAAAACGATCTTTCATGAGATTGTTGAATTACTCAAAATACCTAACCGACCAGAACTGCTGCCACCCGATCCAACATGATCTTCAAAATGTGGTTGTTTCAAGTCGACAAGAAGGTGGACCGGCAACATATCCCGGAATTTCAAACTACTTTGGTCTTGGAGACAAGGAAGAGATCCAACGACAGGTTAATTAATAATTATTTCCTAGGTATAACGAGTCTTTAGGTTGGAATCTTGATCACTCGACTCAACGCTGCCGCTGATTACTTGAATCTGAAACCGTTTTCTGTTCGAGCGAACGAGCTCTGATTGAATAGCCTTTGAATTCTTAGACTTTCAATAAACGCCCAAAAATTTCTTTTTCGTAAAGCTTGCAAGAACCATAAAAATTTTTCAATTATTGTAAAAGAAGCTAGCGAGGGAGCTTTCTTTCCTTCCTCCAGAAAACATCTACCAGCTTGTTTTTGTTCTTTGAAAAGTGAGGCTTTATATGTTCTCGATCACGTGTATAAGTTGAATAAATGATGAGAATTTTTCAAATAAAAGCAACTTGCTGTTAGTCTCTTCGTTCAGTTGATCTTCCTTTTTTCAAGAGATGTTTTTCTAAGTTTTGATATTTTTTATAGATTTTTCGGGGTTTTACGGGGCATTATTTATTTTTTCATAACATATTTTTTCCAGAATATTTTTTGATTTTTTCAAAGAATTTTTGATTCATATTCATCCCTCAAAGTAATGAAAAGTACTGGTTGTCCGTTCCCATTGTTGACAGGAATTTGGACCTTTGCATTTCTTACTGCAACAATTTACCATGCGATGGAATTGCACTGGCGACGCAAACAGCAACAACTTGTGGAATTATTAAAGCTGGAAAATTTAACGACGCTATAGGAGAGGTTAAATTGAAAAGAGACACTACTCTGAGTGTCGAAGATACTGTGATGTTTTTATTCAACTTTCCGAGGACTGGATTTTATCTCAATTCTGCGAGCAGTGGATCAGTCGAAGATTATTTGTTTCTAAAATGGAAACTGAAATCTGGTCATTCTTTGACACCCGCCCATGGAGATTCCGATGGTGCTTTAAAATATCAAAGCGATGATGGAAATATTAATTTTCATTCTGTACCAAGCCAGAGCGATTTTTTCGATCACTTTGAGCTTGACGAATGGGGGCAACAGTCGATTATTATTTACGAACACGATATTGACGAGTGCTCTTCAGGGACTCATAATTGCGGTACTTACATGAATTGTGAGAATACTGAAGGTTCTTTCGAGTGCTCCTGTATTAATGATCTTTACTACAAACTCGAACCAAGTGGAAATGCATGCCGAGATATCGACGAGTGCAACGAAGAAAGTCCAACGGGAAAGCAATGTGACCTCGCCACGACCAACTGCGTAAATCATATTGGCATCTACGACTGCCCTTGCAAATCTGGCTACGAGAAAAAAACAGAATGGGAATGTCAAGACATCAATGAATGCACAACGACAGATCCTTCACTCAAACATAATTGTGATTCGAGTAAAAATGAAATCTGTGAGAATCAACCAGGTGGTTTCAATTGTCTTTGCCCAAGAAAAAGTTTGATCGACAGAAGGAAAAAAATAAGTCACCATATTTGAAAAAAAAAATTAATCAAACTCAAAAAAGTGGCTCTACCAGAAATGCCACCACCAATAATTGCGATGACATCAATGAGTGTGAGGATTCCACGACCGCGTGTGGTAACGATCACCAAATCTGTACCAATACAGTTGGAAGTTATGAATGTTCCTGTGTCACTGGCTTTCAACCACAGTCAAATGCCAACCTCAATTCGCCCAATGATTTAGTTTGCAAAGACACCAACGAGTGCCAAACTCCGGCGCTTGTGCTTCAAAACTGTGGGGTCAATGTTACTTGTGACAATACAGTGGGGAGCTTTTCATGCGACTGTCAGTACCCGGGCCATTTTTACAATGGAACAGGGAAAATCTGCCTTGATATCAACGAGTGCCTCGACTCCGCAAGCTGTCCAACTTACTCAACTTGTGATAATTTCGACATGTCTTATTCATGTACCTGTGATGATGGCTTTTACGGAGAATGCACCGGAAGCAGCTGCGAAACGTTAACTTGCGAAGACATAGACGAGTGTGCTGAATTCATATGTGACGAAAGCATGGAGTGCGAGAATTTCATCGGCTCGTATTCATGCTTCTGCCGCCAGGGGCTTATCGAAGAAAGAGGCAAATGCGTCGACATTGATGAGTGCTTAGACGAAAACAATTGTCCGGAAAACAGCAGATGCGAAAATTTCGAGGCGTCATACAGCTGCAAATGCGACGAGGGCTTTTACGAAAATTCGTGCGAGGGAGTAGACCATTGTGCGGATTTCCGCTGCGAAGACATAGACGAGTGCTTGGAGGAGAATCTCAACGTCTGTGAAATAAAGTGTTTGAACAATCCCGGCAACTACACTTGCGATTGCCCACTGATGCTAGAAAAAGTTGGATTTGGAGGATGCCAAGCTCAGGAGGTCGAAATACAACTCGACTTCGATGCTCAAATGATCGTCGTGAATGCTTTTTCGATTCTGAGCGACAAGATTTCCAATATTTCAAACGCAATCGACGCGAAAACTCTTGCCATCGCAGAAGGCATTGATGCTGCGGCGAATATGACCGAGGGTATTTTGAATAAAATGATGGATCCAAAGAGCATTTCGGACAAGTTTTTGCACACTTTAACTTCTTCAAATCTCGATCTGGCGATTTTGCTCGAACCAAAAGCGCAGGAAGTGATTCAACAACTCGAAGATCTTCTTCAGAAAATCAGTTCGGATGACTTGTCCTCTGATAAGTTTCACATGGCTGAAGGTGGTATCATGCCAAATTTCACCATCGATAGCTTGTCTCAAACAAGATCGTCTGAAGAGCCAGTAATCTGTCAAATAGACATCAACCCTTTTATCTACACAAAGACCGATCTAAATCTTGAGCAGCGGTTCTTGTTCATCAAAAATTACTCTGGCACTGCGACAATTACAGCAACAGACAAAACTCTCGTGCCAGACAAATTCGCGAAAACATTGAAAAGTGACAAGGCAGAAATAGTCAGATTTGATTTGGTTAGAGAAGAAGACTTTTTCATCTTTTTCGAATTGCCCGAAGATGTCAAAATTGAGGTGTGGATCGAATTTTGGAAAGCTCCAGAGCCAGAAGTATTGAAATTCCGGCATCAGGTAAATTTGCCTATCACAAAGACGGCTTCTGAAGTTTCGTCGACTATTTGTGACCCATTCGGAAAGTGTGTTGGAAACGAAGCTGGTATTTTTCTGAATAAAGATGAAATCGCAAAATGTTTTTCAAGACCTCAGTGCTCAATCTTTCTTCAAATTTACTCATCCCAAGATGCTGAAATCACCATTCATCCCTTCTCAAAAACTTGCGTTGCTGATCAATCGAAGAAATGGAGCACCAATAATTGCAATGTCAGCCCACACTCGACATTCCACGAGCTCAAGTGCTCCTGCCAGATCGAGGAAGAAGTTAAAGTTGCAGTTATGACCGGAAAATTTGAAACAAAGGAGGATTATTTATCCATTAAAATCGCGAAAATCATTGAGCTAACAATCACGATCTTCCCGATCCTCCTCGCTGGAATCTGGTTTCTATCTCTCAGCAAAGCTCGAGCGACAGATCGAAAACTAATCCGAAGACTTCAGCCACAACAAGTGGCGGTAGTCGAAAACACTGTAGCTCCTGAGCTGACGATAATCATTCTCGATTCTTATTATTTGATCGAGGCAGCGCCCAACTTCGTCAACATCGAAATACTTTATATTGACTTGATTCAAAAGCGTAAAACTCACAAGCTTATACTAGGAAGAAAAGACTGCAATATCATTCATAATGGAGGAAAAACTGTTTTTATTTGCAACATGCCGATAATGAAGGTTCTTTCAGTCAAATTATGGATTGACTTCAATGCGAAAAAAAGCGTTTCCTTTTGGCCAAAGTCGTTGGAATTCAGAAGGCTTGGGAAGTATCCAAGGAAAGCTGGCGCTTATGACGTACGGGTTTTGAGTTCTTTCGACTCCCTGGTCTTGTTCGACGAGCGACTGTCTGTCATGACCAATGACACGACGATCACAAATGATGTCAACATCAAATCAAGACGGCAAGGGAGATTGTTAGAGTACATGATCGAATACAACAACTGGTTTGGAATCAACTTCAAGAAAAAATACTCAAGCTTCAATTGTCAAACACGCATCATTCTCTCAGGCTTCACTCTATCACTTGCGATTCTGTTGAATTTGCTTTTCTACATTAATTTCATCCCCGGAGAAGTCCTTCAATTTGGAAACTTCCTGCTTTCCTTTTCGCTTATTCTTTCAATCCCAGCTACACAAGGGATGAATCTTCTAGTGACTTTTGCTGTTCGGAAAATTTTCATGAATCTCCTACCAGCGGAATTGTCCGTTACGAGGACAGAGAAACGACGGAGCTTTCTCGTGATGTTTTTGGTCGGAGGAATTTGTGGATGCTTGAGCTTAACTGTACTCTATTACCCGAAGCTCAACCGGATCAGTGAAGAAATTTGGTACTCGTCTGTTTATCTCACTTGCTTATTCGAAACTGTCATTACTCCGAGCTTGATCTCAGTTCTCCTTTATGTCTTCAACACCGAAATCGCCCAATCCAAATCCTTCAAACTCTTCTTTCCAAAAAACAAGCCCGAGTTTTACTCAGGCGAGTACGAAAGCTTACACCAAGAGAATTTTCTCACACGGAAAGAAATCTCCAAAATCGTCAATTCTTCAAATCAACGCGAAGATTTGATTCGAACGATCTTCAAATTTGCCGCTTATCTCTTTCTTATAAGTTCTTTATACGGCCTCAGTACAGTCATTTTGCCTTCTGAAAAGTTTCATGTGGATCGAAATTTCAGAAATCATCTCGATTTCGGTAAAGAGCTCCTCACAATGGATAACATGTGGGACACAGTGAAGACGAAAGTTCCAGAAATCATGCACCGAGATGCCTTTTACAATGATAAAAAGCTGTCGTTCAGGGAGCAAAAATTTGCATCAGACTTTGTCAATTTCCGCCTCGGTCCAGCTTCATTTATTCAATATCGTTCACAGTGCGGAGTTTTCGATAAGAAATGGGTGCCTGCGCCAGAGCCAATATCAATTGGAAATCTCAAAAGAAGAAAGATCTCTCCTTCCCACCTACCCTGGCTCTCTGAAACAAGAAGTTTTCTGCCAGATGATATTTTGCTGAAAACGAACTTGGAACTAACCGGCTGTGAGTTTTTCGCTGAGTTGGGTACTTCAAGAGAAAGCGCAGAGTTCATGATCAACGAACTGTTTGAAAATGCCTGGGCAGATGAAAAGACAGAACTGGTTATTTTCGAGCAGAGCTTTTTGAACATGAACATCAACTCTTTCATCCAACTTCGGTTGATTTTCGAGTTCCAAGAAGGCGGGGCCATCTTCCCATCACTCTCAATTCAACAGCTCAAAAACGTTGATCTCTCCGACTCAATTCTAGCGCTGAGTTTGTCGGTCTTTGCGATTTTCTTTCTTTACGAAATTTATGCTGTTGGAAAGATTTTCTACCTTCGGTGGTTTTGCTTTGTCACGATTTTTCAAATAGTCCTATGCTTGCTCGACGCTGGAATCCTCGCATTGTATATTCTTAGGACAAAGTTTCTGTCCAAAGCAATTGCACATTTTGTGATGGATCCGAAGGGCAGTCCGAAATTTGCAGATGTTTTCTTGGTGCAATATTATTTTATTTCAATGGTGGCCATTTCTTTATTTCTTCATACTCTTTTCCTCGTTCATATTTTATCGACGCTCTCTGTTGTCAGAAGTAATTCTTAATTGAGTAATGCAATTTTAAGATTTTTAGTGTACAAAATCGTCCTCAGAAAGTTGAAAATCACTCTAGCTCCTTATGTGGTTGGAATACTACCGATTCAACTTGGCATTTCTTCAGTTATTTTTCTCATTTACCAGAACTCTTCAAATTTGTTTCGCACTTTTGGCCGGACTTTCTTCACGATTGTTTGGCAAGGCTACCTCAAGCCTTCAGGTAGGAAGAAACTAAGCTACAATAAAAACGCCTGGTCTGGGACGGTCAAAAATACGCTTGGTTTGGGACGGTCGGGCCGTTTAAAGATCAAAGGCGCACGCCCAGGGGGTGATTTTTAACTTATTGCGAGCAAAATTGGCGCTAGAGAGGATAATGAAAAAACGCCTGGTTTGGGACGCTTTTGTTGATTAAGGCCGTCCCAGACCAGGCGTTTTTACTGTACTGTCGGTTTAAATTTGTTCAGACATGAATGCCGACCTCGAAAGTCTGCTAGACAACGACTGGCGAAGATTGGCTCAAACGATTTATTGCGTTTTGAATTTTTCGATGATGTACGTTTCGATGAACATGATAATTGCCATCATTTGCGATACAAACGTCGATGTCCGAAGAGAAGAGTTTCATCTCGACTGGCTCAACTTGGCGGCAAAATATTTCAAGAGAAAAATCGTCAGGATGAAAAGAAGAACTCAGTACATTTTCAATTATGACAGCGTGCGTGTCAATCCGAATAGGCGAAATGCTATTTGGGAATAAAAAAACTTCTTTCAATAAAAGAAAATTGAGTCGGGATTGTTCTTTTTTATTTAGCAAGTGATAATAGACATTGACTTGTCCATCTTCACCCACTGGCTTTTCCATTGAGTATTGCATTTCACCGCAAATTTGTTTTGAGTCAAGTGAGAATCGTTTTCGCATTTTACAATGCACCATTTTCGTCCAACCGATCCACCACATGCGAGCTTGTGACCAGTCGGTAGAAATTTGGATGGAATCGAATCTTGAGTGCATTTTTCAGTAGGAACAGAAACACTATCTCCAGTGCAGCTTGGTAGCTAAAATAATTTCGAAAGGTGATTAATTTATATAACTGACCGTGGTCCCCTTCGCTTTTATCCAAATATTCTGCTTCTTTCGACAGATCACTCCGTATCCTCCCGCGTCATTTCCATTTTCGCAGACAAGTCTGCATTTGTTTCCCTGGCACTGCCAAGAATGCTCTCCTTCTGGCTTGTGCTTCTCCGGAATGCAGGACGCGTCGCACTTTGATGTGAGACAATCGTCTGGCAGTTCACAGGTTGGAGCAGATCCTGAATTCGATTTTTTGACGGATCATTTTTCCTTTTACCTTTGACAACTCTCCAGCTGTTCGTTTTTCCTCTATGCATACATCTGATAAGATAATTTCTATCAATGAAGTTTCCAGCACATTTTGCTTTGCAACTTCGAGTTCTCTTCTTCACATTAGTACAGGCCCAAGTTAATGCGCCGGTAGAGGATTCTAATGAGCTTGGAATTGACGAGATAGGGCAGATTGCAGGAGTTTGGGTTGTTGTTATCGTTGAAGTCGTCGTCGAAGTCGTCGTTGTAGTCGTCGTGGTAGTCGACGACGTTGTTGTCTTCCAACTTTCATCGAGGCATTCGTAGTTGCCATAAAGCGACTCTGTCCGGAAGCAAAAATACGCATGTCCTGCAAAGTTGTAAGCAGTGTAATAAGTTCCACCAGTCGAATATTTATACAGTCTCCACGATCCGTACGCGTATCTGATCACATTTTCAATTCCTTCACATGTGTAGTATGCTGTTTTATCTTCTGGCCCTGTCCTGTGACAGATTCTCCATCCCAACCTAGGATTCTACTTTTTTTGTATTATTTTCTTGTAACTTACTTCAACTTCTTACAGCACTCATTTTTTACCACGCAGTCATTTCCATTCGGATCCGCCCAAGATGCAGGCCAGCTTCTCCCAACTTCTTCGTTGTTGTTCACATATCCATCTTTGCAAGAGCACTTGAATCCGTCCCGAACGTCCGTGCAGTCAGCATTGGGACCGCAAGTATGAGTCCCAAGGGCGCATTCGTCTACTTCGGGGATAAAAGCGCACGATTTTCCGTCACCTTTGTATCCTTCGTTACATTTGCAAGAGAAACCTTCGAATCTGCTGGTACAAGTCGCATTTTCATCACAATCATTGGAAGCACAATTATCAGGCAAAGCAGGTCCATCTTTAGCGCAGGAAAGTCGAGTGCCTAGCCGATTCATTTTGATGTTCATTGGTGGACAGATATTAGCGCCGCCATTCACTTTGTCCCAATAACTATAACTTCCACCTGAATTCAGTTTTGGTTAGATTCCTTTATTTTCTTTACCTGGAAAGGGGTAGTAGCTGGGAGTCATATGGTACCACCAAGATGTCCACAAAGAGATAATGCCGCTTCCGTCGGGGCAACTCCAAGTTTCCCGGCCAGACGTTACTGAATCTGGATTGTAAACGCATGTGTAGCATTTGCTTCGGCAAAGAAAAATTCCCCCGCAACATCCATTCGGTGTTCTTGGGTATTTTTCATTGCACGTGGCTAGACTTCCATCTTCATCTTCTCCGCCAGGGCAATCTTGAGTTCCGTCGCAAAGTCGATCCGTGAATACTTTCCGTTTTTCTCCAACTTTATCTTCAGAAGAGCAAGTCGCCGTGTCCGATAATTCGTAATCGGGAAACATCGGTGCTCCATCAGAAAAGGGTTTGGTCAACCCTTGACAGTACATTTTTTGTATTTGTAATGCATCAGTCGTTGTTATTTTATTTCTACGTGTGAGATGAGACTCGTCTTTAAACGTTGCAATGGGTTGATCACTGTTCGCGAAGGTGAAGGAACTGTACTGCATAATGGATACTGGATCGTAAGTATCCGAAGTATCGAACCATCTTTCGGAAGAAACTTTGCTCCAAGCACCTTATAATTTCCGATTTGCAATTTCAATCTTACGTAATATTACCTGGATTTGATGTTCTTTCGGGAAAGTAATCAATATATTCGTCTCTATCAGGCCGCTGTTGCTCATGGAGAACTCCGAGCGCATGCAGAACCTCGTGCTGGGTAACGCCTGTGCTTTGAGCGCAGCCAGTTGTCAAATTAATTTTCTGCCAGCCAGCAGGAACTCCCAATCCAGCGATTCCCCAACCTTTGCTTTTACCAACTGCAGACGAACAACCCGTATGTTTGACGAAAATGATCCCATGTCGAAACTCTTCGGTTGTTTCTACCGAAACGTTTTCAAGGAATGGCATATGAAAGCATCCCAAAGCAGTTTCTAGTGACTTCATGTACTGTATAATTTTGTCCTGCTCCGCATTCAATGACGAATGAGACCAGACCGCCTTTATGACAAGTTAGAAAATATTCGTACAAACCATTCAAAAGTTTATTTCTAACTCATTCCTTCAATTTTAGGCAGCCATTTGTAAGAAGACTTGTACAATGCTCGAACCATAAGGTCATCATCTTCAACTAAACTACCATCCTCGTTGATTGCTTGCGACTCGTCCTCGATGATATTCCATTCAGATGTATTGACACCATAGGATTCGAATTCTTTCGCCTTTCAGAAAAAAGTTGCTATTCCCTCAATCTATTGGTACTTACAATCTCTTTGGAAATAAACATCTCGTCCTCGAAAACCTCTTCCTCAATTTCTTCAAAAATCTCTTGGGCCATTGACCCGACCAAAAGCCCGAAAAGGAGCTTCATTTTCGAAAGTATTCGATTCAAAATTTTTCGAAAATGGCGCACGGTGGGTGTAAAGCAGCTTTTATATGCTGCACAAGAATGTTGGTGGTTCTATCAACCACAAGCCTTAATTCGACGAATATTTTCATGTTTCTTCTCAAGAACCAACGAGAATTTATGTTTCAAACATCGTTCTAAAAAGCCTTCCAATCCATGTATTCAAAACGGCTTCACAGGAGGAAGTAATTTTCGAATACCAACTCCCTCATTTCAACCTTATAATTTCGCGAAAAAAATCGCCCTTCGAACTTGTCTTCCTGGTTTCCTTGATCCCTCAAATTGCAAATTCCAGATGAGGCGGATAAAAAAGTAAGCGTGAGAAAGATCGGTGCTCAGCGATGCAAATCCATGAGCAGGTACTTATCCTGTTTGGAGAAAAGCGATCGCAATCTTGTTTTGCCAAAACCAAACGGTTGAGTACTTTCAAAAATAACCGGAACCACAACAGTTGCCTGAGATTTATTTTCTCAGGCTACGATTTTATGCTTCCTCGAAGATCCTCGTCGTTGAATTTCGTGGCTTTTCGGGCAAGAAAATCGTCAATTTTTATCACATCTTTTATTTATTTGTCGATAATCTTATCGACATTAATCTTTTCTTACTGTATAGAACGCTCAAGACGTCGCCATAAATTCCTGAGAGTTCTGAAGAAGGCGTGGGCGCCCGTTCTGAGAAGGAGCGAAGGCAAATAAAAGTAATAATTACCAGACGCCAGAGCCTTAATTGGAGCAAAGTGAAAGGAATTTCAGAAGAGAGGGTAAACACCCTATTTGTTTTGGGACGAGTGGCGACTTTGTAAAGATCTAAAGAGAATGGGATACAGAGAAAATTTTAGATTGAGGACCAAATAAAGTGAATTCCACATTCTTTGACGACCTTGTTATCAAGAAGAAAGCAAAGAAGCTGTAACTTTGATTTTATTTTTTTCTCTTTAGTAAGTAAATTTATCGATTAGTTGTCCTCTCGAAAAGTGGCGCGAGCTCGCTTCGGGTGGTCCCTTAAATTAAAGTTCTAAGTTGAGATCAAACTTTTTTATCGGTTTTGAAAAGTTCCCCTGGAGGCGCTTTCGGAGAGTTATTTTGCGAAGCTTTTTCTGCGCGCCTACTCCCTTTTAAAAATTGTTTTACTACAAAGCATACTAGCACGTCGATTTTGACCGACCGGCTTCGTCTTTTTTTAGCGTCGCCCTTCGTTCTCCACCGCCCGGTCTAGTGAAATGCCCGGTGCAGTACGCTCAGCAAGGCAAAATGCCTCGGTGCTTCCTTTAGGGTGTCTGTCCTATTTATGCAAATCTCGTTAGATAGAAGTTCGAATAGCTACTCCATCTTTGATAATTTTTCGAACCTACCAAAGAAAGATAAGACGAAAATATTGATCAGTTTTTTTTTAATGTACCCTAAGGAGGGGGTCGACGAGAATCGGGATTTTTTGGCCAAAAATGCGGGAAACCCTGATAAGATAGGCAAAATCTGATTTTACTTGTGGATAGAATGGTTGTTAAATCAAACGGCGAAAACTAGAAAACATTTTGGCCAGAAAAAATCGGTCAAAAATCCCGTCAAAGAAGGGCCATTTTCCCGAAAATGCACCAAAAATTGTCAATTTTCTTACATCTTCATTTCTTACAATCTTAAGATCATCGCAATTTTATTTTTCAAAAGGAGTATTTAATTGTTTTAATAATAATGTTCGCTCTATCAATTTTTTACGCATGAAAGATATTGTTATCTTCGAAGACTTTTCTTTGAAATCCTTGCTGTGCTTATTGCGTTCAAAATTGCCGTGGAAAATGAACTTGTTGATATCGAATTCCATGTCGCATGGAAGTGGAGCTGGAGTACCCTACTCGGTGGTGCTGGATTGGCGGTGGGCTGGGGCCGCTCGCGGGCGGAGCAGCGCCGCCACGACCAGCGTCAACTACAACCGTCTCTACAACTGCCACACTCGCACACTCGAACCCAAAAAAATCTCCTTTTTTAAAAAAAAACCCGAGGCTCCGATTCAATCAGCGCAATCTGCGTCGGCTCCTCCGCCCCGTTATTATTTTTTTAAAGACAGGCGGAGAGAACAGAGAGAATAAAAGAGACAGAGCGTTTTCTAGCCCAGGCCCTGACCACCTTCCTTTTCTTGGAAAACTTGAGGGAATTGAGAATGATAATAAGATTTTGAAGAATTGCAGGTGGTAGGGGGCCGGGGCGATTCCCGACCAGGACATTTTTTTTTCTTTTGGAAGCGTGGGCTCTAGCCCGACCGGTTCTTGGGCCGACCAGCCTCAAGGCGATTCCTGCGACCACCACCACACCCTATCCTGGTGTCGAATGGCACAACACCGGCACCAAGCTACACACTACGACTCTGGCTCATTCATTCAAAAAATAAAGAGATAGAGAGTGTTGAATTGGAAGAAAAACATCATTTTGAAAAATTACATTTTCTGCTTGGATTTAGGTCCACCACCTTACAGTTCTGTCAAGGGTTGAGCCATTGCTCTTGAAGAATTGCAGGTGGTAGGTTCTGTCCGGGAACGATCGACAATTATGACTCCAGAAGAAAATTACTTCAAAGCAAAAATAGACTTGCAGAGGATGAGTTTTATCCCATCTCATGACGTTTTATGAATTATTTTCACAATAATAAGGAAAACACAGGCATGTTTTTAATTTATTAATTGCACCAATTTAATCTTGTGTGAATGATTGCATATGTATGATAAAATATAATTTTCCGGCTGATTATATTGCTGCTTTTTATTCCCTTATATACGGACCGAAAACCGGCATATTTTCTTATTTTATTATTTTTAGCTTGAATTAATTTTGATTGAAAATATTTAGACAGAAAAATAAATCGATATGTCCGGTAAATGTCCGACTGCAGTGTAATTACATTGGATTTCTTTAAGGTTATTCGGTATGCATATGAAAATTGAAGAGAAAGTTTCCGTTGCATTTGAAAATATTTTCGAATTTGTGCATCATTCAAGTATAAAAGCTGGCTTTTGGCGGCTAATCCCCGCATCGACTTCCTCCATTTTGCATTTTTTGCAAAAAGAATGCGCTGCCATGCGTGAAATTCCAAATCCTGTCGAATCACCACGCGTGACCACTCAAAAACGAATTCGACAAATTCCAATCCAACCCGAACTTTTGGTGTTTTCTCAAAGAATCAAAGGTTTATTTTCAAGAATGAAAATGGTTTAATTTTGGTGGAGTTCGTGGAATTTCTTTTGGAGTATCTTTTGTTGTTGGAATTCCACGGGTCGAAGAGTAAGCTCCTCTTCCTGAAACTCGAATGTTCTCATTGAACAAATCGATATTCGCAGTTTCTTGAGTCTTATACGACTTGTATTTGGTACTCTCTTTTGCCGCCTTGATTCTAGCGTTCAAGGTCTCATTCATTTTCTTCCAGTCATCCTCAGAAACCGCCAATTTGCGTACGCTTGACTTTGCTGTTGTATGTTTTTCCGCATAATTTGAGATTTTCTCCTTCGAATTTTCACCTGGGACAACGTATTCTTTTTGAAAATTGATACTTGCATCGCCGTATTTTTGCGCTACTCCGTATCTCGGTCGCTCAGTGTGTTCATATTTTCGTTGGAGACGGGTAAAGATGTCCGGGAATTGGAAGTCTTCCTTGCTATCAAGAGAAAAAGGCCCAAGGGGAGCATGTCGGACAGGATCTTTTGTTACTTCGGGAAAAGTGAATCCACGCCCTTCCAGTTCCTTTCTTGGTTCTTACTGATTAGAATTTTGAAAAGAAAAGACGATTGAACCATGCATAAAAGAATAAGTGAGCGCCGCCTTTCCCAGTACAAAGTCCATATCGAGGCCGATCCACGTGATCGTATTTTCTCAATAAATCAACAAAATCATGGAATTTCTCTGTCTCATCTTCAGGCACAAGTTCGTAGTCGACAAGATAATTGTGCCTCTTTCTCGGCTTTATTTCGCCCGTCATTTTTCAAGTCGCTTTCCAAAAAATGGTTCTCCATGCCAAAACATGGATACAAATAGATCGGACAACGCAAATATTTTTATCAATGATTTCTTTCCTAAAAGATCCTTAACCAGAACTTTGTAGGAACTTTGATCGAAGATTGGCCTTCTTGCCAGGTTACTAAAGCAAATGCATTACGAATTCAGTGCGCTTCTTTTCTTCGGATGTTTATGAACTGAAGGCTACTAATTTTGGGAAAGTAGCGTCTGCTGCCGGCTGCAAGTAATCACAATTTTTTATTTTATGTTTCAAATAACAAAAAATGAAATACTCAATTTTCGCACTTTTTGTTGGCAAAATAAATGGCCAATCTTGCCCGTAAGAATTTGCCCTACCACTTTCGATATAAATTACAATTTTTCAGAGATCAAGAAATCGGCAATTTGTGCGAGTCAAATTGCAAAGAAGACCTCCTTACTTGTCTAGAGAACTGCTCAACTGCTGCTTGTCAAGAAGAATGCTATCTTGCTGACGTTCTTTGCGAGACAAAATGTCCTTGCAACATTTACTGTCCTGATGGCTGCGAAAACTGCGACCATCCGCTTTGCAATCAGCCCTCTTGTCTTGAAGAAAACGAGCTTGAATATGCTAACTGCATTCAATCGGCAAAAGACGCGCTCTTCAGTTGCTACGATGGATGCGTAAGCGACTTGGAAATCGACTGCTACAGTGACTGTAATGATGAGAGTCTTTTGAGCATCGAGAGCTGCCCCTGCATGAATGGTTGCTCACTTGGCTGTCCCTGTGACAACTACACCTGCTCGGGAACAAACACAAGAATTACTCATCTCGGCGTTTCTTGGCAATATCCAAACTTTCCCCCAGTCCTCTATATGACCGACAACATGGGTTTGACAATGGACCCTGTCGACTACGATTTTGTTGAAACCTACACAAACAGCTTGATTTACGCTGATTTCGCGATTCTCCGCGACGTCGTTTACATCTTCGGAGGCAACGACTGGGAGAACAGTGTTCAAAAAGTAACTGACGACTGTACTGTCGAGAGACTTGACATTCGACCTGTTTACAGGCACAAGAGTACAGGGGGCATTGAAACTTTCGAAGATAAAATCTGGCTGTGTTTCTATGAATACAAGTCGTGCCAAACCTTCGACGGAGTACAATTCGAAGCAGCCTCGGGAAGAACTGCGGATGATCATCAATATGGCTCCCTCTGTACTTATGAAAATACACTCATTGGAATCGGAGGGAAAGGTAAAAAGGAGAGTGTTGAAATCTATCTTGGCGGGGGATGGATGAAGCCGGCAGACACTGATCATCCAATTGGGCTTTACGATGGAGAATGCGTGAATGTAGAAGAAGGGGTTCTCACGATGGCGGGAGAATATGGAAAGGAAATTTACTTGCTAAAGGAATTGAGATGGACCAATGTTGGAAGACTTTTAACGGTAGATTGGAAAGAAAATAATGATTGATAAATATGAAATTTAGGCGGTGAGTGTCCCAACCTTCGTAAAACTCGGGAACGAAATAATCCTATTCGCTGGAGCAAAAACTTCTGATGTTCAAAAAATGCTCTGGAATGGAGAATCTATTGAAGATGTTGAAGTTATTTATCAACAACCTGAAGACGGAATTTTCAACCCAATTGTCTTCGAGAGTTCTTCTAGCAAATGTAAAGCGTGAATAAATTTTTTAGGAATATATTTATTTGATCCAAAATGGAAGATCAAAAACAATATTATATTGAATATTTTCATCGGAGTTTCCGCACTCTTGTGACGCGAATTTTCGAAGCATTTTCATAATTGTCTTTTTGATGCTCTGCTGAATACTCATTATAATTGATAATTGATGTCTGCAGAATACCTGGATCAATTTTATAAGTCTTCAGACTTGCTTCTGAAAGAAGAAGGGCTTTTCTTTTCTCGATTCTTTCAAGATCTTTCAGAGCAAACTCGAGTCGTTTTCGAGCTCCTTCTGCGGAAGTTTTTACGATTTCAGCAACGTTCATTTCCATGCCAATAATTGACTTGATACTGTCGCTCGCTGTTCTCATCGGACCCTTATCAAAGTTGATGCTCGTTAGTAAAAGGGCTTCTACCTGGCAAATTTCTTCTTCAAGGGCTGAATTGGCATCGATATAGTCTTGTGTATCAGTCATTATTTCGCTGAACGTATTTTTGACGCCCTCGAAATCTTTGATCGCTTTCTCCGCCACTTGATCTGCCTCGATACTCAGTTCTTTCACCTTCTGTACAGTCTTTTTGGCCATTTGAAGATACTTTTCTGTCAATTTGATTCTGTCGCATATCCCAACATCTTGAACTCCATTAGCTGCCGCCTCGCAGCAGGCGCCAAGAATAAACTCCCTGAAAGTCAGATCATTTGCTCCACAATGTTCTCCAGAAAGCGATGCCGGGCATTTGAAAACGGATTCCGAGCAGTTTCCAAATTTGAACTTTCGACTTTCAGACGAGTCTGCTTTTTCTGCGCAAAACTCGCATAGACTTATTTGCTCATCGATAACTGCGGCTTTTGGCACTGCCCTTAATCTTTCAATAAGACTAAATAAGGCCCAAAAAGGGAGCTTACGAACCAGTTACAATAATCACATTTTATAAGTAGGCCATAAGAAGACACAAACTCTTTTTTGATTCCTCTGAACATTTTCCTTTTCTCTTCTCTATTAAAATTATTCATAACATCCTGCTTGCGAAAATAAGCTCTAGAAAGACATTTATTCACCAATCACTTTATTGAAGCTATTGAAGATTTGGTGCGAGAACTGCGCTCAAGACTTTTCGAACCAGAATGAGAAACAGTGCTGAAATCAATTGACTTGGAAAACTGTCCTTTTCGAGCCGAATCTGGATGGAAGGGATTAAGAACTGAGTTTTTCTTACTGCTTGATTTTCGACAGCTATTTGGAGACATTGTGCTGGATTTCGTGACTTTTTTGGTTTTTTGAGCGATTTTCTTCCATGATTTCAAAAGAAAGGTACTGTTTATTAGTTTGTTATTCAGAATCTGAATTTCAGATATAAGAAATAATCCGAAGAAGCCTGAACAATATCTAGATATAAATAATGATATCTTTCTATTTTTGTACAATTATCGTTCCAGATATACACTTTATCAGCGCAATTTATAATTTTATTTGATATTCTTCAACAAATGTTGGATCCCTTTATCAACCGTTGCGTCATCTTGATAGAAAGTATTACTTCAAAAAAGAAAATTTCTCTTAAGAAAATTGCTCTTTTGAAGACTGTAATTGCTCAAAAAACTTCCCTGTAATGGTTGAACTTCTTTTTGACATGGCGATTCGATTTCGCGAACCGAATTTGGAGACATTTCCAATATTGTCCGGAAGCGATAAATTCTTCGTCAGCGCCTCCTGAATTCACTTGAAAACGGCTACTTGTTAAACTTTATGAACAAACGTGAGGGAGTTGTAACGAGTTGCGCTTGAGATTGAAGGGCACAGAAGTTGATGTGGACAGTGATGCTCGTCGGCTGAGATACTTCGCTTCAGAAAGTCTACGAATATAAAACTCAAATTTAAATTGCTGATGAATATATCTTTTTCTTAAGCTATTTTCAGCTCTTAAATGCTTTAATTGTCTTTAAAATAGAAATAATGGCCCAATAAATCCAAAATTAAACCCTTATAGATTTAAATGATTTTCATATAACTAATTTGAAGATTTGTTTTTTCAACCAGAAAACTTTTATACCAGTCTTTTGTCAAAAAAACATTCAGAAAGTTATGCCGCAATAACTAATGCGGGCAAATTGTAATCCGAAAAATTTAGACTACTCTTTGCCCTGAAAATGCGAACTGAACGGAACGTTCTAGACGAAGTTATGATATTTGGCGATAAAAAGGTTGTGTTTTAATATTATGGGTAAACACAAGGTTCCCGAAGCCTAGGCGCTCGGTAAAAACAAGCGTAACCTAAACAAAGCATAAGCGTAAAATGATGTCAGTACTTTCAATGTTCGAGGGATAGGGCTTGAGATTCTTGTTCAGTGTAATGACGAACAAGTGTTCTAAGTGTAGGAGCAATGAGGAGCATCGTCATAAATATAAAGTACACCCTTCTTTGGGCTTTTATTGAAGAAACATTTGTTGAACAAATGTTTAGGACTCGTGACGAAGCTTTTATCCTTACTCTTTTATTATTATCGGACCAAAAATAGACACTTCGTTCTTTCATAAAATATTCTCATTTACTAGGGCCTCAATTCCCGGAGAAACTATCATCGCAGATGCCGATTTTTATCTGAAAAAAATGAATTTAACATGATGACACCCTTATTCTGGCCGCGCCTGATTTCATATGATTTTAAACTTTAATAATCGTAGTATTTAATTAAAACTGTGCACTTAAGGGTATCAACAACGATGGAATAAGGGGCTCTTTTATGAGTCGACCCCGTTATTTCGTTGTTGGGAGTCCCAACAACGAAACTTGGGACTAGGGTTGGCCAAAAAAAGGGATGGGCCTTCGATTTCCTTTAAACTTTCCTAGATTATTTATTTGGGTCCATATAATAAATATTTTCAAAAAAATTCCAAAAAAAATTTTCGCCTACCCTTTTTTGGAGGGCTGAAAATAGCCAAAAACCTGTTTTTTCCCCATAACAAGCTTATCTGCTGCATGCTTACTGAGAAAAAGGGTAAAACTTGAATACTAAAAATCCGCCTACGCAAAAAAATACGGTTTTGTATACCGATTTTCGAGGTCTTCCGCTCAACTTGATGATTCATATGGGGTATCAAAATGTTCGTCTCGTCGAGATCTATCAGAAACTGCAATAAAATTCGCTGAAATGAGACTTCACTTTTTTCTTGGCCTACCCTACTTGGGACCCTTAAAAGTCTTAAGGGAGTATTGACTACAAAGTCGTTACCAATAAACATTTTTCTCGTCAATTAACTTACATTCTGTAGTCTTCATCCACGTCAATATCGTTTATTTCAGAGAGTATCTTCTTGCAAGACTTGATTCTTGAAAACAATGCTCAAGATGGTCAAAACTCTACTTAAGAGTCTAGCCCTTGTTTGTTATAAAAATATCTTGATCTAGTTAATTTCGAACCGTCAATTCGATCGAAAATGGATAAACGATTCCGGAAATGCTACGTCCATGGTTTGAATGAAACAAATTCGAATTATCAAGCTGTCTGGTCGTTCGTTAGCTTTACAAATTGGCAAAACAGATCAAGATCAAACGAAAAAATAATTGTTTTTACCAGAGTTCTGATGAAAGAGCTAGTCGCTTTCAGGAATTTGTTTAACGAAGAATCGCTGTTCTAACGTTTCAGACTCAAATTGGAAGCCTCAAACTTAGGGCGAGGGTTAGGGTTAGGGTTAGGGTTAGGGTTTATCATCGATTTTGAGGATCGTTTCCTTTTCGTTTTCTTCCTTTCTTTCTTCGACCAGTGGCTCAAGACACTCACAAGTCTGAACATACCATTTAGAAATTTTTTCCTCTAAGTGACAAAGTCCGTGACTCTGACTGTACAATTACCCTCTGAGAGCTTGCATCTTCCTTTTGTCATGATGAACTTTGTAGGTCAAAAAGTGGTTAGTAGGGATTGGTGGTTAGCGGCTTCTGAAATCTCTCTATTTTCTGTCTATCTTAAATTCTGGCCAGTTCTTTTTTCCTTGTTTTGCCCCGGGGCGAGAGCGACCAGAGGCGATCTTCCCTGTCGGATGAAAATCGAGGCTCAGCCTTGCGCTTGGGATTATCTCTTCTGAGCGGTTACTCTGTCTCTTTTCATATTTCAACGGCGATTTTCTCATCTCCTCGGAAGATGACGCTTCTGATTTTACTTGTAAGCCATTAATATTTACAGTGGAGGAATGATCCTCTCATACTAATGCACATGGTGACATGTCCAGCAGATTACTAATTCAGCACTTGTAGCACTTGATAAAGGGTGAGATTCTTTACTTAGATGAAATTAAATAACTTTTGCAGCAGAAATTTTGACTTGTCGATTTTTTGAGCTCAGTAGAAAGAGCGAGAAATTCTGAGTCGAACCCACTTTCCCATGAGGAAAATTTTCTAGAGAATGACGTCGCAAATGACGTCATAAGGTACCAAAACCGAAAACTTTGAGTCGGTTTTGAAAGCCTTTCCGATGGATATTTCAAGTGTTCAATGGGTCAAATGGAAGCTCAGAAGAAACTGAAGGTTCATTTTAGATGATTTTCGGAAAATTTCAAAAAATTGGCTCTAGAATTTTTGAAAAATTTTTGTAAAAATAAAAATATCAAAAATGAACCTTAAATTTTGATAAGCTTTCATTTGAGCTATTTCACGCCGAAAATAACCAACTGAAAGGCATCTAAAAAGTGACTCAAAGTTTGCCCAAAATGGCTATTTTTGCCATCTTCTCAGGTCCCCTGTGACGTCATCGTCTGGTATTTTTGGTCAAATTTTGACCAATCGAGTCAGAATTTTCCGGGCTTTCTTTAGAGCCCAAAAATGAATGGGTCAATTTTTTTGCTGCAAAAAGTTTTTAATTTCATCTTAGAAAATAAAAAAACAGAAGTAATCTTAAAACAAAAATTTTGATATTCAATTTTCATCCTTGAAAGAAAAGGGCTGAAAATGATGAAAATGATGCAATAAAAAAGTTGATGAACTTTGCGTTATTCTTCTTTTCAAGGTAACTTGATTCTTGGAGCTATTCTGCTTCGACGCATAAAGATTCAATGATATTAGCCCACTGAATTTTGATATTCGCCAAAATGTCTAACGGGAATGTTCACATTTAGTGACATTTCCGAGCATTTTGTCGCTTGATATTTCATCGTTTCTTAATTTCAGAAATGAAGCAAATTCTCTTGCTCATTATTTTCATCGAAAGTAAGACTGATCACTGCCATGTTGAACAGAAAACAAAGCGGTCATTCGACCAAGAGCCATTTTTTGATGAAAATGACTGTTTATATTTTAAACTTTGTCTAACCCGCATCGAGCAAGATAAATTAATTGCTGTACAATTTTAATGAACTTAAAATTTGCAATTTTTTCATGAAAAAAAAGCAGAAAAACGCTTCAATTTGAGGACTTTAGTTCGTCGAAAAAGTGAGCTCAAGTTGAAAGTCAATAATTGATGCAGCGATCCAGCCAGGCGGATAATTCCGCTATCCTTGGGATTGTTCGTGCTTATCCTCGCGAAGCAATTTACGTAGCAATAATTACGAAGAAGCCCTCTCGTTTTTTATCGATTTCAAAACGGAAGTGAATAGAATAATGATGATTTCTTTCTCCGAAAATAGACAGATTTACTCAATATTCTTCTAGCATTGGGAAGAACAAGGGTTTCTTTGGAGAAACATTGATATTGATATTCCTTTCTATCAGTTAAGGCCTTTGATTCAATTGAATCAAAGAAACAAGGATGTTACTAAAATTATTCAATTTTCCTTTTCATTCAACTGAATCAGTCGAACGGATTGATATGTTATTTTATGATTGATGGCTCTTTGTATTTAGTAATGTTTAAGCTGTGTCTATGGTTATAACTTATAACCTGCTCTTACTATTAACTTCCTTGTTCAATAAATGTAGCTCCATTAAACTAGTTACCAAAATAAACGTATCCGCAAATTAAATTTGACATGCGATTATTGTAACTATAGCTGTAATTACATTTCTTTTCAGCAAAGCACTTATTGCTCTTAATTAAAAAATAAACGAAGATGTAAAGTGGAAAACTAAAACACCCAAAAGTTTAGGGCCAAAACCCCAAGAGTAAAATTTACTCAGTAAATGAACTTGGTTACTAAGAAATGCTTCATCAAGCATGATTTTCAAAAGCAGCTTTTATGACGAAAATAAAAAGAGATTACCTGGCTAATTCATCATCATTTTCGAAAAAATAAAATAATTTTCTTTTGCCCAAGTTACGGAGAATACCAGTTAAATTTCTTCGACAAAAGCCCTCAAATGAATAAAGCCGTTATCGCATGGAGAAGTGCAGGGAAGATTTTAATCAGTTAAGTATTTGCAAAATCATTCATTAGAGCTTTATTTGCGTCAATGTTTTCTTCTGGAATCTTCTTCTGGAGAGAATTCAGGGTTCAAATTTTTGACGAAAAAATGTTGAGCTGAGCGAGCGGCTGAGCGGTCGGCCGCGAAAAATTCTTGAGCAGTTGAGCGGTAAGTCAAAAAGAGCCCTGAGCTGAGCAGACGCTCATCGCTCGCTCACCGCTTAGATACCGCTCGACGCTCAACCAAAATCGGAACCCTGGAGAGAATATTCTCGAAATTGAAGTTTTCCTGAAGAAATCTATGCATCATTATTGATTATTATTAATAAACATAAATATGCAAATTAGGTTGGTAGATTGCAGAAAAGATTTGTGACCGATGATGATTTCTCGCTATTTTTGACGATATCAACACAGCGTTCTAACGATAAAGATATCCTTAGCATCTCCGCTTTTGAGATAATTTTAACGAAAACTTGATTAAAATCGTCCGATTTTTGTTGCGAAAAGTTGGAATCACTTTCTGGAAAACAAAAATTCTCCAAATAAGCAATTTTTATTCCGTTCCATTTTAAAAACTTTACTATGAAATTCTAGCCATATCATTTGGCCTCATGCCAGTTTGAGATAAAAAAAACCTTCTAAAATAGAAGAAAGGCTCGTTCGAAGGTTGACGTGCTGCCAAATTATGATCGTTTGCACCACCAACAGCAGCAGTGCTGGCGCACGACCAAAAACGAGCTGGCTAAGGAATCCCCTTTATACCGGGGTTCTGTATTCTGGTTGTTTAGAAATTTAACCATATTCTGCGCGAAGTAAAAGAACCTCAGAGCATTCTATGATTTTTTGCTGTTACATAAGGGTGTGAAGTTACATTCTCTCTTTAGTAAAGAGTCTTTACCCTTGCGCATAGAGTTTACGCGTGAAAAAACGGTGATTGTTGCCTGGAGATCTGCGATAGAAAATAAGAAACTCGATAGGACAGTTGTTCCACTTTAAGTAGTGACAGTCACTAATAGTGACAGTGTCACTTTGCTGTTTCGGTTTTGCTGTTCCTTTATTTGCGAAAACACGTAAGCCTGTCTCTTTACTCAAGCTAAAGTTCATCAAGGTCCCTTTTTTATTGTACTTTTTAGGCTACTGATACCCTTGTGGCTCCTAACATATGAGTTGAATAAGGGTGTCACCGCAGAAAAGCTTATAAATCATAAATCCAGTGATTTGAAGAAAAATCTTTTGAGGATTTAAAAATGATTGTATTTAAAATGAATGTACAAATAAATAATTGTTCAAGATAAAAATGATGATGACAGTAAATAAATAGAAACAGATTTCCTGATTTTTTGTTGATAATAATTTTTTAAATCTAAGAATTTATGATTCTACGTCTATTTCTTCGTCGAAATCTTCATCGATCGTTTTCGGGGAGCTGGAAGGACTTTCGATGGAGGATTTTCGAAGTTGATTTGTAACGAAAGCGCGTGCTTGAAGAAATTTCTGGTCTGCGTGCGCGTGCATCTTCGTGCAGCCGCAGTTGCAGTCCAGATCGAAGGTTGAGGTAATGACGGAGACGTGCACCGGCTCGGGTTGATTTGGCTTGTACGGGTGGCCGGGACGCTGGCGAGGCGCAATCGCTGCCTGGTTGAAGGTAAATGGGTTCGATTCTTCCTTCGAGCGCGGGGTGATCTGGCCCGAGGGGAGGGAAGAAAAGTTGAAGGGAGATCGCGGTGATACAGGGGTGGAGTCTGCGGAGCTGAGCGGCGATGTAGGAAGAGAAGAAGTCGGCGAAGAAGGAGAAGAGGAGTTGAAGCTCGAAAGAGTCCTCCTGCAATTTTTCCAGGCATTTCGTTGGTTCTTCAGGGCGGCCTTTTGCTCTCGCATGCGAGCTCGATCCTCTTTCAGTGCTGAAAACAGATTGTTAGAACAAAGTTCATCAATTGCCAATTGGTTTTCTGTTGCTACTTTCGAAAATGAGTCTAATTTGTAATTGCGGTTTATAGTAAAAACACGGGTCGACTCACCTCGCAGCCGCATCGGGTTCCAAGCGCAGTAGGTCTTGTGTCTGACGACCCCCTTTTGATTCTGGAAGAAGCGGTTGCACCACTCGCACTGATGACGATCCGGGTGAAGAGGAGTGGGTGAAGTGGGTTCCTGTTTGACGGCTAGAAGATTAAGCGTAAATGTCTTTTCGCACGATGGAATTTGAAAGTAAAGGGCAGCACTGACTTTTACGAGCCCTCGTGAGTTTTTTCTCGACTTACTTGGCGCTAGCTCTTCTTTTTCCCAATCGCGGAGGGAGGGGTTCCAGCTGCAGTAAGCTCTGTGCCTCAGTAAACCAGACGGTTGCTGAAGATTTCTCCTGCACCAGCGGCATTGGTAGCCGTCTTCTGTCTTCGCCTCGGCGATTATTGCTGCTGTTTCTGCGTCTCTGACTGTAAGTTCACTGTCGACCGTCATTTTTTGCTTGAAGTTTTGTTGCTTTTATATCTCGGGCGAAAATGGGGTAACGGAGACTCTTTTTTGTTGACTCGACCTGGCTTTTCGGAAAAATAAAGCGCTGGCCAAAAAAATAAGTTGATTGAGCGATAGGCTGGCCCCTATTTATAATGTTACGAGGCGCAAGTGCGCCGCGGAAACGTGTCTTCCCAAGGTCATCCGGACGCGAATATTGTGGCGCGGTAGATGGCGCGCGTCATCTAAAAGCGCGCGCACACTCTCTCTCTTGAATCGCGGGGACTTACGGCGACTGAAAATGATCCAGGGAAGAAGAATCATCGGGTAAGATTGGAGACTCGACATGCATCAGCACTTCTGTGCATAACGAACTGGAAATAACACCTTGTTGTTACTTGCTATACTTGCAATAACCAACACTTGCTGATAGACATAAAAGAGTCCATATAACAATAGACTTTTATCTTCATCGTAGTCAACATTATATAATATAAAGGAAATAAGGAGACTCTTTGGAAACTGGGAAACTGGACGGGTGAAAGTTATTAATGAACTTACTTAGTTTCTCCTCGAACCAGACAATTTCATGTAGTTAGACCAACAACAGCGATATTTACGATACCAGCACAGGGGTCCCGGTTATTCGAAAAAGAGAACGTCAGAGAATTCATGCTATCTATGATTAATACCAGCTATGGTTTAAAACTAGCGATATTTACCAGCTAGAATAGTATTTATGATACTATAGATAAATTATATTTAGATGATATATTATATATATTATATCATTTAAATATCATTTATCTATATCATAAATACTATTCTAGCTGGTAAATATCGCTAGTTTTAAACCATAGCTGGTTTTAATCATAGATAGCATGAATTCTCTGACGTTTTCTTTTTACGAATTACCGGGACCCCTGTGCTGGTATCGTAAATATCGCTGTTGTTCGTCTAACTAAATAAAGTTGTCTGGTTCAAGGAGAAACTAAGTAAGTTAATTAATAACTTTCACCCGTCCAGTTTCCCAGTTTTCAAAGAGTCTCCTTATTTCGATAATTTGTTTTATGACAGCAGCAAAGAACATTTTAATCGAGGTCTATTTTTTCTGAAAACAAGTCATTATACCTTGATTATTGAAATTTAGACAGAGAGAGAAAACGATTGCTCAATAACTTCCTGCTTTTCATTTCATTTTCATAACAAAATAGGTTTATTTTCTTTTCTTAAGAAAAATAGGGAAATGATGCTTTGAGTCTAAATTTGGCGAACACGCGAATCGAAAAATCCATAAACGTTTTCAAAAGTGCTTATTTTAACTCAAAACAAAAAGTACAAATTATAGACAACTAAGTTGTTATGAAACAACACGATTTCGTTATTCGCTCAAAAATGAACTATTTGAGAATAGTGTTGCTACTATTTTTGCGTAAATGTTTTGAGAAATTAAGATTCTTGGGACAAGATTTCCAAAGCTAGAAATATTAGTAGTTAGTACAACATTTTATCGTAAAGTTGATTATCTATTATCATTGACCCAGATTTTCTTATTGATCTGAATTCAAGAGTTAACACAGTGACACCCTTATTTTTTCAATGGATTATTCAAAATTGGGGTAGAACAAATTTTTGGAACAGATTTTTATAGGAAGGGTTTTGATTGGCCGGTAGGCCAAATACAGCAATCTTATTGGTTATCCAAAAATTCACTTCCAAAAATTGGGTTAGTCCCAAAATTGGGTCTGTAACTTGGAAAAATTAATTGTCAGTTTTCGCCAAGACCTTCGCTAATTTTCTGGTTTACCCACTTTTACCCCTTAATTTTTGATCAAATATTTCCAGTAACTTCCGCAGCGGACTCTGACTCATAACTAAGAATCTTCCTCAACCTCGTGATTTTCCACCGGGCCGGGATCACTGGATCTAGATAAGTAAGTTTTTGTTTGTCTTTGTTGTTTGAAACGCTCCAAACAAGATGACGAGCGTTGGAGAAATTTTCTGGGTTGCACTGATAAAGATTTCAAAAGAGCTCGGAGCTGTTACGTTTATTTATCGTAAGAAGCTGTTTTTCTGGAAACGAGTGAAGCTTTCGTAGCGCATTAAAACCGTGAGACAAGGTCAGGTGCGTCAGGGCGGACAGACTTTACGACTCTCTCTGGGGGGCGGTTTTTTGTCTGGAATCACTCAAGGATAGCTTTAAAGCTTAGGAGTAAGATCGGCAGTATCAAAATATAGGATACTAGACTCTTATGAGTGTGTTATTGTGACACCGTTTCACCTTTTACGACTAAAAAAATATAATAATTATACAGATATAGAGTCTATTTAAAATCTCTGACGTTATGAGTCTAGTCGTTTTCATAAGTAAGAGATAACGTACCCCACCCCCTAGCTCGCCCACATTTTGTGAACATTTTTCCCTTGCTCGCTTAGTTAAATTTCATCAAAGTCCCCTTGCTCGCTCTCATTCTTTTTTCAGCGCGCTCCATTAATCGCCATCCTTCTTTTTACCTCGCGCGCCCTTGTTCGCTCCTCCTCAGCCATTTTTCCCTTGTTCGCCGCAAGACCGCCAAAGCCTGGCTCGGCTTAGGTCGCTTTTACTTTCCACTCAAGCTTTTCATAGGGAACTATATTTTCGATTTCAATGAATATTTTTAATCAATTTTGAGCGGGTAGTTTACCCCTGCGATTTTCAAAAATTACACAGGAGACTTCTGTAATTTCTTTGAACACTATTTTCATTTGTTTCGTCAAAAACAAATAATCTCAACCAGAGTTCCGAATTCACCTCACCCAAGTTTCACCTAGGTGAAGGTGGGTGAAAGTGAAAAATAGGCTTCACCTATCATTCACCTAAAATTTTTCACCTCAACTCACCTCACTTGAAATTTTGAAAAATTGGCTTTCACCCAAATTCACCTTTAGGTGAAAACTTTTCACCTCACCTTATTTTTTTGAAAATAGGCTTTCACCTTAGTTCACCCAAAGGTGAGGTTTGGTCGAAATTTTTCGCCTCACCCTTGGGTGAAGGTGAAAGGATGAATTTGGAACTCTGATCTCAACTAACTCGAAAGATATGCATTTTTCAAGGTGAAAAATAGGGGAACACTATCCGCTCAACCCACTGTAACCTAGATTTATCCGTTAATTCTTTCGAGAAATCTCAATAAATGAATTTTGAGAAAGAAGGCATGAGATTTTTAATAAAGACAGTCTCAAAGTCTCAATCCGAGTATTCCGAGTACTTATGTTTACTTAAAATTGAGCCCCAAATTTTCTCCTTATGAAGAAGATATGAAAATTTGACAAAATGGACGTGAAAGAGCATAAAAAGATAAGTTTGCTTGGAAAAAATCATGAAAATAAAGCTAAAAAGCCTTTTAAAAGTGAAAACGAAAATGAGCTACGCGTAATAAGACGTTCTCGCGGGGCTTCAAGAGCGAACAAGGGATAAATGACGGAGAAAGGCGGGCGAGCAAAGGTGCGCCGTTGAAGCCAAGGAGGGCGAACAAGGGGGCGTAGAATGCAAAAGAAGGAAAGCGACCAACGGATCTTGGTAACAAAAAGCGAGCGACCAAGGGGGGTCTTGTTGTAGTTTAACTCAGCGAGTAAGGGAAAAATGCTCACAAAATGTGGGCGAGCAAGGGGGTGGGGTACGTTAGTATTTTGAGAACTACAAAAACAGATAGTATATAAATTGAAAAGATAACAATTAAAATATAGCTATATAGACAACGATTAAAAAGAAATTGTCGTGGATGATATAATCGACTACAATTGAGATATAATTCTTATAAACACAGTTTAGCTCAATTTTCTATTCTAATAATTCAGTTCTCTTTGATTTCAACACTTGTCGAAAAATTGATGCTGGTTAATGCTTAGACTAAATCTATTCTAGCTTCATGCACAGCTATGAAGAAATGGCGACTGATTCAATCATTGCATTTCTCCAATTTAATTATCGATAGAATTTATTGAATTCAAGTGATTGCGTTAGAACTCAAGTCTAGGGGCAAAGGTAGAAAATTATTGAAAAATCAATTTAATTCGCAATCCAAGAAAAAGGCACTGGAAATTGATCAGCCAGTGCTTTTTTAGCCGAGTGCTGACGCAATTTCCTGTCGATCTCGGGTGGAAATATGGTCATTTTTTGAATTTTGCTTGATTCGTTTTTTATGCGTTTGAAAAATGAATCCAAATCAATGATGGTATTTGATTCAATCATTTCTTTATTTTATTGCACGCAGATAATTTTACAGTATGAAAGTGACCCTAAAGAATTTTTGAAGAAGCGTGACTCTTAGACTTGAAAAACAACATCGTAAATTGTTTAGCACCATATTTGACTTATTATATTTCCGAGGATAAAAGTAATAAGGGCAGCCACGGATAACGATCAAATAAAAAGGCAGTAAGTATATTCTGCTTTCAGATAGAATCTTTCCTGTAAGGGACTCCCTATCGTGAGGGTCCCTACCCTAGGTGACCCTAGGGTTAGGGTTAGGGTGCGACCCAAAGTTCGCTAAATTTTGGATGAGTTTCCATCGTTGGTCAAGACCGTATTCAAAGAAAGTCAAAAAGAGTCAAAAAATTGATGATATGTGAGGGCGAATATTTATGATTCGGCTCGTAAAAGTTTCCAGAGCTTGCATAACCCCAAGGTCAATTGAATTGACCCAGGAATTGCTCGAAGGCCATTTGACGAAATCTGGAATTGTCTCGACTCCCGTCACCAAAATCAACTTTGAGATTCAGAGTCAGATAGAACAATCCATGACGAATAATTACTGTATCATAGGACAGTATGGGAGAGTAATTATAAGTTATTACTCAGGAAGATTCTTATATCCATTTCCATGAAGACTTGTTAGTCATGTTCGATCACCATGATCATCATCTTAAGATTCTCCTGTCTTATTCAGAATATCTCCAAAATAACAATCATCAAATCACTACCAATTGAATTCCAATTCACGCATATTTTTGTGCGTGTATTTGCCGATAAAAATGACTCCTTCTTTCGCCAAATTGACAAGTTATCAATTCAAGAAGAATTGTCATGCCTTCTCATTTACGTCACTTGGAAATCAGGGGAAAAATCCGCTGGGAGACAATTTTTTTTCTCACCAGGCGTTTATCACGTGATAGCCTTTGTTTTATGGCATGTTGGAAGGGACATGCCGGCTTTGAGAAGATTCGTTTTGTCGAGGGTTGAATATACAGAAGATTCTCATGAAGGCATTTGTTCGCCTCAAGTTTATACCTAATGGCCCATTAGTAATTGGTAGCCCTTATGATTAGGGACCCTAATTTAGGGTTAGGAGCTGGGCTCGGCAACCTGTGTAAAAGGCCTGAGTCAGGGTCTGAAAGAGTTGAATGAAAAGCCGCGCAGCTTTTCTGCTTTGTTTTTGAAAAAGCCGCTGCGCGGCTTTTCAGTTCAGTTCCCCTGACACAGGCTTTCTACACAGGTTGCCGAGCTCAGATTATGAGTCCATAAGGGAGTCTTTAGGAATTCCCAGAAAATAAATTCCATTCAAACTTGGCGTTCGTGACTGGTCGAAATCTATTGACAGTCAATAATTGACTTTTGAAATCAAGGAAGAGAATCGATAAAAAAATAACGCTCAACGGAAGTTGGCAAATTGCCCTCGAAAACTCATGACGTTCAGAAGCGACCTATCGCTCGGCAGTAAAAAACGATAATTACGAAAAGTAGCTAAAGAAGATCAGTGACGGCGGTTGTGACATTTTCGCATATTCGGACTCGTCGCAGACGAAATTCGTGAACTTATAAAAAAGTAAATTTCGTCACAGGGCATGAGAAGCAAATATTTGGTTGTTTGGCCGCTCGCATAATTCTTTGATACGCACTTCGATGTTTGGTGTTAACTTAGAATATTTGCCTTTCTTTCAATGAATTTCAACTTTCAACAATGCTGCTATTTGTGATGATCCCATTCGTTCAATCACGCAATTTTTCGGTAACTCAAGAACTTCGAGAGTAACCCTGAAAGTAAATGTTTTCATGAGAATTCAATTCAAAGACCCAAGATTGAGCATCTGGTGCAGCTTTAGATTTACGTCTTTCAAGAGATAATTATCGGTTTTTTGTATAAAAATAGAGTAAATACTTTTTTAAGCTGAGGCGATTAATTTTGATAAAAATATTTTGAGGTCATATTGAATAATGGCGACTCCCAATATACGTAAATATCAATTTACGACAGCTGCTAGAATCTTAAAGCCGGTCTCATGATTCAACTCTTTTGAAATCACTGCTGTTTTTAAAATATTGGATATGGTTCGTATTTTAGGGTTGCTGTTGAATTTATTATTGCACACACATCGTCATTAAAGAGAAGAATATTGCATGCAGTCTGATTCATCCCGTTATATAAAATTAGCTTTTGCTATAGTCTATAGTAGTTATATTCTACAGTCGTTTTCCATCTTTAGAGCGTTTTTCGGATGACAAGGGTTGACCAAAACGCTCTTATGTTGGAAAATTTACGATCAAACTAGGATGACAGTGGGAAGAAATGATGCTAAAAATGCATAAATTGAGCTCTTTTCAAAACTCTAACAATGTATCCGAGGTCATTTTTAGCTATTTATGATAAAATATCTACGATCTTTGATCAGTCAATGATTTCACCTAAAAAGAAGCTTAGAAAACATCTTTTTTAATGATTTTTAAGGTTGAAATAAACATTATTCTGAATATTATTTAAAAATACCCAGAAACGCTCTAAAATTGGAATTTTTGCAGATGACAAAGTATGGAAAATATTGACAAAAACGCTCTTAAGTTGGGCGCTCTTAAGATGGAAAACCACGGTATTTTTATGCAGCAACAAGAGACCATAAAATGTATGCACATAAAACTACTTTTGATGAAAATTCATTTAAATTTCTTCAAAGCAGGATCGACTATTCATAAGTTATAAACGAGCATCAATCAAAAAGTTAGCTGAGCATAAAGCTATCAAAAGAAACAACTTCTTTACAACTTATATACAGTAGGTACTGCTGGTATTTCTTATTTTCAAGATGGGTAGCTCGAATAGCACAAGGTTTTCAATCATTTTGAAGAAGATCGTAATTGCATCATTGAACCAGTCATTTCGCAACGCCGTAAAAATGGACTACAAAAAAACAAAAAACAGAGATTTCTCAGCAACAAGAAGGAGATTGTTTAAAAAAGCTTTGGTATCAGCATTTTCAGCCTGCTGTTTCAAATAGATTTTTGTATAATACAGTTTATAATTTATAAGATAAGGGTGTCCATTATTTATTCTAAAAGAAAAATGATCACGAACGTCAGTTTTTTCGACGTATTTTTTGTTAACAAATCGACTATTTTTGCTGTCGGTTTCAATTGTCGGTGAAATCGTTCTGGTTAAATTAATTAGTCGGATCTTGGTCGAGTCGAAGGTTGAAATTCCAGAGCCGCGCCCGGTTGCCTTCGCCCGCGGCTTATGTTGCTTCGTAGGAACTTAAAATTATCTCCCACAAAGATTTTTTCACCAAAATGGTATTTATCCGGCTCAGAGTTTTATTCTAACCGAAGAGAAAGAAAATGATTTACGAAGATTTTCTTGAAGATTGAGAGATTTTCAGAAGAAGCGAAAGAAAATGATAGGCAAGGGTTTAAAAGAAAATTTTTTATAAAAAAAATATCTTTTTAAACCCATAAAAGCTCTCTTGCGCCACAGAGCGGTGAAGATCCTCTCTTTGCTTCTTTTGGTCGCACTTGTTTCCATCCAATTACTATGGCAGCCTTCCGCAATTAATCAATCGGTGAAGCTTTCCCAAATCAAGTCCCCTAAATTGTCACACAAGAAGCCACCTGTACAAAAGAATGAAAAGAAGAAAAGTTCAAAGCCGGCGTCAAGCGAGGTGCATCATCTGAAACAGGAGAAAATTCATGTAGAATCTCCAACTCGACCTCCTCCTGAACCATCGACTTTGAAAGCGACTACTACCAAGGAACCCGTTTTTTCATTAAAAATTTTCGACAAGAGGTCAATATTTTGGGCCAAAATGTCTAAATTTTATTTTAAAACGGTATCCAGCCAGTTGATGACGTAAAAATCACCGATGAAGACTCCCCCATCATCGACAACAATGCCGACAGTATCATTGAGATGTCCGAGAAACCAAGTCTCCCCAGTGAAGAAGAGACTTTATCGGTCGAAAAAGACAGCGAAATAATCGATGTCCAGTCTTATGACAGTCAGACATTTTCGGTCAGCAAGGATTTCTGGATGCACGCAAGTCCAAATACCAAGGCAATCTTTGCCCAGCTCCCGGTTCAATTTGAAAAGGAGTTTAAAAATCCTTGTTTTTGGCAAAAGTTTGAAGGTAAAAATGTTCAAAACTGAAAAAATATAGTTCATTTAACGTCAATTTATAATCATTGTTCAACGCTCAAGGATATTTTTGAAGAAATCATTAGCATATAAAATATTGCTGTAAATCAGCATCCTCATCGTCAATTGATCGATTATGATTTGCATAGTTAGGTCTACCTAATTCGGAAATTCAATATATTTTCAGGAGAAATTTCCGCTGATCCGTATCTGAACTCCCCGTACGCTCCAGTTCCTGGGGAAGAAAGACAGTATGACCCGTGGGGACACAATAATTACTACCGAAAAGCGCGAGCTGATTTCATCGGACGTCTGAACAAAACAGAGACTGGCACTTATCGTTTTCGATGCCTTCCGTATTTCTATCTGATTTCGACGCCAAAAAGTGGGACGACGACGCTCTGGAATCAGATGGTCAAGCACCCAGATGTCGATCTCAGGAAAGAGTCACGCCATTCCCACCTCTTCATTTTTTGACTAAGCTCTGTTTGACTCTTGTTCAGAATCGGAATCAAAGAAAACGCCTGGTGGAATTTCATGCGCCGCGGGCTTCGTGGCGACCACCACTGGGTCTATCACTTGGTCAATCCTCCAAAAGACTATCTCCCGAACGATGAGCTGCTCGAAACTTTGGACCAGTTTATGGATCTCTTCGACAACGAAGGCGACAACTTCCGAAAAACTTTCAAAGAAAACGGCGGCAATTTCGTGAATACAATAACAGCTCTTGCTCCGATCAATTTGCTGACTGCGCCAATCGACTTTTGGGAAGAGCTGCATCCAGGTAATTCAACATGAGAGTTTTGACATATGCTTTCTTGAAAATGGAGAATTCCACGACTATTTCTGAAAGATATTCAATAATAACAGCTGCTATTTCAGAGCAGACTAGATCTTCCCAGAATCGCGCACGGGTCGGGAAGTTTTTCTTTTGTTTTTGAGTCTTTCTAAAATTGCCTTAGTAGGCTACTAATAGCAGCGACAATTTCTATGCGACAATATTTGCGTCGGCGACTATTTTCATCGCTGATTGGCCAGTTGGCGTATTATTAAGGTTGAGTTTTTCACCTAAGGTCGGCATCGACCCTGTTAACCCTGACATCATCGGTATAAATAACTTTTACATCCATAATTATTACAAATCAAATTCAATTTTGTGGTTCTTTTCCTTTCTTTAAAAATAGAAATTAATTTGATCTAAAAATACAAAAAAGAATATTCCCGACTCAAGTCACGAGTTCTCCCGGGGTTATTGGGCCAACTCACTCAAAAAAATGCAACTTTAATTGCTTCTATATCTTTAGTTTTTACTAGACTCGCATGATCGTTAGTCATCACTTCTGATTTTAGAACTAGTCAAAGCTGGATTCAAATCTCCTCCATTATATCTACACCCAGCATACATAATCCACAAAGTACAACCGAGTGCACGACTCGTTGCGCTAATACGCGATCCTACTGAACGATTGTACAGTGACTGGCAGTTCTTCAACAAGAAATCGGACAAGAAGGAGTTTCATGAACTCGTCAAGGAAGGGAAATAAATTTATATTTGGAGATATTCTTCCTTGATTTCGATCTCGCTAATTTGCGCGAAATTCAAAAAAAAATTGCTAGTCTTCCTTGATTTCAGTCGACTTCGAAAATTTCGTTACAAAAATTTATTTCCAAAAAGCACGCCGTGGCTCAATTTCAAAACTGTCTTGACGAGGTGAGCAAATTCTTTAATTTTCATAAAGTTTTATTCAAAGCAACAAGCAGATGCAAATTAATTATTACATTGTTTTATCCCTAATTTTATTGCTTTAGGGTGATGAAAGAAAATGCCTCTACAGCTGGAAATTAATTGCCAAGCGGCTCAGGTTGAATCGAGGTCTTTACGCTCCGTTTCTTGAAGGTAACTCGTGATTATTGAGTATTCATGTACTGAATTTTATCTTTTCTTTAATTGATTCACCAGATAAAAATTGTTGAATCATTCAAATTAAAAATGGATTAAGAAGATTATCATTTTAGATTTATTCAAAGTCTTCCCGCGCAATCAGGTCCTCGTCATGAATTTCGATCACTTTACTCAACATCAGCTTGAAGCTAATAACGAGATATTGCGATTTCTCAATATGAGTGAAATTGAATCAGAAAAATCAATTCTAAAGGTAACAAACGCTTCGAAATCGGTAATGAAAAGGTTTGGGTTTGGGTTCAGGTTTGGGTTTGGGTTTGGGTTTGGGTTTGGGTTTGGGTTTGGGTTTGGGTTTGGGTTTGGGTTTGGGTGTGATTTCGGTTAGGGTTAGGGTTAGGGTTAGGGTTAGGGTTTGGGCTTGGGTTTGGGTTCGGGTTTGGGTTTGGGTTTGGATGTGATTTTGGTTTGGGTTTGGGTTTTGGTTATTTAGGCTTCAAGACCTTAGAAATCTATTTTCAGAAAGCATTTTACAACCGCTGGTTCATTGATGACGACGACAAAATCATGCTCCCAGAAACTCGAAAAATCCTCGACGATTTCTACGGCCCATTCAACAAGCGTCTCGCAACTCTTCTTGGCGACGAGTCGTACCGCTGGGATGTCTACCGACCGGTTCCAGAGCTGAGGCCGAAGCCAGATCCGACAGATGCGGAGAAGCCGAATCATCAATAATAACAATAGCCTAACTTATTGACATATTGCCCAGAAAGAAGAAAATATTTAAATTGCCAATAAAAGACAGTGTATAAATGAACTTCTTTGATAAAAATTATGATAGACGTTGCATAAACGCAGAACAATGCAATTGAGAAATTTTGATCCTGGCGATTCCAAGGCAATTATTCCGCTGCAGTTGGTTTAACACTCGGTTGTTAAAATACATTTTGGCAAGATGAGTGGATTTAATTTACGATCAAGATGAGCCGATATGCATGATAAAAAGAAGCAATGTGCGTTTAATAATATTTTACAGCGACAATTTTAATACTGCGCAATTGTGTTTTCTCCTTAGATAACTCGATCGAGATGCTTGAATAAACATGCAGCTGAAGATAAAGAAGCAGGTTGAAGATTCTTATTTTAATTACAACTTGACTGAACTCGATAAATGACTAGGCGGAGAAAACTTGCTCGAAAAAGGGGTAAAAATGGATCATTGAGAATTTGAAAAGGAGCTTGGAAATGATGTCACGACCTGTATTGACCTTTCCTGTATTGAAAACTGCTCTGCAAACAGCGACAGAGATTTTATTTTTCAAAGGAAAATCAAACGAGATTCCTTGTGATATAAAGACAGATCACATTCTCCTGCGAAGAAAAATAAGGCTTTTTTGAAGCAACTTGACAGTATTTTTCATTTAATCAAGAGAAAGAAGATGCCAGAAAACCCGAACTCAAGAAGCTCTCAAAGAAGGCCATCTGGTAAGTTTAATAAGACCGCTCGGTGCAGCGATTTTGAACTTGCCGCGGAGCCCTGATTGGTTCAATTTTTATCGGAGCGCCATCTAGGTATCCGGTCGAACCGCTTGCTTGATTGATGCATATTTTTCTTAGATTTTAGATTCAAGTAGGCAAGATTTTTTTTGAAAATTTGCGTGGGCAAAGTTGGATAAAGCTCACAGCGTGCGGTCACGCTAAACATAGTTTGTCTTTTGAGAGAGCCAGTTGTTTGGACAAACTTGTAAAAGTTTGCTCCTGGTCGCGTTATATGATCGCGCTTGTAGAGAATAGAAAAATGGAAGGTATTGAAGGCCAGAATTCAGCAGAAATCTGTAAGTTTGCTCCTTCTTTTCGCCTCAAAAAAGCCTAAAAAGACGTAGAACTTTTATTTACGGAGTTTCTAGCGTTCGATGCGGATTTGGTCGAATCAGAGCTTTCTCGAATGAATTCTGCGGCAGATGAAATCAATATTTTGGAAAACAAGCTGAACAAAAAACGAAAAATCCACGAAAAGCTCGTTCTCAACTTCACCACCGACCTTGGGAATGTAAAGGCCAAGGTGACAACCGAGCAAATACAAAACTCCGCGGAATTTTACCAGAAAATGAAAGAAGGTAGAAAGGAATTTCGTCGCACAGAAATAATATTTTTGAAGGCGACCGCTTGAAAAATATCCTGTCGGAAAAAAAGAATCAACTGGAGAAGCTGACAGATGTTATTGAACTCATAGAGGCGACGCTTGCCAGGACGAAATCGTCTGTAAGCGGCCGGGAAATTGCGAATAAGAAGCTTCGGGATCTGAGGCAGAAAATTGTGGCAAAGTAAGGCCCCACTAAAAATGCTTTGATTAGTAATGATTACTTCATTCCTCTCTTCTGAGTGGTCAAAATGCCTATCTTCGCTAATGGCCAATCAGAAGGCAGGATTAGAAAATTCGTTATCGCGAAACCTTGCTGTAGAAATCAATTCTTCCCTCCGTTAATTTCATTTTCTAGAGAAAGCCTTGAGCAAGAAATAAACGAGCTGGATGCAGAACACCGTCACAATCTTATCGAAGCCCGCGTCCAAGCAAAGAAGCACCCGTTCAACATTCGCAAGACGAAAAACTTCTTCATGATCAAGTGGAAAGGCGAGGACGAAATTCATTCAGCAAGTGTGGAGATAGAAGAGCTCTCAAGATTGCTGGTAACGCAAAAGGAAAATTATACGAATGCGATGCGCAATCTTGAGGTTTACTCTGGAAAGGTACATTTTTAACACGATTTTATTTATTTATGTTTCTTTAAGGTTCATGCGAAGCGATCAAATAGCCAAATGTCGACAAATTCTTCATAAATTATTTCTGTACAAAAGTGCTCTTGTAAATAAACTTGTCTAATTCACTTTTACAACACAATTCGTTTACGATCATGTTTTATCCTTTGTCACATATAATTAGCAAGATCGAGAATAGAAGCTTGCCGACGTGCCGGTTTCTTCTTTTTCGACTTCTTCCTTTTGGACTTTTTGCGCTTGCTCATTTGCTCGTCGACGGTCTTTTTTCCGCGTTGCATGATTGCCAAGACGGTTCCGATTGCCGCGGCCCCGATGAGTCCACCGGTAATCATTCCGATAGCCGTGTAGTTTGTATCATCTGCGGGGGTTGGTTTTGTTGGGTAGGCATTTACTTCCACTTCTAGGGTTAAAGTTACGGAAGATATGAGATCTGTTGGGAACAGTTATTCTTTGACCAACGGAATACTCGATATAGGTACCTGGAGTTTGTATCAATTTGGAGTTAATATTGATATGTGGAGGTGCCGCAGTCGGATTGTAATTATTCTTTTTCTCTTGAATGACTTGAACTTCCTGAAATTCATATTTAGAAAACGTATCCGAGCAGTAGTGGTAAAATTACCCGTCTTTCTCGGCCAGTAACGTCGATAATCCGCAGAGGTGAATGATCTGCCATGTTTCCTTCGTGATCATAAGATGTGATGCTGAATTGCCAGATGATCTGAAAATAAATTCTACCAACGAAAATATGAGAAAACTAACCTCCTTGAGGGTATGTTCATTCGCCTTGGCCTTCAAATGTTCCCAGAAAACAGTATTTCTTTCTCTTCCCCATTCGGGCATTTCCGGGCATTTGATGATAGTGAACTTGACGACTTTTTCTTCATCATTTTTTCTGATCAAGGTAGGAGCGACTTCTGCAGAGGGTTCTTGCTCAATAACAGGTACAATGGTCTGATTGGTGGTCAGCTCATAATCCTCAGCATCTGTGTTCAACGAAAGAAAGATCAATTCCGACGTCTGTCCGGCGATGGCTCCAAAATTTTGACTCGTGAACAGCGTCAAGTCAGAATTCGTGATGAAGATTCGGATTAGCGGGTAGATACTCGGGTCCCGGAAGGATGCATCTCCGAAAATCCGGACATTTGAACTCAAGTCGCTGAAAACTTCGCTCCAATCGTTTCCGTCTTTCAACATTTTTGACGCTAGAATTTGGTTGATTGAGATCTGAGGTTTAAGATTCTTTCTTACCAGAGACATGCAGTCTCGTTATATACGAGCCAAGCCGGTATTGTTTGCTCAAATTAGTGAAGAAACGCTTGAGATCATGTCTGAATGGCAAATTGCACTCGTGGTAATTGAATTCTATTTTATCATTTAATGTCGCCTGCGTAAGACAGACGGCGTAGGAGAATACGTTTGTACATTCTACAAGTTTAATTTTGTAGAAAATAAAAATGAGAAAATCAATCAATGAAAAAATTTTTGTTTCAAAAGTCTAGGTCTTTATCGGGTTTCTTACATGAGAGCATCTTTTCCATAAGTTCGCGTTTCTTTGACATCAATGTGCACTTCAATATTGCCAATAAAGTAAGGTGGAGCATCTGTTTAAAATCGACTATCGTAAAATTGAAATCAAGGAAGAGAGCTACCTTTGAGCGTTGATAAATCGAGACTAACTGATTTTTCCTGCTCGATTTTGACGGGAAGCAAATCCTTTGAAGAAGTAAAAAGGGGGTCGAATTCCGGAACGACATATCCATATGCGAAATTCGATAGTTTCGTGTCTCTTGGATGAGACGCGAAGAGACGAATTTCGTACTTAGACACTCTTCGGCCTAAAATACTTAATAAAGACGCTTACTTTTTTCTTCGCAAACCTTGATCATGAGGTTCTTTGAATCCAATAATTGCTTGTTCCCGGTATCTACGAACAGAGAGCTCTCGAATCGGCTCTGGCGGGCTGACATCTCTCCCTGCTTTTTCACAAATGTACGCATGCGATTCCTCGCTGGTTACACATTGAACTTTGTTGGTCGAGTTGACGATCTGACTGAGTTTGCCTGGCGGAGCTACAGTCATCCAGTGACATTGCTCTGGATGTCCGCCGCCTTTATGCCAGTTATTGTAAGCCTCAGTAGACATGTTCTTAGATTTGTAAATTTCTAGAGCTGGTTTTCAAATTCTTACCCTGAGATCGCTCAAACTCGGTTGATAACTTAGTTGGTTCCTAACATGTCGATTTGGCGTCTTTTCTTTTGTCCTGAAAAACTTCTCCTTTGCCGTTTCAAGCGCGTTCTGATCATAACCATCGATCCAAATGCTTTGTTGGATTTCTTTGGTGACTTTGAAGGCGAGCATGATTTCATCCACTTGGTCGGCTTTCATCAGCGTTGCATCTTCGGCTTTGCAGGACATGTTCGCCAGAACGACTCGCGGTGTTGGATCAGTATCGACGACTTTGTAGCAGCGGTTCATGACGGGAAAGAAGTCTTCGCCCTCGCAAATGCCTTTGAAACCACGTGGTGCTGCAGTGATGGTAGCGATTCGTTCCCAAATATCCTAATTATTCACATTTCTATGAAAGAAGAATGGCGAACTTACGGATGTTTCCATCACAGTCGCGCGATCCCATAATCGTTGGGTTCCGAGCCCCATGTTCAGCCAATCTAACAATTGTTTTACATTCAAATTTAGGCTGAAAACTTACGTGTCCGAGTAAGCCGTTCTCTTTGAATATAAGAGCCCCTGTTTATTGCCCAACTTCTTCCAGCCCTTGGGAAGTTTCTTGGATCATCATGATCCTCTTCCCCTGTCGATCGTTTTCCACGAGAGTTGATGAAATTTATGCCTTCTTGGGTCGAGTTCCCACCGATGAATCCTTTGCGGTTGACTCGCGCGACAATTTGGCTCTGGGTTGATTTGTCGAACGGATGAACACTTGTGGCGAAGAAGCGCATTTTATATTTTCCCTGAGAATTGTTATCGGTCTCCGGGTTCGTCTCTACCTGTGAAAGAAACTCAGAATAAATAGCAGTGTAAATTCCGTCATTCGCATTCAAGTCTCCGTACAACCCATCATCGTATAATCGCAAGAGTTCAATCCGGAAGGTCTCGATTCCAGAACCAGCTGGTCGGTAAATTTCCACCCAGACGTAGGCGTCGACTACTGGATACTGGCCCTGCTGAATCTCGGCGAAGACGTAGAGTTCCGTCTTTTGCTTCGGCTATTAAATGTATAGAAATAATAACTGCAGTTCTCTTTTACCTGCATAACGTAGCTATTCATCTGAATGGGATATTCATACGGTTTTCTTGCAAAAGAAGAGATCGAGACGAAAATTGACACTTCTTCTGAACTTCCACTTGTGTCAATTTTCAAATTGAATCTTCCGAACTCGATTAGACCAGGAAGACTTATTCTCAAATTGTTCTCCGCTTCCGTCGAAAACACGACCTTTCCACCTCGAGCTCGATTTGATGTTTTGTCGTAGATTTCGCCGTTGGGGAAGATAAGTTCAATCTTTGGTTTGACCAAGATTTTAGAGTTGGAGTGCTTCGATCCAAAATGGAACTATTCAGAGAAAAGATGATAATTTCTTGTAAGAAGAAGAAATTCACCTGTATGAACGTATTTTTGCCGATGGAAGGGTCGATCACAAAAGGTAGATATTTAATAGCGTTAGCTAAAATTTCAGAATTTGAAGTTATTTTTGAAGACTATTTTTAACTTACGTTCCATTGTGAACTGCTGATTTTGAATTGGTATAGCTTCTCCTTCTGATGTCCCTAGTTGACTGAATTTATTTTAGGATCAATTTCTTCAATCAATCAAAAATCACCTGTAGAACGCATCAGTAAGCGCGACAAGAGATTCTTCTGGCTGAACAAGCGAATAGGACGGTGTTCCTTTAGTTGCAAGTGCCAAGTAGTCAAGAACATTTGTATCGGAATTTCCCAAAGAAATCGTGTTTACAGTTACTCCAGAAAGTTGTACGAGCTCCATCGTTTCTTCCACCGACGGCGTGTTCCACTCTAGCCCGTCAGAGAGCAAGAGAATTTCTCCTCCATCCATCGTTCTAAGATACTCGGGCCCAGACTGCTGGAGCATGTTGATGCCCCTGAGAATGGCTTTGCCAATCGAGGTCCCAGATGCGACAGACTCGTCTTTAGGAAGTCGCGAGACGAGAAATGCTCGCTCATCCTCATCCACTATTTCAATTAAATCTTGTCGCCTCGTGCTCATTCGATTGAAGCTGATGATTCCGACATATGTTCCAGAAGAGACGGTGTAGATAAACTGTCTCACTGCGTTTCGGACCATGCTCAGGCGATTTCCTTCAAGCATGGATGTAGACGCGTCAAGGCAAAGAACGATTCTCCTTGGTGGCCGGAAGAAGAGATCTATATCTGGTATTGCATCATTCACTTCCAGAGAACTCGGACTAACTAGACCGGTGAAATCTGGATGCTCGAGGAGAACATCTTCCACAGTTCGATCATTGCAATGCTGGCATTGTTGGGATTTCTCCTCGATTCCGAGAATGAAGCAATCTTCCTCATTCGTATCGTAGCACTTTGATCCGTCTTTTCTGACCTTTTCTTCTTTGAATTTTTTGCAGACTTGTGGTTGGACACTGTCGAAAACGCCCCATTTGAATTTTGCCCATTCGAAGAAGAAGTTGCTCGATTCAAATGTTAGTTTTTGCTGAACTGATAATTTCTTCGTATCGCCAAAAAGTTGATCATTCTTTGTGAAAAATGAAGAGCTCATGTGAATGTATCGTCCTGCTTCGCCACAAGGTGTCCCTTTTACTGCTCTAGAATCAAAATATTTCAACAAAAATTAGTTTTAGCTTCATACCTAGGTGAGCTAGGATCTTGTTCATCGGAAAAATATACTCTCATGGGCGTATTTTCAAAGTTAGGTGCGCTTTTGTACATTCTTCTGTCCCAAGTCGTATTCCAGTTTTTCACCCAGATTTCTCTCGCAGCATTTTCATATCGAAGATAGTTAGTCTCGTACGAAGCTGGTCTTTGCTGAAGGGGATTCCAAGTTTCGGGAATGACGATGCTCACGTGACGGAGATACAAGTGCTTTTGCGTTTTTTCATAAAGAATTTTCGAGAAAATGCGAATCAGATGAGCGAGTTTTCCAACAAGAGACCAGTCTTCTGGCACCTTGTCGGAAATCGCAATGTACAGGCCTTCATATCCGTTGTTGACGAGTTTCACATGGTTGGTCCAGTTCTGGCTGCCGATACCCAGGGATTTGTAAATATCATACTTTGCCTTGTTAAATAACTCATTGTCTTCAGTTACTTTTCTCTGGTTGACAGAATTTTTTTTCAATAAAGCTCTCTAGAACAATCTGTAACCAGTCCTTTGTTGAAAGAAAAAACTGTAAGTAATTGTCCAAAAAGGATGAAAATCCGCATAGTAGCTCTAGAAGAAAATCAGCGCGGCCCTGCAAGCATGATGAATATTAGATGCGGCGGGAATACCTGACCAAAAGGACTAAATTCCAATATCCAGAACGGATTAATAAGTCAAAGAGCACATCGATTTTAGTCAAAGTGAGTACTTGAAATTCATGCAATGTGAATAGCAACCGTTTGATCGGCTTCAATTTGTCTGATGTTTATTCAAGATTTCAGACGTAACAGAAGTGATCAGAACAGAAATCGCTGCAGTAATCGGGTTCAGTTAAGAAAAGAATTGGTCGGTGGCAATTTCCTCCGAGGTTAGTTATGTTTCGAGTTGAGACGACGGTTTCACCGTTCCATTCGGCTCGCTCGACCATATTGGTTGTGTATCCATCGTAAACCAAGAATGCGCCTTCAACAGCAATCATTGATCCATATGCAAATGTCTGCAATAACAAATTAAATATTTTGGATATAATGTAAAACTTACATTTGACATTTGTCCAACAAGTGTCCATTGTTCATTTCGGAAGAGATGAACACTTTTCAAATATTCTGACCCGTCGTATCCGCCTGTTGTTATAACACCATCTTCAACAGTCACACACGCATGATAACGAAGCATTCCAGACGGATGAACGGGCTCTTGTATCCAGCCACTATTAAAAATGAAACAACATGTATTTTTGAAACTGATTCTTACCTTAGTTCAAGGCTTTCAACAGTATTCGTTGCCGATCCAGCGACAATTAGTGGCTGACCTCCATACAATGCCATGCACGCATAATTATGACTAGCTGCGGTACTAGCGATTGCTTTTGCCGTCTCACCATCAAAGCTTTGACACGCGGATGAACTTCCCCTGCAGATAACAACCTCGTCTCGGACCTCTGGTACTGTTATAATCGACGCATATTGAGAATATACGGTTTGACCATTGACCAAACGTTTCCTCGTATCTATGATCTCGCATTCTTTCAGTTTACCAATCTTAAAAATCTATATTTTTCGTATTTTAAGTTAAAAACCTTGTAAGCATCGTGATCACCACCAAAGAAATATATCTCGCCATTCAGGAGAGCTGATGCCGCTCGGTATAAAAATGGATAATAAGAAGTCTCGCCACTTGATTGAGGCGAAAGAAAATGTCGATTTTCGATAAAGTATCCATCCGCAGACATCACATAGGTGTAGTTAACAGGGTTTGAGTTCGTTCCTCGTTCTTGACACATGCCAAGAACGTATTCTTGGCAGTGAAATCCATCTTCGCAAGGGCATCCTTTTTCGCATTCGGTCAAGCAAGGACATTTTCGTGACACCATCAAAAAGTCGTCGAAGCAGTCTTCAAAGCAGGTTTCGTTGGCCGTGCAGTTTCCAATGCAGTCGTTCAGTCCTTGGGAGGCCTCCTTGATGCACTGTTTGTAGAAGCTGTTGTTCGTTTGAGGCGAGCTGCAGGTACAAATGCTGTTTGCGCATCCTTCACAGCCATTCGGGCAGTCGGCAAAACATGGGCAGGAATCATAACATCCTCAAGTATAAATTAGATATGATTATTTGATGCAAACTTACTTGTGTATTCGGACAAACAAGTCCTCTCGCAGTTGGCCGTGTCGCAGTTCTCCTTGCATTCCAAGTACTCGACGTAGCAAAATCCATCGCAGAGGATGGCAGTTTCTTCGTCACTAGAAAATGATGATCAAAAATAGAATTCGAGTCAAATGAAGCGTTCAATTATTGGTTAGGCTTTGCATCAAGGGCAAGATTTGTTCGAAAAAGGCATGTTTACTTACGGGCAAGTTCCATTATCAATCTTCGGCCGCTTCACAAAAGATGACAAGGTCGATTCAGGCTCAATCACAGGGTCAGTTTCGCTCATTTCGGCTGGGGCATTGAAGTCCGCCTTAGTTTCATCAGTCAAGCCCCCTTTAGCGGGACCATTGAGACTCGCCTCGGCGAAAAACAAAAATAGAAAAAGGAGGTTCCAGTTCATTTTCTCTCTCAAACAAGAACTGCTTAGGTAGACCCTGGACCTCGCTTTTATGAGGACAGTATTTGCTTTCGAAGTATGGAAAATGTCACAGCTGGTTCGGTTTCTTCCCGTTGCTATTTACTCTTGACAAATTTGTGAGACTTTTCGATGGACTTTGATACAGGAAATATATAAACGCATCCATTTTGTATTTCCTCTGACATTTCAATCTATTGTTTTATTATAATAAACCAAAATATAGACACGTAAAGAAAGAACCTTAAATTTTATAGCTGCGTTAATGAGTCCCAAAATCATCAGTGGGTTACCAAAAGAGAAATCGTAATTTAATCAAGAACGCAATTAAATAAACCCTTTTTCTAACAGAGATGACCTATTTTTCTCCTCAAAACGACCACGCCCTATACAGCCGGTGCCCGAGCTGCAGAGAGTTCATTCAATATTTGCCTTGATTTTAAGCAGTCTTGATAAACCCCGTGGAAATTTTTTAACTCCGAATTGAATTCAGAGTTGCTGAAAATGGTTTTTTCATTCGGCGTTCCCGAGAAAGTTACTTTTGACAAGGCGCGTTGTGGCGACCTGCTGCAGACGGATGCCTACATCAATGGAAAATTTGTAAAGGAAGAGTTATTGAAATTTTAGTTCAAAGCCTGAAGACTTTTGTCGACTAGACTAAACTTCAGAATCCGACCCGAATCGACCTATTATTGAGCCTCAGACTGTGCCTTAGACGCGAAAGTCGTAAGCATTTGGAAAAATGAATAACTTAATAACAGACCGGCGCAACATTTTCCGTCACAAACCCGGCTAATGGGGAAAAACTTACGGAAGTAGCAAGTTGTGACGCGAATCATACTGCAGCTGCGATTGATGCTGCTGAAGCAGCCTTCAAGACGTGGAGAAAAATGACACCGAAAGCCCGTGGAGCACTGGTTGCAAAATGGGGGGAGTTGATCACGTCAAATGCTGATAAAATTGGGGCAATTATAACTTTCGAAAATGGCAAGCCGCTTGGAGAGGGGAAAGGCGAAGCAAATTACTCAGGTAAACGATTTTTCCTTTCGTCTGTAGAGGCTTTTTCTAGCGTCTTTCTGCGAGTGGGCTGCTGCTGAAGGACGTCGCGTGCATGGCGAAACAATGTCAAGAAAGCGGTCTCTTCTGCCTCAAGTGTCTTATTTATTCATCCACTTGACGAGACATTCTGATTTACCGGCCTTCAAGACCAAAGAGACTTGACCGCTTTAATAGTCCTTGGGCCGATAGGAGAATCGTTACGATTAAGCAGCCCATTGGAGGAAACGTTTATTATTTCATAAAAACCATCTTAAAAACTCATCACACGTGATGCGAAAGTAATGCAGCTTTGGGATAAAGAAAGAGCAAAATTCGAAAAAAGGAAAATCTCTTCCTTGATTTCACCATCATTTTTTATTCCTACTGTAGTGGATATTGTGATGATTTTGAATAAGAAACCCGATTAAAGTCGTTGGAATGATCGCTCCATGGAATTTCCCTGCAGCTATGATTGCAAGGAAAGGAGTTTTTATTCAAAACGACCATGTCAAAAACGACTTGATAAGGAGCAAATAGAAATTCTTTTTGAAAGAAAAGTAGCGCCAGCTATTGCTGTTGGCTGCACGGTGGTTATTAAGCCAGCAGCATTAACCCCTCTTTCCGCTCTGGCCTTGGCGAAACTCGCGGACGAAGCTGGCATCCCTGCGGGAGTAGTGAATGTTCTACCGACGAGCGAGGAACTCACGGCCACTGTCGGAGAGACTATTTGTCGCAGCCCCAAGGTCACAGCGCTTAGGTTCGTTTATAAATCTACATTGGAAACACTCAGATGTTCAGCTTTACCGGGTCCACAAGAGTCGGCAAGCTGTTGCTAAGCCAATGCGCTGGAACAGTTAAGAAATGTTCCATGGAACTTGGAGGACAGGCTGGTTTTCATGAAGATTCTTGCATGCCAATTTCCCTTCAGAAAGACATCTGTCAGCACAAAAATACTCAAGTCCGCCTGAAAAGTCGAGATATTTTCCAGTAGAATATTTTTATTTCCGAAGGCAAAGTTCATTTTTTTCTGAGGCTAGTTTATTTTTCATGAAATCTTGAAAAGGCACCATTTATTGTTTTCCCTTCGGCCGATTTGGACAAAGCCGTCGCAGGCCTAATGGCTTCCAAAGTAAGTTTTTCCGATTGAGAAGCTCTAGTCAGCGTTTAACAATTAATAAGTCCGTGGACCACCTAGCCTGAGCCTCACGTTTTTTGTTTTAGTTCAGGAACACCGGGCAAACCTGTGTTTGCTCCAACAACATCATGGTCCATGAGGACGTTCACGACCAGTTTGTTGCTAAACTCGTCGAAGCTGTCAAGAAGGAGCTCAAATTTGGCGATATCTTGAACGGGGCCACCATGGGACCAATGATCAACCAGATGGGCGTTGACAAGGTAGCAAAATTCGAAGCTTTCAAACATCGCATAATTCAATAATCCAAAGGTCAAACGACATCTTGAAGACGCGCTGGAGAAAGGAGCGAAGCTAGAAATCGGTGGCGGATCACTTGGCGGACTGTACTTAGAACCAACTGTAGTGAGCAATGTTTCGTGGGAGTCACTTTGCTTCAAAGAAGAGACATTTGGACCCCGTAAGTTTTCAAAGTAGAATGATTCGCGTAAATTTCTAGTGGCTGCGATTGGAAAATTTAAGGAAGAAGAAACAGTTATTGATTTCTTGAATACGTCACGTGTTGGTCTAGCTGGGTATTTCTTCAGCAGAGATGCTGGACAGGTGTGGCGAGTCGCAGAGGCTCTCGAAGGAAAATGATTATAAATTATAATAATAACAGACATTCAATGCGGGAAAGATATTCACACCTTGATCTTTCTGAAATTGAAATTCTAATCATTTGCAGTCGGCATGGTAGGAGCGAACACAGGAATGCTCAGGAAGGGATTAGATACGTTTATTATTACGCTAAAGTCTCATAAGAATTATATCATATTTTTTCCCCCAAAAGTTGCTGCGAGGCTCCATTCGGAGGAGTCAAAGAATCCGGTCTAGGACGAGAAGGAGCACTGATCGGAAGCGAAGAGTTTTTAGAAACTAAGTACATATGCTTTGCCGACTGTTAACTACTGTCGACGCCAGATGTAGACACAAGATGTGACTCGTGTTCTCCTTTTACATCTGCCAACTCATGACTAGAAGAGACTGTAGAAAAACTGAACAAAAATAAATTTAATTTTGTGTCCAGAGGTCCTTTATTTTTTTCAACAAATGTGCAGTGAGACTGTGAAAAGGGAGGGAAATAATAATTTACAGGGAGAAGCTCATTTTTCTTGATGATTTTCTTTTTCCAAAAAGGAACATTCGAATCGAATAGTAAAATAACTAATAGAAGGAAAACGCATTTTCCGGGCAGACTTTGAAGAGCGATCGCAACCAGAAATTGGTTTAGTAGACTTTTGACTTCTTATTCCTGAAAAATATTGTTAAAGAGCTGGTTTCTTATCTAAGAAGGTGATTTTCTTCCTTGATTTCAATATTTTTCGACTTACAGAAAATTCGACTTTGTGCGTGATTTCGCCCATTGAGGGTGTTTGAGGTTGGCTAGTTGGAGGTTGCGCGGTCTGAGCTGCTTGTTGGGGTGCCCCTTGTTGCGGCTGCTGGGGCTGTTGTTGAGGTTGCTGCTGGGGTGGCTGCGGTTGCTGGGGAAAGACATTTTGTCCGGGAGGAGTGAGCTCGAACGGCTGTGGCGGCTGGTTCGGATCTCCGAGCGGATTGCCGTCCATTGAGTTCTGCATAAAGCCGTTCATCATGCCCGAGAAATTGCTCATTTGGCGCAAGCGCTTCAACTCGTGCTCAGCTAAAAATGGATCAAAGTTAAAATCGTGGCATAAGGTTATTAAGTGCTTACCAGAGTCCATATCGCCATTGCGCCGTTTGAGGCCAGACTTCTGATTCATATGGCGTTCTAAAAAGCATTTCATTAATAAATCATTCATCCAGGGTCAAGGGAAGAATCAAGGGACTTTGTTTTCAACTCTGTCTGGTCGCTCGGCAGGAGGGAACACCTGATCGCGTGGCTCAAATCCGATCAATCTGGGGCGTCGGAGATGAAAATTTACTAAAAAATGTCGCATTGGTTTGGGGGTGCAAGCCTCGGCGGTGCCAGATTTCAGCTGTTTCTCTAGCTGCTACTGACTCCGCTGGGCGCCACCAAGAGCGAGAAGGTCCCTGGTGCTTTTTTATGACCCGAGCATCGAAATCGATACTGCTGATACTAGTTGGTAGTGATATGGAGCACTCACGGTTCTGTGGCGCGTGGGTTACTCTGCCTACTTGTACCAACTGCCACTCAACTGGTGCTTTAACAACTTCATGCGACCCCCAAACAGCTGACTAATAACATCCTATGCGCGGCACTACACCACCTCCCGAGCGCCAAATCTTGTTAGAGAGAAATGCATCAGGAGTAAAAGAGATCAGGTGCCAAAGGTAAAGTATTCATTTTCATGTGCTTATGTCCTTATCTATTCCCTTTATCCCACACTTGAGAGATTCAAAGAAAGAGCCTCCGAGTTTGTATATTCTCCTTGCATAAAAACTTGAGTACGTTTTTCCAGATGCGAAAAAAACGCTAGTGCCACGAGTTAACTGTCGCTTAGGCTTTCTGTGTATTCTGTCGGCAGGTGGCGGCGGAAGAGCTTTGATGCCGATTCTCGCGCTTCTTTCGTGCGAGAAATAATTAATGAGAAAACTGCGCATTCGGAGTACCTGTCAAAATACTGAGAGAGAGTTTCTCATTCGTGCTTGTTTCTAAGGGAAGGCACTTCAAAAGAGCAAAAAGTGTCAAATGTTTTTATTCAAGGTGTAAACAAAATTCCTGTCAAAAACAATCCCACCTTTACAATCGATTTTTTACTGTAACAGTCTACTTTTATGGAGCGTTTTTTGGGAGTTAGGGGGGAATACGACCACTTTGGACCATTTTTACCTCTGAGTTCAATTTCCAACTGCATGATAACTTGAACTGCTTGTTGAAGAATCGTCAGTTTCGTCTGTGGCTTGTCCGACTTCGTATGCATCTGGCACATTCTGCCAAGCTCCTTGAATGCCTCGTTGATATCGCGGACCCGGAGACGCTCTCGCGCGTTATTCGCAAGTCTTAAGTGAGCACTAAGTAAAGATAAGAGCTAAAAACGAATTTCATCAATGATAAACAATTAAAACAAGGAAAAAAAAACGTATTGTTTACAAAGCTACTTAGAAATTGTAAACGCAACGGGCAAGAACCCAGCTGCGACCTCATTTAGAAGCTATTCTCTGTCAGTATTAAGCTGGGATGAGAGAGGTAATCCCTGTGTCCCCAAATGAATCAAAATCCTCAAATCACTCATCCAAAACGCTAATAATGGATCGCCAACAACTACGCTTATCTCCTACAGCTGTGACAAAAAAACCGCAAACTTAGGAACCAAAAATGAAAACTTATCACCCAAAAATCCACGAGATAAAAACCCATATGGAGCTGAGGTTTTTGTTTTTCTTAAAAAATTCTAGTGACAAGAGTTTTTATTTAGAATAAACAAGTTTTATCTCCTTATGCTTGAAAATCGGAAATATTCGCCAAAAAATTAAGGGGATTTACTTCGAATGATACCTTCGTTCTTTTTCTCTCCGCTCGCGTTCTTCTGGAGAGAGGTCCTCCTCGTTGATTTTCATTCCAGGTGGGGAGCCATCGAAGACTTTGCGGTCCTCAGGGCTCATGGCTGGCGCGTTCTTCGATTTTCTTCCATCGGGTGTTTTCAATAATCCCCCTGGATGAAGTCCTGGTGCCAGTCCTCGCAAGAGCTCCGGGTTCATCTTAAGAGTTTTTGAGTTATGGGAAGATAACTGTAAATTGAATTGCTTGGTGACATTTGCCAACTGTCAGCAGGTGGGAAGGGACTCCTCCGGGAACCGGGAGTGTGCCCAAAAAAGCGTAAGTACACACATTATGCCACGTGTGGAATTTGTACAGATAGAATAGTGACTTACCATTCCTCCTGGAATATTAGGATATCCAGCCGGCCAGCCAGGCATATTGGCGTAATCAGCAAAGCCGTTTGGAACGTTGGGGAATTCGCCAAGAGGAGGCATTCCTGGATACATCTGAAAGAAAAAGTTGAAGGAAATCTGTCAAAATATTTTATCCGCTCGGTCGCCCCAGATCTTCCCAGAAAAAAAACTTACAACTGTAGCATGATTACTAAATAGAGCCTGAAATGCCTAATTAAAGTGGCAATAAGAAGTAGTAGTGCCTACTAAGATAGGCACCTCCCACGTGCCGAGACTAAGGGTGTTAGGATAAGACGGGCACTTTGTTGATTGGGACTCGAGGAGGGGCACTTGAGCTCCGAAATTGCAAAAAGGCGCGAAATTTGAGTCGCCTCAATTGAGCGCGACTCATCATTAGCTTGTTTGGAATTGCAATGATTGCGCAAGCTCTAGAAATATTTTCCCAGCTGAAGCGAAAAGAAATGATCTAATTCGACTCTTGTAGGTAAAATGATCGTGACAGCGAGGTGTCACCAGTGACATCAAGTGGCGATAGTGTCACGGAAGTAGAAAGCCTTTGCCGAAAATTGGAGTATTGTTGTTGAGCTGAAATTGTTGTATAGATAGACTTTGAACTAGCGAAATGGTACTTTGAGCTTAGCGAGTGAGAGGACATTATCGCTTTTCTATCGGCCCTGGCGGAAGATACCAAAATACTCAACGCCAAAATTACTTGACTGGATGTTTGCTAGGTATTGACGCCATCGCAAAGATTGGACATTGCGGGGCCTAAGATTGTCTCGAATTCTGATGTTTTATCGACTATCTTGGACCCTGAAAATCCGATTTTTAGGAACGGCTTTGGTTGAAAAAGAGCAATTTCTGAAAAAACTTTCCAAAAGCGATTTCAACTTAGAAGTGCGCAGGTGTACATTCATCTCAATTTCAGGCTTGTTTAGTCACGTGATTGACGCTAAATGTTGTTTAGCGCAGAGCTGCCTCCACCGCGCCGCGCAATAATTCCTCAGGTGCTTAAGAAATTTGCCCAAATTACGTTTCTTTTTGCATTCTTGGAATTTCCCAAACTCCCGAAGCAAGAAATAAGGGATATAGACTGCCGCTCGCGTGGAACGTGTTAAGGGCGGGTAATAAGCGACTGATAACGACACCTGTGGAAACTGATAAAGAGACACCATTGTCCAACTAATTCAAACATCTCGATTAAAAAATTTAAAGACGGGCACTGCCAAATTGACCGTGCACTTGAATTTCACGCAATTTTGGAGCAGATAAGAATTAAGGACATCCACATGGATAATTAAATAATTCTTATCGAGCAAAATACTCGTCAATGATTATTCAAGATTTTCTTCTATATAAAATTCCCGAGAAAATTGTTCTTGACACACTTTTTTCCCTAGAAAGCGAAGTTGTTTTACAAAAGTGCGAAAATTAAGCCCCATCACATGATTGCTCTGCGGAAAGATTGGCCTACTTCAAAGCGCGGCACCATCAAGCCAGGAGATAAATTTATCTTGGTGTTACTATTATATTTGCAGTGCAAAAACATTTCACAAATATTGGCGCCGCGGAAAGGGTTTTCGCTGAAACAACTACAAAATCTCCTTGATGAAAGCGGAATTGGCGGGGTTTTGATTTATGCAGGTGAGCTGGAAAAATTTACTTTTTCGAAAATTGGCGAAATTTTGTGTATTATTTATGAAGAATGATATCATTAAGGGGACCCTTAGGGTTCGCATTCCATCGCCAAAGACAGTCGTAAACTACCCTGACTCGTATATCCGCAGCTATTGACTAGATATCGCCCATTTTATCCCGCTCACGGGAGCCGGAGCAATAAGTGCGCCAGTGATGACAATAATGAACCCCTTGCAAAATGTCAGGGTCATAACAATTATCTATTTCGAGTTTCAATAAAAACGTAAAACGGGCTTTGATCGTCTCGTAATCAGGATGCTCAGAGTAGGAAGTATTACCGTGGCCACCTACTAAGCGGCCCAAAATGTCAAAGACATGATTCAGAATCTGTAAAATGTCTATTTCTAGGACCTGACATTCAGGTCTTTTTTTATCAAAGAAATCATAATAAAAAATTTTTTGGGAATCATAAAGGAATCATTTTGGCTTTTGTTCAAACGCTAGAATCAAGGATTTGTGACAGGTAATCCCGAAATTTCTGATAAATCGCAGCTTCCAAATTGTCCGAAAATTCAAATTTGCGCTACACTTGAAGCTGTCAAAATCTCCTCGCTGTAAAAAATTCTGGTGCACTAGCGATCCAGCACCAGGCCTCTCTTTTTTATTTACCTTCAATCTACGACGACCAAAATAGTTTCATTTTCTATTCACTCATGATCTTTGTAATCATGATATTAAAAAGCCATTTAATGAGCGTCATAAAATGTAAGAAAAAAATGATGTCGAGCGCAATTTATACAAGTCAAGTTTGAAAAAAAGAAAGAGAAAGAGGGTCCTTTGTTGAGTTTTTTGTCTTGTCGGATCGGAGGGTGATCCCGGCCTCTATTCATGCCCCGACCGAGCGGCTTTAGCAGCTAATTCAAGGCAGGGCTCTCGACGGAAATATTAAGCCATGGATATAAAATTGAAAAACTGGAAATGAATGAGAAGTAGTTAGTAGAAAATACCATCATCATTCTTTCCAATGATCAAAATTATTCATCGGCTGAGTAAAATCTCGGAAAATAGAGCATCTTTTCTGTAGAAAATTTGACCTACCATTCCGTTGCCGTTTTCTCCACCAGGCCATCCTGGGAGACCAGAAGGGTAGGGCCATTCTCCAGTGGGGTTCATCTTTCCTCGTTGATTTACTGCTGTGGAAACTGTTGGTTACTGTTGAGGTCGATCTCTGTGTTTTTTCTCGAGTTGTTGTCTTTTTTTTGATGATTTCTCTGCTTCTTTGTATTTTTGACCAGTTGGTACTCTTGACTAACAATTCGAGTGGGTATTAGCCTCGTCCAGCTGGTTTCTGCTGAGCTCTATGTGTGCAGTGGCAGCTATTTAGTGGCTCCAGTCGGTCTGGCCTGGCGATCGTGGCGAAACAGGAGCTCGAGCGCCGCTGGTGTCAGTCTCGCCGGCGCCCAGCTCATTCCGAGCCACTAGCTCTTAGGGTGGTCGCTAAAGCACCACCACCGACTTTCTGCCTGATATGGCGGAGTAATCCTAATCGACCGGGAGTTTCAATCAAAGTTAAAAAATTATGATACGAACAAGTAATTATTGAGCTTTTACGTAAAGGCTCGTAAAGATTTGAAGCGAGTAAGGGATTTTTATGGCAATTTTCATGATGCATGAAAATGTATATTCACCACTTAGACGGGCGATTCCCGTTAAAATTTTCCTATTTAACGGATTTATTATTTCTAAAGAGAGTCGACATTTTAAAGGATTTTTCACAAATGAAGCTCGAAAATCTGTTAAAATGGCGACTTTCTAGACAAATAATAAATCCGTTAAAAAGGGTTCCCAATATTTAAGTTGACAATTTTTGGTTATTTCAATCGGGTCATCGCTAAAATGTGTGAACAGTAAAACGCAAGAATTCCCATTTTCCGGGCATAAATCCGCGCGATCATTTCTTTTCCGGATCTTTTCAATTTGCCGGATTCGGCTATCAAGAGATCTTTCTCGACACTTGCGTGATCAGATTTAATTTCCGGGTGTGGTCGGGCCGAGGTGAAAGGCGAAAATTTGGCGCGAGCTCATTCTCCCAGCCTCAGGAGATTGCGCAGATCATCCGCGATCGAGCTAATTGGCCTTGGCGTCAAATGATCGCCCGCTCTGATTTTTTGCCTGTCTTATTTTGTTGGCTGCGAACAGCACTATAAATAGCCCCCAAGAGTTTGATGAACCGGCGATTTACAATTTTCTAATTAGCGCAATTTTAAATTATTATTCAGGCTCAATGTTTTTAATTGTCCATTTCTTTGCTAAATTTTTCGTAAGACAAAGTTTCAGAAACAACATTTTGACACCCTTAATTTCATTTATACCTGAAATATTTCTTTCATTTTCATAGCTACAGTAGCGTCAAGAACGAAAGAATTACAGTATTGAAATTTGCACCTTTGCCATTAAGATTTTCCCAGAAGCTGTCGCGATAATTTGAGCCCCCTTCAAGTGCCGAAATTTTATTTCAAATAATTTCTTTTGTCACTGCATAGGCTTCCGAGCCACCCTAAGATTTTAGTATTGACACCGATGTTTGAGCAGTCGAGATTCGCTTCGGCCCTGGTATAGTAGAGGCCAACCACCACACTCCGTGACTTTTTTTCTTCGCCATTTTTTCCTCCACCACCATCGAGGGTGTTTGTACATTCCATTCTACTCAGAGAGTCACCTTTTTTTATTTTACTACTAAGTGTGTTTTGCGCTCGTAACATATGATTAGAGGGCTATAACAAGGAGTTAAGCAAGGAGAAAGAGTAACCAGCTCGATCTACACTGTGTGTTTTTGTGTGCAAATGGTCAGTGAGGTGCGCCCACAAGTGCACAAACACTCTGAGCTCCTCGGATCAAGCTCCGAGCTCAGCTGGACGGGGGGCGCCAACTTTTACCAATCCTGGAATATTGGAACTTGGAAACAATCTTTCGTAAATCGGTCTTTTTCGGCAGGTTTTTTGATCACGAAGATGCTGACATCCTTAATTTTTGTAGGACGATATTCTCATGCACTGACAAATACAGAAAATATAGGAACAAAGAGATTAATAATTTGATAATAAAATTTTTATTTCTCAATTAAAAAATAATTTACGTTTGAAACAGCCAGAACAAAGGGCTTAAAACTCATAAATAAAATATTTATCTAAGAATTTTTCGTATATTCGTACGAGAAATTGGAAACAAAATTGGTCTTCAATCAAAGAAGGAACAGTATTAGCAGGCAAAGGCATTCCAGAGCGGGGAACAAAGGAAGGGCGCGATTTTCAATTGAAAAATGGCGGGTTACAATTGACGTTTCGAGTGTCAACACTTCCTATTTGGATTCAAGGACCATCGTATTAAGGGAATCAGAATTCCTTTCCACATGCCAGGGAGGGGAAATAAGGATTCAAGGGAAATCTTAATTTGGCTTTATTTTCCGCTCAGGTGATGTTGATTCGAGTCATTCGTTTATGGAAATATTTCTATTTACGGTGATATAAAATTATGCTGGTTGATGTAAGGAAACATCCGGTTCAGTGCTCTGCTTCGTCAAGGATCATTCAATTTGTCACGAGATTCGATCGTAACAGAAGAATCTTCCATCCTTCCTGAAATCTCCAAAATTATACATTTCCCCTCTTCTGAATTAATTCAACGAATAAATGGAAAAATCAATGCGCGTCAATCTGCCACTCTCGATTTCAGTCGATTTCAGTATCTGCTGAACTTGAGAGTGAAAATTAACCGAACTCGTTACTAGTCATCCGTAAATGCTCTCGAGTTAACGACACGTGCTTAGCTGGCCTTAGACAAGTAAAAAAATGGAAATTATGGTTTATCGATAAATCAAATTCTGCCGTTGTTTTCACACTCCTGTTTTTACTCGGCCGATTTTATGGCATTTCAAATACACGTTTCCTCAAAAGACCCGAGAAGCCGCTTGCGGCTTCGAGCTTTAAGACCCCCGTCAGCTTTTTCCTTCGAAAAATGGAAATTTTTAAAAACACCATATATTTGGTTCTTAATGCGACCTCAGGTTAAAATTGTTTCAAAAAACATGAAACTAGCAATATTTGACCAAGAAAAATCAATTTTTATGCCAAGATTGGAGCAAATTCGTCAATTTTCGACGAAAAGTCCAATTTTCAAATGCGATTTTGAAGGTGTTAGAGTCGAGATAGACCCCCAAAAAAGAACCCTTAAAATCGTTTTTGAACCGTAGAATCCATTTCCGGGGTCAAAACTTTAAAATTCCAAAATTTGATGTTTCGAAAAAAGCTGACGGGGGTCCCTTAATAAAAAAAGCCGCGCGAAGCGCGGCTTATATTTTAATTTCTCGAAGCCGCAAGCGGTATATCTTATGTTATAGTACATGTATATCTTTTATGGCGTTCTTACCCTTAGGTTTTGCTTGAAGAAAGTCTGATCAAGTTTTTTTATTATCAGAAGATAGAAAGATGATACACAGTTTGTAAACTGTATATAAAGTGATCCGAGTGTGCTTGATTTTGTTTTGCAGAAAGGCGGAAGGTACGAGCGCGAGGACAAGTTCCTAAAATACTATCCGCACTATCCAAGTGGCCCGAGTCAAGTATCGCTTGGTGGCGTCGTTTTGACAGGTGCAGCACCCAACTTGAAACTTTACACAAGTGGCTCTAATTGGAACTGCGCGTACTTTGGAAGGCTTCGAAAAGATGATTCTTTTTTTATGAATCTTTCTTTCTGAAAATTTGTTATGTAAACAAAATTACATCCATTCGCATCTTCTGAAATCGCATCTTGAAAAAGCCATGAATGTGCGCGGAATTTTAACACAATTCATCTGACAATTGTTTGGTGGTGTCGCTGGTGCAAAAAGAATGATTCACTAGCACCGACATTCCTTAGATGACAAAGGTGCTACTAATGCGCCAGAATTAAGATCGATCGCTTGGTTTTCTGAAGCCAGTGGTTTGCAATTTCATGCCGATTTAGGTAGTAAGATAATATGTTTTGAGGAAAAAGGTACGAGTCAATTCCAAAATCGGAGAATTTTATGAAGCAAGAAAAACGCGATTTTTAGGAGAAATTACAGCTCAAAATTCTTAAACTGATAATTACTCAAGAAAACCGAGAAGAAGAAAAAGGCCGCAAGTTTATTCTAGTCATTATCGCCGCTAATGATTTTCGGCAGTATATTCAGAGTATACTAATCCCTTTGAAGCGGATGGCACTATCTTTCTGCACTAAGTGCTGTTTAAACTTATCTCCGTTTAGGCGGCGGCGCAGCGGAAATAAACACATCTGAAGGCACTTTGCTGGAATCACAACCAACACAAACCATTCCTGCCGATTTCCCCTTCCTCTTTTCTAGCGCGTCGATTTCCGACATCCACCTGCCGCAAAATAAGCAACAATGACAGCTCATTTCCGAAATGGCGAAACATTTTTTATCGCTAATTGAGGAACAACAAAATTTGAAGAATTCATGACTCATGAGTAGAGCAACGGAATCGAGAAGCCGCTTGCGGCTTCGAGTCGAAACAAAATCTAGCCGCGCGAGGCGCGGCTTTTTACAAATTTTCGCTCGAAGCCGCAAGCGGCTATTTGTCTTTTTGATTTTACTTTTGTGCTGCATTTAATGCGACTGATAACAAGTTTCAAGTTCTACTAAGACCTCTTATTCATGAGCCGTTCTATCTCCTTGGCGACATACTCGGACCCAGGTGGAGACAATAGCCGACACGAGTAGGTACACAAAGATGCCGGGATTACAACGCTCATGACAATTGTATATGTTTTTATGTGATCCTACGCAAAAAGCGAAGGAGCGAATTTTATTTTCAAAAAATGATGAAAAGGAAAAGAAGCGAAATTATACAATTGTATAATCGAATTTCTGCCGTTGTGTTGGAATTTTACAAAAGGAACGAAATATAAATTATGAACAGGATTTTTGAAATTTTGAACAAAAATAGAAACAAGCTGATTTTGAAATAAGACTTAGCTGGTAGCTGTTGTGGGCTGGGGCTGACTGACTGTCGGAGAAACTGTTGCGACAGGCGGTGCGGGAGGCGAAATTGGGAGCAGACTTCCAGCGCTGGTTGAAGCTGGTGGAGGCGGAGGAGGAGCCAGGTTTGCTGCAGAGTTGGGAACAGAGTGGTTGATCAGCGGCAGAAAACTCGGCTGCATCGCGGCTGACGAAGTGGGAGTAACTTGGTTGTAAGCTGCGAGCTGCGAAGTTTGGTTGATTTGAGAGGGGTCCATTCCCGGCACCATCGTTGCTAAAAATGTGTCTATTAGCGAGGATGTCTAGGAATAGAATAGGAATCGGATGATGATAATGTATGTGGAGGATAATTGATATTATTTTATTCAGGAGACTAGGAATAGACTTTTCTCTCAAAGAATTAAAAAGTGCCTAATTACACCAAACAAAGCTTGATGAAAGATATATTTCGAATATCGTGTACGTGTTTCTCACAGTACATAAGTTGGATAACTAATTGCGTTTATCGTATTCGCGAGCGGGAATACAAATAGTGAGCGACGAACGTTGTTAAAAAGAGCAAGTTTTATTGTGGTGTCTCTGAGTAAAAAGTAGAGTTGTGTGTGTGTGAACTGTGTCAGTGAGAAATAAGATCGTTTATATATGGTTTTCATAAACCGTGGTGAGCTGTTAGATCGTGGTGAGTGACTTTTTCGTGAGTCGTGAGTTGATCCTAGTCCGTGGTGAACTGTGCTTTCGCGGTTGGCGGCGGAGCGTTCGCGCGTGGTGAAATGCGCTTCGCGAGTCGTGAATAGCGCTTCGCGGGTCGTGAACTGCGCGCGGCGCGGCGCGGTGAACTCAAGTGGCGGATGACTAATGAGAAACACTACATAATTCCTCCTCCATTTATTTTTAGATCGTTTGTCTTTCTGGTAGAGGAATGTCCTGTGTTTGTGAGTCCAAGATTTCATCAAGGATGTTTTGTCCATAAGCAGTAATTGTGGCGAAAGGATCGTTTTGGTTGACGAGAGAGTCAACGAGCGGCTGTTGAGCTGGGCCGACCGGAACATCATTTACTTCTTCGATGAACTGTATTTCTGAATGAGCCGAGGTGTTTGTTCGTGAGTCTCTCAACCCAAGGTGCTTCAGGTGTTCGTGAATTATGAAGGTGACCTCAGATTTCAGAATTCGTAGATCGGAAATTTCGATATTTTCAAGTCTTCTCCAAACAGACCTTTGTTTTGCCCATTTCCTTGCATATTCGGAGACAATTGAATTTCTTGTTTCCGGATTTGCTCCTTGGGCAGTAAGTATTAGGCATTTGCAGGAAAAGATAAGGAGACACTTCAGGTTACTGTCGATCGTGCTGAGATTGAGCGATTTTTGAGTCAAGATTTGGAACCAATTTGTCTTTTCCTTGATAGATACTTCGATTTCTTCGAGAAGCTCTCTGATTACTAGAGTTTTCTCACAGTCGATTTCTTCCACAATTGGTATTTTTATTCCCATGACAAAATTGAGCGCGAATTGTTGGTATCTTCGTTTTATGCAGCATCTCTGAAGGTGGAAAATATCTGTTTCAAGGTTAGTCGGCATTTCTCTTCTGCTTAGCAATTTACATGATAGAAACACTTTTTCTTTTAATTACTTCCGGACTTCTCTTTTTGCCACTTGAAACACGGATAAGTGTGATCGTAGGAACTGTGACTAGCGTGGTTGATCTGTTGAGCTTCTAACTCTTCTTGTAAACTCATTTTTCGATTTGGCTTGTTTCAGTCGGTGCATTTCCATTTTCACGTTGGGGGAACAGGGATGTGACGACGGGTCCCTTTTGTCCTGGCGCGGGAGATTTCGAGTGTTGCAGCGCGCAGGGATGTTTTTTTCTGTTTGAACAGCCATTTTCATCGATTTGGATTCTCGACTGCGAGCTCGAGCAGGAGCTTTTTTGAAAAACCAAGTGAGCAATTGAACATTTGCGAGCAAACGAGCAGTTTACATTTCTTCTCTTCCCCCTTTTAGAACAAGGAGATTCGCATCGTTCCATTTGAGCTGGGAGAATGCGGCAAGAACATATTTTCGAATAAGGTGATTGGCAACTGCACACATTGCCAACATCTGCGGAAGTGCGGCGCAAGGTTAGGAATAGCGGTGCAAGTAGAGGGCGCCGATTACTTGAACATAATCAATTTTATGCGGTCGTAAATCCACAGTGGCCTGTATAAACTTTCACGGCGATTGAACGGAACTTGACTCTCTCTCTCTCTCTTTACGAGTGTGCATCATATCGCTAAAGTTGTGATCATTGTATTTGAGCATCGTTCGAACGGCAAACAGGGCTTTTATACTTCATTATTCGAGTTTCTATTGAGCAATTCATGAGTTGAACATCTCATCTTATTGTTATTGTCTAGAGCGAAGACGATCTTTCCATATTGAATCCTTCTTATCCTTTTGATTGATCAGCAGTCGATCATTGACTGTACTAGGAGGGTCTTCTGAGCAAGGATTGTGAGCTGGAGCTTCTTCATCTTTCAGAGCAGATTTACTTGATTTAGCTTGTTTTGGATCTTGAACTTCAGTGTGTTTTGAACAAGGAGCTGATTTTTAAGCTTGAACTTTTTCTGGTTTGAAGTCGTTTTGAGGCTTGTCACTGCAGATCACTTGCGTTTCATCGTCCTCAGTTTTGACTTTGAGCGGTCGGATCAGACTAATATTTCTACGGTACTCTTTTCTGGTGAGCGGGCACTTCAGAATGTAGCTGTCTTTTGAAAGCCTTCTATGAACTTTGAACGGTCCAGACCAGGACAATCCAAGTTTTCCAGAGTAAGGATCAGGTTTCCAACAGAGAACATTACTTCCAATTGGTAAAACCGGACAGTTGTTCTTGTCACGTTTTAACAATGACTGGTATCGTTGGACTTGGAAGTTAAGCAGAGCAGGATGTAACTTCTTGAAATATGAATTTAACCCTCTAATGAATGGCTGGATATTTTCTGTGATCGGCTCTTTGAGCGAATAAGGAACATGAAATTGTCTTCCGTACACAACTTCATTACTTGATAAACCATCCAAGGAGCCTTTTGGAGTGTTGTTCAAAAAGTACTGTACCAATGGCCAGTAGTCGGACCAAGTGCGATTAGTGGCGAGTTGGTTCTTGAGCTTCTGGTGGATCTCTCGATGGATTCGTTCGCACTTTCCATTTGACTTACTGTAATATGCGCTTGTTGTACTTCGGCGTATTTCAAATCGGTCAAGTATGGCTGTTGTTTTTGGGCCAAACTCTTTGCCATTATCGGAAATACAGTTTTCGGAGATTCCGTGCCTCAGTATTATTCGAAGTAGAGCTTTAGATACGAGATTGTCGGACTTGTTTGAAAGTGGTTCTCCATCAAGGTAGCCACTTAGACTATCAACGACAGTGAGCAAATATCGTTTTCCAGCTTGATCTGGTCGTCCGTAGTCCACAAGGTCAATATGGACCTTTTCAAAAGGGAGTTGAGCAAATTGGCGATCCTTTATGAGCGAAGGTCTCATTTGTTTGAACGGCTTGAGTCGAATGCATGTTTCACAGGAGCTTGTGATCGCGCGAACTTTCTGTTGTATGTTGTTTATAAAGAATTTTCGTAGCATCTGCAGGAGCTGTTGACTTCCGGCATGAGCTGTCAGGGAGTGCAGATAAGAGATAAATTCATCAGCAACAGCGCTTGGAAGAACCAATCTGTTATTTGAATAAAGAACATCATTTTTGAGCATAAGTCTTTTCGGTGACTTGTTCAGCTTCGCTTTCACTCGAAGATTTCTTGTAACTGAGCATGCGTCTTGAGCAGTTGCCATTTCCTCTGCTGTAAATGATCGGTTTTCGAACGAGAAGATAACATCACTTTTTGTTAACGTTGACAATGCAAAGATTGTATCATCAACGTCGAAGAAGTTTTCGGAGTCTCTCTCAAGGTCAGAACTTTTTGACTTTGGTAAACGGCTGAAGAAATCTGCAGAGGCCATTTCAGGACTTGATCCGCTTTTGTGAATGATCGTGAAGTTAAAAGCGAGGAGGTAATTATGTACATTACATAATTTTATGTCCAATTTCTGTTTTCGTGATTCCCAAAATAGAAAGAGCAATGATTTATGGTCAACATAACAATCGAATTCGCAGTTGATCAGGTAGTACTCAAAAAATTGGATTCCCCAGCAGAGAGCGAAGAGTTCCTTGATTCTCATTGGTCGCTTAAGGTCGGGACCCGTAAGAGCTTTGCTGAAGTATCCAAGGGGTGCGAATCGATCGTTTTGAACTTGATAAAGTGTTCCTCCGACTGCGTATCCAGATGAGTCGGTAACAAGGACGAGTTTGCATCCGGGTTTGAAGTGCGCGAGAGTCGGCTCTTTCAGGAGTTCACTTTTTACTGTATCAAAAGCTTTCTGGTGGATGTCGGACCACTCGTATTTCGCTTTTGCTGATGTCAGACGATAGAGCGGGGACAGGATTTCACTTCCGTGTTTGATGAATTTAACATTAAAGTTAACCATGCCCAAATATCTCTTCAGTTCAGCTTTGTCTGTCGGTGGTTCCATCTTTTCAATCGCTTCAAGATGTTTTCGGAGCGGTTTGATACCATCAGAAGTGATTCTGTGACCAAGAAAATCTAATTCTGTACTGGCGAGCTTACACTTTGCGGCATTCAGGACTAGCCCATGTTCGTAGCAGGTTTTAAAGACAAATTCTAGTGCTTGCAGATGGTTTTCCCAATTATTGTCAATCACGATCAAATCGTCCAAATAAAGCAGAATAGAGTCATGTTCCATCAGCTTGTTCATGATTCTAGAAAAACAGGCTGGGGCATTGCATGATCCATAGAGCATCCGGTTAGCTTGGTAATGTCGGTTGTCGTAACTGAAGGCCATCTTGTGGGCATCAGCTTCATGAATGAGCACTTGCCAATATCCACGAAAGAAATCGACTGAACTAATGTAGCATTCTTTACCAGTGAGTTTCTTTCCAATGGACGTAAAAACACTTTGCATACTCGGCAATGGAAAGCGATCTTTCACCAACAGCTCATTGATCATTCGCGCATCCAAGGAAACTCTAATTGAATCATCGTTTTTACGTAGTATAATGAGCGGAATATTAAACGCTGATTGTGTTTCTTGAATGACAGTGAGCTGCTTCCAGTTTTCCATCTGATAACTGACTTTTGGAACTAGGTGTATTGGAATTTTCCGAGGTGGTTGGTGTGCCGATTTCGTTTCGTCATACAGTGGGAGCGAATATCTGAAACCAAAGAGTCGACCAAG